TCCATTTGCCGCAGCAGTGCCGCCTTAAGGGAGACAAGACCACTCTACACGCAAGGAGAGGTCGTATTCTTCGTTCCCTTGGTTCCAACCAGTACCAGGTGTATCTTACACACTTGAGAAAGGTTGTAGTTACTGCCCATCTTGAGATTTTGGATGGGTATGTACTTTCAAGGGATTTGATCCATATCTTTCCAAACTTCCGTGGTACACTCGATGACTATGAGACAACCAGACCCGATGCTGAAGATCTGCCAGCGCCGTCTTCACCAGAGGGCGCTCACGATCCTCAGCATATATATATTGAGTCAGATGACGGAAGGGATGGTAGAGATGATTCACCCCAACCAATTGTCACGTTAGGGACCCCTCTTGGGTCCCCTGACGCTTCTGATAATGATGATAGTCATCATTCTGACTCTGGATATAGCAACCCTGAGCCTAGTACTGCTTTAACTGACTCGATTCTTCTATCATCTGAACCACCTTGTCAAGAAGTAGCCCCAACGGCTGCTCCGAGGTCAAGAATCCAATCAGGGCTCAACCCAGAGAATGTACTCTCCGGAGGGCGCACTCGGAGGACTCACAACCACTACGTGGCCGAGTCTTCCACCCCTGGTATATCTCTACATGTTACGATCGAGGCATCTTATGCCAATTGGCCGTCTTCTGACCCTGATCAGGCACTTCCCTGTAATGACGAGCCTTTTAGCTACAAGGAAGCCATGGAGTCTGCCGAGGCACCTCAATGGCTGGATGGCACTCACACAGAGATACGGGCATTGCTGCGTAATAATACCTTCATTCTTTTGTGGAGGTCTGATCTGCCTGCTGGGCGTAAAACTCTCTCTAGCCGCAATGTCTATAGGCGGAAGAGGGACTCTGACGGCAACACCTCTCGGTACAAGGTTAGGGTGGTTGTACGAGGCTTCATGCAACGCCATGGCCTCGACTATTTCAAAACCAAGGCCTCAGGCGCTCGTACTACCACCTGGAGGCTCTTTCTAGCCATTGCTGCCGTTCTGGACTGGGAAATTGACCAGATGGATGCTGTATCTGCCTTCCTGATGGGAGAACTGGATGAAGAGATCTTCATGGAGACGCCTGATGGTCTCTTTGACTTCTTTGAGATGTATCCAGATGAGAATACTATCAACTGGAGACCTGGCATGATTATGAAGCTTGCAAAACCGCTATATGAGCTCAAGCAGAGCCTCAGGCAGTGGCAGAAGCGCATTCGCAGCGCTCTGAAGGACCTCGGATTCGACCCTCTGGTCTCTGACAACGCAGTCTATGTCAATATCAGCCGTGGCATTATAGTGATCAGCTATGTCGACAATTTCCTTATTTTGGGGTCTAATCGTGACGGGATCGCTGCCTTCAAGAAGGAACTAGGTTCTACATTTGAGATGAAGGACATGGGAACTGCTGAACACTTCCTAGGAGTCCATATTGTCAGAAACCGAGCTGAGAGGACGTTATATCTCTCTCAACAGACGTATGTGAGGAGGACTGTGGAGGCGTTCGACCAGCAGAACACTGGCAAGATGAACGTGCCGATATCTCCTCAAGCAGTGGAACAGATGGAGTCCCTGGACAACGACCTTGAGGTCGATATACGTCCTATTCAGACATACCAGTCCCTGATCGGTTCTGAGAACTTCCCTGCGTCGTATACGAGACCAGATATTGCATACTCTATGGGTGTTCTCTCGCGATACCTTCACAACCCTGGCTCAGCCCAATATAAGGCCGCTCTGGGCCTATTTCGCTATTTGTGGCACTCTCAAGATCTTGGGATCAAATTTAGAGGTCCCGAATATGTCAGGAAGACCCACCAGGAGGTCCTTGAGATGATTCCGGATCTGCTAGTTGGTTACTGTGATGCCAGCTATGCTGGAAGCATCAAGACCAGCGCCAAATCCACCTCAGGCTACCTGTTTACGTTTGCTGGGAGCACTGTCTCCTGGGCATCCAAGCTGCAGACTGTTGTGGCTCAGTCTACTGTGGAATCGGAGTACTACGCACTCTCTAAAGCCGTCAAAGAGGCTGCCTGGCTACGAGAACTGATGCTGGAACTTGGTTCCACTCTGAATGCTATCAACATCCATTCAGACAGTGCTGGAGCTATTAATTTGGCTCAGAACGCTGAATTCCATCGTCGAACTAAGCACATTCGAGTCAGGGAACACTACATTCGTCAGGAGATCTTGGAAGGCCATATACGGCTCTCTTTCCTTGGAACCAATGAAATGCCTGCAGACGGTCCCACCAAAGCTTTGATAAAGGCAAGGTTCTTCAAGTTTCTGGAGTTGCTAGGACTGGTTCATGTAGAGGGGTGATATTCTGGTTATGTTAATTCCCTTAGTCTGAGAGGGCGTGTTAGATTCTGGGCTACGTTAGCCCATCCATAGTCATCCTTCAGGATCACCATCCCCATTTGTGACTCTGTCACATACGTGGCCAATATAAGGCCACGTATTCTTTCCTTTAGTATCTTAGATATATATAGGGCCATTCTGGCCGCTCCAGAGTAGCTGGAATTCCTCTCCTTAATAGAACACTTTGAAATCTAACAGCGATGCAATGGCTCTGGGAGGCGTGGTTTGCCCTGTTGAGGGACTGCACCCACAATAAATAAAATCAATCAATTAAATCCTTAATGAACCACTGGGCCTAGAGGTCCTTCCCCTTGAAGATAATACCTGGTTTGAGGATTTTTCCAGTTACAGAAATGGCCTCGATAAAGAAGGTCCAGCTACAACTCTAAGAGCTCTTCAAAAAGGCCTTTTTAGTAGCAGAACTACCTAAAACCAGAAAACCGATGCCTATAAAGCTAACTAGAATTTCTACGGATTTAAAGGGGTAGTTATAGTCACCAAAACCCGCTATGATGCCGCCTTTATCAACATTATACGTGTTTTCTGGCTTGACCCAGCCGTAATCCTCTAGGATTTTAAAGAACCAGTTAATTGCCTTCATTATGAAGCCTTTAAAGTGCGCTGATTCTATCCTTTTGCCAACTTTGGTCTTTATTTATGGGTTGCGGTGTTTAAAGCCGGTCATGAAGTGGTTTCCAAGGGGGCCTGAATCTCCGTTCTTTCTCACCACCTTCACGATAATCTCACGCACTAGGGAGTGCGAAGGGGCTAGTCCTAGCTTCTCTTGACGCAAAATATAGTTGACTATAGTGCTTTCTTGAGCAGGAGAGAGTCTCTATTGGTGTATATGGCCTTCGCTTTTTGAGGGCTTGCCGTTAAGTCGGTCTGAGAGCGTTGTGACAGGGATACCGTGTTTTTGAGCGTTTTTTTGCAGCGAGAGGCCCTCATCCGTGATATCTAAGATGGAATTTGCCATCCGATCCTCTGTATACAGTTTGGGAGGCATTCTAGGCGGCTATACGATACGCGGTGTATACAGAACAAGACTTCAGACGAGGCTCCAGCACTCAAAAATCTCTATTCGGGGTAAGAAACGCGGGGTAATAGACAGCCAATCACGTATGCTGCGCGGGGTAAATTCTACATTGGATTAAACCTTAAGATCAGGTCTATCTAGAGCACTAAATACATTCTGAGCAGCTTCAATATTGGGCTGAAAGCGTATAAGTGAACATATAGGGTTTAGGTGGTGGTGGTGGGGTTTTGCTGTACGAGATGTGGGGGTGCCCGAAATGTAGGGGGGGGATGGTAACATCAAGTCAAGCGGCAACAAGGTCATTGACCACAGTCAGGAATATGTTGGAGGGTATGCTCAGGAGGACATCAAGGTCACTACGAAAGAACATGTGCCTATGAAAGCCGAAGAGGGCATGGGCGAGACGGGGTACATGTTCATCATCCAGGGCAAGGGCTTCTCGGAAGACCAGATCGGCACCGACGGCGAGCTGCTGCACGCCCAGCTGGACGGATGTAATGATGACGGCGGCGTGGGCAACTTCGAGTTCAACTGGACGCCGGATGAGCCGTCGGGGAAAACTTTGCCTACCACAAAACCGGTTCAAGGCGCGGTTGCTACTCTGACAAGGCTGTCAGCTTGCATTCGCGGCCTCGCCGAAGGGAAGCATAAAGTGAAGCAACGGGGCCGATGATGGTGCTTTGTCTGCGGTATGCTCTCGATTGGTATCAGCAGAGTTGCCCTTTCTTTCAACCAAAACAGTGTTTCTTCTTGGAAAAATACTCTATCTATATTGTACCCCCATCGAGCTGATTCAGTTCCTGTCGTTCGTTATGGTACTTAGTACACTCGTTGTTATCCTTAATTCTTCATGTATCCCTGTTAGCCGCGGACATCGACCCATCCTATCTTGTCTGCTGTAGTAAAGGTTTACTTGATGTCCTTAGTAACTCATTCCTGGGCCATGGCCCATCTATTCAACAAGTTACCAAACCATGCCCTCTTCTGGAGATGGTCGCGTTCTCCAACCCTGAGCTCAGCTACAGTCATCCCCCTAAGTCTCCGTCCACGATCAAGTCGACAATGTCAATGCTATATTCATATTAATGGAATAAACATCCTGGAATAAGCACGTTAACCCAAAAAGCCAGCCATGATGCTTATTCCAGAGTGCTTATTCCATTATGATGAACATACCCGACGCTTAGTGAAGGAGGGGTGTGCGGAGACTTTTGGAGGTTTAGTTTAGGATCGCCTCGTTATGCTGTCCCACCCCTGGTACCGCATCCATCCGAACATCCTCTCCCCCAATACCCGGGGGCAGCAGCGTCAGCACACACTCGCTCGGTTGCTCAATCTCAGTCCAACGGAGACTTATGGGGGTGACTATACCCGAATATCACGGGAAAGTCGCTCATGTTCTACGCAAACTTGATCGTACTCCTTTTCAAGGACCAGAAATATCGGCACACAAGAGAGATTCAGCCGAGCGGGTGCTAGACACCAATGAAACTGCATCTGAAGAAGCCGTAGAAGGCGCTGCCGGAATTGCAGCAAGCACACCGCGAATCAAGCTGTATGGAGGCGCTGTGAAGTTCTTTCGAATTCTAGATGGCATCCGAATGTAGACTCGCGTTATCTTTCTTCATATGAAAAGTAGTGTTCACCATGATCCCGCTGCTGCCATGTTCGTGATTGTCCCCGAGGCCTAGAATCGACATCCTGCCCTCGCGCACCAGCTCGTCGTCGGAGTCCTCACCCGGCTGAGACGTTCCTCCCTTGATGTTCGTAGTGATTTGACTCCGCTGCGTCCGGTGGCGGTGGACTGAAGAAAGCTCGTAATGCCTGCCGTAAGAGCTGTTGCCGGCCTGCGATGTGTGACCCAGGAAAATCGCCCGGAGGGCTGTGAAGATCTCTGTCAGCCGGACAATAGATATCTGAATGGCAGGTTAGCCCGCTGACGCAACGTACCTGGAAGACAAGCCGCGATGATAGCTATAGCTGTCTCGACCATCGACACAGTGCAAGTCAACATGGTCTTGTTGAGCTTCGAGTAGTAGGCTCGCACGACTGTGAAGAGCGTCAGCAGCAATTCGTTTTGCAGATGGCGCGCTCGCGGGTCTACGCACTGCTTGCTATAACCACAAAGAATCCGAGTGCGAAGATCCCCATAACACCAAGCTTCTGTTTCCGCTTCATCTGGAGTTTGAGCACCATCGATATGGGAAGGCAAATGACTGTCACTGGTTAGAGGAGGAGAAGGCAGCCGGCGCGTATACACCTACTAAAGACGTCTGAAAATATGTTCACTAGTCTTGTCAGTACATGCACAGGGGTGGTTGCAGGGAATGGTGACTGACGTATGATGGTGATCCAGTAATTGGTCTCTGCCGCTTTCGGATTGCATTGATCTGCGGACCTGTCAGTCTCGACTCTCGCGAAAGCATTGCCGGGGAGTGGACTTGAACCGACAGTCTGGATCCAGCGACCACCTCTTATCATTCGGGTAGCACTGGAAGACGATATCGAAAAAGATGACAAGCCAGCTAGCGGCGAGGAATCCGAGTGTGGCATTGTAGACGATTTGTAGTCTTGTACTGGGGGCCGCGAGCTTCCTGTAGAACAAGACGAGAGCGACCTTGATGGCCCAGAGTGACGTGACATAGAGAACCGACCCCGGAATGATCATCTGTAGCCCTTAGCAAAACCCAGTCGTCTGTTTATCGGCACGAATTTGCTTACCTGCATGATGGCAATGAAGTCATCGCGACTCGCCTTTGGTATTTCAGCAACCCCCCTATTCCACTGCGTGTATGTTAACACCCTGTCTTTAAACACGTACGGCCATTTTCAAGATGAAGAAGGAAAGTAAACAACAAAGCTTGTTCTCGAACACAAAGCTCAGGGTCTTGGGGCGCGATGTTTTTATACGTACCATGTATTGTTGGATGATCAGGTCTCCGATGAGACAGCATGTTGCCAGAACAAGAAAGCCATCCTCAAGATACAACCTCCCGAACTTCTGGCATTGGTTGACCATTCTTGCGGCGGCAAACAGCAGGGCGACGACGGTACAGATGTACCATGATATCTTGTCAACTTGTCAGCAAGTGCTGGACTGCCTGCACAGGTCAATCGGTGAACAAGGAGGGCTTTTCACTTACCACTTGACCCAGACCCTCCCCCATGGTTAGGTAATATTGGCTCTGTGACGCCGATAGAGAAGCCTGGTCACAACATGGGTGGGAAGACTCGATTAGGATCGGGGTACTCGCGACTCAAATGTGAGTTTGACCTCCAGAGAACACACGCCAGGTGGCCGGCCGATAGTGTCCTCAATAAAGAATATCCCAACGTGCCCACCATTGCGGCGTCTAACCCATACCGAACTTGAATGCAGCTAGATCGAGCCCAACAGGGATATAATTGTCTACATAGGTTTATTTCCGGGCATCAGTGCACAATCTAGCACGAATGAGGCAAGTCTGCCACATAGTGACACATCGACTAGGTGGACGAGCAAAACTATTCGGGCCCGAGAGACGGGGAACGCAGTGGCTACAGCAGCAGATCGAGGCCATTGCATGACGGGTTCTTTAGACTCGATTCGAGTCGTGATTAGAGTGTTCCTGACATCGTTGGGGGAGAGCTAGTTGGACACCAAGAAGACCGTCGGTGGACGAGGCCCCACTGCAGCATGTGCAGCGTAGACCGGACTGATCCATCTGGGACGCCGTGTTCCACGCCATGCCGAACACACGGTAGACGGTGGAACTGGGGGTATAGACCCTCACATGGCACTAAGAACAAGGGGTCCATAAACTGGTCCCTGATCAGGATATTCAAAGCCTCAGCCGCACCAAGCAGGCGCTATAAAGCGACGGCTCTTCAAGCTGTGAGATAGCCGGACCCTAAGTCCTTTCTCGTATGTCTATTGGCCATCCCTGGTACTCGCGAAGGGGCCCCTTGCATACTCTGATACTCAAAACCTCTCCAGTACGCACCTCATCACTGATCTGCCCGTTTCCCTTCCTATCCCAGCTCCCTGACCTGACCCGATCGATTCACGATGGTATCCCTGAATCTGCTAACAACGGCTGTGTGTCTCGCCGTTGCGGCGTCATCCCACGCTGCCGCAAAGCCGTGTGACCGTGATGCCAAGGTGCCGTCTGTGGCCTTGGAGCAAGGGACAATCAACGGGATGCTAGATGCCCACGACAACCACGTATATCTTGGCATCCCCTTCGCTCAGACGACTGGGGGCGAGAACCGGTAAGCCCTAATGCCAAAAAAAGAGGACATCCTGCCGAGCACATAAGAACTGATTGTCGTTGCTACCAGGTGGAAGAAGCCTCAGGACCTTCCCAAGTCGAAGCATGCCGTCCTGAATGCCACATCGTATGGCCCAACATGCCCACAAGCGATCACAAACCCCCTTTACAGCCGTCAGGATGAGGATTGTCTGAACCTCAACGTGTGGACCCCTTCGACGGGGACAAAGCTTCCTGTGAGTCGACGTATCTACCTTGAACAGCATTGTCCGCATTGGCTGACCGATAACAGGTCTTCGTATACATGTGTATGTACATTTTCGAGTCTTTTATTTCCCCATATGGCCAAGCCCTGAGCGCGAATTCCCTCTTCTAGCCTGTGTCAAGAGCCTCTGCGCCCGAGACACGCATTACGACTCCATTTTTTCTCGGCAAACTACCTAAATGAAGCAATTACTGACTCACATTTGCGAGGAGACGGCGGCGCCATGGTCACCGGGTCCAGTAGCAACCCCCAGCTGCAGGGCAACAACTTCGCTCGTAAGGGTGTCGTTTATGTCAGCTTCAACACGCGCGAGAGCATCTGGGCCTCGCCCAACTCGGCAGAGCTCCAGGGCAAGAGGAATCACAGCCAAAACTTCGGCATCCTGGACGCCGAGAAGGCGATGGACTGGATCCACGAGAACATAGAAGGTGAGTAGCAGATAGACATGGACATGGGAAGGAGTCGGAAATGGACAGGGATGCTGATGTGACATCGTAGCGTTTGGCGGCGACCCCGACCACATCGTCTTTGGCGGTCACTCGTCGGGTTCGGTGCACGTCGACCACTACCTGTGGAACCACCCAAACACCTGGCTCAAAGGCGCGGTGGAAATGAGCGCCAACGCGATTTCCGGCCCGGCCTACGCGCCGACTAACGTCGCGCTCGACGCCGTCGCCGCCGAGGTGGGCTGCGGCCCCGGCGAGGGCCAACTCGAGTGCCTGCGCCAGGTCGACATCTACGACATCCAGACGGCCAAGTTCAACTCGACGTACAACACGTGGTTCGCGCCCGTCATCGACGAGGTGACGCGCTTCTCCGACTACGTCGCCCGCTTCGCCGCCGGCGCCTACCCGTCGCACGTGCCGCTGCTGACGGGAAACTCCAACGGCGAGGGCACCATCTTCTCGCTCGTGTACTCGGACGAGAACAAGGATTTCGCCTCCTGGATCAACACCTTCGACGCCGACAGCGCCCACATTCCCGACGAGGTGCTCCTCTCGGCCTACGACCCCGACGACTTTGCGACACAGTCACTGATGAGCGGGACGCAGTACGGCGACGCCCGGTTCGACTGCGCCGTCGACTACTTCGTCGACCTCCGCAGCGCGTGGCAGCCGACCTGGACATACCGCTTCTTCGGGGAGTACGACAACGTCGTCGGCGTGCCTGGCACGGCCCCAACACACGGAACTGAGGTTCCCTTCTTCCTTGGCGGCAACGAGTGCTTCGAATCCCTCTCCAATGTCACCGCGGCCCAGCAGGCCTTGGCCGACTCGATGAATGACTGGTTCGTGTCCTGGATCAAGGACCCCGCTGCTGGTCCGGGCTGGCCGCTGGTCCAGCCATTTTTGGGCGTCGTCACGAAACTCGGCGTCCCCGGTGATGAGCTTTCGCTCATCGAGGGGCTTACGTCAGATTTCAACCTTCGCTGCGAACTCGTGAGTAGCCCTTGCTTGCAAAATGGGGTAACGATACTAATTCCGTATCTTTGCAGGTGTACAAGCCATTCTACCCCTACTACCCCATTGTCCAGAGCCCATTGTAGATGATGGCAACTGAAGGCGAATATAATGCGAGAAACGTAGTCAATAATACCTAATTACTAGCCTAGAGCGCCTCTCAGTCTTCCCCCTGAAAACAAGATACTAATTAGCAATAATCAATAGACATAGTTAGACATCATAGCGCCTGCGCCATAACTTATTGAGCCTTGTCCTCTACTGGTGTGTGTATGGCGTAATATAGGGTGTATTGCCCATTGGCGAGGTGGGGATGGAAAGAAAGGGGATAAAGGGTATGCTTGTCGACGACTTCTCTCGTGTGACAGCTGTGTACTTCCCAAATACCTTGGTAGGCAGGTCTATCCATGCGTTCTAGAACTGGGCGAAAACTGCCGCCGAAGGAGGTTAATAAAAGGACGTCGTTCGTCGGGGGCTACTGTCGATCAATATCGGGGGTGCACTTCATCAGCTGAAGGTTGCTATCCGTACGTCCGCCTCGAAGCTTGGTACCTGTCTCGAAAAGGTAGCTAAGGCAGGAGGTAGGTAAGGCAGGTCGCGCCTGCAGTCTGGAAGTTGTTTGGTAAGCCGCTTGAGGGCTCTGGCAACAACTCCTGAAACCTGGATACCTACCTATACAACGACAAATAAGTCAGCACCAATGATGTGTAGCATGCCGCAGATATAACACGGTGGTTACACCGTTGCGACCATCAGGCGATGAACCAAGGTAGGTAGTGAGTGAATGCTCGTGGTGAGATTGACCCCTGACCTCGACGGAACTGAATGGACATGGGCAGACCAACAACTAGTTCCTCAGAAGCACTGATATTTAGACAAATGGGACAGTAATTTGCTGAAGAGACTGCCGCAAATGTGAGGAGAATAAAGAAACGCATTGGCAGAAAGCTGCATCACCATGTACCAATTCCTCCCAACCTGCAGGCATGCAGCGGCATCTCCGCGAGCAGAGTCCGTCACGCGCTCGGCAACGTAGGTCGCGAACATGCAGGCCGTGTAGGGGCGGCTGCCAGCAGCCAATGGCCCGGCACTATGCACATGTAGATCGGCTGGTTCGAGAAGACGCGTCGAAGCAGCCCGTTGCGGGAAGGACGCCCTGTCTTATGCGCCACCTACTGCAGCCAGCTACCAGGGGAAAGGCGAGGCGATTGTGTGCAGCTTGATGGTTGACGGCGGACGGGAAGGGGAAAGCTAGACGGGCAGATACCTACAGGTCACTGGTGGGCGCTGGCTACTGGGCTATACCCAGGGGATATTCATTGGAGCGGGCGAGCCCCAGACCCCAGCCTGTGCGCGGTTCACGCCTCGCAAGCCCTGCGGTGACCCCAAACTTGAATCAGATGCTATCCAGGTTCGGATCATGGGACAGATATTGCGATATAGCTCGCTTTTGACCCTTGATGCCCCAAGTCTTCATCCTGACCTGAATCGTACCCCTAAACACGCATGATAAGCCCGAGAGAGAAGAAGAAAGGCCGACAGAGTCCTCCGGGAAGGGCGACGAAACCAGGGAGCGTCACGTGTGCTTGCGCCCGATAAGGGAAAGACCCCGATCAGCTCGAGTCGTAGCGCGCTACGACTCGCCGACTCGCCCTGGGAGGACAGACCATCCTAACACTTTATTACCGTCGGCCGCATCTCGAGTCACTCATTCCACCATAAGCACCCCCAGCTGCAACCATCCAGCCACGCAGCAGACGGATCGCGCGCTCTCTCTTCCATTCCTTTCTGAGGAGGCGCGCAGGATTCCGGAAGGCCACAGGCAGAGGAAGAGGCAGAAGGGAAACGGAGGTCATCCACTCCAAAGCACCACCGTCAAGCGCAGGAAAGATGGCGAAAGAAGACGGCGACCCGGGCGTCGAAGATGCTGCCTTGCAGGTCATTGTCCTCGTAAGTCAATCTCATTCAGCCGTGTTGCAGGCGTTCCTTTGTGTGTGCACCACCTCCCAGCCCTTTGATCCCTAGAGAGAGCCTCGAGCCTTGTACTCGGCGCCGGTGACCTGCTAAGGCCGCCGACCACCATTGGACAACACCCGACTCCCCTTGTTGCGACTTGCAGCGCATCTCGATCACTGCGTCCAGCACATACGAAATCTCCGATCTATTGCGATCGGATCGCATGGGGTTATTTGTGGGAGAAAGAGACAGGATGTCCCGACCTCTGTGCAACTCTGCCCCTCTGGAGATGCTTCCGGCCAGTCGCATCATATCATTCGGATGCGATGGCAGACAATTGGACCAGCAGCATGCGCCGAGCCTTGCTTTGCGCGTTGCCGATCCATGCGGGAACATGACAGGTCGATTGTCATAAGTTTCGAGTTTCCGCCCGCAGAACCGCACGCACTTGCGCTGCTGCGAACAATCGGCCAGCAAATGGCTCTCTCCGGCGCAACAAAAGACCCTTGTCTCATCAACACTGGCTGGTGGTTCCAATACCAGACAGCAGAATCGCCGGCTCCGCCTTGGAATCGCCTTGTCTGCCTTGCCAGTCTGATGGTGATGGAAGGTTTTGCCGGTGGTGCTACAATAAGCCCAGTCCGAAGGATGATTCGTGGTAGCGTGGAGCGCGAGAAGTTCAACGGACGGGGAACTTGCCGGAACCTTGCGAGACGTGTCACGTGGATCGCGTATCGTTATCGCCTTTATCTTCCTTTATCGGCAGCTTTCCAGGGGCTCACTGACGTTCACAGTGGCCGTCCTTTATCCGGGCAGCTGCTGGCACGTGGGACCTCAGCTTCAGGGGCAGTCAGGCGTTTTCAGGCCTGCCTTTCCAGCGAACCTTGGGCAGCTCAAGCCTCGAGGCTGCATGACTAGCGCCCTACACCGAGGACGGGAGAGCTCTTGGGATCATCACTTCTACGCAGCCATCTCAATAATTTTATATGTCCATGCTGACATATCTTTGATACCCCTAGGGCTCAGGAGGCGGACCGCAGGAACACAATGTTACAGCACTCCTTGTGCGATCCGTCAAGTCGGGCTGGGCTCGAGGCTCTATCGTAGCCCTCGATGCAGGCGTCCACCTGTCCGCCATCACCAGAATTCTTGAGGAGACCCAGCCACGTGGCCTCGGCACTGATGTTGCCCTGCCTCACACGCTGGGAGTTGGTCCCTTCGCGGGCATGCAGCTCACTTCTGCAAAGGCGTCGGCCAATGCTGGTTACATCACACGCCACCTTATTGACACATATCTTATCACCCATCCCCATCTCGACCACATCAGTGGCTTTGTTATCAACACCGCAGGACTTCCCGGATCGAGACCCAAGCGACTAGCAGGCCTGCCGTCCACCATATCTGCCTTCAAGTCGCACATCTTCAACAACGTGATTTGGCCCAACTTGTCTGACGAGAACAACGGCGCCGGTCTAGTAACCTACATGCGTCTTGTCGAGGGAGGAAGTCCAGCACTTGGCGAAGGAGATGGGAAGGGCTACCTGGAGATCAGCGACGGTCTTTCCGTAAAGCTCTTCAGCGTTAGCCATGGTCACTGCATTGAGAAGCATGCGCACCGGGGTTCGGCTTCATCATCGCGCTTCGAAAGTATGGACGCCTCATCGATGCCCATGGCGTCCCCTCGTGGCGCCCCCGGTAGTAATGCCGCCTCGGGTCCATCTCCGTTCTTCAGATCTTCCGGCATGGGACACAGCTCCGTCAGCCAGGAGAAGGACTCGATCTGTGTCTACGATTCTAGCGCATACTTCATCCGCGACGCAGCAACCGGTCGAGAGGTACTCATGTTTGGCGACGTGGAGCCTGACAGCATCTCCCTGTCCCCCCGTAACCTCGGAGTCTGGCAGGAAGCGGCCCCCCGTATCGCCAATGGAAATCTGAGAGCTATCTTCATCGAATGCTCCTATGACGATAGTCAGACCGAAGATAGACTGTTCGGTCACCTCACACCGCGCTTCATAATCGAGGAGATGAAGACACTCGCGGGAGAAGTATACATGGCGCGCCAGCCACCAGTTAAGCTTGAACTGAATAAGAAGCGCAAGCGAGATTTAGAGGAAGGCACTAGACGGTCGAACCGAGCCGCTGCTAGATCCAGTGGTGACGAGAACCCTGTATCGCCCAAGACAACGCGACCGGCCAAGAGAAGCTCAGGAGGTTCGGTATCGGGAACCAGCGATCACGGCATCGACACGCCTCATATCGCAACCCCGACCGCGGAAATGAGTCTCCGGGATTCTGGAGTTGCCGGCGCAGGTTCCTCCTACGCGTCGTCGCAGGCTTCGGGTTCTCTGAGTGGCTTGAAGGTCGTCATCATACATGTCAAGGAGAAGCTCGACGACCACACCCCGGTTCGAGACATTATCCTGAGCGAGCTGCTCGAGCACGAAGAGGAGGCCCAGCTGGGCTGCGAGTTCATCATCTCAACCATGGGGCAAAGCTTCATGCTATAAAAGTTCAACCATGGGCCAGAGCTTCATGCTATGAGAGCACGAAACGCGCATCACCGTCGCATATTATGCCAGGCGTTCGGGGGTGGTTCGGTATAGCACAGGCGTTGAAATCTTGCTGTTGCATCATGGGAGTTAGTTGCGATGATCTCATCTGTTGGAGCTTTTGCTCAATGTGGGCTGAGGCTTATAATGAAAGCCCCGTCGGCCTATAGTGTACAGTAACGCACGGCGTTCGAGGGATGATGACCATGTCTGGGCGTATATGGCGAGGGATCGGTGTGCTTTGGCTAGGCGTCTGTGTTGCAATGCGTTCCCTGCTGCATTTGAAGAAAGCTTGCAATGGTTTTGCAGAAGCACCTGAGTTGTTGTAGAGGTCATCCTAGTGATGGACTATTCAGATCAATCAAAGAAGCTGACCGACTCAAAGTCGAGTCATGTTCTATGACTACTAAACCGCGTCTTATATGTCTTCTATGGTGTTACATGTACTACCCCATGACCACACCCACGCCTTTAATACTTATTCATTTCCCCGTCCCATCCGCCGCCTTCCTCAACTTCTCAAAGCCCTCGGCGCCCCCGACATCCTTCTCGAATACAGGCCGGGGTATCTCAATCGCCTCGGTCGTGCGGCCGTACGAGATGCCGCCGAGCCGACTCATGGGCCGCAGCACCTCGGGCGCAACCATGTTGCGCTCCTCATTGACAGCGTCCTCGCGCACCCAGAAGCGCGTGCCCTCGAGCACGACCATGGCGCCCGTCTTCTTGCCCGGCGTGGCGCGGCTCTCGAACTCGCGGACGCTCTCGAGGCGGCACTCCACACTAAACACAGCCTCGCGCACGCGCGGGGCCTTCACGTCGACGCAGTCATTTATGGGTGTGAGGCCGCTGACGTCCCATTCCGAAGACCCGTACGGCGCGTCGACGCTCGTCGCATTGGCGGCCTCGATGAAGCTCTCGGATATGATGTTGACGGTGCACTCGCGGCTGTCGAGCAGGTTGCGCAGCGTGTCCTTGGGGGAGTCGAGGGACCCGGCGAATCCTAGCACGAAGAGCGGCGGGTCGTGGTTGATCATGTTGAAGTAGCTAAACGGCGCCAGGTTTTTGGTCTTGCCCTCGGCCGATATTGTTGATACGAACCCGATTGGCCGCGGCACGATCGACGAGATTAGTAGTTTGTAGTTGAATGGCGCTGGACGGCCTGGTTCGTACGGGTCGATGGCGATGTGTTTCTTGGAAGAGGAGGAGGAAGAGGTGGAGGAGGAGTCGTGGAGCGCATTGGCGCCGCCGCCAAATGCCCAGGACGGGTCGACCGTCTGCGTGTACCGGAACGTGGACGATGCGTCCCAGGCTGGGCGCGAGGCCTCGACGGCTTTGAAGTCGGAGTGCGGGTTACGCTTGTAGGCGGCCTCTTGCTGGGTCGTGACGGACATGGCGGGGTGCTGCTTGTACGCGAGGCGGGCGAGTACGAGGGCGCTGGTGTTGCTGATGCTGCTACTAATGCGCGGGGTAGTGGCGGTGGTGACGATGCGGGGTGTTCTTCCGAGAGCGGTCTTGAACACGGTCATGAAGAAGAGGTCTCGAGCCGGTCTGAGGAAAGATGATCGTAGGTAAATATTATTGTATAAAAATGAAGAAGCCACGGATCTATCGCCTTCATGCAATGCGCTTATTCACGGGAGCTGCAGAAGAAACGATGGTTCTGGGTCTTGCCATAGGCCTAGAGGTGGGGTGAGCCCCCCTAATATTCCCACTATAGCCTCTGCTGGCTGGCAATATGCAATTCCGTTGGCGATCCGATCATGTTGATAAGCGCAGCTAAGGGGAATGAATCGGAAATGTCATACATGAAGAAGTCGGTGATGTAATTGAGTTCATGTTTCTACTAACGAGAAGCCGCCTTCTGCTAGTGTCCCGGTAATGGGGTAAGGGGTAATCTAGATCGCCAAGAGACTCCAGTCCCATGGGCGATTCCGTTATTAGTGGTGTCTCCAGCGGTAATATCTGCGTATACCCTGGCTTGTCTATACATCTCTTGCAAAGTCAGAAGGCTTCTTATGATTGATAGGAGATGTCTAATCGCACCAGTCTCAATATTACATGTTCAATGGAAAGGGTTCCTAATCTACCCCCTCATCCCCTTTGCATCCCGAATTAAGGGGCAATGACCGTCTGCAGCCCAGGTCCGCCATGGTCTGCTGCTTGTTCAAAGGCAGCAGCAAACTCCTCCAGCGGAAAGCTGCCCACCGTCTTGATGCCGCCCGCCTCGCCCAGCTTCAAGAAACCCGTCTCAACCATCTTGATCATGACGCGAAGGTCCTCCTTCGTATACATCCACTTCCCCTTGATGGTAAGATCGTTCAGCACGACGAAAGGCATGGGCAGCGGCAGCTGATCGTGGTAACCCATCAAGCTCACGCGCCCGCCACGCCCCAGCGCCCGGACGCAGCTTTTGAAGTGCGCGCTGGACGCCGCCTTACCCGGCGAGATGTCGAAAAACACGTCGGCCGGCCCGTCCTGCGTCAGCTTCTTGACATCAGTCTCCACATCACCCGTGTTCTGCACCGTCGTGATCCTGCCCTCGGGACTGAAAACCTTGAGTCGTTCCAGTGATTCCATGTCGCGGCTCACGGCGACGACGCGCCCCCCCATGGCCAGCGCGGCCAGCACCGCGGCACCGCCGAACGAGCCCGTCGCGGGCGTGATGATGACTTTCTCCCCGGCGTGGAGACCGACGTCGCGGAGTCCGCCAAAGGGGACCGATAGCGGCCATAGGTACATCAGGTCCTCGATCTTGTAGCCTAGACCACCGTGGGCGGGACTGCCCAGGAGTCGGGCCTCGTCTAGTGGGAAGCAGTTCTCCAGCGGCAGCTTGGAGTACTCGGCGTATGTGCCGTCGCGCCACTCGCCTTTCATGAGGACTTTACTGCCGGGAGAGAAGCCGGACGATAGGCCGTGAACTGTGGCATTGATCAGCATGAGAGTTATTCGATTCTGCCAGCAGATCATGTCGCGGAGTGGGTAGCTCGGGCACAGCACAAGAATGCAACACGAAATCTGGAGGCTACTCACGGATCAGGGACGTCCGATCGTCCCGGCCCTCGATGAACGTGTCGATATAGACCAGCTGGCCGGGCTTCAGCAGCGTGGCATCTGCGCCCGCGGCGACTAGGCGGCCTATGGCAGACGACCCTGGCACGAAGGGCTCCGGGTAGGGGTAGGGCTTGCGGCCGCTGTAGACTCGTCCGGCGTACGTCAAGACGCTGGCCACAAGGATCTGGACCACTGCGCTCCCTGGCCCTGCTTGGAGTTGGTTCTTCTGGACGACTGAGATGTCATAGGGATCTCTGGTCGAGTTGAGCACTAGTGCTCGGTACGTCGAAGGTACGCTGGAGGCGGTGGAGGTGGTAGTGGCCATGGTGTAAGTTTGGGTAGCTTTGGTGGTGATGTGGGTTTTGAATATTGAAGTTGCTGTTACTTTAGAGATTGGGAAGTACTTGTCGAGCGTAGAGAATCATACTTATAGAAAAGCAGCAACGTGGCTAGCCACGTATACACCGCAGTATATGGGATATTCACATGGAGATAACCTAGGTACGGCCGTAGCAAACAACTGATGGCTCGCATTGCTCTTCCTGTTATCGCCTTGCTCCGTTCGTCGTTCTTGATCGCTTTGACTCTAGGCAGGGCCGACACCACTACACACTGTCTACGTTATGCGATACCTCCGAGAGGTCCGCAAATGTCCGTAGAGCCAGGCTCCTCCGGCGAAGGCATTGCAATAGCCCGGCGGTAGGCGATCAATAGCGTTGTTGTGGCGGCTCTCGGCCGTATTGACCACAACACTTATGGAGGGGACGAGTGTTCTCCCGGCATAGTCTTGGAGCTTCATAATGTTGCCGGTCCATATTGTGGGGGAGATACTAGGGACGGACGTACGATTCGGTCAATTCGACAGATCGCCGACTCTACGGCCGAACATCCCCGGCCATTGACTATCGCCGGCCATTAGCGTTCCGAACGATTCCTTCATGAGCGAGCATGCACGGCCCGGATTCACGCCGCACTAATATGCGATGGGCCCGCATGGGTTCGGCCTTTTCATACTTCTGCACTTTCTGCTTGGCGGATAAGTTAGAGCGATGTAGATACCTACCCAGCAAAATTCCAACCACTACGATACAGTCCTGATACAGCGTCGCCGGGTTCTACAAGATAGTTTCAAGAACCGAGAGCCGAAAATAAATAACCCGATCGCTATCTTAACTGATCACAGAAAGCGTCTCGTTCATTATTCAACTCATCTTCCTATATAAGTGGGCGCTCGGATATACGTACCACATCTCGAATACCATGCGAACGGCACCGGAGAGCTGCTTGAGAATAACATATCCAAGAAGAAGAAAACAAAGACCCGCAAGTCTTGACACACTATGACCGGTACCGATATCAACCATGTGGTAAGATGGTCATAGAGTACATACAGCTACGCCAAAATCGGGGTTTGCGCCTGTTCCAGAATATTTCATTGAACAGCATACCAGGTCGAGCAACAGCGATAAGAGCGTCCCCAAAAGACTGCACCATCCGAGCAGCATGTTTCAGCAAAGTTGAGAATCCATATATGATATCACCCAGCAAGTCCAGTAATGGGGCGTTCTGTGACCTGATTACTATAGCGAGATTTGCCAGGGGTAATGTCAACTGACTTACTACTTGGCCTTACTGTAGTCGTTGGCGCGACAATGACCGATAGACCGGCGCGTTAGAGGACAACCAAGGCGTTGAGTGTTTCGCATTGGTTGAGTAGACTTTGGCAATGTGTGGGGAAGCGGCTCAGGGCGTGCTGGGTTTCATGCCCCGATGGACCTCGTGATTTCGGATTGGCTTCATCCCCCGGGCTACAACATTTAGACCGCTTTCTCTTCTTTCCCCTCGCTTCATGGGTCTCCCAACGTCACCTAGCGCCTCCTATCTCCGTATAATACAAAGGTCATGACGTCTCTTGAAGAGGTAGATACCTGGGCCCCTTGGTCCTATGGGACTTTGCGGTTCTTAACTGACTGATGCCTCTTTGACCGGAAAGGCACAAATTCAAACACTTTCATTCCTCATGTCCTCCTCTTGTTGCACATCTCAACGAGGTGGCCAAATGCTAGATTTCGAAAGGACCCAGTCTACTCATTGGCTTGTTCTGTTGGCGGCTGCGACATGGGCTTCTTCTTTCATACTGACCTCGATCTGCTATACCGATAGCACCACCAGCTACTGTGAGGCTCATAGTCTTAGTCACGGAGAAGCCTTTGCCGATGTGTTCAGAGCGAGCGGATCCGTCGTAGAATTGGCCAGTTACTTAGAATGAATATGTTCATGGACATGGACCTCCAAAGACCTTCTTGCTTGTCCTTCTGGTCTTATCTTTTCGCTCTGCTTCGCATCACCCGGACCCCGATATGCCGACAACAAAAGCCGATATTAATCAAGAGCTGGATTCAAGTTGTGTCGCAATTCCAGGTCAACGCCGGCAAAGATCGTTTGTCAGGCAATGGGTTATGTGTCTTATAACCTTCGCCTCTTGATATCATGTGCTCCAAGAGGTGTGCTGTCGGTCCCATATGTCGGTGCCGGCTGGGACCTGCAAGGTACGAAAGGGTCATGATTGCTGGCTCGGAGTGACCTGTTCAACGTGGCAAGGTCTGATCTGCTGAAAAGGTCGTATCTCTGCGTAGATGGGGGAGCTTTGGTGTGTATGATTAGTCCCAGGTCTCATTCTAATCCTCAAAAGGTCGAAATGTTATCGTCCTTCCTAAAACAAAAGGTCTGCCAAACTCCTGCTGCTTTGGACCATGGCTTCCCATTCAAGAGAAAGGGGATCAGGGCTAATCATATAGTTCGATTACTACCTGCTTTATCTCTATCAAATGGTTCCGCCAAGCCCCTGAATATCCGAACGCCTCGTGGCAATGTGCCAGCCCAATCCGTCCGAATCTCGCCCCCGGCAGGCAATTGAGCCCTCATCCACGAGCCACAGGACAGGTTGTGGAACCGTAACATTACTTTTTCTCTCTTTTCCTTCTGAAACATCATGCAGGTACGGGCCTCTCGACTTCGCTAAACGGCGATGACAGAACACCATCATTGCCGATCTGATGGTCATATCATAGGTGAAACATTTCGTCGGCCATGACATTCGTGTTGTCCTCGGAGTCTGTCAGCCAGGACGGAGAGGCCCCGCAGAGCTCGAAGGAACGTTTCCTTGACCCCCAAATCCTTCCCGCTATACGCACCCCTCTTACACGCCCCTTTCATGCAGGTCTTCGCTGTCGCTTGCTGACATGCCAGGGCTATTTTACCGGCTCCTTCGATACCAGGTCATTCGCAGTTTAAGCCGAGATGAGTCGGTGACAAATACCTTTTCTTCGTAGGAGCGTACGTAATTGCACATCGGCGATGGCCGGCGTGTCTTAACATCAGCCCGTACCGAATGCATGTTCATGCACCGGCCGTATAGACTCACTGAAAGACTACTGCGGCCTTCAAAGTTGATTATGATTCTGTATACACAGGTGCGCAGAGTCGCAGAGACTCTGAGTTGAATGAAGGTGAAAGTTGCAACACTTGCTTTTTAGATAGTCGTGATGATTTCTTGCTAGTCATAGTAAACAGCGAAAGCTCCTATCAAGGTCTGCTCAGACAAAGTAAACTCTCTTCAAGTAGATACCACCCCTTCTCTAGAAAGCGCCGCAGATGTGCGGGATCTTGAAGGCAGGATGTACACTGAGATTGATAGAGGGAGAAGCGCTGTGCGGGAGGTTGACATGCCGCGTCTCTTGGCGTGCAGCGTTGCAGCACTACATAACATGCATAATAGCTAAAATAAAGTATAGATTGGGGGTTCACTCTACCCTGAATCTGATGTGAGCCGAGGCGAGATATGGTGATTAAGGTCTTTTCGTTGATTTGCTCATCGTCCAGAACCGCCGTTAACTTATTGCGACTTTGTGCTCGTAGGATCGCGAGAAGCTTTCGCTGCATATGAATAGAGATAAAGGTGCATACATACCGCCACTTCGAGCGGCACGAGCCGACCCGGCCTATCAATGTAACTGTTATCGTATTGTAATCCAGCATTGACGCCATCGCACTTACATGAGTGATGTGCACGACAGGTGGGCATCCGTGGGTTCTTGTACGAGATGATCTCGACTCTCCACGTGCTACGGAACCTCAGGGGGAGTCGAATGTGGGAGCACTGACGCTGACCGCCTTGCCGTGGGATGATTATGTCGTAAGCTGCAGAATGGCAACAGACGGGATACCTCCTATCGCAATCTTGAAACTTCAGGAAGGCATCATTGCTTCTTATCGACAGAGAGACGCGTCACGAAGCGTGCAGGTGGCTACATGGCAATCGGCCTGCCCATGTAACCCCTGCAGAGCATCGAAGCGGGGAAGGGACCGAACCTTGACAACCAAGGATCTGACTGTTTGGGCTTCAGTGCGGTGAGTGAGATGGCCGGACCTTTCACCTCAGCCCCTGTCCAGACACAACTTCGGAAGAGGTCCGGTGGAGCCAGCCTGCGAGCCTTACTCATTCATATCCACGGTGTGTAGCGGATTGGCCCGTCAGAAGAATTTGGAATTATCAACGTCTCAGCTCATCTGTGTAGTGTTCTTGGGGGGTGTCACCCCAACCACATGGGCACGTAAGATACCTACCAGGTAATCAAAGAGGCAGGTCTGCCGCCTGGCCCGTCTCAGCCCATTGAAGAATATGCCAGGTTTCCCTTGGCGCCATGTCGCCTGGGATCCCGTCGACCAATCGCCCACGGCGATGATGCTATCGACAATGCTCGGCAGCTCGGTTGAGCCTTCGCCGCATCCTTCTGCCAGAGATGCAGATTGCAACACGACGTATACTCTGTAAGCTTATCACCCGCACTCGCATCGGCTGCCTGCGCCGCGGAGGGACTGATTGGTGGCTGCGTCGAGCAGCTGACTGCTTCCTGCCTGCGGACTGAGTTACAGTCAAAATGAGCAAGGTCCCTTTGCAGAGACCAGGGGGGTACGCCTCTCGTTGCTTGCTTGTTCGACCCTGCAGTAAGACTACCTGCTCTGTACGGGACGCTCTCCTTCTAGAGGATCGAAAGAGTACTACGTCGCAGCTTCTATAGCCTACTCTAGGGCGCTAAGTTGAAATTGGGCTGAGCCAAGACGGCCCTGATTAGTCGTCGACGGGGGTGTCCCTCTATTCCCACGATGGCCAAGGACTCACATCAGGGTCTATATAGCGCCCGGCGCCTCACACTCGCAGCTCGCCAATTCGCCAGGAGACCCCTAGGCCGTTCCATTGGCTGAGACAAGAGTTCCTTCAGCATCTGGTGGCTAGATCGGCTCATGGAAGACCTCGGAGACTCCAAGTCACACCCAATCTTATACCTCCAGATGGACCCCGACCTGCCCACATAGGGGCTTATCTAAGAACCTACAGTACCTTCGTGTGTGGGGAGGCGCCGCCGTTGGCAAACTCTACCACGTTAGAACCTAGCTATCAACTAGCTATCCACGATTCTCGCCCCTCCTATCGCTACCCTTACCCCAGCCATGAACAACCTCTCTCGTCACATCGCCTGCAAACTATGTCGCGATAGAAAAGTTCGATGTGATGGTGGTCAACCTTCTTGTGAAAAGTGTCGTCGGTCTGGCGAGGCCTGCGTTTATGTCCCGACACACAAGCCTACCAAGGCAGATCTAGCTCAGACGATTGAGAGTTTGCAAGAGCGTCTTGGTGAGTATCCTGCTCTTGTCCACGCGAGCTCTGGGACTGACGTGCATGTGGCGAAAGACAAGGCAGAGGCATACATCATGAGGAACGGCAAAGCCCCTGCTGGCGATCAGTTGATCACGACGCCCAATTCAGTCATGGGCGTTGACTATACAGACTGCTCCAACTTCAACCTCTCAATATCACCCAACGCAACAAGCGATCACTTTATGCCGGGGATGTCTTCTATTCACTACTCGCACCACCACATGCCACTCTCGCCCGAGAACATGGACAGCGACTTCTTAAACTACTTACCAAGCCCTCACATGACCGTCCGCAACGACGTGTCTCACTTCCAGATCGAAGACCCGAGACACTTCGAGGAAATCACGGGAAGCAGCGCCACGACGACGCCGCTCCGCCGCGAAAGCATGTTCGGACACACGCACATGCCCAGTCTACGGGAGGTGCGCGCACTAAACTCATCGTCCACATCCACCACCCCGCCGCCATCCTCGCCTACGGGAAGGTCGCACAGGGGCGAGGACGCCAACAAGATCCTGGCCGAATTCACCTCGTTCGGCATGACAGTATTTAACACGCAAGCCGAGATCGCCGGCATCTCATCAGGGGTGGCCGAGTACCTGGAATGGATGCGCAAGGCGCCATCGTCCGCGGGCCCGGGCGGGGCCGCGTCCAAGGCGAACCTGGCGGTGCTGGAGGCACTGGAGACCCGCGTCAGGGAGCTGCACAACATGGCCAGCACGCGACACCTCGAGGCGTGGAGGCAGTCGGTCGGCATGCTGGAGCGGGTCGAGGGCGTGGGCGCCATGCTGAGCCTGTTCGACGGGGAGATGCACCGGCGGAGCGCCGAGACGGCCGAGTTCTTCCAGACGAGCTACGATATCCGGGCGCCGCTCCCGGAGCAGCAGATGCGCAAGGACTGACGGCTGACGGCCCCCCGCCCTGACGATTATGACGCAACGGTAGATCTATGAGTGTGTATATTTATTACTCGGTGTGCATATTTTCATTTGGTTGTTGGCGTTGATATCATGTTGGTCTTGGGATACCTCATCGAGCTAGATTCGATATACGAGTTAGATCTCTTTAGAGTATCTTGCACCTGACCTTGGGGTATAGTGGTCTTCTGGACGCGTAGCGAGCCTCACATCAAGAGGCGGTCACGCGAGTGATAGCTGAGCATGCATGTAGGTAGCATTCATACAACATGTCACTAAAGGAGGTCGTCAGCGTGGTGTCGCCTCGGCGTCGAGTGTGGCGTGCGGTGCGGCTTAGGCTATTGTATTAAAGCTTCCACATGTGTCAGCAAAGCAGCGGTGATGGTATGCACCTAGCCTTAGCACTGTCATCCCGGCGGTGAAGGGTCCCGGGCTTACATCGCACAGCATGCTTGCTACTGCTGACATAATATATGCACGGCATGCAAGCTGGATCTTACAGGAAGCCTTGGATCAATCTTTTTCTCCTCAGCTCATGCGAAAATAGCCTTGGGTGTAACAAGTCAAGGAAAATCGACTCGGGGTACGTCTTGGCCAATCCGTCTGCTCACGTAAGTTGACAGTGGTTTGTGTTCTTCCAAGATATCTCGACCGTCCAGACCCCTTCATTCTGAGACATCTTTAGACTTTACAGCCCCATTGCTTTACGCATATGGGCGTCTCTGCACGCCTGACCTGCTTCGGAGCGCAACGTAGCAAACACCTAGGATTGGCTCTTCTACGAGGCAGTAGGCTAACATATAGATCAGGACTGGTAATTCCGTCGACTTGAGATACTCCCTGTCGCTAGATCGCCTCCCGTATCTTGTTCTGTGGGCCTTGAAGTGCATGCCGAGGAGGACGGCGTGACGCAGCTCCTCGGCTACATTACCCATCCTCCAAGAAAGAAGTACACCATGATACATCCACAGGCTTCCCCGAACTTTTTGAGTTGTTTTTAGGGCATTGTGAATATCGGAATTTGAGCCTTCTGATTTGGAGTTCCTTCTTGAGAGATGGGGTCTTTTGCATGGGCGCGAACACCTGTGTGCGATCCTGAAGTTCCCTAACTCAGTGGTGCTCATGAAGTATTGTTACTGTGAAACAACTATCTTCCCGAATCATCCGCACGGGTGCCCTGCGGTCAAAGCAAGCGGAAAAGATATATAGCAGTCGGCCCCTAGTCTGGGCAACTATAAGCGTCATACACGCGAGGAACTTTCGATAATTCGTCATGGCTGACCGAACTCGTTCTTCGAGCGGGATGGGATGACCAGATCCCAGTGCCATACAGCACTCAGATGCAGAAAAGCAGTCCTTCCTTCGATTACGGAAACCACCGCGACAGGGATCGGAAGCCGGCTCCATTCCGCACGCTGACGGCCAGGTGATCGACAAAGAGCCTCTCAGGAACGGGAATGAACCGGTCCAGCACTGAAGCACAGGGCCTGCAAAGCGGGAAGGATCAAACCTAATGTTGCGATGATCTTCCAATGGCTTCTCATAGAACGACCACGCTGTTTGGCGATCTTCTCGGTGTACCCCTTTTTCTTTTCCACCTTCGCGACATATCACTCGTCATATCCATCTTCGTGTCATGCGTCGCTCCTTCGCCACTACCGCAGGGCATGGCCTTAGCCCTCGGCGATATCTTGGCTCTGTTCTCAACCCATATGGGGAAATGTTTCCCAAATAGGCATGAAACAAGTGACGTCAGCCTCAGAGGACACTGGGGCTCGGGGTCCAAGGCAGAGACAGCCAGGAGCCGGTTTGGCTCTTGGCCGCCATGTGCCCCGTCCCATGGCGTTCCTCAGGCTGTATACTGTAGTGTGCACATCTATCGCCGCCCAAGGACTCGCCAGGCCTAAAATCGGCTTTGGTTCAGGGTATTCGCGCGAGCTGTCAACGCGAGGGTTAGGCGTGGGGGGCCGGGGCCAAAGACCAGTGCTGCAGCCCCTGGCACATCTGCGGGCATAACGTATCAAAGTCCTAGAATCGTATAGCCACGTATCAGAAACCCCGGATGTGCTTTTGTCTCACCGTCGAGTCTGATCGGTACCTTAGAGCCGAACATGGGCTTAGGGTTGACGGAAGCTTGATGCACACAGGGCGTAGCCAAGCTAGGCGGCGACTACCGACCTGCACGACACGCAAGTGAATGTGCCCAGGGACCTTATATCGTGCGCAAGTCTCGATGCCCATCAACGGAACTCCTCGACAAAGGTCGGGGTTTCGCAAGCTAGGCGCTCTCCGAGGGTCGGATCGATAATCGAAGCGCGCATCCGGGAGTCTCTGCAACGACTCGTAGAAGTAAGTCTTATTGTGGGACAGAGACCTCGGGTAGAGGTTGCTATAGTCGTTCTGGATCGAATGTCCGTGGCAAATCCATTGCAGCCCTTGGAGCCACTCTCGGTTTCCGCCAGGCATCTCTCTTTAATTCGTTTCCCAAGTTCGACGCAGCCAAGTCCGTTTTTTGCGATGATCCATCAGCTAGGCATTCGAAGGTTGGCCGGTCTCGAATACTCTACCGGTCGGATTCGATTGGGGGCATGCCTTGGTTAAATAGACCAACGTCCTAGCTACGAGGCAAGGGTCCGGGCCGGCTTTTGCGCACAGGGGGCCTGCATCGTTACACATGGATGAATGGTTACACGATGGATGAAAGGTATGTGGTGGGCTTACATTGGCCAGGGGCGAGGTCCTTCGTTGCCTGCCGGGAACGAATGCTGTCAGCTTCTGGCGACATGTTGGGTAAGCTGGTACATGACACAGCAAGCAACGCAACCGCGTCGTGCAGATACACGAGACTATATATCCATTGGCTTGCTCGTATACGAGACCATCAATCGGAAAGCTTCCAGGCTAGGTGCGGTAGCACGGGGAATTGTTCAAGCTTCGTTTGGTCCCGAGGCCGCGATTCGGGTTCGGAATTAGAGAAACCACGCGGGAGGGCTGACATGGAGGGTTTTGATGATGATGCATACCACTCCGACGGCCTTTGCTCCATCGAGAGTGGCTCGGTGAGATCCCACCAAGGTGGTCATGGCGGAGTGCTCTTGGTCGATCACCAGGCTGTAGATATGTGTTGGCACGTAGGTCCTAGGTAAACGGCTTTGGGTAACACCAGAACCATACAAACACGAGGCATACAGGTCTCAGACCCTTTTCCCTGTTTGTGACATGATATGAGCACGATATACCCGGGAAAGCCAACCCGTAGGCTCTACTCAAAGCAACTTAGTTCAACAGCAAGGTACTTGCTGTCAGAGAGTTTTGAGACTGTGTTGGACCTAGGTCGCTCTGAAGAGCCCCTGAAGTTTGTTTGGTTACAGCGTCGGATATCATGAAGACTCGATTATTAAGCATACCGTCCGCTTGGGTCGGACCGAACCTACCGAGCATGAGGCAGGGGCACACTACAAACTTAGGCTGCCAAGACAAGGTTGGCTTCAAGTACACGCACCGCTTGCCAACTGAGATATAGCTGCTTCAACTGATGTGAGTCTAGTGTTGGGTGCTCCAAGCGATATTGAATTCGTATGTTACAATTCATAATCCCTTGCTGTTCGCATCCTATCATCAGGCAGCCGGAGAAGATTATATTCCCTCACCTCATCCTGCCCGTGCTTCGGTCCGAACATATCAGAAGGGTCACAGACTCCTTGAAACGGCCACGGGGTGAGCTTTGACATCTGCAAGCCTCGACCCAGCTCTGTGGTACGACGGCTCGGTCCGGCGTAGGCTACGGGCTGGCACAGCCGAACCAGCACCAGGATCACAAAACCAGGGGCGGCTGATTCGGACTGCCAGCCGGGACTCTTGCTTACCTCTTCGCCGGGTTTCTACCCGCAACACATAGAAAATGAATCTCTGCCCCAATGGGTAGAAATTGCGCGCCACATGATATCTCGGTCAATCTCGAGGGGGCAGTATGTAAACGCCAGGAACCGAGCCGGATGTAAATGTCTTAAAATCTAATAAAACGCCACAGATTATCTCCATCCATAATAACGTTACCTTAAGTATAGCAAGCGACCTAGACCATTCTAGATTCCAGACCGATACCTCAAGACCCATTATTAATGACTAGCAAGTATGAAACTAAGCTGCTGCCCTTCGTGGGCGCGATCGCGCGCCTCGCGTTCCTCGTCGGTCGGCAGGACCTTCTCCTTCTTTGTCTTCTGCTGCCGCACCCAGTTATATGCAGCGCCCTGCCTCCTCAGCATCAGCATCGACCAGCATACGAGAAACAGCACGCGTAGTACGTATTCGGCGGCCATCGTGCAGCCTATAGAGAGGACCAGACCGGTCGGCTCGCTCGGTATTAGGATCCCAGCCAACAAGAAGATAGTTATCGTAGCCAGGATAACCCCAGTCGCGGTTCTACCCCAGATTGCGAGCGTGTCCAGAGCTTGTGTGCAAACTGCGGCGAGCGTTGAGCGTTTGTTGAACTCGAACGAACGGGCTAACATGTATTTCAATTTGTCAATTCGCCGTGAGAACCAGCATATCTCCCATGCAGCCAGGAAAACTCGCACCATGAGCGAGAAGCCAACCACATATCCCTGCACTTCGGGCTTCGCATCGCCCTTCCCGAGTAGTATGGGGATATATCCGACGCCCAGAACTGTCAGTGGAAGGGTAAAAACGAGGAAAAACAGATAACGTTCCTTCTCAAGGGAACCGCCAACTTCGGAAAATAAAAAGCCAGCCTGGCGCTGACGTCGAAGGTTCGTACAGGATGGGCTTCTGACGGTCACGCGGGTTGAAGTAGAGGACTGGAATGCCCCTGTTGCCAAGGATGCCGTTCACCTCGTCCATATCTGGTCAGATATTCTCACAACCTGAACAGCCGGCGTCGTGCGTTATTATGTCCCCACTGGCCGAGTTGTTCGGCAGGCATTGTTTACGTGTGCATCGTGCATGATTCGCAGTCGACATGTTCCCAATGTCCGCAACGTACCTCAGCGCGTCTTCTCCGAGTCGTGCGTTGAGCGTGGTTGTGAGTGATGGGCAGAAACCCTGCGCGAGAAGGCGATTGCAGATCTCCTGCCGATCACCAAGCTGCTGAGGCTCAACACATTCATGGCGATCTCCTCGGGCATCTTCTCTTTGACCACGGCGGTGACGGGATTGAAATAGCTGACAGGAAGAGGCAGCGATTGAGTCCGAGTTCGTCCCAGTCGCCCCTAAGATGCTCGCTTTGGTCAGGGGAATATGCAAGCTGTCGTATCAACTCCTATGCTGCCAACACAGACATGTTATAGAGACGTCGGCAGAGTTGTGAAGACAAGTGATGGGGACCTCTTGCCACCGGGTTGGATATAGAAATGCAAAGGCTGATATTACCTACCGTGCCAGGCGCTATTTCATTTTACTGAAAGCGAGATTAAGGACGCGTCTCAGCCACTCACTTAGCCGAGCAGCGCAGCCATTCACAATTGGCAACAAACATTTACCCCCCAAAACATATATCGAGGCTGTGCCCCGGCCCTACGCAAGCCCCCAAGGCCAGCCATCGGGCAGTGCAGCATCAGTACAAGGGCCTCCGATGTGTCGCCAAGCAATATCTATCTCGCGGCCAGCACTGGAAGACGTATGAGAAGAAGAGGCCGGCATAAAAGACAACATTTACCAATATAGAGACCACTGAAGTTCAGTCAGAGGGCGTAGCTTGTCAGTACCCCCGCGTGCATATGCGCCTATAACCCAATAGACAACTGGTCGGGTGCATTGATGAAACCCGACTGGGTCCCAGGTTGTTTTTTTGGGTGGGTGATGGGGGATGGACGTGTTGGTAGATTCCATTGCTGCGGGACTGAACAGTGATTCAAGCCTGTAGCCTCTGTGCTCGGATGATTTGGAGAACAAATGCTCTCATTGAGATGAGCGTTGATGAGGTGCGATATAAGCTAGGGATTACCAAGGGGCCCAGCTATTCGCGCAGGGTCGGGCAGTGCCCCCCCTTTCCAACGATCGACTATGCAGTGGGACCCAACTTGCATAACCATTGCACCAACCACTTTAACACACACCCAGCCATTGTACCACCTACTGCAGCACACTCACCGTAGCCATCCATCCTTCCCGGCGGCAAGGCGCCACCACGAAATGAGAAGCCCTTGAGCCCACAGCCAGCCAGGTTGACTGGTAGAGCTTTGATCCAGACTGTACTGATCCTTATTGTGATGTGCAAGACACCTGGCGATAATTCCACGTAATCCCTGCCAAGGCGCTCGGTTCTATATGGTCTACGTGACCAAAGACGCCACCACAAAAACCAGCAAGAGTAACGAGGAGTATTGCGGAAATGATAGCAAGGACAGTGGAAAGTCTACTGGCGTAAGTTATTGTAAGGATCCACGATTTGCACCACGGAGAGACGAACAACACGGCACCCTCGCACTGCCTCGATACTCGGGTCACTGCCACGCACTCCGCTAGATCACGTCTGCTCTCGCACCTGCTCCGTAGTCTCTTGTCATCTCGCCTCACGCCCACGGATGCCTGTCCTTCCCGAGCTTGGCGTTCATAAAGGCCCGGCTGAGCAGATTGTCGCGAACAATCTGATCCTTGTGCGCCTCCATCTCCTCAATGTCCCCTTACGACGCCGTCCCATGTCAGAAGAGTAGCGATCTTTGGGCGCTGGAAGTGGACAGTGGACTCACAGTTTACGCTGACTAGACCGCCGCGCATCCATTCGGCGCGCGGGGTAGACAGGGGGAGTGTCCAGCTACCACTGAGACTGGCGCTGTCTTTGGCATACGGCTTCAACGAGTCGACCGTCATCTCGCTCTGGACAATGCCCGGTATGAGCGAGAAAACGCGTATGCCCGGCTGTTCAGCGTGTAGGTTCTCCATGATGCGTGCAAGTGCAAGCTAGGATGCCGTGTAGCCCGCCATACCGGGAAACACGGTGCCCATGGCGGCCGTCGTCATGGTGACAACGGTGCCGGCTCCTTCCGCCTGCGTCCCCAGCACATTGACCTGGAAGTCGTTGAAGAACTTCGTAATATCGATGGCGCCAATGGTGCCCAGGTCCAGACTTCCCGCGCTGTTGATCAGCACGTCAATCTTGCCGACCACCTCCTTGGCTGCCGCGAAGAGCGCCACGACGGAGGCTTCGTTGGTGATGTCCGCCGCCTGGGCGTGGACTTTGGTGCCGGGCGGGGCGAGACTCCGGAGCCGTGTGGCGATGCCCTCGAGCACATCGATCTTGCGCCCGGTAATGACGATGCCGGAAGCTCCCGCGATGGCCCACGATTCGGCAATCCACTGTAACTATTGGTTACACGAGAGGAAAGCCGAGCCCCCCGGAAATCGTGCTCACCTTGCCTATGCCCCCCGAGACGCCCGTGATGAGCACTGTCTTTCCCTTCGCCGACAGCTCTGGCTGGGTTGGCTCCAATGATGGATAAACATCACGGTGAACCTGCTTGGTCAGCTGGTAGGGCCAGGTGAATGCGTTCGGGTCCGAATAGTCCATCGTAGTTAAGGGGTCATGGGTGCGTAATTTTCTTTCACGGCGACGAGATATGCGTGGATTAGGTCGAGAATGTGTCGATGTAGAACTATGAGTCTGTGAGTCCGCAGCTGCTGCTCTGAGAAGGGAGCGGCACCGCTGCTTACCATGTGGGCGGTTTACACGGACACTGCAGTGTAACTATACGGACCTTGCAGGCGTGGCAATCGCGCTCACCAACTGCACAAACGAAGCCGGGTACAAGGTTCCCATGGTCAGAGCCAACAGCAGTCCAGACGACATCATCACAGCCAGCATTGCCACGAACTGCGGCTTCGCATCCAACGTCTGGGCCGAAGTAGCCTCCCACATCGTCGCGGGCAGCACTGGCGACAAGGTCCCCTTCTGGGCCACTAGAGGCACGTCCGGCACCAACCTGCTGGCCGTGGCCTCCATCGAGGCCGACAACAGCCCGCCTCACCGTTCCTGATCAGCTACACAGACTCCGGCGCTCCACGGTCCAGGACTTGGGGGTGGGGTTGTGTGGCGTGGCTCTGTCGTGATGAACTTTGAACTTCGACTCGAGCGACAACGCGGAGGGTGCGAGGCGCATTCAGAGGGCACGGCGGACCTCACGGGTATGGTTCCGCTTGTCCGGCGCGGAACACGTGCTGGTCTACAGCATCGGCGCCCTTCTCATGCCGTCCTACTCGGACGACGTCAACAACCTTTTGGGGCTCATATTCGCCGAGCCGGCCAGGCGATCATACACGCGGTCCAAGCCGGCGCCAAACGTGGCTGCTGAGTTCTCCGTTGACCCCGAGGAAGTGGTCTGCATACCAAACCCCGTGGGAGGCACTCCCAGCATCTTCACCACCTGGGGCGGCCTCTACGACCTGACGATGAAACCCGAGATCGCAGCACTGGGCGGTCTGATCTTCAGCTTGTATTCCAGACTCGCACGCCATCATGAGCGGCACATCGTCGGCGACACCCTTCATCGCAGGCGTAGCCGCGCTCTACATCAGCGCCTTCAGCGGGCGGACGCAGTGCAGCCGCGTCCAGAGAATTCGCCCTGGACCTGCACAAGCGCATCATGTCGAGCGGGGCCGCGGTGGCCTGGTCTGACGGGACCACGACCGAGTACAACCACACGGCGTCATCCGCTGTGACGTACTTTTGCCGCCACCCTACCAAACCCATACCCTGCCATTTCCCCTCCCCACCGCTTGCCCCTTGCCCCTTGCCCGCGTATCCCCTGGCCCTACCCATAGCTTCAACAAGAACAAAGCCAAACCACCACCTCCAAATACCCCAGATCGACGAAGTCAGCTGAACCAAGTCCCAAGGGACATACCCGCCCGGCCCCAGCTAGGGCTCCTACATCGGGGCCCGCGGAGTGCCACACGAAGGCGCAAGCGCAGGACGGCGGCGCCTTCAACCCTACGCGCAGCAACGTCGCCAGCAACACGTTTCACGTACCCGGGACTGGACGTCGAGAGCCGCGGCGGCGAGTTCTGGTGGTTCGGCAAGCTAGGAAATGAGTCGCAGATCGTACCTGGGGGCTAGGTACACGTGAGTTGTGTGTTCCTCATTGTGGCACATCCATCAACCCTATCAACGAACGAGGCGAGTGAAATGTGTGCCCACACAGAATTCTACCTTCTACCTGGTGGCAAAAAAATCATGTCGATAAAGCATGCGCTTCGCAGCCCTGGCCGTGTCGGGGGATTGAGACGACTTCGAGGCGCCGCCCATTTGGGTCCTGCCGTGCGAGGGGTGTCCGGGATTCGCGTCTTGGTGGGAAAGTCTGTGCCATGTCGTTTTTGGGTGATCGGGACTGCGACGAAACTTGATATCTAGGTAGATTTCACCTCCCTAGTGAGCTTTTTCAGTTTCGGTGCTCGATCTTGCATTGTGCATGTGTTAGTGTCCAGCTGCCACACCAAAGTTTCATCCTCAGTATGGTGGAAACGTCGTGATCATTGATGTAAAAGTTACTAGTTGGGTTCTCTGATTTGGTTGATTCCGAGATGTGACCGTTTTGCACTTCTGAATCGCGTCAGAGTAAACATATCTCGAACGCGTATGTGGTGTGACAAGGCGATCAGGGGACCCTGATGGCTGGGAGAAGAGACTCAGATCGAATTCTCTCTATCGTATCGCCAAGTCTAGACAGCTTCTATCCCCTCTAGGTAGTGTACATCGTCTAAGAATGACATCCTTTTCTCTAGCACTCTATCCGCCTTGGTATGCACGCTGAAAGTCTATGATCTAAAATCCACAGAGTGAAAGCATTGGCGCCAAAACAAGTCTATTTTGCCCACTTCAGCACACCAGGGTTGCTAGGGTCCTTCTCGACGTACTGGCACGTGCGCGAGGTCTCCCAGAGAGAGCCCATGAACGAGCTCTCGTCCTGGTGGTAGAGGTCGCCGAGCAGAGGCTTGATCGCCCGTGTGGCGTCCTCGGCATAGTAGAAAGGGATGCGCCTGCATCAAGTCAGCTTGCTTGCGCTATGATTCGAGATAGTTGCGCGAACATCGCAACGTGGCATCACTTACGAAAACAGGTGGTGAACGACGTGGGTATCAATGATGCCGTGGAAGACGTGGCGACCGACGAAGCCAAAGTCCCGGTCGACGGTTGCAAGAGCACCAGCCACGAATGACCACTTCTCACCGTCGTAGTGAGGAACGTCGTGGTGAGTGTGGTGGAGGTACGTAATGGCCACTGCACAGTGTTAGTTGATTGAGCAGCGCGGCTTCAGCAGTGTACTTACCCAGCCAATGGTTGATCCAGAGGTACGGAACTCCGTACAGCAGAAACACGGTCTGCCAGTCCAGAGCCTGTGCGGCAAAGTAGAGGCCGGCACAGACGAGACCAAGACCCAAGTCCGAAATGAGGATGTAGATAGCCTCCTGGGGACGGAAGACGCCGCTGAAAGGGTCAAAGTGGCTGAGTCTCCACCATTTGGCATCCTTGTTCTGCAGGCTCTCTCCTCCAGCCGTCGCATTAATCAGCATGTACACCTGCCATCCAGCCAGCTGCTGGCCCATGAGGCGAACGAGGTTGACGAAAGGCGCATCCTCGAGAATCTCGGGGTCGATAATGGAGCCCAGAGTGCTTCCTAGCTTCTCGATGAACCATGACGGCTGCGTGTTGGGCACGAAGGCCATGTCCTTCTCCATGTGACCGGTGAAACGGTGATGCCGGGCGTGGGAGAACTTCCAGGAGAAGTACGGCACACCCAGGGAGGAGTGCAATATCCAGCCAACAAAGTCGTTCAATTGGCGATGCATTGAGAATGCTCCGTGGCCGCACTCGTGGGCCAGAATCCAGATGCCGACACCGACGAGGCCCTGGAGGAAGCCGTATGCTGTCCAGAGCAGAGTGCGGTAGACTGGGCTCGAAACTTCGGGTATGTAGGTCAATGCGCCGTAGACCAGGGCGGCCGCCATTGTAACATCGCGTGCCACGTAGCCCAGTGATCTCGCGGCGGAGGGCTTGAAGCAGTGAGGCGGGATGGCCTGTCTGAGTGTGTTGATGTCGGGAAGCGCTGGTTCGAGTTTCTAGGTGACATGTCAGCGTCGCAAGTCTCAATGGCAAGCGCCTCTCGCTACATACCATCTGCACCGAGCGCTGCCGCACGGCGGGGACCTCGACCTGAGTGACGGTCGCCATTGTAAAGAGGGAAGATGCGACTGAATCCAGGGAAGGGTTTGCGGAAGCGGTTGTAGTTGGAGTCGCAGGTAGCGAGGGTTTGCCGCAAGAACACAAACAAACACGTCGCTTTCCAGGTCGGCGCGGGAAGGAGAGAGGGAGAGACAGAATTTTCACAGAAACAGAAAGAGGCGTGCCGCCGGGAGAGAAAAGATATTTCAATGCGCGGATGGATTTATCATTTTGGCCTTCATGGGTTTTATTGCCTATCCACGCAGCTGCCACGGCGCGCTAGGTCCTCGACTGAATCGGCTCGCACAGAAAAGGCGTTTGATGTTCGATGCGGCTCCACTAAACCCCTGACACGGGGCGAAAAGGCGGCAAAGGGAAGCCTGCAGTGGCCTGGACCGATTCATATTCGTTGAGGCGGAAACTCTCAACATTCCACCAGGCTCTCAGGCTCTTCAGGGTCCCTCTCCACCGCTCCAGACTCCACGATAGGGGTCCGACAAGGGGTGCACGAGCGGTGTCTACCGTATTTGGCAGTGGTGCCTGGGCATCCCCTGCGTGCCTGCCTCGATGCCCAGGATGCCCAGGGGGCCGGAAGGGTCTAGCAGGGCACGCGGCCGTTGCTGGTATGGGTCAACGCAGCTAGCCCGATTCTGCCTGCGGAGAGATTAGGGTAGATGAGAGATCTGACACGAAAGGACACAGATGCGGAACTAGAATCAGATAGGGGCGGCATTTGAAATTGGGACCTTTCCCTCCTCTGAGTCTTCACCAAGCCGATGTTGCTGTTGTCAGCTTCATGCACTGATCATTGGCCAGACGCAGATATGATATGCAGTGACCCTTATGTAAGAATCATCTTGCATGCATTTGATATAGGTACGAGCTATTTATATAGGTAGCTATGGTACCCGGTACGCAGGAACTTCAACCTTCCCATGTGAGGGGCAACGGCTGAACGGATGCATTCTTCCTTCCTCTCTAACTTTTCGGGGCCAAGCCAGCCTAGCCTGCAAGGGCCTGCAGATCGCCCTCATAGGCCCACTTTATTTGGGGAACGCGCCGGGCTGTCACATGCCAGTCTCGTCAAGGATATTTATTCATCCGGCATTCGGTCTTCACGACCGGCTGCATTGGATTAGGTACCTTCAAGTTTAAGATGGCCATCGGCCCGGTCTATACTCGCAACCTTATCCTCCAATGTCATTCTCTATCTATTTCAGATATGGTCCCCGAAGGCCGAGTGCACGACGTATGTGGTGTGTCCAAGATAGCAGCGCCGCCAACGCGTTTGTTTGCTAGTGTGCAACATAGCGAATCTTATATCAATGCAGGCACCCTCATTCCTGCCCGCCCAGATGGGACAAACATGTCCTCACTACTACCCGTCGTGGCCTCTTTTTTCGGTACCTGCAATCGTCTCTCCTACTTGTCATATCCAACCACTGCCACATGAGATACATCCGTACCTCCAAGACCTACTAGACGGGTTGCTCCGCGTTCTCTTCGTCGTCCCAATGCGCGATCCATTACTCATGTTGATGTTTGCGCGTTGTGAAGTGTTGCGCTTGATATCCTGTTACCCACGGGCACCTTCTTCATCGACCCACCTTCTTCGGCGTGACGCTCACGGGAGCGGAAGCTTGATGGGTTCCAAACTCGGCATCCAGCAGCAAACAACAACTCTTTCAGGGGAGCTCTTGGTTTGCGATAGCTTTCTCCGCACATTGAGTTGTCCACATGCCTGAAAGTACATATTGACTCGATGCTAGTCCAAACGCATTCGAGAGATGCTTGGTGGCTCCTGGAAGGGATATGTGTCCCAAGATAAACTGCCGGTTTCTCCGTGGGGAGTTCCTCTGGAGATGAGCAGTGAACGCGATGGTGACATCCGTCATTGCTAGAAGGAATGATCGTCGAGGATTGCTACACTGAGCTCTGCCGCACCATGGCACCTGACTGAAAGTACCAGTCCGCGGGCGCCATCGACTACACTCTGAAAATGCACCACACGCACGACAATTCACACACGTGTCAACTGTACGGTTCTGTCAGTTATCTAGGTGTCAATCTGGTTTGGATGGGAGCGATTCGATCCTATCACGAGTCCACGAAGGGGTGAGAGGAGAAAGATGATACCCAGAGCCTCATTCACATCGACTCATGCCTAGCCGATCAACTGTGCGCATTCTTCGACTCTCCCCTCCTCAATCCCGTTGGTGTCATGCGCATGGATCTCAAGTCCGTCTTCGACTCGCGGGAGCCCGAGAGTGTCTTCCTTGAGGACTTTGAAGCCGCTCGCAAGCTGCTTGGTGGAACGCGGAACGCGGCCGGCGCCCAAGTCCAGTCCAAGGAGTGGGTCTTGCGGTGGCGGGAAGGAGGGGTGGAGCTGCGTTGAGAGATGCGTGCGCAGCACAATTCTCGTTTAGCTTTTGATCATGCTTCTTGTGTTGATCATCCTGGTGATCCGTCCTTGCTTATTCACTTTGCGATGGTCCACAAGATCAAGCACTTGCTCTTCAAAAGAAGCCGGCCGACGTTCCCCACCATCGACGAAGGACGAGGCCGAGCCGAAGCCTTGTCAAAGATGCGCGCCAGGAAGCCCTAGAAGGAGTATGTATCTTCGATCTCAGATTCCGTGAAGCCACCGAACCACTGAGAGGAGCCATGCTCCGGCGGCCTAAGCAAAGCCAGGAACAAGCCGGGCCCGAACTCCGGGCACATCGCAAACCCTACGACAATTCGAAGAACCTGGAGAAGCGCACGGACTGGCCGTGCGACAATCACAGGCAAGTACGACATCAGCAGTCGTAAGCTCGCCGAAGCACTCGATATCCCCGGATTCGGAGGCCATGTCCCTGACGATCTGGATGGAGAACCACGCGAAGCACACCAAGATCGGGCAGCATCTGTAGGCCGTCCTCGCCGACAATACACAATTTTGAGCCGGCCCTCTCGGTACGGAGCAGCTCATCGATATATCGATTGAGGACGTCTGTAAGGCCTGCATACTGGAGCGGGGAGCTTGGGCTGCTCTGGAGCCACATCAGGGCGCTCAGATGGGAGATGCAACTTAATGGAGGAGTCTTCAACCCAGCTGCCTTGGGGGACTGAGGTCGCGTTACAGAGGACTCGCTGGGCAAGAGGGTCTTCAAGAAGAAACTTGATGTACTGTGATTCGGTATACACGGTCGAGGGGACGCGGCTTGCTACACCGATTGAGAGACGGCAAAAAACCGTCGGACTGAGCGACGAATGGCGCAGATACCGACCCAGGGTCATGGCATGGTCATTGTATGTGACCTACGGGGTTGCCGCGACCCATCCACTGCGCAACCGCCGAAGCTCATCTAATCGCGAAGATTCAAGCTGACAAGATCACATGGCTCAAGATGAGCGTGCTATCAAAAAGGTGAGCGTCCAAAATGTGTGTATACAAGAATAAGGTTGGTTATTTACAAGAATGTACGATACAATATGAACAAGTGGTCCTCTCCTGGTGAATGGGAATGGATGCCATCCGGCAGTCCTCATCCTTAGGAACGCCGCGCCTCGGCTACAGGTCCTTCTACTGCACGCCTAGGCAGAAACGCACTGCGAGTAGTAGGGGTTCATGACGGTGCAAGTGCCCTCAGCGCAAGAAGTGGCGCCGGTCCATATCTTACCGCCTGTTACATTACAAGTCAGCATTGGCCACTGCGGGAGAAGGGTCTCGGGGATGTCGAGAAGCGGGCTACTAACCACACTGGCCGTAGAGCTTGGCACCGGAAGCGGAACCGGTGGCGGTGGGCTGGGCAGCGGCGGAGGTGGCGGTCGCAGAGGTGACGGGTGCCTTGCTGGAGGTGATGAGAGTGGTCGGGACCGCGGTGGTGGCCTTGGAAGTCGCGGACGAGGAAGCTGCCGAGGTGGTCGATGAGACGACCGCCGTGGTGGCCGCCGCCGTTGAGGTGGCTGCGGAGGTGGCTGCGGAGGTGGCTGCGGAGGTGGCTGCCGCTGCCGTGGTGCTGGAGGCGGAGCCCGAACCGCTTCCGCTGCCAGTCCAGAGCTCGGGGCCGGGGATATCGTAGGTGGTGAAGCTGCCGTAGAGGTTGAACACGATACCGGGGTCCGCTGTACAAAGGGTTAGTCGCTACTCAGGAATACGGAAACTACCCAGGAGTACGGATGCTTCTCAAGGATATCGATGCCGCTTAGGAGCACCTAGCCTATGAAGCAGGGCAAGTTGAAGAATTCACTCGAGATAGGGAAAGGATGGGAAGGGAATGACTCCGGAAACCACATACTGTAGTTGTATCCGCCGTCAAAGTTGAAGTCTTCGTCGGGGGCGGCGGAGCCAGTACCAGTCACGTCAAACTGCATGCAGGACGGGTAAAACTGAGCACCACGGGCCGAGTTCGTGTCGTATGCGACATCGGCCTCGTGAAGCCCGATAACCTCCTGTCGGACCAGGTACTTGCCGGCGGCGAGGTCGGCGGGCATGGTGAAGTCCTTCTTGCCGGCATTGGCGATGAGGTTGTCGACGGCCCAGGTGCCGCTGCTGTAGCCCTCCTCGTCGATCTTGGACCAGATGGCATCGAAGCCGTCGTCCTCGGTGTAGGGGGCGATGTAGGTGATGATGGGCCCCTTGTGGGACGAGGCGATGATGTCGTCGCCGCGCGTGTCGTGGTACCACTCGACCGAGATGGTGTCGCCGGCGGCGGCGCTCACGAACCCGCTGGCCGGCGTCGCGCCCGCCACGTTGCAGGCGATGTCTGGGCTCGTGAGGTCCTTGACGGGGCTGTTGGTCGGCGGGGACCGGATGTACAACTCCCGTCCGTCGCCCTGGTCCTCGCCGTTGACCCAGACGCTGTAGACGCGCGTGTGGGCCGACGCAGTGGCGGTGAGAGCCGCGATGGCGGAGAGAGTGGTGAAGTGCATCTTGAGGATGGAACAATGGAACCTGATGTGTGAGGTGCTTTGCAGAATGTCGTAGTTGGAAACGGAGCAAGTTGGTTGCTGAATGCTCAAAGAGTGGATGTTAGGTCAAGTAATGAATGAATGGCACTGCCAGTACGAAGTAAAGTGGCTCGAATAAAACGAAAGACGGCGGACAATAGCGAAGTTCTCCAGGACTGTGATGATAGAGAGGGAAACCCAAACATAGCCAGCAGCAGGCCCGATGCTCTTTATATCGTCTAGGCTACCTGTATACCATACCCAAGTCGTCTTACCGCGCGTGTATAGATTCATCAGAGCCCACGTGGATTGCGGCTCCCACCCAATCTCTCTGGTGTTTGGTAGGCCATGCAGGATCACGGCCCAGGATGGCAAGCTGTCAAAGATAGATAGCCGCCAAGGCTGGCTTTGTAGGGGAGACAGCGCGGTTGACATGCGAGGTGGTGAAGTTTTCGTCAACTTCAATTACGCGCCCTGGCAAGCTGCCCAGGTGAGCGGAGCCCATTGGTGGCCTTTCTATCAGCGCCCAAGGATTCGGGCCCAGCCGAAACCGCCAAGACGCTTACAATGGGGGCAAGGAACAGGAGGCTCAAGATGACCTCCAACCAACTCCTTCGACTAGGCGGTGATTGGTCAGGGCCTCGCAGTCGTTGCCGAAGGCGGCGACCGTGTGCCGGTATTACGGTGGGTTCTCGGTTCCTGGCTACGCCTCAGGACTCAGGAGCTCACCACTACTGTGGGCGAGGGCCAAGGCCTAGAAGGCTCCTACCCAAAATTTCGACTGCAATGGGTTCCAATACCTTCAGGGGAGACCATCGAGTGACAAGCCGTGAGTGAGCACTTGCAAGTTGCAAGTGACAGTCATAAGGGAGTTGTGTTGGAACGAAGCTAATTTTACATATGTAATCCCTTCTCCGGTTCTCCACTGACTATTAAGCGAGGCATTGTCCGATGCGATGAGCTGTTGCCCCTGAGAAGTTCGTGTGATGTTCGATCAAAGAAGCGCCGTCCCGGACAAACAATGTGGTTCTGTCATTGCTTCCATGCGCAGCTCATGGCAATGCGGAATTCTCAAGCTTGTCCTTTACTTTGGTTACGGCCATGGAGCTCTTCTCCAGACCTCTGCGAGTAGATACCTCGTTCAACACTCATGTCCCGTGACGAGCAGTCGCTGCCGCTTAACAAGAACCGCCAGCGTCTTTGTGCGCTCGAACTCAGGGGGACTTGCTACAGCGTCTTTATGTCGACTTTGGAAGCAACATATATCGATACCTCAAGTGTTGGAGTGCATATCTACTGTCATGGCTGCCTTCAAGTAGACAGGATCCTAGAACTGTTCATAGGATCTCTGTCCTGCGCGTGCTTTGAGACCGGGCATAATAACGCACAGCGCAACTACAATATTATCTGAACCCGTACAGAATGACGCCACCTACGCTGGGTTGCATACCACCAGGTGACTTAATGTTTTCATAGCTTCCCTAGAGCGAACGATAAAGCATATCCAGCGCCCAAAGCGAAACCCTCGCTTTCACATATGGATGTCGTTAGGCGGACTTGGTTGCTTGGAACTCTTCAGCTGGGCCATCTCTCTATTCTCTTACAACGGCGAACTCATCTATGAAGCTGCTGTCCCTTGACGAGGCACAAAGTAGGTTGGTCATAGGTTGATCAATAAAAGAGCGGCTCTCATATCGTCTCGCACCCAGTGGGCCTCGATTCCTTAAGCGCTGGGTGCGGTTTCGAGCGCGTTCTGGCCAGTCTGTATCATCGTGCGTATAATACTTTGGTCGAGTCCTCCGCGTACATCCCCTGTGACTCTCATGCTTGTCTTCGGCACTACTGATTGTGGTGCGGTAGAGGATACCATGTTTGCCGGTCCGGCACGACCTTAAACTATATTTAAAACTCAACATTCGCAGGATAACGTAGGTCACAAGCGAGCGGCAATTACAAGCGAACGGCAACTTTTCACCAATCTTCTAACCAACATGTCAAATAACTCGACCACAACGCATTTAATTCAATCTAATCAATCGGATTCTTCTTCTTCAGACGTTTCTATCTCTATTGTACAAGTTCGCGCATTATGGCCAGTGTTGCCGCAAACGCCACAACGTCGCTCACGCGCTGCCGCCCTCCTCGGACGACGACTACCTTCACCCATTTCCTGTCTTGCCAGCTCACCACCATCCTTTACAGCCTGGAGACCTACTGTATCTTCAACGGAAAGTACTCCTCTTTTTACCAACTGTTTGTTCTTTGTTCTCTGGCATTTACTTAATAAGTGATTGGCCTCCTTTAGCTCGCGGACCTAGGAATCAACCAAAGCGACCTTGTGCATAAGACCGTATGTAGCCTTTGAAAACGAGCTCAATGCATCAATTATTGATGTAGGTGAGCTTCCCTGGTGGTTTCTGACTCGATTTCGGATATGAACCGATTGGTTGACCGCTTCGTTGATGGTGGTAGGCGTCTTCGAAGTCCAAGTAGTGGGTGGCAGATTGGGGTCTGGCGACGGTGTTCGTACGACAGCGACAGCATCCAGTTTCGAAATGACACTTTCTGGGTCAAAAGGAACAAGCCCAGTGGCACTGAAACCTGCTCGAATGTTCCCTGGCGTCATAGCAGCGTTGTGTGCTTCACAAAATGCTGCAAGGAAGTCCTCTTTCGAAACATAGGTTATATGACGCCGCATGAGATCCTCAATCATGCGACCGTACGCTCGTTTGAGCGGGCTAAAACAACTAACATCTAAAGGCTGGAGCCTGTGTGACGAGTGGGCAGGCATACAAAGGGTAATAATGCTGTTGTTCTGGCAATATCTCTCAAAGATCTGGGAATGGTGGCTTTCGTGACCATCTAGGATGAGGAGGCGTTTACCGGCAATCATACGCGGTCTGGTATACTTGTCGAAATGCCGAATCCATTCCAACCCAATCTCGTTCGTAGTCCACCCATTATCGGACACGGCTACCTTCCAATCGCGTGGTAATGTCGTGTCGCGATACCATGACGCGAGGTGGGTTTTACCCTGTAGAATGATGAACGGCGGGACCACCCAACCATCAGCATTGACAGCAGAAATTGCTGTAGACCATTCCCTGTTGCCTTGCTGGGCTTGTCTAGGCCTACCACGTCTTTCGGCGCTTGTAATGACCATGCCGGACCCAATAATGCCCATCATAAACCCAGTCTCGTCGAAGTTGTAAATATCCGCGTCTTGGATACCATGTTTCGCGATTGCCGCCGCAACTTGGCGAAACCACGCGCGATACGCGTCTGGATCTTTGTTCAAGACCCTCTCATAGTCCATCCTCCGATGAAAACGCGTCCGGAGGCCTGGTGTACGTTTGATGAAGTTTGCCGTCCAGTTCTTTCCAACGCGTCCAGCCCCGCGCGCCGCCAACAATTGATTTGCCATATCTTCAACATAAGTGTACCGGGGCGGAAATGCTCGCGCATCCAGGTCGATTATGAAGGAACAAATGGCATTCTCTTCAGAAACCGTAAGTTTCAAAGAATTAGGCATGCTATCGCGTTGTGATGGTCGGCCGGCGATTCTAGCCTTCAAGGTATTGTATGGGACATAGAAAGTCTTAGAAAGCTTGCCAATGGTAATATGAGGGTCGCGTCGCTTAGCTTGGACAGCAAGCTGTAAGTCTGATTCGCTATAACGCAATGCCATTATTGTTGGTTGATCAATTAGGAGCCTTGATTGAAAGGTTGGGTGGCTGGTGAAAAGTTGCCGCTCGCTTGTAATTGCCGCTCGCTTGTGACCTACGTTAGATCGTTTATTTAATAAAATAATAACCGACTATTAATAACCTTATCCGCCTTATATTTCTTCTGACCTGGTCGCTTCGCGTTACCTTTTATCCGACTTTAGTTATGCCTTTTAAATTAGCTCCTTTTTTGAGCTATAGTTAAATGTTTTCGATATAATCCGCTATAAAGCGTAATTTTTTATCGGCTTTAAAGTCTTTTAATCATGTTTTAATATCTTTATAGTTACGGTTTATTCCGATTTTAACTTTTATAACTTTGGGTTATTGAATAAGTTTAAAAAAGCCGGAAATCTTTATTTTAGTAAGAAATAAAGCTACCGTTTTTCAACTTATTATAATAATTAATTGTCAGATGTTGGATCCCAAATATGGTGCCCTTAGGTGCAGTACCCACTAGAGGGCTGTCAAGGGAACAGTGGATCCACCCTACCATGGTGCAGTATGGTATTTAGCTGTAGATTAGCCCTGCCGAGCATACTTGAAAATGACAACAACATTTGCAGCGACCGCTCACACCCCCAAGGCTTATGACCCTTCTAGAAACTCACATTAATTAAAAAAATCTTTTTAATTAACTTTATAATTGCTATTAAATAATTTAAATAATTATGAACTTTTTATAAATTTAGCTTTAATAAGAGCTTTTATCTTTTTTTTATCTTTTTTAAAAAGTTAAATTATTTAAAGACTTTTTAAAGGCTAGCGACCGATTTTTAAGCTATAATATAACACATAATGCATATTTAACGCGTTTTAACAATATTTTAAATCGGATAAAATTTTAAATAAGGTTTAACTTTATAAATAAAGCTCTATACGTATATCGTTTAGCGTACAACGTATTAATTTAAACTCATAAACGCTATTTATAATTAAGGTTTTAATAAATTAAGATAATCTATAACGTTCTATTTTAATAAATTTAACATATAGTATAAAGTCTTTACTTTTTATTATCTTTATGTGGGAACAGGCTTGAACGATCAATCATAATACTCGGGTATGGGGTCAAGGTCATGATGTTGTTGATGGTTAGATTGGGAAGTCTAGCTGGACCTGCAGGTCTGGCTAAGTGACCTCACAATCCGGTATCTTATCTCTTATCTAATCATACATGTGGGTTCTGTATGGATGGTTTGACTGTGGAATCACATAGATCCAATACTTTGAAAATATTTAAGTTTAGCTCTTTCTTTCGATTAAAAAGCTTAAAAATAAAAATAAATCGATACTATGTTTACAACTTTTTATAAGCATTATTATTATATTATTAGTAATAATAAATTGCTCGCTTTTTAAATTGATACTTATATTACAGATAAGAGAATTAAGGCTAGTTCGACGTATAAAATTCTTAAGTACCGCTTTTTAATATATTTAATAATTTAGCTCATATTTATTAAGTAGGTTTATCGTCGTGCAACCATTGCTAGGTTTCAACTTATATAAGTTGTATTAAAAGACGGGTGGATAACGGGATTAAAAGAGTTTTTAAAAGATGTACCGACTCTTATTAGCAAGTTCCTATTATATAAATAGTACTGCCAGCGGTATTATATTATATAATGTTTTAATAATAAGGCATAGCTTTATAATAAGGATTATTCCATTATAAAAGTTGCTTGACATACCTTTTAAGCGTTATTATAAAGTAACTATTATTTAATTCTACTATTTATCTTACTTCGTCTTAAAGGCTATTACTGTTGGATCCATGTGATTCCACAGTCAAACCATCCATTCAGAACCCACATGTATGATTAGATAAGAGATAAGATACCGGATTGTGAGGTCACTTAGCCAGACCTGCAGGTCCAGCTAGACTTCCCAATCCAACCATCAGCAACATCATGACCTTGACCCAATACTTGTTAAATATAAGCACTGACTTGATGTCAGTGTCAATCCCTTTTGCCTAGCGGCTGCATCCATCAATTAAGAGTCTCATCGTCTCTCTAGTCTAGCTCACTGGAGAATTTAATGAATACATGTCGCTAGAGCAGACCACTACCCAGCCACACACAGGGTTCGAGTCTCGTAGAAGCCGCGACTGGATAGAACAAGTCAGAACAAAGCCAAAGCGCAAGTCAAAACAGCAGCATCTAGCTTTCGCACTGCACAGCAGTATGGCTCTGTACTCAAGCTGCGGGGGTGTGTCAAATATAAGCACTGACTTGATGTCAGTGTCAATCCCTTTTGCCTAGCGGCTGTATCCAACAATACTCGAGTATTATGATTGATCGTTCGAGCCTGTTCCCACAATTACATCAATAACTTAAGGTATTTATCGTAAAAAGAGGGTTTAAAGCTTTAAAACTCTTTAAAGCAACAGCTTAACGTAGCTGACAAGCGAGTTGGCATTACAAGCGAGTTGGCATTACAAGCGAGTTGGCATTACAAGCGAGTTGGCACTTGTCATGAACTTTCCAACCAACACGATTCAAACCATTGTATCTCCACCAACAACAATGGCACCGCATTACAACGAATTAGACTTATAGCTAGCTGTCCAAGCTAAAGGACGTGACCCTCATATTCCTATATTTCAGCTTATAAAACTCTTTAACATCACTCGTTCCACTTTAAGCAATAGAATCAAAAGAATGCCATCACGACGCGACAGCATGCCTAATACTTTGAAACTTACGGTTTCTAAAAAAAATGCCATTCTTTCCTTCAATCTTGACATGGATGTGCGAGCATTTCCACCCCGGCACAGTTATATTGAAGATATGGTGAATCAATTATTAGAGGCACGTGGGGCTAGATACGTTGGAAAGAACTGGACGCAGAACTTTATTAAACGTATACCAGGCCTTCGGACGCGTTTTTATTGGAAGATAGACTACCAAAGGGTCTTGAACAAAGATCCAGATGTGTATCGCGCGTTATTTTACCAAGTTGCAGCGGCAACCGCAAAATATGGTATCCAAGATGCGGACATTTACAACTTTAACGAGACTGGGTTTATGATGGGCATTATTACGTCTGGCATGGTCGTCACAAGCACTGAAAGAAGTAGCAGGCCTAGACAAGCTCAGCAAGCCAACAGAGAATAGTCTACAGCAATCTCTGCTATCAATGCTGATAGTTGGGTAGTCCCGCCATTCATCATTCTATAGGGCAAAACTCACCTCGCATCATGGTATCGCGACACAATATTACCACACAATTGGAAGGTGGTCGTGTCTGACAACGGATGGACTACAAATGAGATTGGTTTGAAATGAATTCGGCATTTCGACAAGTATACCAGACCGCGTATGACTGCCGGTAAACGCCTCCTCATCCTAGATGGTCACTAAAACCACTATTCCCAGGTCTTTGAGAATTTTTGCCAGAATAATGCGACCATTACTCTTTGCATACCTGCCCACTCATCACATAGACTCCAGCCTTTGGATGTCAGTTGTTTCAGCCCGCTCAAACGAGCTTATGATCGCTTAATTGAGGATTTCATCCTGCGTCATATAACCTATGTTTCAAAGGAGGACTTTCTTGCAGCATTTTGTGAAGCACATAACGCTGCCATGACACTGGAAAATATTTGAACAGGTTTTAGTGCCACTGGCCTTGTTCTTTTTGACCCAAAAAGTGTCATTTCAAAGCTGGATGCTGTCGCTGTTGTACGAACACCGTCGTCAGACAGCAATCTGCCACCCACTACTTAGACTTTAAAGACGCCTACCACTATTAACAAAGCGGTAAACCAATCAGTTTATATCTAAAATCAAGTTAGAAACCACTAAGGAAGCTCACCTACATCAATAATTGATGCATTGAGCTCGTTTTCAAAGGCTATATATGGTCTTATGCACAAGGTTGTTTTGGTTGATTCCCGGGTCCGCGAGCTAAAGGAGGCCAATCACTTATTAAGTAAATGCCAGAGAACAAAGAACAAACAGTTGGTAAAAAGAGGAATACTTTCTGTTGAAAATACAATAGGTTTTCAGGCTACAAAGGATAGTGGTGAACTGGTAAGACAGAAAATGGGTGAAGGTAGTCATTGTCCAAGGAGGGCGGCAGCGCGTGAGCGACGGTGTGGCGTTTGCGGCAACACTGGCCATAATGCGCGAACTTGTACAATAGAGATAGAAACCTCTGAGGAAGAGGAATCTGATTGATTGAATTGAATTGAATGCGTTGTGATCAAGTTATTTGACATGGCAGTTGGGAGGTTGGTAAAAGTGTCCCGCTCGCTTGTGACCTACGTTAACGTAAGTAATAAAAAAGATAAAAGTTATGTAAAAAGAGGTAAATAAGTATTATATTTAATTAATTTATTAAACTTTTAACAATTACTTATTAAGTTTAACGCAAGCGTATAAACGGCGTATAAGCCGCCTTTACCCTTTTAAGAATTTAAGTGGTTAATTGATCTACATTTACGGTATGTATATAATAGGAAAATAGAAGAGAGTGGGTTTACGGTTAAAATGGCAAATAATTTTCAAGAGAAGAGTTCATAAGGCTCTTAGAATACCAAATATAGAATAAGGCTGGTTTATTAAGGGTGGACAAGTCTTGTTTACCACTGCAGAAGAGGCTGGTGCTACCGAGAGTAGTGTCTCCTGAACAGGTCTCAGGTCTCTTTATCTAATTGGTATAGAACCTTACCATCCCTCAACTCGACCGGGAGTCCCGAGCTGGCTTGACAGTAATGGTCAGGGCATTCGTGCTTACGTTCTCTGATGCTCTAGACATGGCGAGGCATACATCCGGAGAGAAGGCCCCAGCGATATCATACAGATTCCGCCTTGCCAATCTGCCAGCCAACCACCTCGAATCACGGCCAGCTGGAGGCCAAAGCTGCAATTCGCTTCCACGGGCGCTATAAGTGGCTGTCTGAGCTGAAATGGGTGCCCGATTCGGAGTGGGCTGATCAATAGTTGGTTCCAGGCGCCAGCCAAGATGCGGCTGAAGTGCCTCAATGCTTCAATGTTCTGCCTCCATGCATCTAGACAAGCAGCGCGGTATTTTTGCGGCTGAGGGACGATGGTCACGTAGGTAAGACGCGGGTCTCGAAGCGACGTGGCGGCTGAGCGGCAGTGGGAGAGGCTTGAGAGGCCTGTACAAATACCGCGCGATGCGCTCTGCCTCGAGGATGCGGGCTCCACGCAAGTAAAAAAAAAGTACGAAACCAGTCCGACCGCCAAGAGGAGAGCTGCTAGAGTCGAGACCAGCACTGAAAAAAGATACGGAACCCAGAACCACCACACCAGCCAAAATGGAGGACGTCAAGAAAGGCGAGAGGCTCATCCCAACGCCGAAATGGTTCATCGCCCTGCGCGTGCTCCAGATCGTTATCGCCGTGGTCGTCGTCGGCCTGGCGGGCTGGTGGATTCATGGGCTCTACTATGATGCACTCGGTTTCGCCATCTTCTGCGTAAGCACTTTCCCCCTGCTCCCCTGCCCCCTTCCCCTTGCCCCTTTCTTCCGTTCCCCCAAACTCCAACCTCAACCCAACTAACGCACCATCAGGGCCTCTTCACCTGGATAATAGCCCTCTACGCAATCCTAACCGAGCACACGCCCGCCTGCCGCCGAGCCTACAACACGTGGGCGATCCTGGCCCTCGACGGCGTCATGGTCGTATTCTGGCTGGCCGCGCTCGGCGCCGTCGCCCACCTGAGATCGACGTTCACCGTCGACGTGCAGGCTTCGTGCTCCAGCGACGGAAGTGCCGTCAACTCGGGCCACTGCACCGTGTACAATAAGCGTAACGACGACGATGTCGTCGGCGTCGCAACTGACGGCGCGCTGGCTGTGCTGTCCGGCATCGCGGGGATCTGTGCTATCGTCATGCTGCTGTTCGTCGCGACGTTTGCGTACGTGTGTCATTACTTTCGCCTCGCGTATGTCGGGCGGGAGGGTGGTGGTAGCGACGGTGGTGAGGCGGAGAAGGGCGCTGGGGCCACGGAGTTGAATGCTGGGATCCCTCCGCAGCAGCAATCACAACCGCTTCTGCATCAGCAGAACCAGAATGGCTGGGCCGGACAGCAACAGCAGCAGCAGCAGACTGGGTACCCGGTCTACGGTCAGGATACGGCGTACGACCCGTATGCTCCGCAAAACACGGTGTATTCGCCTCAGCACGTTGGCCATCCCCAGCAGACTTACAGCCACTAAGGTATGCCGGGGCTGGGGCAATCAGCAAGATTTTGAGTTGAGAGAGACGGCGGTAGCTTGGAAAGCATGTAACACTGAGCTTTGGCGAGGTTCTCGTTTCTGTGACCCGGGTCTCTGCGTGGACGGGTGTGTTCCGAGGTTTGGTGGTTCGAATGGCAGCGCGATTCACCCCGAGGATGTCTGGCGTCCCAGCTGGTATTGGAGGATGCTGATATTTATATAGATAGTGACTGTGTCTGTACCATTGCAACCTCACCCATGATTGTTTAGAGCGCCGTCTCTTGTCACCTACTCTGCATGTTGTCTCTCATCTAGCTATCACAAATGGAAACTCGAATGGTGTTTCAATGCCAGAGAGGATCACTTGAAACCATTCTGCCCAACGCCCTGGCCGAATTTCTCTTTGGGAACCTCATCTGCCCAGTCAAGTACCTGCTTTGTCACGTAAACCCCAAACCCAACCACGATCTTGGGGCGGTCCCTCAATCCACTTCCGGCTACGATCCGTGCCATACCAACCGGAAACAGGTAAGTTCCATCACCCGAAGCGACATGCTCTTGATGGTGTATGGATTGCAACTCGAACGCATCACAGATCTCCATTGTCGGGTCGCGGATGAAAACCGATCCGCCTGGTGGCCTCAGGGACTCCAAGCACATGTATTAAGATGGTGGTGTTGGCCCTGAAGGGTTGTCCCTATGAGAAAGGGTGACGCTGGGCTGTCCAGAAGCGTGTTCGTCGAGCGCAACCCTCGATGATCGGCGCTGCGTGGAAAATTTCTCGTAAGCTGGGCGACCGAATTACAGACGACCTCTTGGCTGCCGATACAGTAGAGAATGAAGCTTTCGCTGTAGACTCATCGTCTGCTAACCAGCTTGATCAACCTTTCTGAGCCGGCCGTGCTTGTGCTGCCACAGCCAGCGTCACCGATAAAGCTGCTCGAATTGGATGGCGACACGATCACACTTAAACAAGCGCCATAAGTTATACGTGATTCACGGGGGAAAAGAGCCGGATCGATGAAACCCTACGTTGGAAAAGTTTTTATCGTCTACGTTACATTGATCTTCTGGAAACCCAGGAATCGTGGGGCTCATGTCAACAAGCTACGACCGTGGCGATTTCGCTGTGCGATCAAGCGGCCAATGTACGCCCCTGGTCGACTTGAACTGCTTTGAGTGTACTGCGATGGGGGGTTTGCCTCCATTGAGCAGTGCTGCCAGCGTCCCTCCACAGATGGAGAGCGAACGGTATCATCCCCCTTCGCAGACAGGGCCAGAACCAGTACATAACTAGCTGGCAAGCTGTGCAGGGAGTGAGCCACCAGGTGCAAGAGGGCATACTCAAATCCAAAAATCTAAGGGGAAATATCCTAGACTTGGAACCCCCAACCTCTGAGAAGTGAGATGCAAAAGAAGAACTGAGTTCCCAGAAACGTTATTTGTCTGTCAAGTAGGCTGTCGTGTAGCGGGGTTTTGAAACCCTAGAGCAGGCTTACATATAGAGTACGGAGTCTATACTGTCCACGTTCGATGGAAATTTTGCTCATCTTTTGACTTATATACCCTTGATGCCTTCCGGTAACCAGCCCCGCTACGAGAAGCTTTTTCTAAACCAGCCCCTTGCATTTTCGAAGCCCCAGACCAGGTATCGTCATTCATCCATTCATCATTCCCAAGAGTCTGTGACGGCCTCAATGCAGTGGTACCCTCCGAACCTCGGGCCTGGCTATACGTTAACCATGGTCGACGACCTAGAAGAAACACGAAGCCACTAAATTCCTCAAACCCGTCGTTACGCTTTATGCTAGTTCATGCGTTATCTTACCGACCTTAAGTCGTATATTTGACGGTCTTCGAAAGGCACCGCCTCTTAAGCGAGCTGGTTATTTGGCGAGTATGTTAGTCCTTTAGCTTAACCGGTAACAGACATCGTATGCTATGCGGTAAGAGTTCAAAGCTATTGAGGGGAGCATATATACCAAATAGGCACGCCTCATGAAAGGGGCGTCGGAAACCAGCTGGGTAGCCGCGGCGCACTGTTTTGGGGAGCTTGCACTGCAGATTTCGCACCAGTAAATGACCAGGTAGTTTCATTGCCAACTCATACCCATTCTCTGAAATCACAATACTCCCGGCACAGTGGGATCTGAGCTCATAGTATCCTTGGATTTGACAGCCCAAAATACGCCCTTGCTGCTATCTGAATACCTTTTCTGTAGCTAATAGTGTACACATCCAGACTCCAGCGGCCCGAGCAATATCGATAACCTGTGCGAGCAGTAGATGCCCCAAGTATATACCGGCGGAGTAGCCCCCGAGTACACCTGGCCGCAGATATTGGTACGGATCTGTCGCGCGTGCGCGCTAAGAACCATTTGCACTCTATCTAGGCCTAACTATAGAGATGTAGATATAAGAGTCTGTTCGTAGAGAGTGGTTGTGTAAGGGTTTCAAGTGTTGCTGTGACGGGCTCGCTTGCGCACGCTGCCCGTGGCCGGGTGCATCTTCTCGTTGCGTTCGCGCTTGAGCTTCTCGTCGAGAACGCGGGCTGGGAGGTTGTTAGCAACAGTGATTGCGACCCTGCAGTGAACTTGTTCATGGCAAAGTAGATAGTGTTAGACTTACTGAGTACATCGTAACCGAACTGGGGGAACTCCAAGCAAAGGTTGCGGAACTCCTCCTCGGCCTCGGCACGGAGGGTGTGGCTACGCGTGGCCCAGAAGTTGGCGACCGGAGCACGAACGGTGGTGTCGTCCTTGCTGGTGTACTGGTAGATGTAGCGGGCATAGGTGATCTCGCCCTTAGCTGTCGAATTGACGCAGTGGATCTTGCTGCTAGCGAGACTCTTGAGCTTCTCCATGCCGAACTTCTCGGCGAGCGTGTAGACGCGCGCGTGCTTGAGGAGCTGGACGCCCGTCTCGTCGACCGAGGGGAGGGAGGGGTCCTGCTCGAGCGTGCGCTGGCCGGGCAACTTCTTGGGGAAGTAGTCGCCCGTGTAGAGGTACTCGAGGAAGCAGCCGACGGCATCAATCTCGTCGCCCTGCATGTCAATTTGTCGCGGCTAGAAGAATCACGATTAACAACGCGAATGAGTAGCTGACGGTACGTGTAGAACGCGACTTACACTTCCATCGTCGGCAAATGAGGCGCATGCGTCGGCGAAGAAAGGGCTCTGGGTGAGGAGGGCTTGATGCGCAGTAAGGATTGTCTCGGTCTCGCCGCTACCAACGAGCATAGTCACGACGGGACTGCTGAGGTAGCTGATGAAGGTAGTTCGCGGCTCGGAGTCAGCACCCTCACCACCCTCAGCGAAAGGCAGCTCGCCGCCGTTCTCTGCCGCGGCCGCGCCTTCAGCCCCTTCACCTTCGCCCATTTCGACATCGCCGCCGGGGTTGGCAGGCTGGTCTTCGAGCACTTCCTCCTGGAATTCTTCGGCCATTGCTGCGGAAGGGGGATACGGCGCGCAGAGTCGCAATGTTTATGGGTGAATGAGGGAAGGAGTGTGGAACAGGACGTATGGATACTAATGTAAAGTAATTATGCTCTCAATTGACGGAACGAGAGTGTGCGACTGATGTGCGCGTTTGCGAAAAAGAGGGAATGCGACAAAGTTTGATGTCCTGTCGCAATAGGAAGTGTTGCCGTTGCCAAATCGCAAAGAAAGTCAAAGTGAATTGTAGGTAAGGTAGGTAGGAAGACGAAGCTTCGATCAGAAGTGGCACTAGTGGACGAGTGGGATGCGACGAGCTCGCAATTCGCTGCTGCTAGCTTGCTTATTCTACTGCAGGTGGCACAGGTTGGCCTGGCAAAAAGACTAGGAGGCTGGGCTCGACGCTGATTGGTCGGAGCTCTGTGAGCTGTGAGCTGCAGGAACAGAGTCGCGTTGGCAACTTGAAGGGTCACCTCATGTCGCTCTTGCCTGTGTTAGCTGTGTCGTGTGGTCGTGTGGCGCCAGCTGCTTGCCGGCCACAACTTACGAGACAGCTGTCGACAGTGAGACCAAGCCATTGAATCTGTCCGCTGTCCATCTCTCAGACATTGGAGGGGTCTGGGATAACCCGTAAATGTCTTGGGCCTTTACTTAAGGTACCTACCGACAAAGCTTCCAAAAAGATCAGCAGCGTGGTATTCTACGTCCGGGTGAAGGGGAAGGTAAAGGTATGATGTTCAGGACTAGGAGGTACCGATACTATCGTCGTATTAAAACATTGGATATCTGACATACGACTCAAGACGCGATCTCCTAGGCACAAACTCATACCTTGGGCTAGGATTGTCCTTCCATAGTGGATTTATATCGCACTCGGAGGATGGAGGCGTATCTATTCTTAGCGACAGGTTAGCTCCAAGGGACTGCAACCGGCCCGGCCTGTGGCAAAGTGAGATATATTTGCTTGCCAGACTGGATGACTGGTCTGCCTCATAATAATGAGACGTCCTCATCTTGAGTCTTGACATGTCTAGTTTACCTTGAGTGTAAAGGATCGTATGTCCACGGCTATGATAAGCCCGCCATACAACTATTACAAGTAGCATTACAAAGCTTAGTCTCCGCGTACCTAACTTGCGGGCTGGGTGTTTTGCAGAAGCCTCCATTCCCATCTGCTGCATAGAGTACTTTATGTATGCAATTCCGGCTGACGGTAAACAAAACATCCATCTTTCGCTGCCCGAACAAACTTATGCATGTTGGAGGACTACCCGAGTCGCCCAACAGCTATCGGCCACTGATCGCGAGACAGTGATTGGCTAATAGCCGCGCATATCGATAGGTTTTCATTTCAGGATTTTTAGCGGCCGTTCTTGCCCAGACACGCTGTCGGGACTGGGGACTGTCTCGTGCCCTGTTCCCCCCTTTAGGGAAGGCGGCAGACCCGAGAGTTCCATCGCAATTAATTGATCTGGCGCTACTTCTCCATCCGAATCTCCTTTGCTTTTGACTATCTCGTGGTCATCTGCGCTCAGCATACATACATCTTGCCTCTTCTCCTTGCCAAACAAACAGACGAAATTCCTACTCCTCCTATTGCTTCCACCTCTGGGCTTCCGCCGGCCGCCTTTCCTTTACTCCTACTACCCAAGTACCTCGTCTTTCCGCCGAAACCGACGAGCCGAGGCCAACCTTACTGAGTGAGGCCCTCCTTGAACACACAGCAGCCGTAGAACCCGACCGACCAGAAGAGGACCGACCGCCAACATGGAGCAAGGGGGCGCGAGTGTGCAAGACTTCCAACACAAGGCAGAATGGAAGCAGCAAGTATGGAGTAGGTGGATGGAGCCCACTGTAAGTCTGACGCTCAACGGCCCAGCCGGATGGGAGAGGGTGGCAATACTAACACGACATCAATCCAGGTTATCATCGTCATCCTGATCACGGCCATGTACTCTACGAGGCGGAAGAACTACTCTGTCTTCAATGGAGACCGACCCGAAAGCGACAGAGCGCTTCTCAGCCCCGGTTCGCAACGCTCTTCTCGCGAGTGGGAGCGATCCTCTAGCCCAGCTGCCGGCTTGGAGCACCGACCGAAGAGGCGGCGTGTCTTCGGAATTTGGACCGTTCAGACTCCCAACTCGAGCCGCTTTGCTGGAAACTTCCATTCTCGAATTCTGCAGAAGCTTCCGTTCCTTCTCGAGATGTTCTACTGGGTGATTGCAGTCATCGTGTACCGCTTGGTGATATGGGTGACCGGTCGATGGTTCGGCGGTAGCCAGGGTCTTTGGGATATCGCGCAAAGCCATGGAATGTCCATCTTGGATTTCGAGTCGAAAATCTCGGGTATGGGCAGTGTGACCGACAACACGAGATGGGTCGAATGGAGAATCCAGCAATGGTTCCTGGCTGGTGTCGAGGCCGGGAATTGGCGCGGCACCATGCTCACCGTCCTCAACCGCGTCTACGCCCTCATTCACATTCCCGGTTCAGCCGCGTAAGTCACCCGTTCACTGTTTCGGTGGAGAAGGCAACATGGTAGCTAATACTGCGTTCTAGCTTCATCGCCTACTACTACGCAACTTCTCCGACGCAACGCCGTTTCTGCATAGCGAGACGCTCAATGTCTCTGTCCAACTTCGTTGCCTTCTTCGTTTTCACGATATATCCATGCATGCCCCCGAGGCTTCTGCCCCACGAATACGGCTTTGTCGACACGGTCGAGGCTGAGGATGCGGCCAGCGTCTGGATGAAGGGCGATTTCGTCAACGCCCTCGCAGCGATGCCCAGCATGCACTTCGGCTATGCATTCGCTATCGGTAGCGTGTTTGTTTACGAGAGTGGTTTCCTCCGACAGCTTCACCTGCTACAGACTGACGAGGATGACGTCGAAGCGCGGGAGCTCCTCAAGGAGAAGGAGGAGAGCGGCGACGCCCCGCGTTCTCCCCACGCGCGCATAATTTTGCTGTGCGTTGGCTTTGCATATCCCGCCTTAATTTTGCTGGCCATCATTGCCACAGCCAACCATTATCTCCTGGATGCCTTGGCTGGGGCATTGGTCGTGATATTCTCCTTTTTCTGCAACAGGTTCTTACTGAACTGCTTGGTGCTCGAGGATTGGCTGCTCTGGGCGTTGCGTCTTGAAAAGCCAGTGCCCACAACCGGTGTACGCCAGCACAGCAGGAAGGCGACTCGGTGAAGGCGAAGATTGCGCATTTGGAAATATGACTTTAACGACCCTGTACCTATAGAAACACATACACGGCACACACACACTTAGCACTCATCGCGCATGATGATCGGCCTGTTCACGACGATACAATTTTACCACCGAGAACCTCTACACTTGGGTATATACAGCATAATCATTAATGACGAATCACATACTTTTTGATAAAACCAATGCATCAAGTGTAATGTTGGCTCAAGAGCCATTCCATACTTCAGTCTGGCAACTTCCTCTACTATTGACTCTGTATTTCGTTACAGACCAAGTGAGCGATTAGTCTTTAGAGGCGTTGTATTTTCCCGACTTGCCGGGTTATTTCCCTCAGGCCCACAATCCACCATATTCCTCACCGTCCCTATTCGGTCTCCGGAATTGCACCCTTCTCTCGACCGTCTATACCAACATGTTCCTGCTGCCCGTCCCCCTTTTTGATTTGCCGCGGTGCTTCTTCGTGCCGTAGACCCCCTGTAGCAGCTCTCTAGCCGTTCTCGAGGACGGTTTTTATTTGTGATGGATGTGCTGAGGCTCATAGTGCAGCTGGCCCTTGGGGTGCTGGCGGTTGGGTTGAGCCTTGGTGCTGCCAGGGGTATCGTGCTCGGATGAGCTAGAGGGTTCTGGCCTGTGGCAAGTAGAGGTGTGGGTAAGCGGCCTTCTGGTTTGAGACATATGGAAGTATGGGGCGCGTCTGCCGTACGCGATTTGACGCACTGTCGACGTCCATACCACGTCGAATTTGGGTTCAGAAATAACTCCTCCTTTTCCAAAATGCGGGATGAACACGCGAACGGCAGTAACTACCTGCACCTTGAGAGTGCCACAGCGTCGATCGGGATATCGAGCAGATGGCGTGTATGCAGTCGTGAGTCAGCCTGTCGACGATCTCATTATCGTGCAAGAGACCGGGCCTGGGCTCAGTGGCAGAGCGCGACTCTGATTCCGCATCTGTCCCAGACTGCCCTTCAGGTTCCGAACCCACGACGGAATTCAGGTACTCCTTTGGCTTACTGTTCAGCATCCCCCTCGGGCTCCTAATCTGGACCAGCTCCAGCTCGCTATCCTGCTCTGGGACCGCCGAGCAGCTCCACTGGGTCGATGCCATGGTCTCCGTCTGCGTCCGTCGTGGTTACTGGCACAGCGCAAGTAGAGGGTTGGACAAGGTAGAAGTTGGATGCTCATGGTCTTTTGGGACCTTGTTGGATAAGAAAAGCCCTCGGTTTCTCTTGCTTTCTGGGGCTCTGAGGCTGTGGCTTCATCAACTTAGGTTTTCAACACATCGAACAACTCAACTGGTTGAATGTGCTTTCCAGGTCTGACCAATCCCATTGCCAGTTGCAAGGATAGTGAGGTTCGTGACGTTTGTGGTTTGTTCCTGGCTAGCTACGACGAGCTTGATAGTCCAGCGTTGCCAACACTCGCCTCATCCGGCATGCCCACTAAATCTTTCAGATATATATTCAGTGAACGAACCTTCAGAGGTAAAACAGTGATATAAGAGCAATTGAACAAGTGGACTGAGGAGATACATTCGTCATTGGGTCCGGGTCGTCGCGCTGGGCTCCAAATGTTGTCAGTCATTCATCCAGTATGTTCCGAGTGACTAAAAGACACCCCCTGTCACCACGTCTCCCTCGCGTCAGTTAACGGCAAGCACTCGTCGTTACCATCATGGTGCCTTCAGCTTCTTGACATGGCGGTCCATAGGTCCTTCCTTGACAGCATCACTCTTAGTCCGTCCATGCTTGCCACCATTTTTGCCCTTTTCCAGCGGCGCGCCATGTCCGTCATCGTCGCTGCCATGGACAGCTTCCATCTCAGTCTCCCCGGCGTTCTCAAATAGCTCCTTCCATGTGCTATTTCTGACCCTCTCATCGTTTCCGTGAAGGCCAATAGAGTATGCCGTCTTCATGGCAGCAATGCAAGCACTCCTCCGCTCCCCGAAATCGAACATCGGCCCCGGGTAAGTTGACGTGCCCTGTTCCATTCCACCGCCCAGGCCATCACCTTCGATCTTGACGCCAGCTTTATCCAGAGCCGATTTGCTCGCTTTCCAAGGCTCGTAGATGAACTTCGCATCCATGTCCTTCAGCTCCGGCACCCACTTACGGATGAAGTCGCCGTTCTTGTCCCATTTCTGCCCGAACGCTACAGGGCTGTAGCACCGGTAGTACTGCGAGTAGAACGCGGTACAGCTCAGCCACTGCCAGTTGCCCGCGTTGCACGCGACCTCGTGGTCGATGAGTAGCTCCTCGAATACGTCGGCTCCTCGCTCCCAATGCACATAGCACCCACCTCGCGTGAGGAAGCAGGCGACCATGTGGCGGCCGAGGTGGTGGATCCATCCCTCGACGCGCAGCTGGCGCATCAGCGCGTCCACGAAGGGGAAGCCCGTCACGCCAAACTTCCACCGCTGGAACCACTTCTCGGCCTGTGGCGAGTCGATGTGGTACTCGCCACTGATGGCGTTCGTACCGGTCTCGGTGCCGTCGTCGACTTTCGAGGGCAGGTGCCACGGGATGAATCGGACATGGGCGTTGTTGAGCGCTTGGGGGAAGGGCGACCCTATGGCCGCCTGCGCTGCAAAGTACATGTCGCGGAACAACAGCTGGCCTGTCAGGCTTTCAGGGGGGTGGGATGCATTCTTGCCGTATTTCTCGACGACTTCCTGTACGCGCCAGTAGAACAGTCGAGGGGATAGAGCGCCGAAGTGCAGCAGCGGCGATAGGAGAGTCGTCGCCTGCGGTTCGAAGGCTGTCGGGTTAGTCTTGGGCTTTTGGAAAGTTGCGGTGTATTCCTGGTCGGCGATGATCTGAGCGAGCTTTTCGAGTGCGATAGTTTCGCCCCCGCGGTGTGGTGTTGTGGCTGCTGAGAACCCGAGTTCTTCGAGTGTCTCGATAGCAAAGTCGCCTTTGGGCCCCGCGACACTGTTGTAGGTCTTGTCTGTTTTGCTTCGAAGGGGTGCGTTGAGATCCCTTTCCGTGTCGGGACGATCGTGTTCAAAGTCAACAGGCATCTCGCCTGGGTCTGGCAGATGCTTCGGTGAGGGTATCGGCTTGGGTATCGCTCCGACTTTGTTACCTGCTGCCTGAAGCTGGGTGATCGACATTGTCGGTTTACCGCCATGTTTGGCGACAACATCGTCGATATCCCATAGCGTTCTCCCATAGCGAGTCACTACCTCAACACCAGCCTTCCTCGCCGACTCAACCACCACTCGGTCCCTCTCCCGTGCATAGGTGTCCGTGTCTCTCTCGAAGACGAGATGTGTGACTTTCCACGCCCAGAACAGTTTTAGAAGGACGGTCTGCGGAGCTTCGCGCACCACGAAGAGCTTGGACTTGGGATTGAGTTTCTTGATCGAGTCTGAGAGGTCATTCTGGCAGTCCAGCCTTTTTCAATCGCTGTCAGACAGCTGATCCGTCATCACGAGCTGGTCTTTGGAGTTGTGACTAACAGGTACTGCCATCTATTCACTCCCACCTTGGAGCGATAAACATAGTGAGGGTCCCAGGTGAATATGGGCCATAGCACGGCCGGGTCTAGATCGAGGGCCGCCTTCAACGCGGGTGAGTCGTGGAGACGAAGATCTGTTCGGAACCAGTACAGCACACGCGGTTTCTCCATTGTCGCTTGACGCGTCTTTGATGGAGAGATGACTACATTTTGACGGGTTCACTTGGCGATGCTGCTGTGACACTAGAGTCTAGGGTTCTCAGGCACGGGACGGGATGAGCTAGCTCAAAGTCCATGATGTCAGGATCTCAGCCCCTAGTTATTCAGTGTTTAACACAAGTCTCATTGCTTGAACAACAACTCATGCTCTATTCTTATCCTCTAAGGGTGAGTGCTCTCTGCCTTTTGCCGATATCGTGTACAGTTACTCTTGGCCACTGACAATAGACCATTGCCCGCGCTCTCTGCGTCAATCGCCGAGCTCATGCCCGCGAAATCTTGAAGCGCCCTGTCCCTCCCAACCCTCGGACACAACCTCCCAATGACTGCCTGCCAGCCCCCAGATCCATCCATCCATCCCAACCAAGACCGCCGCGTTCGACGTCGCGAACATTCCCCTATCTCACGTTATACCCCATGGCCTTCAAGATAGCCCTGCCCTCCTGAACATCCTCGTCGTTGTAGATGCGCAAGTTGTACGAGAGAAGGAAGGTGTGGAAGTTGCGATGACCGGCGTCTTTGGAGGCCTTGTCGACGCCGATTATCGGTTTCGGGGTGGAGCCTTCGGACGGGGTGGAGCCTTGAGACGGGTTGGAGCCTGAAGACTGGTTGGAGCCTTGAGAGGGCATGGCGATCTCGATGCTGTGTTGAAGCTTTTGAGTAGAGTAGAGTAGAGTCGAGCGAGACGTTGCTGGATTTCGTGGAGGAAGTGTAGGTGATTCGTTGGTTCGCTGCTTCTTGGGGAAGGGCGATTCGTGGAGACGGATGGTGAGATGGATGCTGAGGTAAGGACAATGCTAGAAACAGCAGATTAAGTATATAGGGGGAGGTGCAGGTTTGTCACGTGGGTGGACGTCATGACCAGCTCCCGTTTGCGCATGTGACGTTTGCCAAACAGACAAGGGAAACAGCAACATCATATTCGTAGTATACTTCTGAATATGGCATGAAATAGCTTGGTGTACCAACCTCTGTGTTCGTTGTCGCATCAGCCATGGCGCTGTTCACCGCGTCGCCAACCTAGGTTTCATGAATTCGGCTGGACTCAGAGGGCAGTGCTCTCCAAGGATAAGTTAGCAGGTAGAGAGAGGTGGTGAGAGCGCAAGTAGCTGGTGCCTTGATCATGGTCTAGTGTTCTATGGAGGGGTGATTCGTATGGGAAAACGAATGACATGGGCCCGGAATTGGGACATACGCCCAGCTGAGGTATGTGTTGAAGTCACTGAATTTCGCGAGTGCCAATAAGTGCTTCGCTGCCATCGTATAAGATCCCGTCCTTGTAGCGTGGAGGGTCGCGCATACCTGCTGTTGTGCTCGCACTCATGCGAACACGCCTTCGCGGTCCACTGCCTCGGGTTTCAAAAGGTATAGAGCACCGCCAGCAGGCTTAAGACTTCCAGTTACAAGAATCTGTGCGCTTTCACTCTCGGCGCCAAGCGTTTTTGCTCTCCCCATAGCCTCGGTCACATTGGTCTCAATAAAGGTCTCTGATTCGGGCTGGTATTGCTTCTATATGTCGACAAGTTGCTGCAATAAATCACGGCTTTCTTGTTCTGCTATTCCTGGCTCGATAGCTGCGAAACGTGAGCTCGTTTGTCCGAGGGTGGTTGGTCAAGACAAGAGACACATACTTCTATCAGGGGTGACAATGACATGTTGCATGAAAAGAGTTCTCATATTTGCAGCCAAGTGTCTGAGCACTTCTCTAGCGTCTCGTCGTTTCGACGCTGGACCGAAGATTAGGATCCGTTTCGTCGAAGGCGGGTGTGTCCTACACTCCTTTGTTAGTATCATCTCGCAGAGGCGGCATCGCAACCCATCTCTACGTACGATCTCGGCTGTAACACCGTCTCCATATACCATTCTGTGGCCTTTCTAATGCTCATTTCGTTATGAGCACCATCTATAAACCACCGGTATTGGGCCTCGTCCACGATCTGGAACCGACCAGGCCACGAGAACGTATCAACGCCTTCCTGAATGTCACTTGGTAGTAACCTGCTGGTACCCGGCGAAAACTTCGCTTCAACGAACTCTCGGGCCGTAGCAATTGCCACTGCACAATTCGCTCGTTAGACTTCCGGCCTCAGCTTTGGCGAGCCTCGTGGCAGCTCAGAATCGTCGTCAACAAACCGCATTTGAAGATGCTTGGCAGCTGCCCGCTCCTCGAGGACTGTACGAACTTCTTCAACTTGAGCGGCAGAGATAGCCGCAGCTCTGTCTTTGAGGATCCCCGACTTGTGCCAGGCGATGTGTCTGATCGACGGCCCCAGGTGCGCCACGTGGCCCAGCCCTATGGGAGTAATGACGGTGACAACAGGGTGTTCGACAACGTTCGTAGCATCGTACTCACCTCCATTATGGGTCTCGATGACGGCAGCCTCGACGCCTTCGGCGATGAACGTATGAAAGGCAGTAAGAGCGAGAAGCTGCAGATATCGAGGTGGTTTCTCTGCCTTCTCCAGAATGTCCCATACTTCAAAAAAGTCCTTCGTGAACAAGTCCCTGGATATCGGCCCCGAGTTGATACGGATCGTCTCTTCCGGGTATATCAGAGGTGGAGAGGAATAGAGGCCGGTTTTTCGGGGGAAACCCGACCTCTTACCGAAAGCTCGCAGTATCGACTCGGTGAACGCACAGGTACTGCCTTTGCCCGTGGTCCCGGCAACGTGTACAATGTTGAGCTCATCAACTTCAGCAGTCTATAAAATTAACATACCGGTCACGCCAGGCCTGCGAAGTACCATAAATATGCTGAACGTACAGAATGTCCAATCTGGTGCAGCAAATCTTTCATTCCAGCTATACTCGGAGTACCTCTCACGTCAGGCTGTCCGTCAATATCTGGGATCTGACCCATCTTTCGATTTGACTCGGAGGCCGTGTTGGCCGCCCTGGCCGGCGTCGTGAACGCAAGGTATCAATAGCATCCTACCCAGAATAATTAGGCGAGAACGCAAGGGGACTCGGGAAAGGCCTCGACCTTGTATGTACGACTCATGGACTGCTGAGATGTCTCGAGCCCGTTCATTCCATAGCTTGTAGCCCCAAGTCGGGGCATTGGCCGAATCTTCGTGCTCTACGAGAGGGTTTTTGGTCCGGATCGGGATGTCTTCGGTATCTGAAGTAAGTGTTCAGGGCACCTGGCGGTGCTGAGACGGTCTTCTTCGAGGCCGCGTCGAACAGGCATATACCAGTAGACACGATGTGGATCGTATATCCAAGCAATGGCTTTGTCACTTGTAATCGAATGGCCTACCGTGAGCCAATTCTGCAATAGAAAAGAACAGAAAAAATCAGAGATCGGGGATGTGTCCGAGGAGGATTCCGCTGGTGTAATCACCTGGCCGAGTTGGGTGCACTGGACGGGATCATCTCTTTGTTCGCGAGTCGCGACACCAACCAACATCCCCAACCCCTGACATCGGCCACCGCCTTTCCTGCGCAAACCTTTAGTACTCGTGTTTGCACAGAAAAGGCGGTGTTTTCCTTGACTGCAATTCTCTTCTACCAGTGGTTAGAATGCTACACCGGTAGCCGGGAACGTTGGACGGACAGCACCACACCTACCGTACCCCTGCGTAATTGGCCTCCAAGGGGCTTGGTCATGTGCTTCAAAGGAAAGCGCATAGGCCTGAAATACTGGCCGTTCAGCTGGGGGAACTCGGAAGGTACCTACGCACATGGAAAGAGCAGCGCCCGCGGGAAACCGGGCAGCCTGACGCGCACGAGCACGAGCACTTGCTGCTGCTGTGCCCCAACGGAAACATGATCGTGTACAGCACATACCACTGAGGACAGGGCCAGAAAGAGAGTATCATGACCTGAGCTCAGCGGAGGACCTCATACTCTTCTTCCGCGAGTCAGGAGCCGGAATGACGGCCTTCGGGCTTGGCGACAATAGTGCTGTCACCGCAATATAGGCGATATTCGATCGCTCATACTGGAGCCCGCATCGGGCTTGTGCAGGAAGTCATCCTGGGGAAAGGTATGGTATGCACGTGCGGTAGCGTTGTGGTCACCGAAGAGTGTCTCCACCGCTCACTGGAGCTGAAACGAAACTATGTACATCATCAGCTGTTGGAGTCATGCACGAAGTCTAGTGAGGAGTTGGAAGGTGGTTGCAGGATCTGGAAGACCTCTCTCGCCCAATGTTTGGGCTTGGCTGGGTACAACACCGCACATCCGTCTTCTGTGCTGCTGTAGCTAACCAGAAGATCAGGCAAGTGGAACTGAAACCAGGATTGACAACCGTTGTTCTCCAGAGGGCTGTTGACAATCTGGACAAGACTATAATATCCGAGGTGGATGGAAGCAGGTTTGCAAGACTCGAACTTATAGATTGTTGCTATCAGCTTCACGATATCGCACTGGATCGGCGCCCGTTCTCAAGGAAAGTTGGATTGTTTGGGGTTGGACCAGCCAATGTCCAACCAGGAGACATAGTTGTGGTCATTTTAAGCGCCGATGTTACGTTTGTTCTGCGAGGCTAACTTGGTGGCGTATGAAGCTCAGTAACGACGCCTTCGTCTTTGGCATCGTGGATGGAGAAGCCATGAAAGGAGAGCCAGAGGTCACGAGACTCACTATTGACTGACGTCGTTAAGGCAGTCATCAGGGAATTTTTTATTATGGGCAATGCCCTGCCGTAGCCACCTCGAGAGAGCCTTCTCCCGTTCATCTACTGATTATCTTGTTGCCTGTTGAAATCGCAATCTGTTCTCACAATGCGAATGTGGCTGTCGCTTATCAAGGGTCACGATGGCGTCAACCGTGGCGCGAACCTTGATTGGCTATTCTGTAATGGGACCACGATGAAAACCAGCAGAGTATGATTTCATTGACAACTGTTGATGCATTAAGGAAGGAGATGCAGAATGATCGTGTGGATATTATTCGATAGACCCAAGGGACCCGAACTTGTCATGTGGTGTCCTCACATGAAGTGCAAGTTTCCAAGATCCATGTCACCACACGTGATAATGCACTTTTGTGGCTCACTCTCGCCTCGGTATGTGAGATGGTTCGTGCCTTGAGCGCCTCCCAATGGCGTTAGTGGTCGTATTATATCGGTGCAGTTAATTGGGTTCCAAGTTGACTCTTCAGCGGTCTTCGGCGCCTGGGGCCATCTGCCGCTATGCCGTTAGTAGTACTAGCATGCCCTACTTCAGCTACTGAGCTACCGGCTGCAACCCTGGGATTTTGATGTTTCAAGCCAGCCCGAATCTGACCATCTCACCCGCTCCTGTCGCTGCCCTGTCAATTCCCCTTTCCCCAGTCGAGTGACGAACATCTTTTTTTGTCCCGGTCCCCCTCTCACCACGCTTGAACTCCAGCTGGGCCCCTTGGGAGCATACCTACGTGGATCGACAGGCCGGTGCTTTGGGTTTCTATGCCTTGAGATTGACAACTCACTGTACCTACCTTACCTAGACACTCATTTGGATCTCCCTCTCTGCCCGCCTACCTCACGAGTCAACTTACTCTTTCCTAAATTAGAGTATCTTCTTCACGCACCCTCCCGAGATCTGCACGAGACCGGGAACCCTCGATAGCACCGTCCACTTCTAATCGACCGCGTGGATCCCCGACCCCCGAATCCTAGACACGAAATTAAAAAAAAGTTGGGCTGCCGCGGCTGCGGATGCTCACTTGGTCCGTGGTCGATACGTACCGTACCGCCTGCTGCATCCCACGGTTCCTACGTGCCTACCTTACCTAATCAATCGCCAATCCTGGCATCCTCCCAGCCCCTTGCGACAAGCCAACACCCATCGAAAAAAAGAGAAGCCAGGAGCCTTGGTGCCAGCCCCGAGGCAAGAAGAGACGTGGTCACGGTCGCCTGAATGCTATGAACAGCCGGACTGATAGCAGTATCCGCCAAGGAAAGACCCAACGCGTTAGGAGGTTCATGCCACCGGTTCTGCAAAGAACCAAGCGGCCAACATGACGAGACCACAGATCATCCGAGCCGGTAAGTGCTGATTGATGTAACGTGTGCCATAGAAACAAAATTACTTGGGATCTGGAAGTTGGATCCAGGATCCAGAATCCAACGATCCGCCCTCGCCCTCGCCCCTGCCCGCCTCTCTGCAACTTGCGCCTCGCAACTCGCCTGTCCCGTGCTGACGCTTCATTCTCCTGCAACAGATTCCATTGACCTTCAGGATCACGACGCGCCTTCTGCCAAAGAACATAAACATCCCTCTTCGAAGTTGTCGCCCAACCCGAACGGTTCCCTTGCGCCACACCAGGCCGAGACCATACGCGAAGTCGAAGAAGAAAGGGCAGAGGAAGAGGGGCGCAGTCCGAGAGTCTCGTGGGCCAATGGTGACAACGACGGTGACCTGCAACAGTACGCCGAAGATCTCGCGAGTGGTGTCGCCAATTCCATGGATGGCAGCAGCATGCAACAGCAAGATGCGCTCGCTGTTGCGCAGAACGGGGGCGCCACGGGCACTGCTGACGAGGATGGCGACATGGATGGAGATGCCGACGACGGCTTGGATGATGACATGATGGACAAAATCTCGAGTTCACCTTCGATTGAAGATGGTGGGTACATCCTTATTGCCGTCCCCCCTGATTTTCCAGAGAGGTATAGCTCCCTCGAAAACGAGGTCGGGCTGTTGCTCGATAGACTGGAGCGCCAGCAGTCAAGCAAGGCTTCTGCTGGCCGAGAGGAACACTGTTGTCATCCCCATCATCATCATACTGGTGAGTATGTCGGATTGGCCACGTCTAGCGACTACGGCAACGACCACAACAACTATGACGATAGCAACAACTATGGCAAAGACAATGGACACAACCGTCGCACACACCTCCTTGACCACGCGTCCGATCGAGACATACAAGACCTGGAGCTGGGAAGTGAACCTCTCAACGACTTGGAGCAGCCGAGGCAAGAAGCAAGTCCATGCGAGAGCCGTGATTCCGGAGTGGACATGAAGATCGAGGACTTCTCTGTGGACCGTTTGCCAAACACCCAACCAGTCGAGCCTGGCATCGACGAAGAACATATTACCCCTTCATACGAGTTCCTGGAGGAGCCATTCGACTACTATGATGATGACGGCTTTTTCATTTTTCAAGATCCGATGTTTAATGACACTGGTTGGGATAGTGAGAGCTTACAAAACGCAGAGGACATCGATTTCGAATTCGTCTACGCCCTCCACACCTTCGTCGCGACTGTCGAAGGCCAAGCCAACGCTACCAAGGGTGACACCATGGTACTCCTCGATGATACCAACAGCTACTGGTGGCTTGTCCGGGTTGTGAAGGATAGTAGTATTGGTATGGATTACGTTGTATCAGTCTACTTGGAGGCGCATGAGCTGATGCACTTGACTGCAGGATATCTTCCAGCCGAACATATCGAGACACCGACGGAAAGACTGGCACGTCTTAATAAGCACAGAAATATCGATGCATGTGACCACCCTGGATTTTACGAAGGGCCTTAGACTGACTGGCGAATAGCTGTCAGCAAGAATGCTCGGTGATCAGGCTGAGAAGACCAAGAACCCTATCAAAACAGCAATACGGAGACGCCAAAAAAAGACAGTCGCCTTCGCACCTCCTACATATGTGGACTATTCTGACTTCGACTACTCCACCGATGAGGAAGGGCAAGATGGTGACGCCCAGTCACAGGAGCAAGGTGGACAGCAGCAGGACAAGCAACAGCAGACTGATGCCCACAATAATGCGACTGAGGCTCTTGAAGACGATGAGACTGCCATGGTCGAACCGCTAAAGCCTCGCAGCCAGAAACAGGTGAAGCTTGATGTTGTCAAGCCTGAGGAAACCGAGCAAGTCGAATCAGCAGCGGAAGCGTCCAGGAGTAGTGATGAGATCTTTGACACGAAGTCTGAACGGACCACTAGAAATGGCACTGTGCGGAATACAGACTCGTTCTTCAAGGATGATACCATAGAGACCAAAAAGATCACCCTGACACCTGGGCTCCTGCGGGATGATAATGAATCGCGCATCTCGAGCGACTCCAAGGAGGTGCGGCAACGGCCAAGTTTCGACAAGCTAGAGAAGGAACTCGTGGCTGACAAGAGCAAAGACGACAAGAAGAGAAAGGAGAAAGACAAAAAGGAGAAAGACAAGAAGCCGAGCGCTATCCGGAGTTTCTTCTCGCGCAAGGATAAGAAGAAGTCTATTGATGATGACGACGAATCCTTCGGCAAGAGGTCCATGGATACTGGTAGTGGAACCAGTGAAAAAGACCTAGTAGAAGAACCCGAAGTCATCGACACGGAGTCCTCGCCTGATAAGAGCGGAACTCCACAACGAAACCCCAGCAAGCTACAGAAGCAACAACCTAGAAGCGACCCGTCCTCTCCCACGCGCAAACCTGCTGTCACAACACCACAAACAAGTGCAGATAGGGCTCCTCTATTGGCTTCGGAGGTCAGGACGACCAACAATGTTGCAAACACGCCCCCTGCGACACTGAGGATGGTGGAATCCGATCAGCTCGATAGCCCAGAAAGACCGCCTCAGAAGGAGGACAAGCCCAAGTCGGCCATGTCCAGAATTCTGCCGTCGTCGAGCTCAGAGCCCAAGCCGCCCAAGGCCACCAAATCCAAGTCGCGAGTCGAGCTAGACGATTTCGACTCTCCCGAGGAAGAGGTGGAGGAGGACGTACCGGAGCCTACTCGAGCTCCACCTGAGCCCAGAAGACAGCCATCCGAAGACAAGCCTCTGCGGCCTAGTCTTCCAGGCGCGTTTCCGGACAGCTACCTGGGCACTCAAATGTCCATACCTCAACAGGCCGAGCCCGCTGCCGCCAAGCGTCCGGCCCAAGAACGCTTGGCGGAATCCCCTGTCCAGGTGTCGCCTGTCACATCCTCAAATCCGCCTGCTCTCATGGTAGATAGCTCCAGCCAAGAGGAGCGCTCGTCGCCTGTATCATCACCATCGCCAGAGCTTGCGGACGCTGAAGGCAGGACACATCAAACCCAGGATTCGACGACCACAGCATCTACGTCGGCTCCGAACACCACGACCTGGAATGATGCCAACCTCCGAGCCTTCTTCGACTCAAGCACCGAGGTGCGGGATTTACTTACGATCGTATATGATACGAGCGATGTTGCCCCTCCCGGGTCTGAGCATCCTGTTGGCCATACAATGTACCTGGAGGAGAAGGCGAAGCTGGCCGAGATAACCACTGTAAGCTCATATCAGCCTTGACCACCTGCTCTTGCTAGAGGCTAATTATGGCACAGAAACTAGACGACATGCTTGCAGACTTCCTCGCCCGCAAACAGCGGCGTCGAAACAGAGTTTAAAGATATTTCGACTTCTTCACGCGTACTGAACGCTTTGCTCTTTCAGCCACGATTATATTGTAAAACTACGACACGGCATGACCAAGATTCGTATCTTGCACGGGAAACTTTGTGCATCACTTCCTTTCGAATGGCGTACGGTATACGGAACAGAGCAGGTTTGGTGTCACTCTGGCGATTGTGGGACGCGAGCCGATACCATGGAAGTCTTCCATCCTTCTTCTTTGCTTGTCTAGCATAGCCGTCGAGTACAGCCTCGGCGTACGGCACAGGGTGCCCTTCATGAACGCGGCACGACTCGAAAACTCCCCGAGAGCTACCAGCGCTACACAGGCAAGGCAGGCCTGGTCAATGGATTGACTCTAGCACGTATGTAGTAACTGATGTGTACATACCAGTCCTGATGAGTTGGTGCTGTTTCTTTCCACCCATGTTGTTATTCCAATGCCCAATCCGAGGACGTGTGATACTCTTGATTATCTGAAAGTACCCATATCTTGATTTATGTTTCTTCCGCCGGCTCTAATGTCGGTCAGTATACGCGTCACCAAATTCTGCTCAAACAATAATGTGCGTAATGTGTAGCCACGGCGTCATCGCGGCAGCATCGACAAGACTAGTGTGGTCCGGCTGTGTTACAGTCTGCTCCATTCCCCGTGATGTCCCGGTCATATCGATCTTCTACTGGCCATACTACCAGGTGTATTCGGGGGCAGGAGCATGCAGGCCGTTGGCCGCCGAGAAGACCTCGCCGTGCCGCAGATGGCTCGGGATAACTGGATAATACGAGCACGCAAGACCCGGCACCAACACCCTCCAGATGCCCCCTACGCAGCCCACAGCCCCTTCCCACCACCTCCCCCTTTCCCAATCCCCATCCCATCCCTCCCGCCCCGTTCCATCACCGTTTCACAGGCCTATAGCTCGACGGAATCGGGAAGCCGGGTCGACGCAGCCCTGCGAGGGCACGTACACGCGGCCCGGAAGCCGGTGCAGCCGTGCTACCAGCTTGATGGAAGCTGCCGAATAGCTTGAAGTCCGTGCACTCGGGGTTCGTGGGGACGGTCTTCTCGCTCGTGCCGTCCTCGGTGCTGTTGTTGTAGAGCTCGACCCGGACCGCGGCGGCCGTGTGGTCATCCCCGGCTCGTACGCGCCTGGCTAATCCAAGACAGCCTGCGTCCAGGTCACGGACACGCAGAGGATAAGGTCGCCTTCCTGGTCCAGAACCTGAACACCGGCGCCTCGTTCGACCTCGGCGCCGACGCCTGCGCCCTGCGCCTCCAGACCGAGATCAACGGCTACAACGGTGGCGGCCAGTCGGACGCATCCGGATGGCGATTCAAGTACGTTTTCCGAGCAGCTGGCCGACCCGGGCGCGCCCCCTCCGCGACTCCCCCCCCCTTTTCGGCGTGGCTTTTGCTAATACACTTGCCTTTCTCTAGGCCCGAGCCTAACAACGGGATCTGCTAAAAGGCATGCATCTGTGGAGGACACTTTCGAACAGAGGGAATGGGGGACGTACTTGTGGCTCCCCTTAATGCTGGGCGGCCCGGATTCAACACCCAGGCGGGTCCATGCCTCATGTTCTCCCTCCATCGTCTCCTCTCCTGGCCACTTATCTGGCTTTCTTTTCTTCGCACGCTCCTTCGCCACATTTATGGGCGCAACAGGGGTGCTGCCGTTGGACTCTCATGCCCCTAAGTTACTCCATGGTGTGCCCGCAAGCCTCTCTCGGAGTCGGTTCGTCACGCCGTCAAATATGTATCCACGTATAGCCACGATCTAGTACATACGACCATAGGATCAGGAGAACTTGGCATCCCGTCCGCTCTGCCTTAAATAAGCCTGATACCGCCGGATTAGTAGTTGGGTCGGTGACGACCAGCGAATCCCCGGTGTTGTATGTTTTGTCTCACGTCTTTTTTTGTTCCTTTTTTTTCTTGTTTCGTACTTAGCCATAGTCAACGGAATGAGATAGGACAACCAGATCACATGCCCCATCTTGTTTTCCCATAGCATGTACGATGATCGCAGGACTAAGATCGTAGATGGTTTTCTTGATGCGGGAAGAACTGCACCATCATTACTCAAGACTGTGTGGCGGCCCATAAGCTGCTTTGATTACGGAAATTGGTCTTGTGGTTTTCTAGGCCAATGGTCACAGATAGCTGCAGACCTTGAGGGCGAAGCACTCGCGGGTCTTATGGTATGTATGTGGGTGCTTAAGCCAGCATGGTATCTTTCTGCTAGATTAGTCAACCCCCTACCTAGGAGGCATGGCATGATACCCTGGCTTTGGTCTTGTTCGTCGTTACATATTCACGGCAGCATATCACGGCTGACTTACAGTAGAGGATTATGACCAGTCGAAGCTTAGGACGATACAAGCTCTTTGACATCAGCTGTAAACACGGGATGTTCCGTAATCTTTAACACGAGAGAAGCGTAGGGTATCACTGAAAAACAAATCAGATTCAAATTCAGGAGTATCAATGGTCAAACTTTGATCCCTCGCTTCTGCCCTGACAAGATGAAGAGAAGTTGGAGCTCCCACCCACTGCTCTATGTGGCATGCCATCCCCAATGCCCTCGTGCTCGCCAAGCCAGCATCCCAACCAGGGGCCCGTGTCTACATTGCCTCTGAGGGGAAGAAGTCAGGCGATCCAGACAGCCAGCTCATTCACCACATCAGAGCATGGCAGAACACAACAACAGCCGGCCGCGGCGGGCAGGATCGTGTAAAGACGAGACAACATCCCGGGTTCGGCGTCACAGGCGTAACGACTCAAGCAGCAAATCTCACCTCGAAGTCTTGGAGCATACTCTGAAGGGTCACAGCTGCCGCTCATGAAGCTCTTGTTCCCCGTGTCTGTCTTCAACCAATCCCGCCGACGCACGATCTCGGAGTTGGACTGGTCCGGACATGCAGTTTGGTCGGGTCCGGCCGCAAGCCTTTTCTCGAGCATGAAGCCGTCGTACAAGAGCACTACCCAAGGTAGAAACCGAGCGGAGCTCCTCCTGGCAAGCAGAGCCTATCATTGCCGCCACTGTGAAGCTTGCGAGTTGCCGAAGTCTTCTAGGCCCATCATGGGCTGCGATCTGCATACAGCAAGGCCAGAATCGAAGGGCAACAGCCGAAGAAGATGAGGCCGAGGTCGTAGGACGCAGGGATTTGAAGCGATAGAACAGGCATGCAGCCTATAGCAACAATGATACTGACCCTTCGAAGTAAGCACTTGTCATCATCGTCGATCTCCTCATGTGAACGCCGTCGCTCAACTGGTATCTGTCACTAAGAGAAGGCATTCGCTGCCATCCCAGCGATGAAACAGCTGGCCGATAGGAATATAATCACCCCAACACAAGATCGTTCTCAGGATGCCCTCATCTTCACAACCCCAAACCGCAACAGCCAGTTGTATCAGTCAGTAAAGTTAATTGAGGGGGCACTGCCAGGCTGACTGCCATTAACAGCCCGTGTGCAAATGCCATAGCACCCAGCACGTACTCGAAAGCTGCTATAGCAACTCCATACAGACTTCAAGCATCCACAAAGAGGCCATGATACATTTCAGGATTTCCCATTTGCGCGACTGCCACTGGCTGGTGGTCTAGAGATTAATGATATACAGGCAACGTCCGACTTTGTTCGCTTCCCTCAACAAGTGCAACTATGCCCCTCCCTCCCTTCCTTTCCACCGTCATACAGGCCTGTGCTTTTGTCCCGAACCGTTGACTGACATCAGTCGGAACCACTCTCGTCACCCGGCCGTCGACGATGGTTTCCACCACCACACCTTCGCAGTGGAAGTACCCGTGCGAATGGAAAGCGTCAACTGGGGGGAGGAGGGGGGGGGGGGAATCAAGCCAGTGGCCAGCCAGTCCATGACGCCAAAATCCAAATGCAATAGAGAAACACACCACCACGTCCGTTCGGTTTTTCCATCGCTGGCAACTTCCCCCTGTACGACTGACCGACTTGGTGCCCGCGGCTTCGTGTACTCTTGCTCTTCCTCGCTAGCGGCAGCTTCACTCTGCACGAGATCCTCTGTCTCGGGAGACAAACACTGACTGCTTCGAGCAGAGGTGCTTCCGTTGCGGTCCGGATGAAGTGAACACCCACGCCGCTGCACCTCCGGTACGTATTATAGCACAGCGTCCTCCGCACAGAGCCCTGTGACCGACTGATGCCAGCAGAAGCACGTGAGAAAAAAAGAAGTCATAAAACAATTTGGGGAAGTGAAAGATTTGTTACAGGTCGCGAGAAACGCTCTATCGGACGCGAGGTATCATAGTGATGGAAAAAAGAAACCTGTAACTTTTTAAGACATGACTTGATGCCCCCGTAAATGCAACGCAACCGTTCCGAGTCTATGCATGATTGATGTTCCCGCAAATGCAAGACATGTCTATGACTGGGGATGGCAATACATTCACTTGCCTTCCTTGCCACCGGCCGCCGGAGTGACCTTGGCCAGAGCCGGTGACGCGGCCGTAGACGGAGGTGATGCCGGGTGTTCCGAATCCATGTTGGCCAATAGACTGTGATTATGTTAGCATCTATAAACTTGGAAATGGTACCACGTTGAGGCTCACCTGAACGCGTTCTGGTTTTCTCTGACAGGAGGGGTACCTGTCCTCGACGAGCCACCGGAGTCATCTGCACCGCGACCTCCCAACGAGCTGTTCATCCCCAAACGACGGCCGCTGTTGCTTCTTGAACCCAGCATTGACTGTGGTCCTAAAGTCAGGCTGCCTCCCGTAGGACGACTGGCGCCGCCCTTGAGGCGTCGCAGATCGTCCATTCCGACTTGGTTGGGTATGGGTTGCGGGAAGCCAGAGGAGAAGTTTCGTCCATCGTTGCGCCCGTACTGTGAGCGTCCGCCAGGACCGCCTCTCTGGTTGCCCCGAGCAGCCTCAGCAGCTTTCTGGGCTGCCGCAGCCTCAGCCTCAGCGCGAACCTCGTCAAGGGTCTTCGGACCTTTATTGGCTTCCTTCGAAACCCAGCGGGCCTTTCTCAGGTCCAACACGTCCATGAGCATAAACTTGAGTCTGCTGGGTAGCTCGGGCAAGTTGACCATACCCTGGATGCGATTGAAGTAGGCATCCATCATACCCTGGCGATCGGCGGCATCCAAGTTGGCACCGATGGTACGTAGCAACTTCGAAAGTGATTCCACTTCAGCCTCCTCTGGCACACCGGTGTAGTCGACCAGCTTCTTCACGCATTCATGCATGATGCGTTCAGTGAGCATTTGTAGCTTGTAGAGCTCACCAATGAACTGGATCAGACCCAGGCCTCTTCGCTTGGCAGCAGCTTCCTTGTAGTAATCCTCAGAGAGCATGACAGCCTCTTCCGTCTTGTTCTCCTCGCCCTCTTCTGGCTTGGCTCCGATCTGCATCTTCCAGCCACGCTCAAACTCTTCCTGACATCGGTTGAGGAGGTATTTTCGGAACAGCGCGCCTCCACTGACGACTTGACCATTCTTGTCCTTGATGCTCTCATCCCGGATTTCGGGACTCATAGTCTCCAACATGCGCTTGCAAAATTTGGCATACATTGAAGCCCAGTGCGCCTCGTCTGTAGCCTTCTCAAAAGTGAGTTGAATGACTTGTCGAAGAGTCCTGCCGTCCGCCTCCTCTTTGGACTGCGCAACAATGTCCAATATCTGGTCCGATATCTTGTCGAACTTCTCGGGAGTCATCTTGTTGAGAGCAGCCTTCACCTTTCGCTGTACCATTGCAGGATCCATATAATCGGCTTGAGCAAGGTTACTGCTCTGCGGGCCTTTCCCAATGCTGGTTGGTTTCCAACCGGTTGTGGAAGTGGGAAGGCCTTCGATCTTCATGTGGGCGGTAAGCGGCATGGTCTTAGCTGCCTGAGCTTCCGACTTGGCATTGAATGTGTTCTGCTTGCTGGGGGCACGACGGCTGTTCGTCCTGGGAGAGTGGGGCATACTGCCACCACCCATGTTCGTCGTCGATGGTGTGCGGCTGATCTGGTTACCACCAGGGAACGAGCCACCGGGTCGCTGAAAGCTAGCCATCGATCCCATTGCAGGTCGCGGCATTGATTTACTGTCAGAAGCCATCTCGAACCGCTGCTGGGACGTCGTTCCAGGGGGCAGTGTGCGGCCCCCAGGTGCTACGAATCCTCCCATCACAGGGCCGGGGAAACCGGGGCCGCCTGTCCTAGAGTTCTGCCGACCGGAACCACCCGCAGGGGTCCGCGCAGAAGCGGGTCCCCTTTCGCCGTCACCAATGAGGCTCTTCACTTGCTGGTGGAAATCGAGAGAAGGCTGCTCAGTGAACACAGCCTTGAACTGGAGAAGGAAGCCGGGGTCGTACTTGAAGGATGTACCCTTCTTGGCAACTGCCGAGTTGATGGCAGGGTTGGGGGAATTGATACCAGGTGGGTACATATCAGTCTTGATGACATCCAGGAGTCTTGCGGTCTTCAAGGACTGAAGAGCTGCACTGGGCTGGGGCGGCTCAACCGACTTGGTGTTGAGGGGTGCGAGGTTCAGGGCTGCGGGTTTGGGTCCGCGGCTACCAGGGCTGGGCTTGGCACCAGGTGCTGAAGCCGACTTGTCGTTGAGGCTGAGATTGGCCAGCTTCGTGACAGTCTCGCTGGTCGAAGGATTGTCACTCTTAGAGTTTGGCTGCTTAGACAGAACCTGGTCGAGAGCCTCTTTGACACTCGGGGCAGAGCCTCCTGCAGCGCGTTTGCGCTCCCTTTCTTCCTCAAGCCGCTCCATCTCTCTTTCCTGCTCACGAAGCTTGCGATCTTCATCGGCGGCGTTTGCGAGTTTGGCCTCATCTGCGGCCTTCTTCTTCGCAGCCTTCTCGGCTTCATATCTGGCATTGGCCTCCTCTTCTTTCTTCTCATTCTCTTCCATTTCGCGGATCATTGCCTCCACGTCATCCTCGGATGGATCAGCGGGCTTGGGGGTTTCTTTCTTGGAAGACGCAGCCTTGGCCGCTTCGGCGTCAGCTTCGGCCTTGTCCTTGGCTTCTTGTTGAGCCTTGGCCTCATCTGCCGCCTTTGCGTCTTCTTTCGCCTTCTGCTCAACCTTTAGCTCTTCTTCAGCCTTGGTCTTCTCGTCTGCGGCAATTTTCTCAGCAGCAGCCTTGTCAGCAGCGGCCTTGTCAGCAGCGGCCTTGTCAGTAGCGGCCTTGTCAGCAGCAGTCTTTTCTGCGGCGGTCTTCTCCGCAGCAGCCTTTTCAGCTGCAGATTTATCAGCGGCGGCCTTGGCAGCAGCTTCGTCTTCCTTGCCCTTCTCGCTACCAGCCGCTTGCAGCATCTTCTGCTTGAACTCATTGCGCACTTCCTCTGCGCTCTTGCCATTCGACACGCTATCAGTTCGAGTGTGAGTAGAAGCAGCTGGCTTGGGAGTCGAGGCCTTGGGAGGCGGGGTAGGAGTAGATGCGACAGGGGGCGTCCTAGAAGGCTGACTGGCAGTGGCTGGCGATGGAGGAACGTTCAAGTTCTTGAGATCCACAGGCTCACCAGCGGCATTCCTGATTGTGATGGCAGCGCTCTTTCTAACGGGACGCGTGAATTGAGGCGAAGCGGCCACCACAGGCTTCATCTGTGCAGGCTGAGATTGAGGCGTGCCCTGCGTAACAGGCGGCTGAGCCTGGCTAGCACTCGAAGCGGGTCGTTGATCAGCTGATAGCTGTGACGTGCTTCGAGACATTGGCTGACCGCCAGGAGGATTGTAGGGGCCATTGTAAGTGGGTTGGTAACCGGGAATAGGGGAACCTGGGTTATTCATCATCTGCGGGTAGTAAGGCATGCCGTGCATGGGCTGTCTCATGGACTGCTCGTAATAGCCGCCGTTGAACTGCTGTTCACTAGTTAGCAACTCAAAGTTCCCATTTTCAGGCGAGAGATCAATGTGACCCGAGGGCCCAGCAGGGTGAGGATATGGGAAAGGGAAAGTGGGTGAATCTGTAGCGGGTGGCCCTTCCATCATGTCATATGAAGAGAGACTACCGCGCCGCAAATTATCCCCAGCTCGGTGTTCGAATCGCCTACTATGGCGTGCGACACTGGGGTAGAAGTCCGTGTTGTTTCTGACAGACTCCACTTGTCGCTGTTGATTCGAGTACTTCTCGCTATCACGACGACCACCCCTTTTCTTGGTCTTGGTTGAGCGCTGATAATTTGTCATAGAAGGAATGGAAGGGGTGAATACTTGGGGAGGAACTTGATGAGGTCCAGTATGAGGAGGTGCGTAGTAGAACGGCGGCATGTGGGTGGGAGGCATATTTGGATGCTGCGGCATGGCTTGCTGCATGGCAGGGCTCCGATTCTGCGGTGGTGGTGTTCCGAACTGGTGAGGAGGTCGTCCGTTGCCAAAGTTGGGAGCCATTCCACCTCGTGCTTGATTGCCCTGGGGGCCTCTATAGTTGTTCGGGGGGTATCCGGCGGGCTGATTGTATGAGTTGTTGAAACCTCGACCACGTCCGGTGCCCGGGTAACCACCTCGACCACCCATGTTTCCGGGAGGCGGACCGGCTTGGTTGCTGACGTCGCTAACATTCGAGCCCCGTCGGAGGTGGGGTGAGTGCTGCGGACCAAGAGCACTGGGATCTTGCGAGCTGGAGGCCGTTCTCATGTGAGGTCGCTGATGTGTCATGGTCAGCATTATTGTACTTTCGTTCATCAGACTGTTGAGCGCAGAAAGGGACGACAGATGTGTATGAGCGGATGCCAGATTATTACTTACCTCGACGTCGCCACCACCGAAGCTGCCGAAAGTCATAGAACCACCCTGTTGGGCAGCGCTGGAAGGAGGTCGACCACCGCTCGCAGAAGGCTGCGGGATGGGAGACGGTGAGTTCTGAGGCGAAGTTACTCGAGGATTGCTGCCAGTGGGGATAGGCACAGGCGCAGATCCGAGCTGGGGAGTGCTATGCGATGCAGCCGGTGAGTCGTTGAAGCCGAATTGGAGGTTGCCAGGCTTGGCGGTATTGACAGAACCACCGTTCGCCGAAAAGCTGTTCGGCCCGTTGGCACTCATGGTGACAGAACTCTTTCGGTTGTGCTCGTTGTGGCCGTTGACGGCCGAGGTGCCGTGGGCAACAGCTGGAGCACTGGGCGCTCCGCTCGGGACAGCAGGCATTATGTTTGGCCGGCCGTTCATGGGCGAGATAGATGACGATTTTGCATGTTGTGGGGTTGGCGCAGAGGAACCAGTCGCAACAACCGGGGCGTTAGATCCGGTCGCAACCACAGGCGTAGACGACTGCTTCTTCGCGGCACCGGCAGCAGAGGCGTAAGAGGGGGCAGCAGGAGCCGCGGTGCTGTTCGACTGCTGCTGATTGACGGTAGAAGTCATAAGTGTCGGCGTGAAGTATTTGCGGGAAGTGGTTATTGGTATAATTTGCCGGAAGAGATTTCTCGTCTCGCGTTGAGGGATAATCTTCTTTCTCCCGCGTGCGCAATGTTCGGGAATAAAGAGAATTAAAAGGGCGAAGTCGGAAATGGGAAAAACCAACACTCAGATATCAAACCCGAGCTGGAAAGGCGAGGGAGGTATGTGCGTGAGAAGTGAATGTCAGACTCCTCGGGCGCGTGAGGTGGTGATTAAATTAGGTACTGCGAAAACGCTCTCTCCGAAAGGGACAGACGCCGCAATCGAACTCGGGCGTTCGCTGGGTGATGGTAAGCTGATGGCAAGCTGGTGGTGGGCGGCACACAGGTCTTGGTATCCGTTACTACAAGGAACGGAAAGATCGTTGTCGCGCGATCGAGAAAGGTCGCAGCAATCGGCAGAGGATGCTGGGCGGTTCTGGTGTTGGGAGGTGGGAGGTGGGAGGTGGGTGTCCTCGAGGAGCGAGGAAAGCGGTCGACTTGGGCGAACGCGCAGAACGTCGGTCGCTGGTGGTGTCCCGACGAGAGTAATTAGGAGTGGAGAGAGGTATTCTCTGTAAACCAATGCAGAGAGATACGACAAGCTTCCGTCCTCGATGATAAAGGTCTCAACGAGGGAGAGAAACGACCGGTACAGTGAGTGGTTCCTCCTGTTGGTCGAAGTGGTTGATGATCCGTCAGATCAAATGGTTGTGGGTGAGGAAAGGGTGAAAATTAAATCGGTGATAGAATTTTTTTCGAAGGGGGAAAGGCTGGGTCGCTGCGCTCTCTTTCTGGGGGGGGGGGCGCACTGGGAACGCACTGGGCCACAGGCACAGGGGTCAATCCGCGAGTGCTAGTGCCCATTGTAGCGGCTGGGGGGTGGGACTGTAGGCTGGTAGCTGAGCCGGGCCCCGCTGATTGCCAGCTCATTGTACCTCTCCAGCGAGATTGTGGTGCCCAGGTACTTGCGCCGGCCCGTTCATCCACTCTATTTAACTCACTCCCATTTCGAATTCTAAAGTGGCATTCTCCCATGAACCATCGTCCTATTCACTGCATCCTCTTCTTTTGACTGCCTTCTCAATGTTATTGCTACCAAGTTGACTTTCTTGTAATAATGTCAGCTGCCTTAGGTACTTATTGACTTCAAGTCCGACTCCATATCCTATTGTCAAACAAGGTGTCTCTGTCTGTGACTAAAAGTTGGGCTGTGCGCGGGTTTCCTCCGCGATGAACTCGCATGCAGCTGGCCTCGGCTCTCTCAGGTGGCAGCCGACTGTTCCAATGTTGCCTCCATTAGGAGAAGGCGAATTGTTAAGGTATCTATCTCCATGCCACCTGTGACGGCATCCTCTCCTCAGTGTTAGGCCCTGACTCGGTACTGTATCAACCACTTGCATAAAGCCAAGAGCAACACGTCGACGACAAAGAAATCCCCAGCACGGTCATATATTCCGTTACCGGCATTTTCACTTGTCCAAATTTTATTACTAATAAAACTCTCTCTGGGGGTCTAGGGCAAGTTAATGGGTGTTGCTCAACCCAGACCAGCCACGCCCCCTTCTTCTCTTTCGGCGAGTTCTGTTTCGAAACACGCTCTGGCAGCTCCTACGCGTGTCACCCCATGCTTCCCACGAGGCTTGGCCTCGTTTTTCCGCCTGGATTGTACAGTACATGACAGATTTATTAAAACAGTTAAGACCCTTGCTGCCTTGTTCTCGCGCGCGGAACATATCGTCCATCCGTCTGGAATCCGCCGTCACATCTACATCTGACTCCATTGCCCACCTCCCAGAATAGTACCACTGCCCGCTCCTGCAGACATGAAGATGCGAGACTCGCCACCAGTCATCTTGTGAAATGAATAGCAATAATAATAACATCAAGTCCTAATTCGGGCAATGGAGAGTAACTGAGTACCTAGCTAGCTACATCAAGGTGGTCTAGGCCCAGCTTGCCCAGTCCCTATCACACCTGCCAATTCTAAAAGCGGAATGCGCAACCTCGCAGCCGACGGCCGACGGGAACCAACACCACATTTCAGCTAAAATTACAGACAATTGACTCAAGTGTGACTATTTTTTGTTTTAACCACGGGCAGCCCATCCCAGCTAAATCCCTCTAATTCGTTCTAGGCCCGCTGCTAGCTGCCTCCATCAGACCCCGTCATTGACGACTCTGCCCCGGATCTGCCAATATCTCCGGGTTGCACTAATAACAAGAGATCACAAGCAACACTTCGATTCCTTCGCGAACATGTGGCGGTTAAACGGCTAATTGAACCTTGCGAATCTGAATTGGGGACACACGGCACACCAAAGAAGAAAATCGGCTTGGTTCATCTCTGACTGCCGCTCCCCATCAGAGAATGCGGTGTGTTTCCAGTCACTCTGATCGGCTATGTCAGAAGTCTGACGGGGCTAGATGGTGACAAGCATACAACGTCGACGCCATACCAAACAGCTCTCCCGCCAACCACCACGAGCGAATTATCAAGGTACATTATCGACCTGGAAGATACAGCCAGTCACATCGCCCTTCGCCACACGACGTGCGTACCTAGTTATGGTCTCTCGTTTGACTCATCTTGGGGAAGAAAGTCATCAAGCGTCATCACGAACCTGCTAACCGCGATCCCTTCTGGAATGGATGTCAAAGAAACAGTCACCCACTGCGTGGTCTGGCTACATCCATCCATACTCACCAACTCTGGGCCTTCTGAAGAACAAAGACACAATTCCCACGACGAGCTGAACCTTGTCACATCCAGGCCTGCGAGAGGCTCTGCGGCACACGCGCAAGGGTTCTTCTTCTGACTCGGGAGCTGATCTCAAGGCCCAGAGGGCCTGTCACAGGCTGTCACAGGCTGTCAGATGTTGTCCATTGGGGTTACGTGCAGCCACCAGTGACTTGTCACAGTGCCAGTACATACGTACATCAGATACGTGCCACAGGTAGGGCAGGCGCATATGCAGCATGACCTCAACACCCTTTCTTGCTGATCAATGATCATCATCACGGCCCACCTGGAAATTCCATATCGCATATCTGCACCGGAGAAAGATATCCCAAACTGCCTCCTCACTCACATCATACTGCAACATGACGCCCTGTGACACTACAGACGGACGGACTTAACGGCCGACAGGCGAGGCGCGGCCGGGAATCTGCTCGCCTACGACGGATGTCGGCAATCATTATCATCATCTCCAGCTTGTGGCCCCCTATTGGTATCAGGTACTGCGTAGCGAGCCGTGATAGGGAGTGTGGAGGATATATCTCGGGTACATGTGCCAAACAGCCGAGCCGGTTCGGTTCGGTCGCTTGGGGTTCGCCTCGCCTGTTCTTCGGTTGGGCTGATGAGACGCCTCCAACTAAGTTCGAATGGGCGGGACGAACGAACGCCACATTCTCTGACCTACACCTCAATTTGTGCTAGGTATACAAATATCTCCAGACTAGGTAGTTGCCCAACAACACGTATGCCGTACCATGGCATCCCACAGCATCTTTGGCATGTGTCAAAGGACCTCCTGTTCCGTTAGCCCAACCAGCCAGGCAGAAGGAGCCGAAAACCATACATAGCCTTCAATATAGATACCTCAGTACATAACATCCTTACATTACCAACGTTTGGTACTAATCAAATGAGCAAGCAATTGTCTACAATTGAATGTGCATGTTGATACTCATATATTTTTCTTTCACTTAGTTATGAAGCGTTCAAAACGAAAGGTAGTAGAATCTCTACCAACAACGTGCTGGTGGTGTGTGTGGCTGGTGGCTATGTATGGTTTTCGGCTACTTCTGCCTGCCAGCGCGCCAAGAGGCGCCTCATGGCGCCGCAGCGAGTGCGAGCAAGAATATTCAGGTCGCTTTTCTTTCGCTCGCTCGCCAGTCTCATGCTTCATTCAGTCCCGAGATCCTCATGACATTTTCTGGATCCAGAAACGTAGGTACAGGCAGGGCGTCAGGATTATGTTGGCCCGAGGTTTGCGGGTACTTGTGGCGCAATGGAGGGAGACCACTGCATCGAAGGACCAAAGTCGAAAAGTTCAACCGTTGCTGACTGGTTGGTCAGGTACGAGAAGGCCCCAAACTTAAACTCGGTTTTGAGGGCAAAATCTGAATCCTGGTGACAGCGGTATGGACAAGACAGCGCTGTTGTCTTTTGTAAAGGTCTATCTACTGCCCCTTGGCAGCAAAAACGCTCTAAATAAATGGGGGTAAGGCCCATATACCCGACGCCCCTACTGCCCAACGCATTGCTTACACACAAGGGTGGATTCTGCTCACAAGTATTCATCAAGTCTCTGACAGTACTTATCTGCCTAGGTACGTTGGCACCTCGCAGGGAACATTGGGTGGCATAGAGGCTGTTCAAAAACAGGCCATAGGAGCAAGAGTGGTGCTAGAGGGATATGTATATTGTACGGTAGAGGGTGTAACTATCTCAATATGCGAAGGCTGTCCATCCGTTCTTCGTGCTCCAAACCCGACCAAATCATATTGACCGAGTGCTTCTATACATAACCTACATACGTACATCGTTGTGGTCTTGGTATCTTGGGGTGCTGCTTTCCTTCAGAAAAGCAAATCTACACGAATTTTCACTCTTCCTCAGCCTCGAATCCTTCACCCGCCACATCTATGTCCTCTTCGCCGTCTTCGTCACTCGGAGCGCCGACATAGGGGACCCCCTCTTCTTCCGCGATGGGCTTCAGTGCCTGTTCTGGCTCTTCGGGCAAGCCGCGCTCCACACGCAACTGCTTGACCTTCGCCGTGGTCATCTCGTAGACAAACTGCCCAAGATGTTCGACTCCCTCCATCACCGCCTCACCAGGTAACGTGGCCCCATCCTCCTCTGCTTGGATCCGCTCCGAGGGCCACATCTCTCCCGTCGCAAGCATCAGCTTGTCTGGTCGCTGAAGCAAGATATCAAATGCGGGACGGAGCTCGTAGCACGCTTCGAAGATCTCTCTTCGTCCGAGAATGTACAGGCCAAGCCGGGCACGCGAAAGTGCAACCGTCAAACGTCGCACATCTCGAAGGTAACCAACCCTTGATGTGCGTGTAAGTGAAAGAATGATATCTACACCTCGTTAGTCAGGTTGCTCCACAATTGTCCAAACCGTACTTACAGTCATTTTGTTCGCCCTGGTACTTGTCGACCGTCGTAACGATCTTGGGCAACCCAAATATGGCATTCTTCCCACATCGATGGGCTAGTACGTCTTTTACAAGAGCTCGCTGGCCGGCGTAGGTCGTTAGGATACTGATCTTCGAGGCTGGATATCCCAGCAGGCGCATGTACTGGTAGAGAGCAACGGCATATTCAGCTTCACCCAGATTTTGAATGAAATGAGGCGTTGGTTCGACTTCACCTTTTCCCTTGTAGTCGGGCACGTTGATGAACTGGTAGTCGTATTTGAAGCCAGCGTTGGAGGTCTGGAACTCTTTCCGGCTTTCAACATGCGGTAAGTTCCCAAGGTTGGGGTATCTCCATTGATACAGAGCTGCAATGGACGGACGGGCACGACCTTGTTGGTCGAGTGTGATAGCCGGTATTCCCAGGCGGACGAAGCGGGAAAATAGTGATTGTTCGAGGTTGGCGTAATGGCGGAAGGCAAGACTCTGGATGACAGGAGAGTTTTGGTAGTGATCACCACAGAGCACGACCCTCTGTAATGCTGTCTGCCCATCCTTGGGTTTTTGCATGGCGAGAGGAATGAAATTTTCAACTTCCGTGATTTGTGCGGCCTCCTCCATGATAACATTATCATAGTGAAAGCCGAGCGATGCAATCTCAGTACGCCGCATAGCAGCGTGCGTTGATGTCATGGCAATAATGCGAGCTTCGTTTGTAAGAAGATAGTTCGCCTTGTCTCGGTCGCGCCTCAGGATCTCGAACGGCTGTACATCCTCGAGTTCTGAGAACATCTTCGAGATATGCCGATAACAGCCATCTGTAACATCCAGGACTGATTCTTGATCGTCCTCGGCGGGGAAGAGTGGCTGAGGGGCATTCGAGAAAAAATTGTGGAATGGGAAGGCTTGGATGATATCTGCTGCTGATGAATCTTCGGCTTTAGCAACTTCGGTAAATTTCGCCCAGGCTGGTTGAACATAGACGGAGTTGAAGTAGCCCGCAGTCTCCGCAGAGTTCCCGTGGGCACCAGGGGCACCCATACTCGCCGCCAAACGGTTCACTTCCAGCAAATAGCGATCTCTGATCTCGAGGAAGGATTCAACTCGTCCATGCTTGCTGAAGTTACTTTCGGTGTCAAGTTCCTCTTCGCCATGACCAAGCCGAAGTAGATGCCGCTCATCGATGTCCAGAGCGACAATCTTGGCAAATAGCTGGTTCAGTGCCTGGTTGGAGTGAGCGATGAGCAACGTCCGCTGCTCGGGAAAGTTGTGATATATATTGTTGATGATCTGTGTGGCAACGTCGGTTTTGCCCGTCCCAGGAGGGCCCACGATAACCGTCAGTCCGGGTTGCGTACCGGACATGATGGCATCGATTTGCGCGGGTGTGAAGCGCACATTGTTCAGCTTCGGCGCATCAACAGGGTACGGGCCTGTGTTGGGAGGCTTGTAGGTGGAAACTTGGTATGTCTCTACCTCAGCAAGAAGGGCTGGCTCTGCATCTCTCCTGCGTTTCTTTGAGGGTTTCGTAGCTGGTTTCTTCGGAGGTTTGTCTACCGATTCCAAGACATAAGGAGGGCCAAAGCTCTCAGACACATCAAAACCTGGCTCGATAGTCTTACCAGGAAGGCTTGCAACCAGGTGCTGCCAATCCAGAAATGTGTCCCTGAAATCGACCTTGGCGACTCGGTTTGGCAGATGTCTGTAGGTAGCGCCGGCTGGGTCACCATAGCCTAAGAAGTTCTCATGCAGCCATGATGCCAAGGGAACCTCTGAGAGTGCCAGACTGCGGATCGACTCTAGCACTGGCTTGAAGTTGTTTTCTCTTCCACTTCGCCGGACGATCAAGTTGACCCGTTCGTACACGTCCGGCTTGCCCTTGGACGCCCGTTCCATGTCCTCCTTGTACATCTTTGGGTCTAGTCTGAGCTGGATTCTCCGAGTCTCTGACCGATTGGACCCATTGAAGTATGTATTAGGGTCCCTGATTGACTTGCCCTTGTCGTCTAGTATCTGGACAACCTCCGCAGTGCGAACAGACACTAACCCGAGCTTCTGGGCTTCAGACATGGCACTGCTGCCTCCGTTGGATATGGGTTTCGGTATCGTAGTGTCCATTGCAACAAGAAACACAGCGTCATCTGGTCGGAGGGAATCCCACTCTCTCCGAACGTGGTCACCAAGTCGACGGAAATCGAGGGAGACCTCAGCTCGGACTGCAGATGGCTTATCATCCCCAACCAGTGCGGGCACGACCTCCAATATCGAGGGGCGAGATATAGGTAAAGCCATCTTGGAGGAGCCGGCGAATCCAGTCTCCCCCGACCGCCTGGTTTCTGGCCGTAGACGTCTTAGAGAATCGCTGATGTCTTTTCTGATGCCATAAAATGACTCGCACCGGTAGAGAATTAGCGCTCTCCAGAGGAAGTCACCGACGGATAGGTACTGAAGCTTGAGCTTTGGTAGTGCAAGAGGTTGAGATCCGTCGTAAGTGTCTGTCCTCAGTAGACTCTGGTCGAAGAGACTATCCTCCGTTGGGAGGATGCTCAGGTCGCGAGCAACCTCCTGGAATGTCTTTCGCTTCTCGAAGGTCGATAGAATTACCTCCATTATAAATGGCCGATCAATAACAAGCTTGACGGACTCGGGGTACTCAGTCCTAAGATCCAGAAGCGTCGCCAGCCTGACGAGCTCCTCGTCTGTAAGAACATCAAGGAGGTTCTCTAGATCGTTTCGCTTGTCTATCGATCCATAGTTCGATAAAGCCAACACAGTGAGCTTCTCTTTGAAATGTCGTAGTGCTACCCGCTGAAGCTTGGCTAGCCTAGCACAATGCCGATCGTATGCCTCTGTGTTGCTATGTTGCACCCCGGTCTGGTCATCAATCGTGAAATACGCATAGTGACTCAGCAAAGCGCACTGATCACGAAGTAACCCGTTGTCCTCATCATTGACTATAGGAGACAGTCGCAGAGCAGATAGGACATGCAGGTCTTGTAGTAATGTGTTGACATATCGCCTCGTGGGGAGCTGGCTCAATAAGTCGGATATGAATTCGAGGAAGCGCTCGCAGTAGTGTACCTGGTCCTGCTTCCTCTTGGCGTCATAGAGCAGGCGCAGGAAATCCAGCGTCAGCGTGTACAGCCAAGCTCTCTCGAACCGTAGACGCGCTTTTGTGGGATCGTCCGCAGAGTCGTACCGCTTGCCTGCTGCTTTCCAGGCCTTTCTGAGCTGTGGCGTCTCCCCCAACATGCTTTCGCGTGTCGTCTCGGAAGATAGGTTATGCCATATCGCAATGGAGACCAATGGCGCGCATTCTTTCCTGACGCTGGCCCAATCAAGACTTTGGAAGGCATAGATGACGAAGGAGAGAAGATGCGTCCGTATGGGTAACGAAAGCGTATGATCGAGGGTCATGGACATGATGCGACGGAAAAAGTCCGAGAACTCGGCCGGCCGGTCTTCGAAAATGCTCCATGTCTCGAGTCTCTCTCTGGCTTTGACGTTGGCGATCAGAGCTATCAGCAGAACGTGGTAATTGGACGAATCCTCGGTATACCCAGGCCAGAGGTAACTGGGTGCTGTTAGCAAAGACAGTACACATAACATTCAAGACCCTGCTCTTCTTACCTCTCAAGAGTCTGCAGCCCCTCTAGGACCAGCAACGACTTGTACTGAAAGCCGTCTTTCTCCAGCGCATCCCATATTTCGCTCTTCAGCACGTCGTTCTTGACCTTGACCTTGGTGGCTCGCTTCGTTGTTTTCAACCAATGCTGCTTCGCAAGCTGGGCGAACTCGGTGTCACCCTCCAAGTCGGCTATGGTCGGTCGGGCCGGGGCCGGAGCCTTTGCTTGCGCCTTGGACTTCCCACCGCTCCTCAGTCGTTTGGCGTTCGGCATCTTCCTTCACGGAGGGCTGTCGTAGGCCGACTGCTGGATGTTCCGGTCTGACAGCTCCAGGCTTGCGGATGAGCTCTGGCGTGGGCGGGCGCGTGCGGGAAGCTCGAGAAGGCTTGAAAATTTGGAGCAGTTGCAAGTCAAGATTTGTGGCGCAAGCGTGTCGCTCACTTCAGCCTTGTCGCGTGTGTCCGCGCTAATTAGAATCTGTTCGCGGCTGCTTGTTCAATGTTGACGTGCCGTTTTAGAGATGCGCTAAGGGATAATCCAGGCTTGTCACTAACCATATTGAGACAGAGTCCCCACACCCCAGCGCATTTCCGAGCGGTGAACTTTGGCAGGATTTTGACCCTGATCCAAAAATATCCAGAGCTCGGCAGGTACGTACCGGGAGCTCGTTCCTCTTGGCGCTTGAATCTCTAAATAATCGCGAACAAAGACGTCCCCGCCAAGGCTACACACACCCACGACTGCACCGTTACCAGCAGCCTCTACGACTTGATATATACTCAGAAACGGAACATGCGCATGGGTCGTCAACTCAGTTTCTATAGCACCGGCGAACTCTTCCGTGGCCTCGACTTGTGTAGCGCACGCAGCGTTCCAGCACGAGGAAAACCGGTCGCCTCACCCAAGCAGTCGTTAGCGAGATCCCACGATGCCTTCAGCTAGGACCTCGGGGCGCAACGTCCCTCAGGTAGATGCCTTTGTGGATCTCTTGAAGGAGTCAATGAACCACGCGCAGTCCATCAAGCCGGTAGCCACTATTGAACCGCCTCTCACCAAATCCGATTTCGAACCCATTACTGCTCGCCTCCCGACCATCTTCCCCGGCGCATCGCACGATAAGTCTCGCCAATGGGCCGTCATCGAGACGGCAGCCCGGGATGTCTTCAGCAACATGATTGTGAGCCGCGCCCCACGTTCTCTAGTCGTTACCAACCGCTGACCGTCCGCAGGCCAGCACCTCGATCGTCTCGCCCGAATTCGTCCAAGTCTGGAACCTCCTTGACTTCCTCTCTGTCTTATCTGACGGCGGGCAATGCGATCCGGCCCTCCTCTTCTGGTTGGTGGAAGAGCTTCTTGATAGTCAGACCGTCGATGCCTGCCGCAACGTTTTCGACTTCCTCGAATCACGAAGAGAGAGAATAACTGCCAAGAATGTGAAACAGAAGGCATTGGTCATTCTCAGATCCTGTAACGATCTACTGCGAAGGTTATCACGAGCCGAAGATGCAGCATTCTGTGGTCGAGTCTACATTTTCATGTTCCAGAGCATACCCCCGGGCGACAGGAGCTCGGTGAACTTGCGTGGCGAATATCATGTCGAGAATGAAACCATCTTCGAGGAGACCGCGACTAGCTCTCAGGATACACCAGACAAAATGGATGTAGACACCTCGGCGGGGCTTGAGAAGAGTGACGCCAAGGAAACCAAGTCCACGACCAAGGCTGTATCATCCGATGCGAAGAATAAACCGGCACCAGAGAAGCCACTTGATACTGACGCGCTATATCCAATATTCTGGTCACTTCAACGCTTCTTCAGCCAGCCCACAACACTATTCGATGCCACTCAACTTACCAAGTTCAAGTCGGGCGTAGAAGCTACCATGAGTGCATTTGAGACGGTGGAGAAGATACAGAAGAGCTCGAAAGGGTCAGATGAGGGCAAGGTAGTTCCCCAAAAGAGAAAGAGTTCAGGAGAAGATGAAGACCTTCGGAGCAGCAACAACAACCCGAAGTATCTGACCGGGAGAGAGCTGTTTGCCTTGGAGGTACGTTCTAAGTATTGCAGATGCTCTAACAGGCGACTAACGGTTTGCCCAGATCAGCGACTTGTATTTCCGGCGCCACATTCTCATCCAAGCCTTTATCGTCCTAGACTTCCTTTTGTCTCTTACACCCCAGGCCAGAGCGAAGATTGCGAATGTCGCCACGCCAAATAAATCCGTGGTCTATAGCGATCAGAACCTGGGGGGCGAAGACGTGAGTATCAAAGCAGACCATTGCCAATCTCGTGTACTGACCACCCACAGGCGCAATGGGCCAAGGCTATGAAGGAGAGGATCATGACTTACATTCAAGCGGAGTCTGATGGGTACTTCTTCTTCCGAGTTGTCGAGAGTGTCATCTCGAGAGATAAAAACTGGGTTCGCTGGAAAGTCGAAGCTTGCCCTCTTATCGAGAGACCTCCCGTCTTCCCTGAAGTATTCAACGAAGCCAGAGCCAATGCCAAGCGCCGTGCCACGAGCAAGAGATCTAAGCCACCCATGGGCTCGCTCCCTCTAGGTTTCATGAGCGTAGAGCAGAGCGACTTGGCGATGGAGAAGCTGAAAGATCCGGCAAGGTGGAAGCTACCCGACTTGGCTGTTTTCAAAGACAAGATAGCCAATGACGACCTCGATCTTGATTTCGCAAAGGATGAGAAAGAAAAGTCAGAGTTAATCGAGGCAAAGGCCAGCAAAACATGGCGAGCGCTTCGGATAGCACGCCGGTCCAGACTGGCTACGTTCGACAAGATTGATGACTGGCAGAAGGTCGATGCTATTTTCCGGGATCAGCCAGACGACGAAGAAGCTGAGGAGGAGACAGCAGGAGACAGTGGACGACGCCCCGAGCAAAGGAAACCAATCATATTGTCGGGATCGAGTGGGGTGGGCAAGTCCACGTTGGTTTCCATGCTCATGGAGAGGCAGAAGGGTGTCTTTGGAAAGATTATCCAACATACTACTCGAAGTCCGAAAGACGGCGAAGTCGAGGGTCAAGACTTTCACTTTGTTGACTCGAAAGAATTCAACACCATCCGAGATGGCGACTATTTCCTCGAGTTCACCGAACGGGACGAAGTTCACTTCGGCACAAACCGGAAGTCAGCTGATGCTATGGTGGAATCCGGCAAAGTTCCCATCATCCAATTGAGTCGTGAGGTAAGAACATCTATGCAGTGATGTAATGCGTTATACTAAAATGCTACAGGGTACGCAGATGGCCAAAGAAAATGGCTTCTCCGCGCGGGTTATCTTCATTGCGCCACCCAGTCTCGATGAGCTTCAAGCTCGTCTAAAGAAGGCTGAAGGCCTGACTGAGGAAGGCCTCCAGAGCTCACTCAAAGCCGCCGAGGCTGACATTGAGCAGTCGAAGTCGGGAGACCTGTACGACACAGTCATCACAAACGACGACCTAGAAGAGGCGTATAAAGCACTAGAGGCATTCATTTACGAAACCCCACAGGGTGCAAATGACATCAATGGGAACGGTGTATCCTCAGAAGAGGACGTCGCAATGAAGGATGAAGCCAATGGCGAGGGCAACCCCTCCTAGGAGACTGGAGGACGCCAGCCGCCAGGCGTGCGACGAGAGCCAGGTCAAAGGAAAAGAAAGCGACAGCAGCGGGAAAGGGCCGCGAGAGAAGCGATTGGTACGGCCGACATGTGGCGTCCTCGCCCTCCACCCTCCAAGAAAGTGTGAGAATACCTTAGTGTTCAATAAAGATACCCATGCATGCTTACCTAGCGGCTTAATACCCGCCGCCTCGTTCTTCACGGCACTGGTCATGATGTCGAGATAAACACACAAGGCTTGGCGCATGCTTGTTAAAGTAATGGCGGCATGGTTCAAGGTACGCTTGCTGCTAATATTGTATGGAAAGCTCCCTACAATCTCTTGAGGTCGAAAGGCCCTTCCGCCTCAACCGTCTCTGGTCTCGCTGAGAATCTGTAGACTTCCTGTAAAGTTGGTAGATAACCGACCCTGGGCTTATGCCCCACTTGATCTTCACCCATTCGTTTCAAAGCCGTTAGCCCAGACTCAGCCGTTCATACCATCCACTCACCTACTACCTTACCGAGCCAACACGACCTGCCACCATCAACAACTTCTAGGTACAGACCAACATGTAAGACGTCTCCATGATTATCGTAGCTCTAATAGCTAAAGCCTACAGGTCCAAGTTTCTGCCCACGCCAAGCGATGTCTACAACCACTTCCGGCCGCTGCCGTATCCCACCAAGGACTGCACGGGCATGACAGTGATCGTGACGGGCGCCAACACGGGCATCGGGCGAGAAGCGGCCCGGCACTTCGTCCGGCTCAACGCAGCGAGAGTCATCCTGGGCTGCCGCAACACCACCAAGGGCGAAGCCGCAAAGACATCCATCGAGACCTCGACGGGGCGCCCCGACGTCGTCGAGGTATGGCAAGTAGACCTCGGCTCCTTCGCCAGCGTGCGGGAATTCTGTCGCCGCGCCGACGCCCGCCTAGATCGTCTAGACGTGCTCCTAGAGAACGCGGGCGTCGCGGTGCTGCCCCACCGGCCCCTCGAGGGCCACAACGAGGAGATCACAGTCAACGTTATCTCGACGATGTTGATGGGCCTCCTACTGCTGCCCGTCCTTCGGCGCACGGCGATGCGGTTCAACACCGTGCCCCATCTGACTTTCGTCGCATCGGGGGGCCATTACTACACCGACTTGGAAGAGGTGCGCGACGCGGCGTCGATCTTCGACGAGCTGCGCCGCGACCGCGACATGAAGAGCCGGTACATGGTGTCCAAGATGCTCCTCCTGCTCGCGGTCCGGCAGCTCGCGACAGAAACTAACACGTCTGGGAAGCCGCAGGTCGTCATCAACATGCTCAACCCAGGGTTCTGCCGGACGGAACTGTGGCGCAACACGCCGGCTGCGTTCAGGTGGATCGTAGACCTGGTAGGGCTGACGGCACGGAGCAGCGAGATGGGATCGAGGACGCTGTTCTCGGCTGCTGTTGCGGGCGAGGAGACGCATGGTCGGTATATGTCGAATTGCGTGCTTTCGGATGAGAGTCCATGGGCGCGGAGCCCGCAGGGCTATGAGGTTCAGGGGAGGGTTTCCGCGGAGCTCAAGGCGATTGTTGATGGCGTTGATCCGGGTGTGTCGAATAATATATGACGTTGCCTGAAGCAGAGCAACGCATCGATGTGAAGCATGGCCTCCAGGACTGGAGACGTCAGTTTACGCAGTGCCCCCTCAAATAGACTTCCCCCCTAAAAAGATTGATTTTCCGATCCCTCCCTAAATTCCTAGTGATGTTCCAACCTCAGCAGCTTTGCAACTCGCACTTCGACCGATGTGAGAGTCGCTCGCGGTAGAGGAGAGCGAAGGTACCAAGTATTAGAAGGCTCTGAGCTACCACAACTACCTGTGCATTACCCAGAAGGGTTCCGACGCAAAGCACCGTCAGATATAGCTTCTGGGTCCCATCTCCTCCAGGCTGTTGGTACCGGCCGCAAATACGGATTCCCAGCTGTCTCCTGGAAATCGATGCCTCATCAGAACGACGCGTCACCCAGACCAACCACCAGCGGCTAAGACGATGCGTACGCGGTGACCGTACCAAATGGCAGTACGGGATCCAGTAACTAATTGGGATCTCAGCATCGTACATATTCCACTAGGAACCTCTCTCTCACGAACCTTACTCTACCTCACTAATGGCTAAGCGGCTCGAAATACAGAGGGCATCGTCCCTCTCATCTTCATATACACTAAAGATCCAATCCCGTCCCAGAACGAGGCCGGGAATGGATGGTGGACGCGAAAGAGCAGCCTGTCATAGATGTTGCCTTGATCTCGACTCAACCAGGCAAACAAGCGAATCACTAAAACACAACTATCGCTGTCTGTTTACGGAAAGATTGAACTCAGCGACCCTTCCGCCAATCACGCGGAGAGGACAGGAAGGAAGAAGTATGGGGTTTGTAGATAGACCACACTACCCATAAGCTTTTCCAACCAAGCCATTGCCGCATACCCGGCGACAGCCGTCGAAGAGCCTCTCGCCTACCAAACATCATCCAGGTTCCTGCGGCTCTTATATCGATGGCGTCCACCATTCGCGCTTCCTCGAACGACACCTAGACAACACCACATTTGACATACAACTGTGCAAAGCCTATGCATACGAGTGAGGATCGCATGGAGGAGTAGGATCTATCTCACACCTACCCGTCGTCTGTTCCTAATCATAGATCGAAGGATAACAACGGAACCATTTATGCGGCCAATAAGTACAAACACTTCTTTCACCACGAGTATCCAGCTACACTGCATACATGTACCCAGGCTTGCCAGGAACAAGCCTTATCTACTCCTGTAAGCCAAGCCCCATCTATCGCCACACTCTGGCTCGTATCCACGCAGAACTCTCAGAAGACATACCATGGTCCACCCACCACTCGGCCACCCCCACCACTCGGACTACCAAAACTGCTGTAACCCCCTATTAAGTCAACATGTTCACTTATACCAAATCCAGCCGTTTCTAAAGGTATTTACACCGTAATTGGTTCGCTAAATAGCCTTTTTCTTAAGGTTTATCCCAATCTAAATTGATCTAGTTAAACCCGGCGATAAAGGGGTCTCCCGCCCGTAATTTCTACCCCTTATAAGCGCAGATTTACCCTTTATAAAGCGGTTATCTTCTTTTCTTATATGCAATATAACATCGTAACTTTCAAAATGTCTTTTTATATGGAAGATATTATAGCGGATGCTATATTAAGTGTTACAAATAACAAACTACTAGTTTAAAAATCCGCTTCAAAATAAAGTATCTTTAAACAAACGTTATTAAACCGTGTTAACAGTAAAACCTTTAAAAGAAAACTTAACAGCTAAAAAAAACCTATTTAAAAAGTAAAAAACACATCTAGCCTAATAAATTCTTTGTGAAGAATTATTAGGGCTCGTTTTATTGCATAGTGCTGTTAATGCTATCGTTTAAGCTACTTTGAAATTAAATGGCATTATTAAAATCGTTAAAAAAAACTAGATAAATAAATTTCTTTGCCGTACCTTGAAAATTAAAACGAAAATTAGCTGTAAAAAAAAGCCGCTTAATTTAAAAGCTTTACGCTAATATTTAATAACTAATATTTAAATTATCGCCAAGATTTCGACTAACTGAAGCGAAAAAATACATATAACGTAGACAAAAGCAGTCTTATAACGGGTTTCGATACAAAAATGCCCTTAAATAACCTCTTATTACTTTTAACTATTAGCTAACTTATTTAAAGCTTAATAATTTTATTTTAAGAAGTGTTAGATGTTGGATACCAGATATGATGCCCTTAGGTGCAGTACCCACTAGAGGGCTGTCAAGGGAATAGTGGGTCCACCCTAGCATGGTGCAGTATGGTATTTAGCTGTAGATTAGCCCTGTTGAGCATACTTGAGAATGACAACAACATTTGCAGTGACCGCTCTGTGACGGTCTGACCTTCTGGAAGTCTGTCAACCCATCAGGGTGGCCTGTGCGCAGCATCACATGACCTGGCGCACAAGACGTGTGGCCACAACTGTACTAGGCTAGGTAATAGTGGGGCGGATGGAAGGATCATTAATCCCACCAGAATGGGCTGGCGGGTCAGATCCTTCTTTCCTTCCCCACTAAGAGATTCTTACACGTAGGTAGTGCAATCAGGACTTTTATGTCCTCATCCTATTTACGCGTCGTGACACGCTCACACCCTCAAGGCTTGTGACCCTTCTGGAATCTCACAAGAAGTTTTAAACCGAAAAAAACCTTTTTAAAAAGCGACTAAGGCTGCGGCTAAACCTCGTTTATTAAAGCCGTCTCCGCTACAAGCAAGGCCCTTTTACCGAGCATTATATTTGAAAGAAAAAACTATCAAGTTTAATAGTTCTTTAAGAAAATTTAAAAAGTCACCTCCTAGCATTATATATGTACTGTTGGATGGAATGGTGCAGGTAGTGTGGCTGCAGGTGGTCCGCGCACGGACCAGGTGGATTGGGGTGGTTCGAGCGCCCTGAGAACGGTCGACTAGTGACGTTGCCCTACAGCTCTAGCGCTACGGCAGGCAGGCGCGTTACACCTGTATTTAGGTATGAATTCGTCCGTACCAAAGTAGATACAGAACCACGAACGAATGAACCAATATTTCCGCATACAAATTCTAACAACACAGCTTAATACTACAATATATCAACATCACTACCGTCTTAGCGCATACAAGGACACATTTACATATAAAAAGCTCGCACCGCCCTTCAAACCCCCGGCTAACCCTAGTCTTAACCCTAGCCTTAACCGTATGCCGCTACGAGATTTTCTTTATATTAAACGACAAGATTATAAATGGTACCTCTATTTTGGTAAAGAGCGCACTCAAATAGATGTATTCACAATACCAATAAAGATAGTAAGAGAATAAGAGTGCAGCGGCCAATTAGAGGTGGAACGCTATCCGAATGGGGCTAAAGCATGGCAGAATAGCTTTTTGGGTATAGCAGAATAGACTTACTTCGCCGCACCTATGAGGTGGAAGTAAAGTTCCCCACGTAAAACGGGAAACGGGAGACGCAAATGCCCTAAGGCCAGCCATCGGGCATCTAAAGGTTGATCCGTGCGTTGCCAGCCAGCCAGGAGCCAGCTATACAGAGCCTAGCGCCGGAACGAGATCAGGGGCCTCTGCACCAATCAGATTGCAGGGCTTAACGCAGGAAGAGGAATGGGTGCCGTTTCGTTCCTCAACTTCGTTCTAGAACTTCACTTCCATAGGGCCCAAATTGACCAATCACAACACTCACATCCACCCCCAGACCCACTAATCCTCAATACCACAGTGCATCATCACTACCACTTCACTACCATCACCACCATCATTACCATCATTACCACCACGCGCTTTCAAAAGACACATTCACAGATAGGGGGCTCGCACGCCCCCCAAACCCCCGGCTAACCCTAACCACTAACCCGAATCCTAACGACGTGGTTACCCTGTGAAATTATGTTAAGTACTTCTAGTTAGGTAGGAAACGCATACAAACTAAAGTACTTGCAATGTTGTAGGCGGTGCGCAGCTAATTGAATGGTCGGGATAGCTTCCGGATTGGGTTAGGCCCTATTCGTTTACTGTACGGGCCCTATTGTTTAGAGTTACTGATCCCGGGTCCCCCACCTGGGCACTGACCACCAGACTCATCATGATTCATGGGCGTGAGGGATTGTTAGCGACGATCCCGTCTGGCAAGAGTTCACTCTTTTGTATGCGTTTGAGAGCTGGACGAATTCTGCGCCACCAGTCCATTTCTCTTGCAAAACGTGCTGTCACTTTTCCAGCCAGGCCGACAAAGAATTGGGTTACAATGGATCAAGCAGCAATATGGTTTCCATTTTTTCCACCGGAATACCTCGGCATGATTGCTCATTCCAGGCATGCAATTGATTATTTCGGCAGTTTGTCGGTCAGATAAAACGGGAAGAAGAATATATCGCCGAACCCTTTGAGTTGAGCTGTGATGTTCTCCAGAGCCGGATTCGAACCAAGGTACTAAGGAGAATAGCACAGAGAGAGATGCGGCGACTGGCTGGCAAGTATAACGTGCTGACATCTTCGGCCAGCCAATGGGGAGCCTGACGAATGCGCAGCGCAGCTCGAGTTCTGCGCAAAATCGGTGAGCCTCGAAGCCGAACACCTCACCGTGCTCCTCAAATACCCAGCTCGCAGCTTGCTTCTTGCAACGTGATATATCCATTCTGTTCCTGTACGCTGTATTCCTGTATATGCAGACCACAGGTGTGACAGTTACTCGCATTGCATTCCGTTCTTCCAGTAGTCCTTCACTATTGGATAGCTCCCAATGACTTGTTGCGACGACGACTTAGGTGTGAGAGATGAGATTCAGGAAGAGGTCCGTGATGCTGGGAAGTCACGGCCGGAGAAGTGGAGGACAGCCTCCCTGCCACACTCTGCTGGCTATAAGAGCCGACCAGTGTGGGATACGTTTCAGGACCTTCGGATTGAGAGTCGCAGCGCCCATAGAACCAGAGCGAAAGGGAGCCCGCCTCCAGGCTGGGGACTCGCTGCACCCACCATGCGTCGCCGAAGCCCTTCTCCGTTAGGTCTCGAGCCTGGTTCCGTTGACGATACGCAAGGGGACTCCGGCTCCAACGTCGTGAGTAGAGTGGGCAGCCCTCCTCCGTCCTCACTGACTCGTTATAGTCAGGAACTGTTCGTAGAACTGGCGAAGACAGTCGAAGACGACACGGATCTTGTGCGCCGTTCTTGCACTGGCCCTGTGCACCAAATTGAAGCAACAACCGAGAGTGGTACGTAGGACAACTTTTGGATCAGAAATCAGCAGATCATAGCAAACATGGAAGCTCAGTGGAAGGACTGCCTGCTTGATACCATCACCTCGATCGTTCGAAAAGGGCTAGTGTCGATAACAGTCAACGCAGCTGGCAGCACAGGCAATGCAAATACACCCAGCCGAAGGAGCTCTGCAACGTCTGGGTCATCCTCCACCACTCCAGAGGGCTCGAAGCCGAAAGGGGTGAAGCGAAAGAGCATCGATCCCAAGCGAGATGAACTGGATGGGAACCAGTCTGAATCCGAGGGGGACCCATCTCGCCCGACGGAGACAGCAAAGCAAGCTCCGCAGCCGGAGCAGCGATTCGCATGTCCTTTTTTCAAGAAATCTCCGCAGGTGTACATGTCTCGCAGAGGGTGCCGAGGTCCAGGTTAGGTCTCGATTCATAGGCTGAAGTAAGTAGCATTGAATTCGCAATGATAGGTATCGATAGAAGATACCTATCAATGGAGGAGGGATATGCGTATCAACTAAAGACAAAAGAGGACTGACCAGGGGCAACAGAGAACACCTTTACAGGAAACACAGGCTTCCCGAATTCAAGTGTACCCGCTGCCACAACGAGTTTCGGGACTCTGCAGAGCTTACACGGCATCAGAGATCTAGGGACCCTTGCAAGCTTCTGCCGGAGGGCCCCGTCGAAGGCATTGACTCGCAGCAAGAGAAGGAGCTTAAGAGCAGGAGAAAGGCGGTGACCGACAAGCCAGAACCTGAGAAATGGGTAGACATATACCGCATTCTGTTTCTTGGTGTCAAGCCTTCACTTATTCCTTCCCCATGTAAGTGCAACGGTCTCCGGTACATAAATAGCACCGATTCTTACTCGATATAGATTACGAGTACAAGTCAATGGAGCACTCCCACGCCACTGGAGATCAGCATGCCGCTGACTGCTGTAGCAAGACCTTGTCAGTTTACGGGCAGTATCTTGAGAAGGAGCTCCCATCTTGCGTTCGACGGAAACTCGAAGAGGACGACCTGCTTGACTTAGACTCTCCAGTCCCAGGCCTAGTGGGTGTCATAGCCGATCTGATTCGGTCACTTCAGCCCGAGATGTTGAGGGGCTTTCTGGAGAGTCGCAAGGAAGCACACCGACTTCCTGAGACATGTTCGGTTACTCAAATCAGCACCAATGCTCTTCCCATAGCCGACCAACAAGGCAACGCGCGCATGCATGACCCCTCGACTCTTTTACAACCGATTGACCCCTCGACGCTTTTACAAGAGATTAATGACCTAACCTCAGGCGTGAATTCCTGGTCGCCTGGGTCCGATTTTCCGGAGGAATGGTTTAACGGACTGCCTTGGGATGTCGCAGACCCCCTCGACGACCTCTTGGCGAGAGAGGCAGGCTCGCGCACGGAGGCTTTATCGGAAAAGGAGAACCTCAATGTCCGTCATAGACCCAGTACGAAGCTGTCACATCTGCCGACAAACGTACACACAAAACAAGACATCAATACCCTGGAGGGAAAGCCGTGCTATACTTGCATTCTGCCCACGCACGCGCGCGTACACATATTCCCAACCAGATGTTCTAGCAAGGTAATTGCACATCCTCGACACGGACTTTAACCTATGCTAATCGAACTGCAGACACTTGAGGGTCCACCATCCCTCCAGAGGCACAGATGACCCGTTACTTCTAGCTGTTTCCAGCCAACGGCCCTCAGGTCCGAATCGAGGAGGCCGTCGCAGGCGCGACGCAAAGTCAAGGAGCTACGTGTTTGGCTCCACACCTTCATCAAATGGAGAGTCATCAAATAGTCAACACTTGACTCTACCAGCACAGACGCCGAGGGCTGCTCCTAGGCTGTCCACGGCTACGGTTCCAGACTTGACGAGCGATATATATGACCTCGACGAGTCATCCCCCCAGAGAAGTCCCCTGATGGAGCCAATTCTGCCCAGTCTCGAGCCCTCGATATGTCCATCACTGCCCCTTGCCGAGAGCTGGGCCAATTATGTAAGCTCACCTGCAATCACCATGCATTTGGTCGGAATCTCTAACGATAGCCCCCGCTTTCCTAGCTCCGTCGAGACAGTATCACGGACGCCTCCGCCATGGAGCTTCTAGACGGGTCGTCATCTGTGGACAGTGACAAGGGAGGCGTAGACTGGATCGATCCTAGTGTGCTGAATTCTACGCGCCAGGACGACATGCCTGTCCCTGTTGCCAACGATGCACCTCATCAATACTGGCTATGGAATGAAAATGCCATGAACCATTTCCATCGGGACCCCGATACCGGTGAGGTGGCGTGGTATCCGAGGGAATTTGACTCAGATATATGAGGTGTCTGGGTAGCGGATGGTGAATGACCCCCTGAAGGCTCTGGTTGTATTCCGAAGCTTCGCTCTCTCGCAGACCTATCGTCCTATCGTGTCGCCGTAGGTACCTACCCAACGTACCATTACCTCGCTGGTCTCGTGCTAACAGGCATTTGGCGAACAGAAGCAGTGGCATAAGCAGTGATCCGTTGATTATTCCAGCCATCTTCCCCTGAGATCAATGCTTAGTCCAAGCGATTATGCCAATGATTGCTCTTCTTCATCTTGACGGCACATGACCAATTTTACATTCATCGTCTCTAGCGTCACCACTACTGCTATGTAGGGTTGTACGCCTTGTACACCTGTATTGCTCCTTCAATACTCTGTACGAGCCCGAAAAAGACGGTAAAGAAGATGGCGATCCAAAAGGTGAACCACTGGCCCCCTCCCTCCTATCATGCCACCATTGCACCAAGGTTCGAGGCCTGGAGTCATCGAAAGCTTCTTTCAACAGGACCAAGCGGTCTCTCCAATACCTGTACCGATGTACCTGCCTGACCGCTGGACCCAATTTCAGTGAGGCAAAATCGAGTTCTTCAACGTCGTGCTTCCTCCTGTACCACCGTTCAACCTCTTTGACGCCCTTTGGGAACAAGAGAGCTATCGTCTGCAACGTCTGCAACGTCTCCTCAACGAACCCAGCTGGAAAGACCGCGTTGAGCCTAGGCGGTCAGTCAATAGATGATCATGCAGCTCGATGTATTATCTACCAACTCACTCCTTGTGATACTGCAGGAAAGCTGCATGGTGGTAGATGGTGACGACCTTGAGGTCTTCCCGAAGCAGGAGGTGATCGGCCAGATTCGTCGTCAATTGGACATCGAATCCGGCTATTTGCTCAATGTTCCGGACGTTGAAGCTGCTCTCGAGCTTTACGCCGTCGCAAGGTATTTCTGGTTGGCCGAGGAAAAGGGGTACGGTGCTAATGAAGTCTTCAACGGCACCCGCCGTCCATGTCATCAGGCCTCGTCCGGTGTAGACGTTGTGAAACACGCCCACGTCAAGCATGAGCAGAAGTCGTAAAGCAAGATCGATGGAGTTCTGTAGGACTTCTGGCGAGGCCACTGTGCCATAATCCTCTGTAAGCTGTCTCAAGATATCTGCATGCTGGACATGACGGCGGATGTCTCCAATGATGCTGAGGAGCTGCGCGTGCGTGGCTAGTGGGAAGGGTTTGCCGTATGTCATGGCTATCGATGCCATCTGGTTGCACTGCCTGCTGTAGTACCTGAAGTAGGGTCGCAGGTCGTGAGTCCGGCTGCTGCCAAAGAGCCGTTCTGCCACCAGTCGTTGCGCATCTAGCGAGAGTGAGAGTTCTCTCAACTCAGAGCTCTCCTGTGCCATTGCCGGTGTACGAAGCCGCTAGTCGAGCAATGAAGGCGTGTGTTTTATAACCGGAATAAACACCCTGGAAAAAGCAACAAAAGTGCCGTATTGGATCAAAGCTGATTATGCCAGAGCGGTTGTTCCAGCATGTTCAATATGTCATCGATAGGTACTCAAGAATTTGTTGATGTCGGACGCAGACTTGTGAGGAGTGACTTCACTTACGGAAAGCGAGGCTCTGGTATTGAAGTTGTACTTTTCCCAGCTGAAAACGCCAACGTACGGCAGCCCGGCATAACCACTTCCGATCGGCTGCATCCCTTACCCTTCTATTGGGCGTAGGTATTGGGCCAGTGTGACCCCAGCCAAGAGGAGGCTCACGCCACACTGTCGGTTTTGCTTTTTTAGCAACCATCCTTGTTATTGCACCGATTCAACGTCGTCGGGCCCGATGTCTTTTCTCACCAGTCCCTAGTTTCCACGTCTATTGTCCATCGGCCTTCAGCAAATGGCGCACTAGGTCACTGCCCGGAGACCATGAGCGCAGCACTACCTCACAAGGTCTAATGAGGCTCTGAGACTGCGTCGGGCACGATGCCCCTCCCTTTCATGCCCCCGAAGCGGCTCCCCTGGCCAAAGCCTGAAGAGTCAGTTGGTCAATCGTGGGGACAAATACCCAAGGCAAGGATGTCTTACTGGGATGCAACAGGACCGGCACTTGCGGCTTACACTGAACTGCTGCCCGGGATACTCGACCTCCTGGCAGAGAAACAAGGCCCGATACCAAATTCTGACCTGCTTTGGTTCAGTATCTACATGATCGGCTCCAGCTGCGACCGCGCCCTCCCCCATATCATGTTTGCGGGTGCGCAGCGACCTCATCGGAAGAAGGCGGTCCAAATCATCAAGCACAGCGACCTGCTCCATGACTATCCAGGCATGTACGTAGGCGAATGGCCGGAAGCACCGCACATCGGGCGACAGACACAGCGCACTAGTCGTACCGCATTGCCGAAGATATCTGGCGCCTCGGGCACGGTCCGACAACCTGAAAAAGTTACCGTGGAAGCCATTTTTTCGAACAAGGATCAACAGTCCGCTTTGATTCGTTTTCAATACCGGGGAATCACGATTTGGGCCACCAGCAGTATGTATTTCGACATGAGCGGCTTGCGACAGCTGCTTGTGCCAGCACATGTCCTCTTCTCCAAAAATGAAAAGCAAAGTATGGAAGATGACAGCACTTCGGACCGCAGCGAGGAAGATTACGAATTCGGAGGGTTTCCTTCAGGGGATGAAGAGGGTCAGCGGATTGACCCTTTAGCCACAAGTGCAGGGAGCCTCACATCGTCCGATTCTAGATCATCAGACCCAGAATCTCCAGATGGAGAATCACTGGTCTCTGAGGATTCCACGGCAGCTATACAAAGCTCTGGAAAGCGTGAGGCTCTTTCAGAACCGTCAAAGATGGCTGAATTTCCTAGCCAGCTGAATGGGTTCCCCATCGTCTCGGCGGATCTCGACTATGCGCTTTGGGCAGAAAGGCGTCCACAACATGATAAATACCGCTTTGGCCTACAAGAAATGCTGCCAGCCAATTTGATTGTACCAGAGAACACATGGGCCACGGTCAAAGTCCTCACGTCTCACGGGATGCTGACAGGGAGACTGCTTCGGTCATGTACGTACGTGCGCCTGCCGAACAGCAGTTCGTTCACAGAGGTGTATTCGACTCTGCTAGACTCTGAAATTCTCCCCGGAGATTGTGGTGCGATGGTCTATGACGAACACGGCGTGTCCGTATATGGTCACATAATCACGGGTAGTTCCTCTTCCGCCGCTTTCGTTGTCCCCGCGGAGATCGTATATCGAGACATTCTTCGTCGGGCCCTAAAGCTGCCGACAAGCTCAGCACCTGCTTCCAAGTCGCTACACCCGATCGATGAGTATCCCGTTCAGGACACCAGGGAAGCACAGCAGTCTCGCATCATCGATGACAGTGAAAGCAGCATCGCCTCGGTTGGGTTGCGTGAGAGGTCGTCCGATACCTGGCGGCAGAGGACCATACAAAGACACCAAAGCATTAAATGGCCCCTGCACTCACTTGTTTATGAAGCTGCGCAATCCTCAGCTGACTCCGAGCCACGCAGCAAGGCCGCAGGGTCGCAGTTTCCTCGACTTTCGAAACCAGTGGAATTGATGGGCCCCGAATACGATATCGTTGTGATTGGATCCGGCTATGGAGGCGGCATTGCTGCTTCCCGAATGGCACGCGCAGGAGTGTCTGTCTGTGTGCTGGAGCGTGGTGCCGAAAGATGGCCAGGGGAGTATCCATCTACTGCCACCGAGATAGTCGATCAGCTCAATGATTCCAGCGCTCCTGTACGACCTGGACTTTGGAATCAGTTTTCTCAGGGCCGGAGAACAACCGGAATGTTTCATTCGGTTTGTGGGATGGGGCAGAATGCTCTTGTCTGCAATGGCAAGTCTATCCCCTGGCTCTGTTGAGCTTTCGACATGAACGCTATATTCATACAAGTGGAATAAGAACCCTGGAATAAGCAGATTTGATCCAACCAGACATATACGATGCTTATTCCAGAGTGCTCATTCCAATTATTATCAATACACCTTTCCCTTGCGGGCCACCTTGGGGCCCATAGCACTGACACATCATATAGGACTTGGAGGTACCAGCTTGATTAACGCCAATGTGTTCATGGAAGCTGACAAAGAGATCTTATCGACGGACGAGTGGCCACCCGAGATCAGAAAGGATGGCGATGGGTTGCAAAAATGTGAGTTGAAAATACGTGGTTGACCTCCTAATCCGACTTGTTCCGGGTTGGAGGTTCGTTATTCGGCGGAAACAACTAACTAGACTTCTCCTCAAGACTATGACAAGGTTGCGCCTATGCTCGAGCTACAGGAATATCCCCAGGATTGGCCAGAACTTCCCAAGATGGAGCTACTAAGACAACAGGCCGAATATCTCAATATGGGATCGAAGTTCCGGAAGGTCAGACAGACAACTCGATTCGAAAACGGCCCGAATAGCTCGGGAGTCGAAATGTCACCGTCTAGGCTCTCGGGTGAAGATATGACTGGGGTAAATGATGGGTCAAAAACGACAACCTTGGTGACCTACCTTGCCGATGCTTGGAACTGGGTGCCTCTATCTTTTGCGAGTGCGAGGTACGTCATATAGAGGAAGCCAAAGGACGCAACGGCTACCTCGTCTACTTCGCGTCGCATAAGATCGGCCCGGGAGACACCTACTCTTCCGCCGACTTATTATGGGTTTACGCCAAACGCGCTGTTTTCTTCGGTGCCGGTTCCATAGGCACCTCAGAAATCCTGTGGAGAAGTAAGGCTATGGGTATGGACATCAGCGACTTGGTTGGTCACAATATAAGTGATAATGGAGATAATGTTGCCATCGGGTAAGAACCCTCAGAGTATATTTGGGCAAAGACGTCAGCTCACAATGGGGTTTCTAGATATGATACGGACTTTGAAGTCAATGCTAGGGGGCGACCGTTTCCTTCACCAAGTCGCCCTATTGGCCGCACGACAACAAGCGCTATCGACAACAGAGATGGCCACGAGAATCCACTGGACGGCTTCGTTGTCCAGGATGGGGCCATTCCTTCTGGTCTGGTTGTTTTTCTGGAGGCTATGCTTCGTCCCATGCCAATCGGCCCTGACAATAAACCAATAACCGGCCTAGTAGGACGCGCACAATCAGCCCTCGCAAGGTATGGCAGCAGATTGTTAGGTCTTATGCTAAGGAAGGGCCCTTGGACCGAACGCAGGTCTACATGATCATGTCTCACGACAGTGACCCCGCCATCTTGACGCTCCAGAACGATATCCCCGTACTTGAGTTCCTGGGGACTGATCGAAGTGATCATCTAAAGCATATCAGAAGCTTCCTGGAAAAGGCTACCAAAGCTGTTGGCGGCACTCTTATTGATACCCCTTTTCCTGGATTGGGGGATCAAGGAAAGGTTACACTCCATCCTATCGGGTAAGCACATTACGACATCTATGCCACGATACCTGGACATATTCTACACTTTGAATCACAGATTCCTCCAGCAGGAATTCTTGCAGAGTCAATAAGAAGACGTCACGGCCTCCGACTCGGACGAGTAGACCAGAGACACCCTCTTGTTGGCAGGCTCCAAATACAAGCTCGCAAAGAACCAACAAGGCTACAAAGGAGCTTCCAACTAGTCCCTGACTTCCAGAGACCAATACTCACCAAGCCATTATGGAAGAAGCCCCCAGTCTGTAAAGACAAAGACAAAGAAACAGAGCTCTTTAAGCAATGGCTATAGGAAAGAAATACGAACACTAACCTTGTTATCTACTCAGATGGATCACAATTGGACGACCAAGGCACAACCCGCACTGGATGGGGCTATACCATCAGGAAAGGCGGCACTACACAAGAAGTATACCGGGGAAGGGGCAGACTTCTACAAGCAGAAGTAGTGAATGCTGAAGTCCATGGTGCTCTCCAAGGTCTTGCAGCAGCCAGGGTAATTGGACACGGAAAACAGCTATATGTCTGCCTGGACAACACATCAGTGGTGGATGGGCTCAATGGGACTCCACCCGAGACATCACAGAAAATTTTTCTGCGATTCTAAGAACTCGCCACAGCACACACTCCTGGAGTGACCGTCAAGTGGATTCCTGGACACAGAGATATTGATGGTAACGAAGCTGCCGATATATTAGCAAAAAAGGGTGTTATGCTAGAAACAGACACAACAAACCTTCCTATAATCTCTTGGGTCAAGAGAGATCTCAAGAAAAAGGGCAAAAAAGAGTTCAACTAATGGTAGAAAGACCAATCAGAACCTAGATATCAAGAAGTATACTGACATGCAGTAACTAAAAGAGGCCTTATATCCTTTAAGAGGAGCACTCTACACAGACTTCTAGCGGCTAGATCTGGACATGGCGATTTTGCCAGATACCACGAACGCTTTGGGCATACAGACTCGAATAATCACTGCAGTTATGGTGAAAAGAAAACACCATAACATATTTTCTTTTGTAAGAGGCTAGGAAAAAATTGGTTATTGTCTAGGTACTCGCCTAGGACAGCCTGTTTACAATACTTAGGGGAGAGGAGTACAGAATGGGCAAAATTCGTGGAGAAAAGCAAGTTCTTTTCAACAATCTGTCTCTGATAGATAGCTGTTCTTGAAGGACCAGATGGATGACCCCAAGGTCATACCGCCGCAACAACGGGGATGGGCCCGTGAGCGGGACTGACTGTACTTATTTTCTTGAGACTTCCACAACCCTGCGATGCAGAGGCTCTGGGAGGCGTGGTCTGCACTACTGAGGAGCTACCCCCCACGTTAAATACAAAACAAACATATGCCACGATACCTGGGCTAATAATCAACAGTGGTGCGTGTATGGCTCGCGATAACACAGGGAGCACTGGGGTTACCGACCACTTGGGTCGGCTTTTCACTGGCAGCGGCGCTGAGATACACGAAGGTCTCATTGTAACAGACGGTGCTCTATTGCCCCGTGCCCTGGGGGCCAGTCCATTTGCCACCATTGCGGCGCTGGCGGAGCGGGCAGTAGAACACTACGCGCTTGACCATGGGTTGGTGATCAGCGAAGAAAGAAATGGCATCTTGGACTTGTTTGGGCTGCCCGCCCATCCCTTTCATGACGAGGTGGACTCGGTTCAGCGTGGAAGCACAGTCGCGGATACCGGCGCAATCATGGCTGATGACATTTCCTGGGCTGAGGTTATGTCGGGCTACATTCATCCCTGCACGAGCGAGGCCCCATATGAGGATGGTGAGACTGTGTGTGAACACGCTTCTCAGAGAGCGAAACCGCGAGGGGAAAGTGCCAAACTCTTCTTCAACATACGAGCTCGCAAGGGACGACATGGGCGCCGGGGCGCAACAACCGGCAGTCTTGTGTGCCCCACCATCCCTGGTTCGCCGTTCAGGCTGTTGACAGGGGAAGTCAACGTCGTGCTTGTCGTCCAATCCGCCCCCGGAACTCGCCAACTGGTATACACATTCGACATGATAGGGACCAACGGCAGGGTACTGCAACTCCAAGGGCACAAGACTGGATTCATCAGTAGCTTTGGCCCCATTGGCCTTCTTCAAAGCCGCGAGAACAGTATATGTGGCACTCAGCGAGCACGACTCCGGGGACGAACCCACGGTCATAGCCCGGGGAGTCATGGACATTCACGCGCAAGACTTCCTCACGAGGGCCATTGCCTCGGCTTCCGCAGATAACGACTCATTAACGAACAGACTCAAGAATGTGATCAAAGTCCTCGACTTTTCCAGCGCCAAGAGTACATCCGCTTCGTTTCCGCCCTTGAATTCGTTGAAGTATCCAACACAATCCTACATTGGTTACATCAACGACACACTGGCGCATAAGTCTTATTCTCTCTGGGCCCAGGATGGGGTCAAGACGCAGATGCATCACTGGGAGCCAACAGCCTCTCCCGGCGCTGAAGAGAGCATCAAAAACTTACTTGTGATTCCCGGTGCATCAGTTGATCATCAAATGTATGCGATGCCTACCCTGCAAGTCAATGCGGTCAATTACTTCAGTCGCGCGGGATACCGTGTGTTCGTCCCCGTGCTTCGGATGGGGGCACCGATGACCGCTCAAGACCACTGGACCCCGTTCGATGCTCGTTTGGACATCAAGGCTGCCCTGGAATACATCCGCAGCAAATTCGGCGACGAGCCATTATATACGGTCGCACACGGCGAAGGGAGCATATCACTTTCTTGCGGTCTTTTGGACGGAACGATCCCTTCGTCCTGGATCTTGGGCGTTACATGTTCCCAGGTGTTCATGAATCCCATCCAAGGCACTGCCTATATACCTCAGCTACTGACCAAAGCTCTTCCACTGAGCCACGTGTATCGAAGCCTTGTCGGTGACTGGTTTTCTTGCAGTGCCGGCACGGACGACGGGCTCGTACAAAAGGGGCTTAACCAACTGCTGCGTCTATACCCGCACGAACGCCATGAGTTGTGCGACAATGCCTCTTGCCACCGAATATCATGTGCTTTCGGAAGATGTTGGAACCACAAAACCTGAACGAAGCGACGCACCGGCAGATCGACAGGTTCTTGGGGGGTACCAGTTTGCAATCTCTCCAGTACCTCGCGAGGATGAGCTCGGAAGGCCGCGTCCTATCAAACGGCCCTTATTTTCTGATCTCACAACAAACGACAACCTCAGACGGCTTGGGGGGCTGCCGATCCTCTTCGTCTCAGGCCGCGACAACGCCGTCTTCTCGCCCGAAGCAACTCTCCGCTCGTACGAGACCCTGTGCGATCAGTTCGGCGATAAGGACTACCGCCGCCGCGTCATTCCCGGGTATGGGCATCTGGACTGCTGGATCGGTCGCAATGCGTGGAAGGACGTCTATCCTGTTGTGCGCAGGGAAGTTGACCGGGTCTGCCGCGGCGAGGACTACGTTTTCAAGGAGCCTGACGATCTCTTCAAGGCTGCGGAGCGGAGCGGGCAGAGATCGCCGGACTGATCTAGGGTTTCCTTATTCATCTCTCAAGGTCTGCTATGATACATCTCTCATTTGCTAACAAGATGAAGAACTGATTGTAATCTTAAGGGTTGGTTTTAACGAGCTAGTCACTAACTATGATTGATGAAATGGCGGTGGATATACATGGTAGAGGAAAGGTCTTATTATACGTACAATGCAAAATGGTGTCTCTCGATCCGGCGACGGAGAGAATGCGTGTTGAACATACTAATTTTCCGCCAAGATAACATTTTTATGATACATTTCAACATGTTTTGTGAAGACAAGACACAACAGCAACATGGCCGCAAGCCTAAATTTCCGATTGTATCAAACGGGGGATTCTCAAAGACACCATCTCTTCCGCCGGAGAAAGTCTTGGGCCCCATATCGATAAGACTCCCGCGTGGGGGGTCTAAGTGCTGCTACCAGGGAATATAAATTGGGTGCAAGCTCCTTTAGTGGCGAGGACATGCCGAGTGTTCGTTTTGTTGTTGGCTTCAGCCAACTTCCGGCGCCTATGTCCTCGCCAGACAGACTGGCTACGTCGTCCGTTCGCAAGCCAGGACAGACAGGATGGGTCCGGGGCAGTCATCAGGTCCGTCACCATACCCAGAGTTTTGCCAGTGTTCTCTCACTTCTTGTACGAAGGAGAGCGCACTGTTCGAACCCCAGTCCCAATCCGGATCTCCATGTCGTACTTCAACGAACTGACAGCCATTGCCATAAAAGGTATCCCGTTTCCCATAAAATGTATCCCGGCTGCGAGACGGACGCGGAACTCCTGGACGCCGATGGATGCTGTAATCGATGAACCACATGTTTCCTGCCCAAGACTAGTCGTTCGTCGCTGCTTCATAAACGCTGTCTAGAGCATCATCACAGGGCTCCACGGAGTCTCTCAAGGTTAGCCGTCGCATTTCGGCGAGCCACTGCGGATCGAACTCCAGCGCGACATGCTCGGCGTGGCCGCCCGCGAACAGCATCGCGCCGCTGTTGAAGCTGCGCCACCGGAGCGTCTTGAAATCGTGCGGTTGGAAGCAGAAGAGGTCGCACTCGGGCTGGACTTTGAAGAACCTCTTCTCGCCGTCCGCGACGAAGTTGGCGGTGATGAAGGCGTTGTCGTAGCTGCGTGTGGGTTGAAGTTCTCTGTCCGGCCATTCCACGGACGGCAGGTACTTCTGCATGGCTTCTCGGGACTCCCGGCACGCGGTCCAGAGGCCGCTGTCGATCATGTGTTGGATTCTGGGCTACGTTAGCCCATCCATAGTCATCCTTCAGGATCACCATCCCCATTCGTGACTCTGTCACATACGTGGCCAATATAAGGCCACGTATCCTTTCCTTTAGTATCTTGGATATATATAGGGCCACTCTGGCCGCTCCAGAGTAGCTGGAATTCCTCTCCTTAATAGAACACTTTGAAATCTCACATCATGTACGCAGAGGGGTTCGATTGCGTCCAGGAGCGAGCCTGGGGCCTGGACGGGTCGCAGCGCGGTGCGGCTAGTGTCGCTGTCTCGTAGTCGGCTGGTTCTTCACCGATGATGGCGGCGTCGCCGCCTATTTCGGACTTTTCTTTGGCGTCGGAGTAGTTGTATACGGTGAAGAAATGGGCTCCTGGCTGTGCGGGGCGTACAGCGTCTCTCCAGATTCGATCCCTCAATTCTTTTGGTAACTTGGAAAAGGGGTGGAAGGTGTTGGGCTTGTTGTTCGCCATGGCGGTTGTTGAAGAGCGGGAAGAGGAGGAACTTGCGATGTTGTTGCTGGTCGCCATGGCGGTTGTCGACGGGTGGGAAGAGGAGGTGTTTTGGATTTGACTGAGCGGTGCTGGCACGAGACTTCCAAGTTGGATGCCTACCTCCAGTCCTAACGCACCTTCCTCCGGCGACGTGAATGGTGGCCAACCAAATTACATGTATGGTAAGGTAGGTGGAACTCTAATCACTGAGGTGCTGGGTAAATGAGTCGGATTGCCGCTTCGATGTCACCAGCGACGTCCTGACTACCTCCTAGTCCAGGTGGCATAATGCATAATTGTGAGATTTCAAAGTGTTTTGTATTGGAAGAGGGATAAGGATAGCTAATGGGGGTACCATCCTACTTAAATAGGTAGGAAAGGTACCTTTGATAGCTACGTGTGATCCCACAGGATGACACATATACAGCTCACTGGGAATCACAACAAGGCTAGATAACGCCACTGAGCACGTATTATGACAGTAACTAAACTTCGTGTTCCCAACCCAGCAGATTGAGATGGTATTGATAATGTGGAATCAATTCAGACTCTGCCGCAACGTTGAGCAAATTAACAATTTCTTTAATGGTGGCTCATGGCTGAACTCTGTTCCTTTTCTGGCATAACTATGTATCCAACCTAACACATGGTCATCCAGCCAGACGCACGCACGCACGCAGACCGCAAGCCCGGGTTATCATAAATATTCCACGGCATACCTACGTCGAGACACTGCGTGGATCTGATCGACGGCATTCGAACAAGCTGCGAAACTTAACAAGAGACACAAATGAGACTCCTGGAGGCGAGGCGCTGGCGGCTGGCTATTTTGACTTAGATGTGACGGGCCGTTTTGTCAGCGGGGGATTTGTAGGCATATAGCAGCTAGACTTATTCACGACTAGAGCGGATTTCGTTATAGAGGCGTCAGGAGACGTCGGTCCAGGCCGTCCAGCATGAGTTAATAGGGGAGGCATCAAAGCACAACAGTTGGAAGGCGACACCACACACCCATAGTTACCAATGAGCCACGAACACTTCTATAAACAATACCCGGTAACAACCTTGTTATTCGTACTTCTTTTTCATCGTCCTGCATTTCACACTTTCCGTTTCGTAGTCCTTGCCGGGCTTGAGAATGAGCGCCGTGAGCGTCCCGCCCTTCTTACAGCCGCTGTCCAACCCCAGCGTGTTCGACTCCAGCTTGAGCCCCCTTCCCTGGTCGTGGCCGTAGACGACGGTGGTCCGCTTCTGCTCATCCTCGGTTTGCTTCTGCAAGCTGTTCCAGGCGTCGGCCCACCACTCACCACCCTTCTCTACGGGCTTGTATGTGCCGTCTTCGGCTTGCATGTTCATCAAGTTGAGGATCGTGAGCAGCGACTGGTCCTTGAACTCCACGTTGGGGATGAAGCCCGCGTGCACGACGACTACGTGGCCCAGGGACTGGATGTCGCCCACCCGCAGGACATGGGGCAGCCCCCGGATCCACTTGAGGTTGGCGTCGCCGAGGTCATTGGCCAACTGGACGTCCAGCTTGATCTTCTTCGCCAGCTTCACCTTGTCCGGCTGCGGGAACAGATGTGCGTCGTTGTATGCGCTGGTGAGCTTCCCCAGTTCTGGACTCTGGGGATCCTTCAGGGCACTGGTGAGTTTCTCCAGGTCGTATGAGTTGTAGTTATCGAAGGCGGCTAGCAGCTGCCACTCGTGGTTTCCCGTGACGGCCGACCACTTGTCCTTCCTGGCGAGGTCGACCACGTCCTTGTTTTCCAGACCCAACGTTACCACGTCGCCGACGAGGATGACATGGTCGTGTTTCTTATCGTAGATTACTTTCTCCAGGAGCGTATTCAGCTCTTTACCCATGCCGTGCACATCGCCTATGATGAGCAACCTCTCGACGTCCCTTTTGCCGAGGGTCACGGGGATATTTTCGACCTTGACCGCAATGTCCGGCGTCCCCAGCGAGACGTCGCGGGGCGCAAAGCGGCCGACGCTGCGCGAGTTCAGCTGCTTGGACGAAGGGCGGTGGAGCTTGTCGAGATGCGTGCAGAAGAACAAGACGGCCAGCGCGGCGAGCGTCCATGCCACCATGTGTCGTACCCATGACCGGCGTGACCTGGGAGCTGGGGAGGCGGGGTTCGTGCGAGCCATGGTGTAGGCTACTCTATAGCCGGAGTACTTGGTGATGTTCGGCACAGGCACAGACGAGCTGTATCTCTCCCACGTATTTCCCTAAGCAACGCGAAAGATTGCTTTTCTGTGTATGGCTTCTGTGCTCTGTTTCGAAATTTTGGATGGAATGCTGTTTGCGAGGAAGAATAGTTGGCAGTGAGGGTTGCTGCCGAGATGTCCTGGTTTCTTGGGCGCTGCAAGTTGATTATATCCCCTTGAGTGTTCGATAGCACCGAGCTGTAGTGTACAGGCCAGATCACCCTTTGCGTCACCAGATGGGCCCTACCCACTGTAAAAGACCATCGACACTCAAGGGAATATCCTACGGTAGTTGAGTGGAAGGACTATACGATGATGGTTGCTGACCAGAACCATGAATAACTCTGCAGATATCCAGGATGGTAAATCGTAGCGTCTCCATATGCTGATGGTAGACTACTTGATAGAACATAATGGGAAGGGACCATCGTGTGACGCTCTGTACACTACTGTGGACAATTGTCGATCAAAACGGGCATGCGATGTATATTTCTACCATTTCTGGCATGTTCACCATTTCTGGCGTGCAGAGGACGGACCCAGGGGCCACCCAGTAGATGGAGCCGAGACCGAGGTGCGGGACCCAGACGGTCGGGATGCTTGCCGCTGTGCTTAAATTAGAAGCTATGGAAGTAGGGTGATCCTACAGCAATAAGTGCCGAACCAGACCGTTGACGTAAAAGTTCCGGATCCGCAAGTTATTCACAGGTGTCCAGGATGGTAATGGTCAGCGGTTCCACATGACGGGGACCTTTTAGGTCTGCTTTGCTTGTTAAAAATACACAAAGTTCTGATCTATATTTATCTGCAATGGTATAGAATTTTATAGAGCTTTACACGATGGTTACCCCCCGTCACGTGGAACCGCCGTGCATTACATCCTGGACACATGTAGAGCCGCTTGCTAGCGCTTAAGTGATGGCCGGCTAGGAATGGGATCTACATATAAGCCGCAGACGACTCCCGCATGCTTTCGGGAAAGTGAGCAATTGGCAGAACCAGGGGTATCAAAAAGACAGCTGGTTAATTGCTCGTCCCAGCTGGATCGTCTGAAGATCATTGAAGATCGCTGAAGATCATTATGGAGAGACCAACCACGAATCAGACATCGGCACCTCAATGGTTCTGCCAATTCCTCACTTCCCCAAAAGTATGCGGTACCGTTATTGCACAGCACCATGAGTCCATGATTCCAATGCCCTGAGGTGGACTTGGATCATATATATTACTTACGTGCCCGTGGTTTTTCCCTTTCCCTTTTCCTCCCCCTCTCCTCACTACCACCTCTCCTCCCACGCCTGGCATTATGTGCCTGCCGCTTTGGGCACGAGCTGCTCTTTTGCAACCAGTAATCGGTGCCCCCGGCCGTTTAACGTGAGCAACGTCGGACTTGCCGAGAAGGATACCATTATCGGCGAGCAGGCCTCGGAGGTGCACGTTGTTCCTGAAGGTAGTGTCGGGGGTATCTGCGACCGGTAACACGCAGTCAGCCGATACTTTCGCTGTCGGGATGGCCGCCCGTCAGGTGAGGTGGCAACTCCAAGCCACAGACCCAGAATAATCTCAGCAAAGGCTCCAGTCAAAGCCAGTCAGAAACACCACTTCCTTTCTATGCAAAAAAAAAAAAAAAAAAAAAAAAAAGGGCCCTTCCATGAGGACAACACGTACCGGCAGACTCGCTGGAACGACGCGTGATAAATAGCAGACCACCTGAGCGAGGGCGTCTGTATTGTTTTATGATGAATGTGAACTTGATCAGTGATCAGAGCTTGAGATCCAGGGGGCAGGGGCTGTCGTGTGGGTTCAGGGATGGATACTGTATGTAGCTGGCGTTTGTTCATTTCTTTTTCGAACAGGCTTGTGCAAACGCTTGTTTCTAGTCCAGAGACTCGACAAACTGGATCTTCTTCCCTCCCTATCCCACTCTGAGTCTAAGACGAAGACCACACACACACTGCGATGGCGACTGCAATGCACGCGTTCGCGCCGAACCTTCCAGCCCCCGAAGACGAGAACTTTGATCTCATCCTCGGCCTCCTGCTAGAGGATGTTCGGCAGATCAACGCGACGTCCAAGGGTAAGCAAGTCGAAGGGAGCGTCTCAGATGGCGACCTGGCGCTGCAGCTCTACGCCGAGGAACTCAGCAATGCATCGGCCTTCGCCGCGCATCGACGCCTGACCCGCAGCATCCAAGAGGCGGTGCAGACTGACGCGGGCGTCATTGCTCGCTTCAATCGAGAGGAACATATGGCGAAGCATGACCGAGACGTGTCAATCGCTCTGGCCGAGGGCCTCCAAGTGCCTCCGCCTCTGACGAATGAGCCTCTAGGCATCCTTGCCGCCGACATCGAAAGGCTCTCCAACCTCTACGTCAACCGCATCGATCTCAATCGCCATGTAGAGGAATATGAGTCCAGCGACGTGGGTTTTCTTGGATATGGTCGTCAGGGCGAACAAGCCGAGAGCTCGTCGTGGGCCGCAAGCCGACGACCGACAAAGGGGACTCGGCAGCAGCAGCGGCGGGAATGTACGTCCTGCATGGAACCAACGAACATCTCCCAGCTCATCCGGGCACCGTGCCAGCACGAGTACTGTCACGACTGCCTGTTGACCTTGTTTCGGAGTGCCATGACAGACGAGACGTTGTTCCCTCCTCAGTGCTGCCGCCAAGCCATTCCGGTCGATCAACACCGTCAGATCTTGGGCCTTGGTCTGGTCAACCGCTTCTACGAGAAGGAGATCGAGTACTCTACCGCGGACGGGACTTACTGTCATGCGGTCAACTGTGCAGCATTCATCCCCCCGGCATATTGCGAAGACGATGTGGCCCTGTGCGTTGACTGCGGCTCGAGCACCCGTGTCCACTGCAAGAGACGCGACCATTCGGGCGACTGCCCATTCGATCGGGAGCTCCAGCGCGTCCTCGAGATGGCGCAGCAAGAGGGCTGGCGCCGTTGCTTTCGCTGCTCCAGCGTGGTCGAGCTTAATCACGGCTGCTTTCACATAACGTAGGTCTTGCCGAAGCCTGGGCGCATCTCTCCTTTCTCGCCGTGTGCTTATTATGTAACGCAGATGTCGTTGTCGTGCCGAGTTTTGCTACGTCTGTGGTGTCCCATGGAAGCAGTGTCGCTGCCCGCAGTGGGATGAAGGACGCCTCTTGGACCGAGCTGTGCAAATCGACCGCAGAAACAACGCACGCAACGATGTAGCGCCCGTTCGCGTGCCTGCTCATGTACCTGCGCTGCCTCGACTCCCCATTCCCGCAAGGCCAGGACTTGGGGCGAATGCGCAAGCCCCTTTCCCAGCTGCGCCCCCACGGAACCTGCCAGTGGCTGCTCAGGCTCAGGTACCCTTCGTCCAAGCTGCTGTGCCAGGCAATATCATAGTCCTCGACGACTCCTCGGACGACGAGGACGTACTGGAACCCCCACCCGAGAGGACCCAAGATCGGATCAACATCATCATGAACAACCTGCGAGACAACCACGAATGCGACCACCACGAAGGCTGGAACAGGGTTGAAGGGCGGTTCGCGTGCGAGGGCTGCCACGGACGGTTGCCAAATTACATCTTCGAGTGCCCTCGGTGCAACATCAGAGCTTGTCGCCGGTGCAGGTTCAACCGTGCGTTGTGATGATCTGTAAGAAGAAAAATTGAAGTAAAGAAGTGTTGCTTTTGTAACCGACCAATTAATGTGACTTTTCTGTCTCTTGAAGGAGCTCTCTCAAATGAGCGGAATAAGCAACCCGAAATGCTACTCCAACGTGCCCAACCGGTTTGATAACAAGAATACCTGCCAAACCAGTATCTCACAAGAGGCGTCGAATACGCTCACGCATGCCTGCGAGAGAGAACATGCTGCTGCCCACCGCTGCAGTGTCTGACAAACCTCCTGTCCCACTCTCAAACACTGATGCCGACGGCGTTGAGGTCTCGACCTTTGCTAGCTCGTCATCGCTAACATCGTTCGGCTCGGGCTTCGTCGACAGCTTCTCAACCAGCTGTCGCGTGTACGTCTGGTACCAGGACCTCGTCAGGACGAAGACGACGAAGTAGGTGAGAACGCTGACGACGAAGTAGGTGAGAACGCTGACGACGGTCGTGATGATGCCGAAGCCTGTGATGCCAGTGTCGAACATGTCGTTCACGCTCCAGAGGGTCTAGTACTTGCGTTAGGATGATCTTCACTATGGGTTTGCTGGCACTCAGCTGTTACTTACCGCGCATAGGGATATCGGCAAGTAGAAGATCGTCGCGTAGGTCAGGTACTTGACGTTCTCGGAAAGACTGCGCGACTCGGATGCTTCGATAAGGCTGCTTGCGCTTATGAGCTGCGCTGGTCAGTGATGTCCATGTGTGGAGGTGCCTTCGCAGGAAGCTGTAGACTGACCGAGCTCCGGTGTTCCTGGGCGGCTTCTCGCAGCTGCTTGAACTCGGCCTCTATAGACAGCACTTGGGCGATATGTTCCTGGTTCTCCAACTTCAATCTGTTCCTCCTATTGAAAAGTTCCTCATTGTAGCACACGGGATCCAAATATTCGTCCAAGGCGTCCTTTGGTGGCTTCACCAACGATACATCCGTGGCTTCCAACCACCACGTTGTATCCTTGACAGTACCTTCTATGGTTCCCTCAATTCTATTGAACAACTTGATAAGGGAATTGGTGGTTTGTCCGTGCGTCTTGACGTATGCGATACCCTTGTCGCTCGTGAATGGGTCATATTCTTCCAGGTTACTTACTACTGCCTGGCATGCTTCATACAGCAATATCAGGTCCTCCATCGCAACCTTCAATGCACGTACAATGCCCAAGAGCATTTGGTATCGCCACGAGTCTCCCCCGACGTCCGTCATATACTTAACATACGGGACAGGAAGTGGTCCTAAGGTAAGCAAGGTCCAATATCTCTCATAGGGGTCCTCATAGGAGTGCTGGAAGTAGCGCTGATAGCTCTGCAAATACGTTCGCATCTTTGTTTGTACGTTATATTCATTCATGTGTTCTGGAACATGTAGAGCACGAAGTCTCACCGTCGACGATCTCAGCTCCGTGTCTTCTGGCCGGAACAGTTCTTGCTCTCTGCGGTCTCGAATGCTCACCCACGATATATGTACTAGATACATCGCTCGTGGAAGACCTCGCTCGGCAGTTGTTCGACTTCTGTGGTCAACACTCAACTTATAGGGAAGAAGGACATCCATCCCGAGAGTACGGCCATCTTCCTTGAAAGATTTGTAACAGTGCGTTTCCATGAAATGTTGCTCCTTCTCATCATCAACGAGGTGGGGGCATAGTCGCCAAAAAGGTGCAACAGTGTTCGTGGCCTCTGTGTTAACAAATCTGAACCATTTGCTGTTAGTCAGGGGCATCGAAGCTGCAATGGGGTAACGTGCGGCTTATGTTGTGTAAATTAAAACCAAGGTGGATTGGCACTAACATATACCTGTTCCAAGGAGCATATCGCGTCAGGCGAGGGACTGGGTAAATATGATCGACTTTCGGGTGATCCGAATTAAGGCTTATGTCTAAGTCAATGGCCCAGAGAGTGTCTGCCCTTTGAAACCGCCAGGTCGCGGCTTTTTCGGGTGTCATCAGGCTCTTCACACCATATGGTGCACATTGGGAGGCAACAACGTCTATGATCCTGAACTGATCGGTATCCTCGAGGTTACTGAGCAGTTATTCTTGACTTGCATAACATCGTGCTTGTCCCGGAGCAGACAATGTGGTTGAAATGCCAGGTCTAACCTCCAATCAGGTGGTAAAGTAGAGATGGGGCAGAGGATATCGCTACAGCTCGTAAAAAAGTTCTCGTAATGCTGCAAGGACAGGCTCTGAAATTGAAGCGGCAGGAATTTATTGTACGGCAAGTAAAAGCCAATTCCCACGGGGTCCTGGCTGAGTATTGGCTGTCTTTGACGCATCTCATCGACCGATGGATAAGCAAAGTTGATCAAACCGTTGTGGTAATCTACTTTCAGATCACCGGCATCGTGATCAAATACTATTGTCCAAGTTAGCACACGGAACGTCTCTTGACTATAAAAGCTTGGTTTGTTCACCTTCCGGCTGGTCTATTCACGTCAGTACACTCGCACCGTAGTTAGTGTGGATTTGGTCCTTACAGCGAATCCACCCCAACGCTGATGGCGGATCGATTTCATAGGAACCCGTCATGACCTCACGTTCCTCGGGTTTCCTGACTCTGGCGGCCCATTCTGACCTTGCCCTTTCCGACCCGGGCCATCCCCTCGTCTGCAACATCAATCAGTGCCTTATCAAAGTTTGTAGCAGAATCTCGCTGTCGGAAATGCTCATTTCTGGGAAGATGATGAAAGTTCACCTCGTGGATGGGCCCTCTTGCAAGTATCTCGTCTATGAAGTGCCGGTCCACTCCGCGAGGGTACAAATCACTGCCATGATTGACAGGCTGGGATTCGCTTGCCCCTTCCCCAGCATCTTGTCCGTGAGGCTTCGTAGTCGGTCCATGTTCACCTGTGGGCAAGGTCTCGCTCTCTGCAGGTCTTTTGATATTTAGGACTGTTTGCAGCTTCTGAATGATCGATACCAATTCCTTGAGGGTGTCATGGAGTTGAGGTTCGTGACTAGACGCCACCGCAGCATCTTCGTCCTGCGACATATTGCGCTATAAACTCTTTTGCTGCAAGGGAGTCGGGGTGCCCAACGATCGGTGGATATCGCCGTGTATAGCAGGAAAAAGGAGGAAAGAGGGTGAGACAAGAAAGGGCGTCCAGCTGCCCAAAGGTAGGCAGTTCGATGTGGCCACTCCCCGAACCTACCCCAATGACAGTGGCGCAAGCACGACGTATGGCATGGTTCCCGAGACGTCCGATGTTGCATCGAGGAAGATGAGGTGGACGGCCAGGATTGGCTATCATCGTGGGCACCTGCATCTCGAGCCGTAGATTGTGCGCATGCAAGCGCCTGGCTTGACCAGGGTCGTCAATAGCACCAGCTAGACAATGGTGGACGCAAGATTTAGTATATCCCTGTTTACCTACTAGAGGTAAGGGGCTTTCGTCTTCGTCTGTCGTAGAAGTCCCTAGGCAAAGGCCGTTATGTATTTCAGAGACCTGTCAGCTTTCTGTTCATTGATTGAGTGGAAGGTAAGCAAGCTCTTTCTCTGGACTCATGGTCATTGGTGAGGCGGGAGGATGTGACGGTGGAGGTGGGGTCAACCCCAACGAACGCCACTGGTTTCATGGGAATGGCATAAAACTTGCATTGCGTATTATGCCGGTGTTTATTCCAGTCGGCATTGGTTATTATGCTGGTGCTTATCCTAGTCAAGGGACGCTGAGCTGGTCACAATCTGCCTAGGGGCCGCCCCTATTTCACTAAACATCCTTCCATTCCATGGGTCTGGTTGTTCTGGCGTGGTACAGTCACCCCTCATAAGTCTCCGTCTGCCATGCTTCTGCCCACTCTTCAATATTGACGACATGTAGACTGAACTGACTCTCGCTTCCCTCCACCGAAGCCTCGACGTCACTGCCCTCGTTAACGCTCCTCCATATACACACGCCCCTCCCACGGCCTCAGCACACTAGAATCCCCTCCATCACCACCATAATTACCAACAAGCAACTCAAACCTCCCCTCCGGCAACTCAACCCGCTGCTCTTCGCCCGTAAAATTCAGCACAACCAAAGCCCTCTTCCCCTCATACGTCTTGACAAAAACAAAAGTGTTCTCGTCCTCCGCACCAAGCAGCTCAAACGCCCCGTGGACAAAAACATCCCGATGCTCCTTGCGCAGCGCAATCATGCGTTTCCAAAACGCCAGCACCGAGCCCGGATCCGCCCGCTGTGCCGCGATGTTGATCCCGGGGTACAGGTCATGGACGCGCATCCAGGGCCCATCGGGGCAGTCCGTGAAGCCGGCAAAAGGGGCTGACGCGTCCCACTGCATGGCGGTGCGGGCGTTGTCGCGCCCTAGGATGCGGATGCTCCTGCGGGCGTACTCGAGGGCCTCGGCGGCGCAGTTGGGGTCCTGCTGCACGCTGCGGTAGAAGTTCAGGGCCTCGATGTCCTTGTAGTCCGCCTCGATGGCCCACTCCGGCGGGATGTTGATCATGCCGATCTCCTGGCCCTGGTACACGAAGAGCGTGCCCGTGAGGGCGCACATCATGATGGCCAGCATCTTGGCCGACAGGGCGCGGTACGCCGGGTCGTCGCTTCCGTACCGGGACACGGAGCGCCCCTGGTCGTGGTTCTCGCAGAAAGCGGTCGTCCAGGCGTCGGTACCCGCGATGAAGGTCTTTCATTTGGCGACGATCTGCTTGAGCTCTGGTAGCTTCCACTCTTGGTATTGGTATTTATTCAGGAAGCCGTTTCCGAGGCTAACCTGCTCCCATGTTAGAACCCCCTTATGAAGCTTGAAATGCAGCCCCCCAAAGTCTACACCAACCAACTACCGACGCGAGGGAACAGCCTGTGAAGTCAGGGGCTACTCACAAAGTCAAACTGGAAAACCATATCCATCTGCCGATCGCCCGCGCTGACATACCGCAGCACATGGTCCGCATCCGGCGTATGCGGCAGCTCGCCCACCGTCATGGTATCATACCGGCTCAGCACCATCTCGTTCATCTCGCGCAGGAACTCGTGCATGCGGGGCCCGTTAGCATGTATCGACCACGACGGCTGCTCGAACACGCCCGCGTCCACGACCGGCGCGTCCGGCAGCTCGGTGCCCTTGGAGTACATGTTGACGCAGTCGACCCGAAACCCGTCGACGCCCCGGTCGAGCCAGAACCGCATGGCGCTGTCGTAGATGGCCTCCCGCGCTTCCGGGTTCTCCCAGCTCAGGTCCGGCTGCTCGGGCGCGAAGAGGTGCAGGTAGTATTCGCCGAAGCTCTCGTCCCACGTCCATGCGCTGCCACTGAAGTAGCTGCGCCAATTGTTCGGCGCTTCGCGCTCTGCCTCGACGCACGGGACTCCTTGAACCAGGCGTGCTGGTCTGACGTGTGGTTGATGACGAGGTCGAGGATCAGGCGCATGCCGCGGGCGTGGCACGCTGCGATCAGTTCTTCCATATCCTGAACGGTCCCGTACGGCGCGTGCACCGCCTCGTAGTTGGAGATGTCGTAGCCCATATCGACCTGCGGGCTCTCGAACATGGGCGACACCCAGACGATGTCCACGCCCAGGTCCGCGAGGTAGTCGACCTTGCTGATGATCCCGGGTATGTCGCCCAAACCGTCAGAGTTGGAGTCCTTGAAGCTCGCCGGGTAGATCTGGTAGACGACGCCGTCCTTCCACCACGTCTTCTCTGGCTGCGTCATCGTAGGCTAGATCAAGATGCTGAAGCTGAGGTACTGATCGTCAAGTTATCGTGCACACAACTTAGAGTTTCTGCGGGATGGGAACTTCAAAAGCTGCACCGACTGGGCAAGGACACACGCTTATATAAGTTTTGTTAGGGAGGAACAATGGGCGTATTTCGCCCATTCTGTGGTTCCCGTTCACGAGGGAGCTGCGAGGCATCCTATGTGATCAAGTGGGAAGGCACGGCACATCGAGTCAACACCGGTGCCGGACAAGCAATCCGTCAAAGGGGAAAAAGAGGATCCGTACATGCATGCAGCTCGATGAGTTTAACTGTCCAGAACAAACTTCACTCAAAGACCATTGTCACCGCTTATCCTGTCAGCTTCGTTGGCATCCCACATCATAGACAATAATAACCAGCTTAATGCGGTATACTCGCATTATCCCACTGTTCCAGGCACCCCGTAGCCACTGTTCTCATGCGGTCGAACAACCACCCACAGGATCGAGAGCCAAGTTTCCCATCCGCAAGAGTTGACAACCTACAGCGGCGCGCGGCCTTCCAGACTGAATCACCTGCATACATCGAGCCATTGTTTGCAATGTGTGCATAGCCGAGGAATAAGGTCAGGGATGAAACCGTCGCTGAATTGCTCGCTCGACTGCTCTGCTAATCTGGCGGTAAACCCGACGTAGGTTAGGAGACGTAAGCAGGCATGGAGACCAGACGGGCCGGCGAAGACCCGGGAGCAGGGAGCCGGTTTCGCCGGTCCATGTTGGCAGCGCTAAGACGTCCCGACATATGCGTGGCACCGTCACATCGCGGCTGTCATGGAGACTCAAGCTTCGAGAGACACTTCGGCTGCTTTCCGGTACAGGAGCGATGACAGTGCCAGTGGCTCTGAAGTAAGACGAGCTAAGTGCCGCCGATGTGAAGTGGTATTCCCACCTCGCGGAACCGGAGCGTGGGGGGAGATGGCATGGCGAGACGACTGCCGAGCTAATGATCAAAAGCTCGTGCAGTTACTTGCAGCCTCCACGACGACCCCACGAGGATCGGAAACCCAATCTAATCGAGATCTAGTACCTATCCGTGGTAGGCGTAGAGGTTCAGCCCGAACCCAACGGACTACCCAATAGGCTTCTCCCGGCTGACCCAAGTGTTTGCCTCCCCAGAACCGGAGTCTGTTTGCCTTCCTCTCTTCTTGGTCGATTCTAGAAGGACTGCGGCTCTAGACTGAAAACACGACTCTTTCCCTTCGTTCTGACCACGTTAGTGCGTGATCTACTCCCTGGGATGATGGGACTCGAGTGTGTATGCCCTCCCTCAAGACCCAGCCGGCACAGAGTCAGCCCTCGGCTCCGGCGATGGGAGCCATAGCTCCGGAGCAGCAAGCAGCGAGGTCTCGAGCGGCCTATCAGGAGAAGCGACAGCAAACAACCCGAACCCCGTGGAGTACTACCGAGGCGCCGTTAAGGTTTGAGGCGGTTCCGCCGTGGCTGGCTTCGGGGGCCTTCTCGGGTCGTGTGACCATCAAATGTGGCCCATCAAACATGAACATCTTGACATGACGCGCAGAAGGGAAACATTGCGGAGCTGCTTCTTCTGAGATTCAGTTGATCGTAGAATTGTGGTCGTGAATGGGAGAGGAACAAGAGGCTCGCAGTCGTGGGTGTACAGGGGGAGCTGCCTGGAGATGCAACAAAAGCCGCTTTATATGTGAGGAGCAGCAAGAAAACTGGACAGGGCTGAGTCGAAGCATAAGCAGGCTGTGCCATACCGTATACCCAGTTAGCCGTAGCACTATAGACCATAGAATCAAGCTACTGTCAAAGTCGTGGGCTGAACTCTGCTCTCCACGATGCCAACCAGGCAAGGGCCCAAGAGCCTAGGCTTGGGAGCTAAGATCAGGACGGGCTGACAGGCAATGGCACGAGACCAGACTCGTATCGAAAGATAAAAAGGCTTCGACTGGCTCGTGGTAGACGAGCTGTACACGCATGTCGCAGGTTTCCCAAATACCCAACTTGTTTTACAACACGCCAGACCATTGACGGCCGCGCACATAGCGACCAGGTATCGGAAGATGGCAAGCAATTCGACCGAGAGCAATGATCCCTGGCAACTTCCGAGGCTCGCCCATACGAACACCAGAAGGATATCTGACCAGAGTGAGGACCTAGCGGGCATGACTGCCGGGGCCAGCGCAGCTGCACAAGCTGAGAAGGAGATGACGTTGAGAGAGGCCTTGGTATCATGCCGCAAAGCAGTGTTATGGTCGGTCTTGTTCACCAGTTCCGTCATCATGGAAGGCTTCGACCTAGCCCTACTCTCGGGCTTCTATGCCTACCCCCAGTTCCTGGTATGTCTGTCCCAAAGGGTGACGGCGCACGCGGTCTTCCTAAGCCAAGCACTGACAGCTTGAAGAAAGCTTATGGCAGGAAGCATCCCGAGATAGACAAGCACGAGCTCCCTCCGACTTGGCAGACAGCACTATCGGCAGGTGCCATGATCGGTCAAATCATCGGGCTATCGATAGCAGGTCTCGTGGCCCAGAGGATTGGGTATAAGAGAACCATGATCGGGGCCTTGTCCCTTATGATCGCGTTTATCTTCATCCCCTTTTTTGCTGACTCACTTGAAAAGCTTTTCGTCGGCGAGATCATGCAAGGCATTCCGTGGGGCGTCTTCGAGACGATGCCGGCAGCTTATGCATCCGAGATCTCACCTCTCGCGCTTCGCCCATACATAACCACATGGGCTAACATGTGCTGGGTCCTTGGCCAGCTCATCGCAGCAGCCGTACTGAGAGGCTTCTTGCACATGGAAAACCAGTGGGCGTACCGCATTCCATTCGCCTTGCAATGGGTTTGGCCGATCCCTATACTAGCCCTCATTTTCTTCGCACCTGAATCACCGTGGTGGCTCGAAAGGAATGGTCAGTCCGACAGGGCCAAGCTCTCCTTTAGAAGGTTGACAAACTACAAAACGGAAACCATACAGAACACGATGGAGTTGATCAAACACACGATTGCAATCGAGAACCGACACCATATTCCGAACGACCGACAGAGTCCATGGCTGAAGATCAAGAGCACACTGAGCACGTATGTCGAGTGCTTCAAGGGTGTTGACCGCCGCAAAACCGAGATCACATGTCTCGCATGGGCGAGCCAATCACTATGTGGCTCAAACCTGATGGCATTCGCACCCTACTTCTTCACGATTGCAGGGCTGGAGACGGCCCATGCATACACTCTCCAACTGGGCGGCATGGCTCTGGGGGCGTGCGGTGTTGTGGGTGCGTGGTTCCTGATGAGTCGTGCGGGGCGTCGAACGATATATGTCTGGGGTTTGTTCACCTTATTCTTCATATTGCTGACGATCGGATTGCTGGGCGCCTTCGCGCTGAAGAGAGATGGTGCCGCATGGGTCATTGCGATCTTGGTAGATGATTACCCCTGAAGATCGCTGCTGGTATTATGCTGACTCATGCAAAAGTTGTTGTTATACATTGTCGTTTACGACTTGACAGTAGGGCCATGCTGCTACTGCATCGTTACCGAGTTCCCTTCGACCAGGCTGAGGGCCGCAACAGTGGCTCTAGCCCGGATATGCTATAACGTCTGTGGTATGTACTGACAAGCTGCTGACGTAGGTTGGGTTCCGCTAATCTCTGGACAGGTATATTAAGCGTGACACTGAACCCCCGAATGTTGAACACTCTTGGGTGGAATTGGGGTCCGAAGGCTGCTTTACTCTGGGCAGGCTTATGTTTCTTGTGCTGGTGCTGGGCGTTCTGGCGTCTTCCCGAACCCAAAGGCAGGAACTTCGGCGAGCTAGACGTCATGTTCCAACAAAAGATCAAGGCGAGAGATTTCAAGAAGCAGCGCGTGGACCAATTTGGTTTCACGGCCATGGACGTCAAGAGGTCGGAGGCGAAGCGGTCGAACCATGTTGAAACACCTTCGGGAGGCACCATTCAAGAAGAGGCCACGTCTGTATAAGAGCGTGCTGGCGGTGGATGCAACTAACCACAGCCACGGTTTCGGAGAATATTAGATTGTAGTCGTATATTAGGCACGTAGTAGCGAGGTAAATGTTTTGATCCCATGACGGAGTTGCCCTCTGGACTCGGCGATGTTCCAGCACCAGGCGCCTGCAAGTAGTTTGTGGCTCATGTTCTAGTCTGAGAAGCGACATTAGCGTTACGATCATTGTATCAAACCTAAGCGCTCGCTTGAAAGTGTTGTGAATTATATTGTCCTGGCTGACCTAAGTTGACTTACCAGATCATTCTCCGTCCTCGAAGATCTCCTTCGACCATGCCCTGGGTCTTGAGTTCGCCAGGGAAAGAGCGCAATGCAGCAGCATTCCTCAACACATGCTTCGCTCAAAGCCCACATAAACGGGCTTAAATGTCGAAGAACTGCCTATGCATGTGTTCAGGTTCATGGGCCAGAAGCGCTAGAGCAAGTGAACTGAACACGTGAAGGGGTCGTTAATCGTCGGGAGAGCTGTGCTGTCGATTATATCGCCTAGGATTTGTAGTCTCGTGAACGATGCTTATGACTGTCTCGATCTCGGTGGTTGTCTGTGTACCTGTCGCCATAGGCGGGGCCACGACGCTCGCGCTCGCGTTCAGATTTGCAACTTTCTTTATGACGCCCATCGCGATCCTGCCTGAATTTTTCGCGATCTCTCCGGTATTCGTCTAGACGTGGCCGTCGCTCACGATGACCATGCTTCTTCGCCAACTCCGCCTTCTTGATCTCCTCATCCTCCTTAGAACCAAGGCCCATCAGATTGGGCCTTCTCTTTACTTCTTTGAGCTTGGAGCCGCGTTCTTCGCCGTTCCAGCCCATGCCACGTAACATTGCAGCCCCAAACTCCCCTTCTGGTATCTCATCGTACTCGTCCACTGTCGATACTTCGGCCGCTTCCTGCACCCTCTGTTGGTAGGCATCCTGCTCGGAGAAGTTGGCAGATGTGTTGCCTTTCGAGGTACTCTTGATGATGAGATCCTTGGTGAGCTTTTGTTTCCCGAGGAGCGCGTCCATAGCATCCTTGTCGTCATCTGGAGCCGTTTGGTGGGAATCGTCAGCTGGCGTCTCGCTTTTAGAGACTATTCTGGTCGAAATCTGTTCGTCCGATATAGCATCTGAGGCTGCCCCATTCTCTTCTTCCGTCGATGTCTTCGTCACAGTCAAGCCCCACTTGATTTGCTTGTCTTGGTCGGCCGGTTCCATATCTTTGTTGGTACTGTCCCATTTCGCTTGAGCCTCGTGTGGTGCACTCTTGTTGCCACCTCTCCGAGCCTTCAGATCGGCCTTCCAGTCGCGGTTCGTGTGGCCACTTATGACATATGGTGCACGGGCGTTCCCTGTATTTGACGACTTGACATCCCGTCTCTTCCCCTCCCTCGTAGAAGTATCATCCCCAAGTAACGTGACTGCCTCGTATCTACCAGCGGAATCATCGTCATCGCCGGACTCGGAGCCATGGTTGAGTGCATTAGGGCGCGGGCGCTTGCCTAATGTCGAAGGCGGCTGGGTTTGGCCCGCTTTCCTCGACCCGTTTGTCGCTTTCGAGGACGAGGAGGATGAAGCACCAAACTTGATGGCGATGCGCGGTGCTTGTGGCATGGGCTTAGGTTCGGACATACTGACAACTCAAAGCTGCAGCTGTGGGAGGATGACTGGAGTGACGAGCAGTCCCAGATGGACGTCGGTGGAGGGGATGGTTGGTTGACTTCAAGGGCCTGGAAGACAAGTAGGTTCATGTTACTGCCAGTGGTTGTGAAGGCGGTGTGGCTGAGTGGCTGAGTGGCGGAGCCTATGTGGCTTGACTTCCCTCTACGATGCGTGCAATCCATTCCAGCATTGATGTGACAGCCAGCCATCGAATTCTAATAATCTCTGGTGTCAATGTCAAAACACACAAGTTCTTGCATGCCTCTTTCAACAAACCTTATATGGAGTCCTTTATGGAACTTCTTGACTTCAACTTCGTTCCGCAGAGTCGCACTTTGCTATGCGAACGACCGTGAGAACGCACATTTTCTTCAGGACGGACTAGCGACTCCGAGCAGTCCTTCGAAGTACTGACTCGAGGGATGGAAGAGTAGAAATTTTATCGGTTCATCGAAGTTTCCTTGGTTGGAACTTAATCGTCATGACCGTTCCATTCCTTCGACCAGCGTTGGCAACACATGTACAGATATAGGAGAGGCATCAGATGCATTCCTGGCCCTTCCCTCAACGGTCCCTAGATACGGGCGTGTCAGTATGTATCCCATCTACCCCTAGGGTCCTCAGCCATCATGGCGCCACCAACACATTGCTTTTGTGTCCCTGGTCAGAATCAATCATATTTTGGGCACAACCACACGGCAGCCAACATCTGCCTATGACATCTTCTGCAGGCCACGACACAGATATTCAGACAGGTAACTTGGTGTCTTGCCATCGACATTCCACGGTCGATTCTTTCCGGGATTCATGTTCATCAAGATCTTGTTTTTGGCTTTTCTTTTTGTTGGAAACTCCCTTTTCAATCATAAAACTAAGGTGATGATTAGTGCTTTGAGAGGTACACTCAGCAATGATGGAATGCTCTCACTCGGGTTATTCACTCCTACCTCGCCTGTCATCAATGGGAACCAGAAGTACGGAATGACATGCTTGCAACAAGTTCGGTAAGTGCACACCATATCAACCTACACGAAATATCAACATTGCACATGGTGTTGAGCTGTCCCTGGGCAAGCTTGCAACCTCTTTGTGCAATGAGGCGCTCATTGAGGCCATTTGGACCGGCTACGCATTAATGATGGTATCTGTTACCGTGCCTCTACATGTCAGGTCGTAGCTGCGTTATCATGCTCTTTAGGATCCATCTGTATGCCCGAGAGATAAGGTAAGGAGGTACCTTTGGTATGATACCAACAATACATTTCCTGCCTTGGTACCTGGGGTTAACGAATGCAGACACGATGCAGTCACAACATAGAATGCACTATTGTCTGCCATTGAGATCGGATGAAAGACTGACTGACTGACTGAATGAATGATGATACCTAATGATGATGAATGAGTGCAGGCAAGCAAGCGGGCAGAGGTGCACGGGTAGACGGGGCCAATGTACCTACCAATGCACCTTACTCCTCTATTGGGCCTGGATTCCCCCGCCGTTACCCCCTAACTCTGGAAATTTGGCGTATCTCGTATGTCTATGGGTAGGACAGACCACCACTGCACCACCAGATCCCCCGGCCCCAAGTCCCTCCGCTGGTTTGTAGTAAAAATCCATATCGACATCTGCCCATCACGACATCAAATCTTCAATCAATCGCCCAACCTCAACGCCATCTTTTCCATCGCGAGAACGTGACTTTCAAATCCGCCAACCCTATTAAGCTTGGTGCACCATTTGTTTTGTGCAAAACGGATGTCGCTGTCGCTGATGCTATGACTGAGGTCGTGCCCGCCGACCGCACGCAGCTTCTGCAATCAAAGCGGGCAGAATGCACGTAAGATATGTCCCAACTGAAAGAGCTGATCTTTCCGATGCGAATGATCTAATTTTCGGTGTACTGACTTGAAACAGTGCAATTGCACGGTCGCGCAAGAGGAAGCTTCGCGCTCTCTTCGAGATCGCCTCCAGCCCCGATGGTCTCCCCAAACGCAGCTTCGCAGACCCCGACGCGCAACCCATCAACTCTGCCGAGTCGCAATTTCTTGAGGCATGTGACATCCTACAGTATGTCACCAAGGCTTGGGTTTTCATTAGAATTTCATCCAGGCGCAATTCCGACCGCGTTTTCTTGATTCGTTGGGAAACAAGTACTGATCTCTCTCGAACAGGGGAAGGAAGCTCAACGAGTTGAATATACCAACGCGCCCGAGACCACGACCTGAATACGCCAGCCGACCGACCCCGAATGTGACACTCGCGCCGAATGAGAATGCCGTCTCTATACCGTCGAAACAATATGGTCATGAAGCATTGCGACAGAGCGTGGTGCCTCCATCTGGAGTATCGCGGCCACCTGTTGGAGATGTGCAGAACAAGCTTTTTCCTCATCCAGCTACGTCTGGAATGCTAAAGTCGCCCCACCCAGCTTTGACTTTAGAAGCAGCTCGCAGCGCATCTACTTTAGGAACTGAAGTCCCCAGAAGCAATGAGCAGCCAAGCAGACTACCGCAAGGGCAAGGACCGAGGGAAAAGTTGATGAAGGATGATGGGCAAGGTGCAGTTTCTCTTCCGACAGGACGTTTGCCAGCTAGTCCAATAGGTTTGCCTATACCTAGTCCGCCTCAGAAACTTCCAGATATGTCGCGCTATGCTGCTCCTCAGCGCTCACTTCAGGCACCTCAAGAACAAGGACGGGAGGCTACTATGTCGATGGACATCGATGGGCCCTCAGTTAAAGGTTCGGAGCAGAGTGGAAGCCCGACTCACGAGCTGCCTACGGTAGACCCAGTTCGACCTATCGACGTCCTGTCGTCGCCAGGATCTACTGCCCAGACAGCGACAACACCGGCTGTCCTTGACGTATCGACGAACACCAGTCCAGATCACGATGGGGCGCCGTTTGCAGAAGAGAAGGTTGAAGATAAGAGCACGGAAGACAACCAAGTACCAAGGCCGCAACTGCAGGGGATGGGTTTAGACCACGGTCCACGACCAACTGACGAGCCGGTTGTCCCATCCGAGAGCATCCCGCAACAGGTCGAGGCTCAACTGATACGAGACTCAACTGGCGTGGTGCTCGTTTCGCCGCAGACAGCATCGCCCACTAGCCATGTCGTTTCAACAAATCAAGATGGGAGAACAGCAGGACTCAACCGAATGGCTCCCCTTTCCGATCGACCGAGTGCTCCTATTGAGGCCACCGGTCAACGAACGGACATGCTGAACGGCCAAGAACGAGGTGTTTCCATGGCCGTTAGTACGCCCAAGGCCGAATTTGACGCAGATCGAGGCCCTCAACGAACGGTCACCGGGGCGGGCGTTCCTGGGAACCATATTCCCGTCAAAGAGTCCCAGGGACCGCTCTCGACTACCACCCCTTTGCTCTTGCCCACCCCAGTCATATCTCAAAAGCTAGGCCATGGAAGTACAGAGGGTGTCACAGGTGTCGCCTTACAGAAACCCGTTTCCGAAATACTGGCAGAATGTCCAAAACCATCACCTGCGGACCTACCAGCGTCGAGCGATTCTAATACTCTACACGTCAGACCTATTACGCCAACGTCGCAGTCCTCCAAAGGCCGTAATCGAAGCCTTGTTCAGAAAGCAAAGGCTAAAGAGAAGAGTAAATTATCTAGGGTGGTATTTGGTAAACGACCTTCACGTCCCTCAGACTCTGCCAAGTCTCTTGTGCATAACCGCTCTAAGGCTGGCCAAAGCCTGAGTGATGACTATTTCACGCCACTATTCGTCAATACCTTTGCGTTGAACTCCAAATGGATGAAGCCCTTGGACCACATCCTACATCAAGCACACAAGACGGTATCGACACCGGATGCTTACACACAGATACTTGACCACCAGGCATGCCGTGTCCTCAGGAGAGTCTACATGCTCCAACAAGCTGACAAGTGGTCTCTGCGTCAGCCTAAACGCTGTCCTGAGCCCACGCGTCAAGCCTGTCACTGGGATGTGTTGCTTCAGGAAATGAAATGGATGAGGACCGACTTCCGCGAAGAGCGGAAGTGGAAAATGGCGGCCGCCCGCAACCTCGCCCATGCCTGTGCCGAGTGGATCGCCTCTTCTGACGAAGACCGCAAGGCCCTGCAAGTGAATGCTGTTGTGCCACCTTTGGTCGACATCGAAGCAGCCGCGATGACAGAGGCGCCCCTTTCTCTCGATCCGGATGTACATCCCACCCCAGATCTGATTCCTTCGGCAGAGTCTGACTCGCCATTGGAACCGGATGACGAGCCAGGTGTGAATATCTTTAACACTGTAGCACCCTCGGCTATCTTTGCTCTACCCGATGATGACATAGTATTCTCTCTTCAACCATCACCTAACACGGATCGTCTCCTTGATGAGTTACCTATGTATGGGTCGCCCCTGAAAGTTCCGAAGTCTGACCTGGTTGCGCCTGAATTCGACCCTGATGCTTACTGGCGAAGGCCTGCTTTGCCGTTGAGCAAGTTCGTGGAGGGTGAGATGGAGTTGACATCGAGCGAACCGCCCCAGAAACGCAGTCGGTACCGCTACGCTCAAGAGGACGATGAAGATGACGAGGTGATCTTCGGTTTTGATGGGAGTAGTCAACCTCACGTCGGCCCACAGTCTCCCGATGTGGCACTGTTCCGACCGGAGAACAAAAGCATCAGAGACAGGCTACATGCTGGTCATCAGTTCCGACCTCCGAATGAGCACACGATGCCTTTCCAAACATTCTACGAATCACGTAGTCCTTCGCAATGGATACAATCCGAGGATGATGATCTGAAGAGCTTGGTCCGCGAGTACTCATACAATTGGTCTCTAATATCTAGTATGCTGTCCACCAAGTCCGTGTTTGCATCGGGAGCGGAGCGTCGAACACCATGGGAATGCTTTGAGCGGTGGGTTATGCTTGAGGGGCTTCCTCACGACATGCAGAAGACCCAGTACTTCAAGTTGTGGCAGAACAGGATTGAGACAGCCCAGCAACTCATTCGTCAACAAAACCATGCCGCGGTTCAACAGCAGCAACAACAAGCACAGCAACAACAACAGGCAGGCGGAAATGGCCCAGCTACTCCCATTCCCCGACGCCGGTTATCCATCCCTTTGAAGGTAGACAGACGGCGGAATCAAAAGCACTTGACGATGATAGACGCTATGAGAAAACTGGCAAAGAAACGAGAGACGGCAGTGCAGAAGCAACAACATGCGGCCCATCTTGCTGCAATGAGGAAGGTGCCCGAGGCCCCCCAGCCTAAGGCGCCGACCAAGACTCCCGGGGAGTACAGCATCATGCGTTGGGAGCGTGATCAAGCCATGGCTGAGAGACTGGCGGAGAGGATGGCCCAACAACAGCGCCATGAGGCACAGCGCAGGGTACGAGCTGCTGCCAATACTGCCCAGAATAGTGTTAACCTCCACCCGCAGGCTGCACTACAAAGAGCCCAGCAAGGCCAAATCGCTCAAATGGCAGCAGCACAAAATGCCAGTCAACTCTCGCAGACGGCTCCTCAGATGGCCGCCTCACACCCGCAGAACAATGTGGCCCGCGCCAACGCCCCGAACCAAATCACAGCCAACAGCCAGGCCCGGCCACGCATGCCCGTGCAAACGACGCCCAACGGCACGGGGACCCAGAACCACATGGCTCAGACCCAGGTGGCTGGCAACCTTGTACCACCCATGCAGATGAACGGGACTCCGCACGTCCAGATGTCGGTCGCCAATGGACAGTCGCGCATGGCCATGCCGAACGCCTCTCAGAATCTCCAGATGTTGATGCAAGCCCAACAAATCTCGGAGCAACAGCGTCGGTCAGTACAGCAGATGCGACAGCACCCGCCTCAACAAGAAGCAATGCAAGGGAACACCACCCCCATGCAGAACTCACCTCCAGCCGCCATGCGCGCTGCTGCTCTCAACGGGTTGAACCAGAAGAACTATCTGAGCAACGCGCAGGCCATGATGTCGCCTTACAATGGTGCGAACAGCTCGGGACTGTCAACACCTACAGCAGCTGGCTCTAACATGGGTTCTGAGCAGTCAGCGTCCCCCCGTCCGCATGCTATCGTGCCCCCACAGCCACACCAGACGTATGTTTCGCAGCTCCAGAACATAGAGAGCCAAATCAGGCAAACGCACCCAGACGCCCCACAGAACACGGTCCGCGAGATTGCTAGGAATTTGTTGCAGAACGGGCAGAACCGGCATAACACGCTGACACAGTCTGCCATGAATGCTGCCGCTGGAGGTCCCGGGCAAGCGGCTGGTGCCAACGGCCCCCATCAGTATGCCCAGCTCCTCCGAGCACAGCAACAGCAGCAAGCACAACTGGCTCAACAAGCGCAACAGCAGGCGCAGCAACAGGCACAACAGGCACAACAAGCAGCCCAGGCTCAAGCTCAAGCTCAGCAGAATGTACAACACCAACGAAACTCGAGTGGGAGTGCAACGCCGACTCCATCGATGCCAAAATAATGGATATTTGACGGGGATTTCAGGCGTAGATTTCGCAGCTACAGGGGCTGGCTGTGCTTGACTCCCCTTGGTGATATTCAGTATAGCATAGCATAGCGTGTTCTGGGCGTTTTCGGTGGTACTGGAGGGGCGATCTGGGTCGGATCAGGGCGCCTCTTTGCAAATGACAGCATGCGATGATCCATCTGCGGGCGTGGACGCTTTCAATGGCGTCACAAGAGGGAGACGGTCGCTGTGTATAAACACCTCGCTCAGCAGCACGAGAAGTGCCGAGGGAAGGTAGACCTTACTGTAACAGAATTAAAATGAGAATTGATGAAGCAAAAGCCAAACGGCTTGACGGACTCTGATGCGCGACCTGAAATCAGTCCTGTGACAACCTTGCTGACCGCAGGCCCCGGGCACCCGGGGTGCTGAAGTGCCACTGATGAGCAGGCGGGTGCAGGCAGCTGAGCCCTCTGTGAACTTCGCGGTTATAATATTCACCGATCTCCGTTATCGCCCCACATTTGGTGGGCTGCAGGTGGCTCCATATTATTTTTGTCTTCGCAGAATCTCGAGAGCCTTCGTAATTCCCAAATCCGAATATTCCCAGGCTTTTCCACCCATTTCACCACAATAAACGAGCTGGAATCTTGCATGATGGGGAAGCGGAAGCGAAACGAGGGCGCCAATGGCGTTGCCACTTCAGAACCAGCGCTTACAAAGAAATCGAAAGCCTCTGTATCTACGGTCAACGCAAGTTCCTCGCCCCTGACCATACAAGTGGTCGCAGGGTCATACGATCAGATTCTTCACGGATTGACCGCCGCAATATCGTCCGACGACAAGGTTGAATTCGCAGACACATTCCTCTTCAACGCGCACGGCTCAGCCATCCGATGCCTGGCGCTTTCCCCTCCGTCGGCGGCCGAGGCCGGTAAGTCGCAGAAGGTCATGCTAGCCTCCGGTAGCAGCGATGAACGGATAAACGTCTACAGCATCTCTGCCCACCCGCCCAGCAGAAAGGACCACGATGCCCTGTCCTCGGTCGCGCCGCGCAAGATCCTCGAGAACGCCAGGAACCGCGAGATAGGCACGCTGCTGCATCACTCGTCGACGATCACGAAACTGTCGTTCCCGACCAAGTCGAAGCTCATCTCCGCGTCCGAAGACTCCACAATCGCCGTTACGAGAACTAGGGACTGGTCTCTCCTATCGAGCATCAAAGCGCCCATACCGACACCCATGGGCCGCCCCAGCGGAGACACTGCTGCACTTGGCGGGACGCCTGCTGGAGTGAACGACTTTGCGGTCCACCCGAGCATGAAGCTCATGATCAGTGTCAGCAGGGGCGAGCGTTGCATGCGGTTATGGAATCTGATGACTGCCAAGAAGGCCGGCGTGCTAAACTTTGGCCGAGACATACTGCAGGAAGTCGGGGAAGGCAAGCATGCACTGGGCGAGGGTAGAAAGGTGGTCTGGGGCGCGAGCGAGGATGGCGACGAGTTTGGTGTCGGATTCGACCGGGACGTACTGGTGTTCGGCATGGACAGCACACCGAAATGCAGGGTCATGCCGGAGCCGAGAAAGAAGGTGCACGAATTCTGCTACGTGGTCACAGACTCGAAAGCCGACTCGTCGTTACTGGCCGTGTCCACCGAGGACGGGAGGATCATGTTCTTTTCGACCAAGAGCGAAGACCTCACGACGACTGACTCGGAGGCGGACAACAGGAAAGCAACAAAATTACCAGTTGCGAAGTTCGTTGCACAACTCGGAGGCAAAGAAGCCGGTGTTGCGGGGCGCATCAAGGACTTTGCTATATGCAGGATTCCCAACGAGAAGGGCGACGAGTTCATCATATCGGCCGGCAGCAGCGACGGCAAGGTCCGCCTTTTCAAGTTTGCGCTCAAAGAGCTGAATGAAGCGAGGGGTGCAAAGGCGCCTGCGCAGGTTGGCAAGCTACTAGGCACCTACGAGACGCAGAACAGGATTACTTGTCTGTCGGCATTTGTCATGATACCCCGACCCGAAGGTGTGGAGGACAGCGAGGACGACTTCAAGGGTCTGTCCGACGAGGATGAGGATGAGGATGAGGACGAGGACGAAGATGAAGATGATGAATGAGGAAAAACAGGTTCGTAGCAAAAGAACCAGTATGTTCTGCATGGACGATTCTATACCAGTGGTCAATCACGACGTTGACAGCAGTCTGGCGACTTTCTTGCGGATATCCAACCCCCCGGCCTGACCATTTTCAGCTCTTGCCAGGTTCCACACCATCTTGATGCCTTTCCCATTAACGCCCGAGGGCAAGAATTACCATTACCTTCGACATGAACTTGGCATCTAGCATGGGGTGTTTACAAAGCTGTAGCTCGTGTTGTGCCGGGTTTGCGGGTGTGCCTGGCTGGTGGCCAATTGAGCCACTTCATTGACCCCTGGAACCGCTCGTCGAGCTAGAGGGCGACGGGCAGGATTAATGCGGAAAGGAACTTCAAGTCTCGACCAGTTTGTGGGGTAATAGCCAATCAGGGGTCGCGTGTAGAAGAGCCGGCCCAGCCAGCTGCGGGACGTAGACGCATGGATTGATCATCGGAGCATGTGATTCCAGTTTCACCCGTATGAGGTCTCACCGTGTCACCGTCCATGGAAGTGAGGACATGTGCTGTTACCGCTTCACCAATTGCGATCTCCTGTGCCACTGGGCCGCACATGACCGATAGTCAGCAGATGTGTAGGCGAGAGCCTAAATCTAGGGATATCGTCGTTATTATGACCAGTAAGCAGTAGATACACAGACTGGAATCGAGATCATATTTCCCCCTCGGGCAGATGCAAAAACCTGGCTCCACCTCGTTTTCGGGGCGCTACAGTGGGTAGCAAAGTGGGTGTAGTGGTCTGGGCTGTGGTTTGACGCCTGCGGGGGGGCGATGGATGATGGATGATGGATGAATTGGGTCAGGTCTGAGGTCGCATCTGCTGCAAAACACAACATCAGAGACAGCTTTTGCCCTTTTCTGATTGAACTGCTCTGCTTGCACGACACATACGTACACACACATAAGCACATTATTGATATACACAACTGCTACGCTGGCTGCCACTTTAGCCACTTGCTGTTCTCGTGCTGGCGTCAAATCTTGTCTTCTTGTGCTTCACCCGTCCCGATCCGACCTGTGTCTTAAAATCAGCTGCCAATCCCAGCTATTGTGGCGCCGCCCCGGCACCTTTGTGTTCACTTTGACAACCAGCTCCTCACCTACCTGACCCCAAAGTTTGAGAGCGACCAGAGCTGGTACGGGTCCAGGTCTTAATAATAGAGTTCCTCCTCCTCCTCCTCCTCGAGCAGCAACGAGTGCCCTCGGCATTGGGTCAGTGCCTTTAAAGAGTTCGGGGTTACGCAACAGCACACGCAGCTCAGTCTGCCAGTCCCTCCGTCTCAACAAAAGTCGAGCTTCCTCGACACATCGACCAAATCCTCTCCACAGACAACTTCGCTTGGTCAACTTATCTATTACGAACTATATCCCATAGAGAACTCGTCTTTGAACCACCACCGTGAATCGCAACCATGACCGACTACTCAGATGGGCCACCGGTTCTACGGCCCGTCCCCCGCCGCCCCTTCGGCCTGAGCCTACGAGAGCCATCACCACCAGACGAGGACTCGTTCCCACCCACGCCCGACACCGATTCACCACTCAACCTCGACTCGCTGAACTCGCGCCTCCTCGACCCGCGGCGGCGCAACAACAACCACAACAACAATGCGGTACCCTCGCCCAGCGAGTCCGACACCCTCAGCCGCGCCCAGTCGGTACTGAACCTGACGAGCTCGACGCTGATGGGCATCTACGCCCCGACGACGTACGGCCGGGACCGGTTCTACGCCCCTGGCGACGAGCTGACGACGCCCTGGGGCACGGGCGCCGAGACGCCGGCGACGCGCGAGTTTGATATTGATCGTGTGCTTGGCTACGAGCTGCAAAAGGAACGGACGGCAACATCAGCACACCGGACGAGCAGGCGGCGCTCGTCCCTACACCCTGTTATCCACACAGTGCCGCCGTCGAAGGCGGCCTCAATACTCTACCTCGGCCTACGCGGCGTACTGCTGTCGGGCCTAGGCATGCTGTGCGGGCTACTGGTGGCGCAGGTGCAGGACCGGCAACGCTCGGTCGGCGCCTTCCGAATGGAGAGCATCGTCGGGCCGTCCGGCTGCGACTGGCGGTACATGGCGTTCTGGGCCGCGTCGGGGCTGGTGCTGGGGAGCCTGCTGCCGTGGTTCGACGGCGTGTGGGAGGGCGCGTTTGGCGGCGAGGAGGTGGTGGACATAGCGTCGGAGGCTGGCGATGCGGACAAGGAGCCCGGTACTGGTGCCGGGGTTGGGGTTGGCGGTACGGATTGGGCGCTGGCGGTTAGGGGGATTGGGATGTTTGTCGGGATCGCTTTTGCCATTGTGAGTCACGCAGTATCCATGATCTCTACATGAACTACGGCACTAACAACATTGCGCAGCGCAAACTGCCCTGGGACTCGACCCTCCAAGTCTCGCTCACGCTCGCGCTCGTCAACCCGGTGCTCTGGTTCCTGATCGACCGCTCCGTTCCGGGCTTCGTCGTGTCGTCGGCCGTGGGCCTGACGGGCTCGGCCGTGCTGATGGGGCTGCAGCCGGACATGGTGCCCATCCCCACCATAAACGGGCACTCTTCTTCGTCGCCTTCGGCGTTTGGGGGGTTGTATAACCCCAACAACGGCCACCACCACAACAGCCACAATAATTCGAGCTACGCGCAACAGCAGGAGGGGACCCCGATCCTCGGCGGGCTCGCGACCCAGGAGACGCTCGCCACGGGCATATGGATGCTCAACGTGCTGTTCTGCTGCTGCGTGTGCTTTGGCAATATCGGCCGCTGGCTCGCGCTGAACCGGTCCGCCTCGACGAAGGGGCGGTGGGCGGAGCGTCGGTGAATGATAATCGAGAGTTGAGGAAGAAAGCAAAGAAGAAAGAAACAGCGGAAAGAAGGAATTGAAGATAGATAGGGAGCTTGCTGATTAACCCGGTCTGAGATGGTTGGGAACAACGCTCCCGGTGGATTGCCTATTTGGGCAAACAGCGATAACATTGTTTCGATTCCTACCTATCTAGGGATGCCCCTCCCCTTTCTACCTTAGGGCATGGTTTGGGATGGGCGTGGCAGGTCATCTGCCATTGAACAAAAAGCGATGGGTTTGTCGTTATTGGTGTTGTAACCACCACCATATCTTGGGCCGAAGTCTGGCTGTAACTGACGTCTCTACGTCCGTACGACTCTTGGAGCATGCATGCATTCTTTGGTGTATTGGGTTGGGCTGGGTTGGGTTGGTCGACGGCGCAAAGGGCTGGATAGGTAGGCATGGATTGTTGGATCGCTAGCTACGTGCACATCAAATGTACGAATGGTACTGTCTTGAAAAGATGTGACTTTTTCCAAAGTGTCATTTCGGTGGTTGGCATTGACGAACTTGGGAGTTGATGAGTGTGTGCTTCACAATGATGAGTGTCTGCTTCAATTATCGACCGTACCTGCACTCCGACCCTATGTGCTGCTTGCTGCTCTGGATATCCCCCAACGTCCAAGATACCTTACCCGAATTAAATCCACAAAGAAGTTTGGCGCCTTTCCATTTAGCCGCCTGGAGCCCATCAAGCAGACCTCCATGTTGCACTGCGTTATGTGTGTCGGATCCACAGTGAAAAATTTGACGCTTCAGATCCAAATCGCCAGAGACCCAGCAAGTAGACCTCCACGATGCATTGCGGTGGAAAAATTGAAAGGGTAAATGAGAAAAATGTCGACAGCCTCAGACGAGGTCAACGGGCAGTAGAGCAGCAAAAAGATGACCACCCTGGGGCTCGAACCCAGAATCTCCTGATTAACTACCACTGCCTGAAGCGGGATCGTAGTCAGACGCCTTACCATTGGGCCAAGCGGCCGGTGTTTGCTTGTGTGTGCTATTTATAGACGAACTGAACCTTATCGAGCGTTAAGACGGTGAGGCTTGCGAAATACTGCGTTGGGGGATGGGAGGTGTTAGGTAATGGGAGAGAGTTGATGAGGCGATTTTTGGTCTTTTGCGTGGTCTTCGTATGGGCGTTTACGTGATAGTTTCAGGGCGTAAGGACGGATCATTGAAGTTCTAGATGGTGGAGGCAGATCCGCTTGAGAGCTCCTATGTAGGGATAGAGTCTGAGAAACACAATACAACACAAAACCTGTGTTGTATTGTGTTGTATTGTGTTGTATTGTGTCTTTCCATAGCACACGTGTGCTTCTTGGTAGTGACGTAGTAGATAGTACCCAGGGGTACCACGGACCACCTGAATTTGGCTGGGAAATTGTCGGGAGTCGGAGGAAATTGTCGGTAGTGACCCACATATGGCTGACCGGAAGCCGGATATACCCTTACCGGGGCTTCGGAGGCTGTTCCGGAGGTTGTTCCGGCCCGAATAACACAACGCGCTACAACACGTGTTATATGCGTGTGTTGTGTCGTATTGTGTTTTTGGATAGAACACCGTGTTTTTCCACCCCTACTCCTGTGATATCTTGGCTGGAGAAGTTAGAACGGATGGCGGTGTGGGCCGGTGGAGTTTTGGCATATTGGATCGGGTTTGTCGGGGTCCGGACTCTCGGGTTGCCCGGGTTGTGAGATCATCTGAGATCATGAGATGGGCATGATGGGGTGCAAGTAGGGTGAGATGAGGATGAGGACGAGATGAGACCATGCGGTATGGAAAATTGTTAGCTGGTGGAGGGCAGGAAATGGATAGCTTGATGGTAAGGGAGGCCTATTCTGCTTGTTGGAGTAATAAGTGTAGGTAGTAGGTATGGTGAGCCGGAGCAATAATCTGATTATAATGTCTCTGCGACAGGCGTCTTGACTTGACTTCAAGTCTCACGACATGGCGAATTCGTAAGAGCGGTTCCTGTGGCTGCATGTGCTGAATAGCAGCAACTTTCCCATGCTAGATGAACAAGGAAGAGAGACGTGATAGAAACCCTGGGCGTAAGCAGAGACCTGCCATATGTCGTAGAACTCCAAGGAAATCGGTGTTGGATGGATATTATCATAATTCAAGTCTTGTTTTGACTCTTCTTCTCTCTTTCCAGGTATCGAGGAGGTTCTAGGTCCTCGTGGGTACACTCAGCCCTCATAAGTCTCCGTACGCGCCATGTTAGAAGAATCCAGATCACACGTAAGCTCTTGGAAATACTGCAATAAGCAGACAGGAATAAGCAGCTCATAGATATCAAGTCATCTTTGATGCTTGTTCCAATGTGCTTATTCCATTGATGATGAAAGCACTTTCGCTTCGTAGATGAGGAGTGTACGGAGGCTTATGAGGGTTCAGTGTACCTATGACCATATTGACTGTGTGTCCGATACGGTGATGAGGCGGTTATGACGAGATTTGCCACGGTTGCTTGTGGCACTTGACGAAGAGCAGCACTGGCTGACTATCAGGTTGTCCGGTCGGAATGCATGATTATCGATCTCCGAGTCCAGTATCAAGTTACGAAGTAGAGGACTTGGAAAGTCATGAGGCAGGGGATCAAGTTGCTTGCCTTGCGGATTTGACGTCCACGACGGCTCGGAATTGCGGTGCCTACATGCATCCGACAAGAGCGGCGAGATTCCGCTTTTCATTCTCGATAGTCAACTCGGACTCTTGAGAACCCCGCTTGCCCCGCATAGTTGCTGCAATATCCCGGCAAAGACAATGTGACAGGCAGGGGTGCGAGGGCGAGGAAATATATCATGTACGTAGGGCGAGTCGATGTGGTCGGGCCCGGAGATCCACGACGTCTGTTTAAGCGTCATACATATATAAAAAGCAGGTAGGTAAGGTTGTTGAGGCTGAAAAGAGCCGTGCCCGTTCGTAATGTGGGTTGGGGGAGAGCATCCATGGTCCATATCCCAGTCGCACATCTCGGGTTGTTGACAGTTGTTCTGGAATCTGCACCGAAACTTGCCTTGTCATTGCTTCGGCGGCCGTATGTATGTACGCGTAGCTCGTATGCAAGCAGACTGGGTGGCCAATGTGACGAACCTACTCCTCGGTCGTTGCAGCATGTCTAGATTCGGAAAGTCGTGATGGGAACGGACGGCGTAGACTGCAGCGCCCACTGCTTGAGTCGATCTGGACAAGGAACACGCAGCGGAGAGGACGGGAAAGGGTCCTGGAGGCTGAAAATGTCGGTCTCTGTTCGGTTAGTTCACTTGGCATATGTGTGGCACATCCTGTAGCGTCGATGGTCAGGCCTGGTCGCCTGATGTCGGATCGAGGCTCGCGTGCTGTCATCGCAAGCTGGAGCCGTGTGTTCGCGAAAGGGGACCCGTTTCGGCCACTAGAGATGAGACAGCGCAGTCTAAAATGGGTGACTTGAGATTGTTAGGATAGGTATCTTTTGGTAGCGGTACCTAAAGCCACTTTCTGCAGGCCTTGCAACAGGCAGGAAGACCCCTTTTTTCGGTTTCTCAACCGTCTGATAACTAGACATTCCTCGGGAAAACGATAGGCGAGGATGCTTCATGAAGCTTGATGAAGCTTGGTCCTTCCAAGCTCCCTACCTACCCGATAGTGGACTGTAACTCAGAGCGAGTGGCCGGCTTGTTTGGCACCTAGGTAGACACCGATATTGATATCGAGGAGGCCTTCTCTGAGATCTTTGTAGAGGTGTACCACAGTCGCCAGGTATTGGGTCACCGAGTGGACCGCAGGCAGTATGCAACCGGTCATCATCGACTGGCCCCATCTGGCCGGGGCCGCTCTCGGAGAACTGGGGACGGGAATACCGTATTGGAGTCTCTCTCATGTCCCCCGCGTGTGTTGCCTCTTGTGCCATTCCACATCAGGTAATAAGCGAAAGCGAGACGTCGTCATCCATTGCAATTAGCTCCATGTCCGTCGGGTCAGCGAGCGCTTGGTCGTCCTGGCTGACCGTTTCCCTTAACGGCAACGACAGTGGCTGGCGCCTAATGTAGACCAGCAGGAGTGCGTTAGACTTGACGAACGGCCTCTCCGGCTTTGCAAGTCTGCAGGTGGCCAGCCATAGCTCAAGGTGTAGGTAGGTCAGGCGATTTAGGGGTCCAGCTGGGATTGGTATCTGTCGAGTGACCGTGCCTGGAAGTCGGGCATCAATGATGAGTTGTCTGTCAAAGAGCAGGGCCTGCCTCCCTGCCAGGTGCTGCCAGGGGTCCCATCAAAGACCTCAGCTGCTCGTGCGCCTGCCCTCATGTGCGTCACACAATGCCCGTCGGCCAATGGCCAATGTCCAATGAGTGGCACTCGCCGCCGCTTGCCGCATCGAGATCGGCCCCTCCACCACAGCCATACTCGGCCAATCAGGGTGGGTGCAGCTGACCGTTACAAGCTAGGCAAGTACCCCTACGACGTCAGGACTTTTGAGACTTCCAAGGGTGTGTTTCTGGGACTTCCACTGGGACATCCAACTGGGACTTTGGGGACTTCTTGTTGATTGGACTTCCATCCACCTGTTGTCGTCTGGACTGCCCTGACTGCCTCCTGCCGTCTGCGCCTGGCACTTTTGGCTAGCGCCGGTCCTCCACATCCCCGTCGCTTGCAAAGGTGGACTGGAAGGATCCAGCATCCAGATGTATGATGCCTTCTACATATTCGACTGTCCACACCAAACTGGAAAGTGCTTTTGCCTTGCCTTGCCTCGCCTTGCCGTTGGTGCGCCGTATATATCACTTGTTTTGCTAATGGGTCTTGAACGCTTCTCGGCGTGTCGACTTTCCTTCACTCTCACAAATAACGCCGTGCCCGTCTCCGAGTCCTACTACCCTGGGCCTTCCGGTGATCGCTAAGCATGCCGCGTGAGACGGTTACGATTCATGAGCCCGCGCCCGTCACGAACCACGAATCAATCTCCTCGCACGGTATCCTACTCACACCCACAGTCGCAGACCAGCACACGATTTTGGTCTTGACTTAGGGACTTTGCCGAATTTGATCGTGTGCGTGCATCCCACCATCATACCAGGAGGCGCATCGAGTCTCTGGAACCACCGGCTGCGCATATCACCGTCACCGTGTGCAGGCATCTCCGGCGAAGACGTCACATAAAATCACCAAACCACCTTCGAGGTATCATCTGGCAGCCCGGCACCCAAGCTGGATGACTTGAAATTTTCATGTCCTCAATCCAGGCGAACGTTTCTCCGCCGAGCTTACCTCTGTCAACACCCTCTGACAGCCCAACTTCGTTGTCGCGATCCCACAAGGATGATGCTCTAGCTCCCAACCCAGCTGGTACCGAGCACCCCACGCGCGCCGCGGCCCTTCTACTCGATGCCGTCAGGGACGTTCGACAGATCATCCGCCTCCTCCAATGCCCAATATGCTCGAGGATCATACAAGAGCCGACGACGCTGCCGTGCGGCAAGAGTATCTGCAGAAGCTGCCGACCTCCGACCCATGTGCGAACGAACATATCATGGCCGGCCACAGAGAATCGACTGCGAGGCTTCGAATGCCCGTTTCCAGACTGCAGGAAGGAGCATGCGGCTGCTGATTGCGCCGTCGATGTAACAATGAATAAGGCACTGACCTTCGTGAAGGCTGCGCTAGAGTTGGAGAGGGATGGGTCGGTGCAATCTGAGGTATCGACGTACGTGGAGGTGCAGGGTCGCTGGGATGTCGCCGGCATCCCCTCGATGGAAGAGAAAGAAAAAGAGTCGAGAGTACTCAAGGGTGGCCGTGTTGTCGCAACTTACACACTGGCCGAGCTCGGCAAGCTAGATTATGGGTGCGAAGTCTCGTTTTCAACGGTGGACGCTGGTAACGATGAGATCGAAGCGGTTGATACAGCCATTTTCCACAAGCTGAAAGAATCATTCAAGACGGAGATGGATTGCCAGGTCTGCTACGCGCTCTTCCTCGACCCCCTGACGACAACCTGTGGGCACACATTTTGTCGGTCTTGTCTGCACAGGATCCTCGATCATTCGGATATGTGCCCCATATGCAGACGCGGCCTTTCCATGCAGTCACAACTCGATCCGCAATCGGTGCCTTCGAATGACCGTCTTTGCAGCATGATCAACGGGTTCTGGGCTGATAAGGTCGCACTCCGCTCCCAAGCGCACAGGCTCGAACAACAGGCCAACCATGGAGGGTTTGACATTCCGCTGTTTGTCTGCACCCTCTCTTTTCCGTCCATGCCACTTTTTCTCCACGTCTTCGAGCCACGATATCGCCTGATGATCCGGCGTGCGATGGAGGCCGATCGGACTTTCGGCATGGTCATGGCGAAGCCTCAAAATGTCCCTGGTGAAGCCAATTTTATGGAACTCGGAACGCTTCTTCGTATTGTCAGTATCGAATTCTTCCCTGATGGCCGCAGCCTCCTAGAAACCGTTGGCGTCTCACGTTTCCGAGTGACTCGCGATGGGTGGTTGGACGGATACGCTGTCGCGAACATCGCAAAACTTGATGATATCAGCGTCGCAGAAGAGGAGGCAATAGAGGCATCTGAGACCATGCGCGGGGTTGGCGTGCGGACCTTCACTTCACCCACCGAACCACGCGACCCAGCGCATCCACAGTCTTCTGGGCCCGTTCGGTCGCCACCTGTTCCCATCTCTCTAGACGACTTGGAAACAATGTCGACGCAAGAACTCGTTGACGTCGGTATCAATTTCGTTACCAGGATGCGGGCTCAAAGTGTGGCGTGGTTAGCTGCTCGGGTGCTGGCCATCTATGGGGACTGTCCTACGGACCCGGCCATCTTCCCTTGGTGGTTTGCCAGTATATTGCCCGTCAAAGAGGAGGAGAAGTATAGGTTACTAGCCACCTCGAGCGTCCGGGAGAGGCTGAAGATATCCTGTCGTTGGATTGTGGAATGGGATTCGAACCGATGGTTAGCCAACCTCCTTTTTAATTTCCCCCGATCCATTATTCCGTCTCTTCCATTCCACTTACCACGCACTGCCATTATCCTCACATGCTCTCTTCGAGCTCCACGGGCTGAACTCACTGCAGACTCTCCTACACGAAGATCTTTTATCATTGACAGATCTCGTATCGCCCGCAGGACCATATCAGACTGTTTGGTCTTGTGACAAACATTATCTTCATTGTTTACCCACCCGGCCCCTATGGAATCGGTTACTTTGATAGCATCGGGCAATCAGTACACCTGACCTGGCACAAAGAGACACCAGACCCGGTTAACAGATCATGGCTCTGAATCTTTTGGCGTGGAGGAGTTTTCCCCTCCTTTTCCTGCATTATCATTTCCTTGTCATCATCATACTAGTGATACCACCACGGCGGCCGTTGTAGATTTGAATTCCTCATTTTGCAAAAAGATCACGCGATCGTTGGTTGAGTCCTTGGCCCTCTGCAGCCACCAAGTTCGAACATGGAGATTGTCAGATTCGGAGCATGTGTCGTATAGGGGTGAAAGATTCAGTTCTCCTGCTATATACATATGGGCAGCAACCCCCTAAGACTCGATCAATCGAGCTAAGATCAGGGGATTGAAACTCGAATATGAGCATCCCTGTGTCTGAATACGGACAAATTGTGTATATAGTTTTTGGCATTTCGACTCAAAGAATTCCAGTACGGTTTCTTGCAACGCACATTTAGTCCGCTCCACGGTGTGAGAGTAAAAATTAGTGAGGTGAGGCCAGTTAAGGTGTCGGCTTCAGCGTGTGAGAAGAGGTTTGTGCCCCTTCGAGCGACTTCGTCCCTCTAGTAGGAACTTCTTAGTAGAAAGGTGAATCTTGGAGCTGTTCTCTTGTGCTTTGGCCTGAGTGGCTTGCCCTACTGACATAGCGCGTGAGAAGTCAACCTCCACCCCCAATCCCCCTTCCCCCTCCCCCCCACCCCCGCGTACATTTTGGGGGTTTTGCTACGTGACCATGACACTGCTATATGGAAATTTCAAACACGCTCACGAAGTCTACCGATGTCGTTCTCGTCGTCCGGTATTGTGACAATATCCTCTATGTAATCTTGTTCCATGCGGCACCTACCTTGAGATCGAGAGCTCGTTATTCACGGTTGAGTGAGCGAGAGTTGCTCGCTGATATCTTGCCAGGTGCGCGGCACTCCGTACCGTTACCGTTGGTGGTACATACTTGCTTGGTGAAAGGGGCCGGCTGGGGAGAATACTGTTGTTGAACCGTTGATGCTGCTTGGATACGAGAACCTACCTGATTGAGAGACGGCATCTTCCGAATAGGCATGAACCTTATGCTGCAGCATTCCTTCGCGGCGAATAGGGGAGGTGGGTGAGAATATGATAGATCTTGGTTTCCGAATAGGTATACGGGGATGATCTTCTGTGGGATGTCGTTGACCATCTGCTAGGAAGGGAGGACGTGTTCTACTACAGTTGCTCGGCTTCGCTGTGCTTGGTCGTCTACTGTAGTACGGAGTTTGACAGATTCCGTACAGGGCATAACATTTACTACCATGCCCCACCCACCACTCGGACGCCCAACATTAGTGGCACACGCGTAAACATTTACAACTTCACTTACACCGATATCAGTTAATTTATGGTGTTTTTAGCTGCTAAGCACATTTATTTGATCGTTTTTAGACGCCTAGTTATTATATTTAGCTGGGCGGCGAGTTTGCCAACTGGAATGGGTTTTTGCAAGGGTTGCAATCTCCTATTCTTTTGACGAATTTAAGCTATCTTTTTCTTTTTCTTTATTACTTGAATTTTTAATAACTACTAGCTATACGGCCTTGTAGCAATTTTAAGGCTGCTTTTTATTAACTGCTAGTATTTCCAAGATGCTTTTAAACTATTTATTTAAGTTGTGAATCTTTTTACGCTTTTTAAAGCGCATACGCTTTAGTTTTGCTTTTAAACTTTCAATTTTTAGTCATTTAATTTCATTTTTTTAAATTACTTTTTAAAAGTAATAGCAACCTTACGTAGTTTTAGCCGAGTAGTTAAGAACTTAATTTTTTATATATTTAAAATTTGCTAGCTATTTTTAAACGTTTAAGCGTCTTTAAGTTTAAACCTTTCGACCTGTTTAAGCTTAAAGGTAGCGGCCTTATTCTTTTAGATTTTTAAGTATAGTAATACTTTTTTGCAGCTCATAAACTAGTTTTTAATAATTTTAAAGCTAATTTAATAATTTTGAACTGTTAGTTTTTCGTTTTGCGCTTTAGCGTGGTATTTAATAAAGTTGATTTAATTTATAAAGGTAGTATTAATCAAAATAACTATTTAAACCATATGTTTACATGTTACAAACCAACGAACAGTGCGGCCTGATAGCAGGCCCAGAGGGGACGATTGGAAACAGGTTGACCAGAGAGTGGGGTGCTGATCAGTGGAGAGATCGGAGCAACGGAGCAACGGTACACAGATCATGTGACCAGCAGAACCTGGGTCACGTGACTAAGAATTTGGATCACTGGATCACCTTGGATCACCGGTGATCCAGGGTGAGCCACCTAATCAGTGAGGGAGAGATTGGATATAAGGACAGACATTTCCCAACCAGATAGATAGACAGTCTCTACCTCAGTGATCAACCTAAGCATCATAGCCAACCCTAAGGTGGGAGAAATTGTTGAAGACACGGATCTTGATTGATGCTATGATTGTTCTGCTCTGTGTACAGAGATTGATTATCTGTCTTCTTGGTGGGTCAGATGCCCTGTGCGTCTCTGCCCCACTGGAGATCTTCCGGTGTCTATCTCCGGCTCCCATTCAACAGAAATCTCCTGACGACTCGACTACGCAGTGAACCCAGTCCAGACCAAGCCCCAGCATCTGAGTGTCTTCTAGTTGACAGAAGCCTCTATCGTCCTTTGTGTTGACTTACCTCAGAACATAAACCTTATGGAACCCTTTAGCTTTATAGGTTAGACGGCTTGTCACATTATAGTAAGTAGCCTTAACGGCGTTAAAAGGGCCGTTAGTATGTGGTTAAAGCATGTAAGAGGTATATATTAGTAGAAAATATAGCTATATGTTATTTATAAAGTATATGGTTATAAATTTATCTCTCTACTAAGGTTAGTTGTATATTTATTGATTTTAAGCGGAAAAGTTTTTTTTAAACCAATTACTATTTATAAAGATATAACTCTTATACTTATTAAGGATTAAAAGTACTGCTTTAAATTCGTTGTTTTTCGTATTTAATTAGCTTAAAAGATAAAAATACTTTTTAGTTACTTTGCGGCGACTGCGTTATTGTCACGGCGAGCGTACTGAGGAGCTGGGACATGGCCGGCAGCAAGCAGCTATTACTCTATTGACGAGAATATCAAGACTAGAGAGGAAAGGAAGAGAGAGAGAGAGATAGGTACAGTGGGAGGTTGCCCCTTTAAGAGGATCCTCTGGTCAGATCCTTCCCCTATTGGGAAGTATCCGCTTGTCATATGGGAAGGTCTGTGCAGGCCGTCACAGTTATCGGTTTACTTATTATTAGTACATGTTAGAATTCGTATGTGGAAATATTGGTTCATTTGTTCGTGCATGTGTATCTACTTTGGTACGGACGAATTCACATCTAAATACAGGTGTAACGCGCCTGCCTGCCGTAGCGCTAGAGCTGTTGGGCAACGTCACTAGTCGACCGTTCTCAGGGCGCTCGGACCACCCAATCCACCTGGTCCGTGCGCGGACCACCTGCAGCCACACCATTTGCACCACTCCATCCAACATGTGTGTTGTAATTACAGTAGACTAGGCGCTGTAATTACAGTGGGTTAAAAGCTGTAATGTGGGACGCTATCCGAATAGAGCTAAAGCATGGCAGAATAGCTTTTTTGGTATAGCAGAATAGACTTACTCGGTGCGGCGCCCCGTAGCTTGCGTAGGGCCGCGGCGTAGCCTCGATTTTTGTTGAAGACGAGGGTCAATTGATTGAGTGTATTGTGATGTTGTGATCGAGCACTGTCTATCTGTCTACGAGTTTTCAGTACTAGTTTTTGCCCTGGTGGCTGTCGCAGTCTAGTGCGCTGTCATCCACGTGACATGGTCAGTGCATGGCCCAAATGGTGCGCTGGTATCTGACAATTTTCGTTTACTGGATAGGCTTTATTCGTTTAGTTTTACTGACCCGGGATTGGGTGTGTACTGTATGTACGGACCGGCACATCTCAGACTCCTAGCTTCAATCCATTTGACGGGTGTTCATGTGTCAGATTTGAGCCAATCGTCAGAGTGAAGTGTGTGTGTGTATTCTGTCTGTCTAGAGTGTCCTTGTGCGACCGTGGCAGTTTTGTGCCAGAGGGGGCTAGATCGGGACGGAACAACTAGGTTCCGTTGTCTACCTGTCAAGGTGCCTTCCAGGCGTACCCTTAATCCAACACTATGCTGTCTGGCTGTTAGGTTCATGTTTCTAATGCCACGCCCTTACCCAGCCACCTGTGGCAGCTAGCTCCGACTAGCTTCAGGGTCCCCCAACGGGCCAGCCACTCACAGACCCCAATTGCAGTGCGATAATCGGGCACCCGCAAGTCGAAACGTTTGGAGGGCCGAGGGGGAGGAGGCGGTCTGTTCGAAAACTTTCCCACGGCGAACTTCCTCCCCCCTTTCCTCCTCAGGAACACTGGAAGTCTGCACCGTCTGCCAGCATCTGTTGGCCCTGCAACTTCGACACCATGTCCAAGCCTCACAGCCTCAACGGGAGCGAGTCCGAGTTCGAGTTCATCGAAACTCCCAGGGCTCCCACCCCCAACTTCGAAAAGTTTGAAGAGTGCGGTGTGCGAACCACGTCGGTACGTTTGCCCTGAGCAACACCCCTTCCCCTTCCCGGTGCTTAGGGTCAGACTGACGGTTCCTCTGCAGTATCCAGCAATCAAGAATGCTCCTCTCCCCGCCGATTCCGTCGGTGCCGACAGCTTCTCCAACACCCTGCTCTTCTCGCTGCTCGGTGGCGTTCCTATCTGGCTGTCCTGGAAGGTCGGAGGTGGTCTGAAGACGGCTATCTTCTTCGCCGTCTTTACGAGCATTCCCATACTTGCCGTCTTCTGGATGACAGTGTCCGCCATCAGCCCTCGAAGAAACGAGAAAGCCAAATTCCCTGGCCGTCCCATCGAACACTACCTCATCTTCAAGAAGCGATCCGACCAGGCGAAATACCATGGCAAGAACAAAATCCCCATGGAGACCTTCTACGAGATGTACTTTGACGGGGACGTCGACTTCAACGGCGACGCCCTGGAGATTATGGAATACAGACATGACTGGGCAAGCTTCCGTTTCACCTGGGGTCTCTGCAAGTACTTTGTCTTTGGCATGATGCCCGAGGTCATCATGCACTCGCGAAGCCAAGGCAAGTTCTTGCCTAGTACCCTTGCTATCTGCAACGCGCGCTAACATGACCAAGATGAGGAACAGGTGCGTGACCACTACGACCGCGGTGACGATTTCTACGGGTGGTTCCTGGGTCCTCGTATGATCTACACCTCGGGTGTCATTTCCGATATCAACTCGGAGGAGTCTCTCGAACAGCTCCAGGACAATAAGCTGGCCATCGTGTGTGAGAAGATCGATCTGCAGGAAGGCGAGAGCATGCTTGATATTGGCTGTGGCTGGGGTACTCTTGCCCGATTCGCCAGCGTCAACTACGGCGCGCATGCTACCGGTGTTACCCTCGGACGCAACCAGACGGCATGGGGCAACAATGCTCTTCGCAAAGTTGGCATCCCTGAAGAACAGAGCAAGATCCTGTGCATGGACTACCGAGACATCCCGCTGCCCGAGGGCGGCTACAAGAAGATCACCTGTCTGGAGATGGCTGAGCACGTTGGTATTCGCAAGCTGGGTGGTTTCTTTAAGCAAGTGAACAACATGCTCGACGACGACGGAGTTTTCTTCTTGCAGATCGCTGGCCTCCGCAAGGACTGGCAGTACGAGGATCTGATCTGGGGTCTGTTCATGAACAAATACGTCTTCCCGGGTGCCGATGCGTCAACACCTCTTGGCATAGTCATCGACAAGCTCGAGGGTGCCGGATTCGAGATCAAGGGAGTCGACACGATTGGGGTCCACTACTCTGCTACTCTGTGGCGTTGGTATAGAAACTGGATGGCCAACCGCGAGAAGATCGAGGCGAAGTACGGAAAGCGGTGGTTCCGAGTAAGTAACGAAATACATGTTGATTTGTACGATGATTCGTATATATGCTGACATGGCCACTTAGATCTGGGAGTACTTCCTGTCTGCGTCAACCATCACGTCGCGTCAAGGTGGCGCAACCTGCTGGCAGATTGTGCTGGTCAAGAACATTAACTCGACTCACCGCATTGAGGGTATCTCGACCCAGTTTGGTCTGAAGGGGGCTTTGCAGGCGGCAGCAAAGAAGTTGGACTTCGGAGCATGGGCTAAGAAGAACGCCGACCAGTTCCCAACGTCGGCTGCTCAGTAGATCTGAGAATCGAACGGCTGGCAGAAAAGAATGCAGAAGCCCCTGAAGTGTCATATATCAAGACCATTTCAAGACTGGAGCTCAATGTTGATGTTGCGGCAATGGGCCGGAGTCGAGCATCGAACATTGCATGGTGGCATGATGGGAGACTTGTGTGGAGAAGTGTAGTAGTGTGCACCATGCACAGTCAGCTGGTGGTTGCAGAAGGAATAGCTGCCTACTATATGGTAGAGTGAACTAGAAGTAGATGAAAGGAGAAGCCAAGCTCAAGCTGTGAGGCAACTTGTCAGATATTATTTGTTCCATGCTTTCATGGCTGTGACCTGATGATGTGTGTGACAGAATGGGCTTCACGTTGTGCACGCATAAAAGAGAGATAAAAAGTCTGGCCCGTGCATTTGACCACATGGCAGCTGTCTCACCCAGTTGGCAACTTGGCAGAGCTCGGACCCACTTCTTTTCTTGGAGGGCAAGGGGCCATTCATCAATTTGACCAGCCGCATCACTCCTTATTCCAGCCGCTCCCAAACAGTGAGCTTCGTCATCTACAGCTACACAACTTGGAAGGAGATATTCCTGCCTCGAGAGTCATCGAGGAGCCGCGTCGCTCTTCTCGACTTGCCAATCTGGCTGTGCCTCGAGCCTAGCCCGTCTTCCATCATGTACTCCAACTCCAATGCTTTCATGGGCGGCGGCAACAGCCTGCGACCAGGTCCTCAGCAGCAGTATGGCAACTCGTTTGGAATGGGGACTGGTCAGCAGCCTCCGCAACAGCAACAGCAACAAACCGGACAGCGGCCGAGTCCGTTCGCACCACAACCGACCGGCTTCGGGCAAGCGCCCTTGGACCAGCAGTTCACGGGCTTCCCGGGCGGCCAAGGCATGCAGCCGCAGCCCACGGGGATGCTTCATCAGCAGTCTGTCCCGAATCTACAACCTCAGTACACCGGCTTTCCTGGCCAAGCTCCTCAACAGCAGAGCTTCCAGACTGGCGCGCCGCCAATGCCACAGATTCCCCAGCAGTATCAACAACAGTTTAACCAGCAGCAGCAGCAGCAGCAACAACCCCAAAATTCTTTCTCACCGCCAACCACCCAAACTCCTTCGTCAGCAGCCTTGTCCGCGCCACCCATTCAATCCCAGCCGACGGGCTTCAGCGCCATGGCCGCTTCGTTCAAGACCGGCGGCGCATCCGACACCCAACCGAAGGGACGAAGAGCCCCAAAAACCTCAAATAAAATCCCCAACATTCGATTGTCCTTCATCACAGCCCAGGACCAGTCCAAGTTCGAGACGCTGTTCAAGACGGCTGTTGGCGAAGGTCAAACGACCATGTCTGGCGAGAAGGCCCGGGATCTACTGATGCGGTCTCGACTGGATGGTGATTCCTTGTCGCACATTTGGTATGGCACAATACCATCATCCACGTATATACATAGATGACCCAGCTGACAATGGATTTACAGGACACTGTCCGATACGACTCGATCAGGCGAGCTACACTTTCCCGAATTTGCCCTCGCCATGTACCTTTGCAACTTGAAAATGGTTGGCAAGCCAATGCCAGGGAGCCTGCCGGAGAATATCAAGAACGAGGTTTCGAGCATGGTGGACATCATCAACTTTAGCATTGCGGAGGAAGCGGCTTCTGGGGGGGCCACAAATGCGCCAGACTTTACAGGACACAACACTTCTACTCCAACGATACAACACCCGCAGCCTCAAGCGTCCAATGCCCAGCTACTACAGAACCAGATGACGGGATTCCCAAGTCAGCCAACCGGCTTTCCTGGTCAACAGCAAGGCATGCAGCCTCAACAGACTGGGTTTCTGGGTGGCATGAACAACCCGCAAGCGACTGGATACAACGGCCCCATGCCACCAATGCCGCCGATGCCCACAGGCTTTCCGGGAGGCATATCTGCTCCAACCGCAGCTCCTCTGAACGCCCAGCCAACCGGTAGACCGGGCCAATGGGGTCTGGTGAATGCTCCCGCATCTGGGCTGCCCAATATCGATGCATTACAAGCTCGTATGATGCCCCAATCCGGCCGCGAGCAGCATAATTACACCACAGCTGGTCTGTCTGGCAATGCTGTTATTCCTTGGGCTATTACCAAAGACGAGAAGACACGGTACGATCAGTTGTTCCGAGCTTGGGACGGCCTCGGGAAGGGCTACATCGGAGGAGACCAGGCAATTGAGATCATGGGACAAAGTGGATTAGACAAGACTGATCTTGAGCGTATATGGACGCTTGCCGACAACGGTAACAAGGGCCGTCTGAATCTCGACGAGTTTGCTGTGGGTATGCATCTAATCTACCGAAAGCTCAATGGGTACCCCATCCCGAATACGCTGCCGGCGGAACTTGTGCCACCTTCCACGAGGAACTTCACCGAATCACTTGGCACCATCAAAAACATGTTGAATCAGGAGTCGGACTTCCGCAAGACATCAGGGGCTTCCTTGCTTCCCCAAAAGACAGGCGTCAGTTACATGAAGAGCCATTCGTTCAAGGCCGGCGGCTTGGGTGGTGGGCGAAAAGATGCGACCGTGTTCAAAAACAATGACGATGATGTTGGTTATAGATCCAGTGCGCGTCGTAAGGTTGGCCATTCATCGCCTCGCCCAGAATCTCCTGCCCCCAGTGAGGAGCTTTCCGTGGATCAGTTGAGGAAGAAGATTCGAGAAAAGCAGGTCTTGTTGGATGCTATGGACTTCAAAGATGAAGCAGCAGCTGAGGAGGACGACGCTCTCGACAGGCGTGACCGACGCGAAGCTGATGAGTTGTACCGCCGAATTCGTCGAATTCAAGACGACATCGATGGTCATCCTGATGCTGCCCTTGCCAGCGGTGACTCTGAAGCTGAGCGAAGAGCTCTGAAGCGGCAACTGCAGAACCTTACCGACAAGATTCCTGAGCTAGCATCTCAGGTTAGAAAAACCGAGAAGGCTATTGCTGACGCAAAGTTGGAGCTCTTCCGGCTGAAGGATGCCAAGGCTCGCCCTGGAAGCGCTTCTGCCATCATTGGTACAGGGCCAGGCGGTACAGTCACCGAATCAGACCGTCTCAAGGCTAGAGCCAAGGCGATGATGCAACAAAGAACTGCCGCCTTGACGGGCAAAAAAGTGGATGTCAGTGGCGATGACACTGACGCGCCGAAGCGTCTGGAAGAGGAGAACCTTAAGATCAGGACCGAGAAAGAAAACAACGAGCGGATGGTCCGAGATGTTGAGGACAGTGTCAGAGATTTCTCTCGAGGCATTGAAGACAACCTGAAAGAGGGTGGTCAAACCTCTGCAAATGAACACGAGAAACGGAGATGGGAGGACGCCCTTGGTGTCGAGGATGACGTTCGCGACTTTATTTTTGACTTGCAACGCTCCAGTCGGGCTGCCCGCGTTAGGACACAGGATCGAAGTGGTGGACGCGCCCCCACTTCTGAGCCAGTCAGAGCAGAGGCTCCGACATCACGTTTCGAGAGCCCCTCGTCGGCAGCTCGCACTGCTACGCCGCCGACTACCCAGTCTCCCGCACCTAGCGGTGGCTCATACTCTTCATACAAGACTCCTGAGGAGAGAGCTGCTTTTATTAAGCAGCAAGCCGAGCAACGTATGGCTGAACGTCTCGCGGCGCTTGGAATCAAGGCTCCTTCGAAACCTGGAGAGACTGCTGCTCAGCGAATGGAGCGTGAGAGGTCTGAACGTGCTGCGAAGCTTCGTCAAGCCGAAGAAGAAGACGCCAGACGTGAGACTGAACGCCAGGCAAGGATTGCGGAAGAACAAGGAGTACCGCCTCCTGCCGCTAAGGCGGAGGCTAAGAAACCGCCTCCTCCGCCTTCAAGGAAGAGCGGTAAAAACGAGGACACTGCGAAGAAGGCCGAAGAAGATGAAGCGACGAAGAGAGCCGAAGCGGAACTTATTGCGAAAGAACAGGAGGCGCAACACCTAGCCACGCAACAGATGGAGTAAGTACAAGACCTGCTTTGGACCGGAATTGGACACTGACTATGAGTAGGTCCGAGGCCAAGGAACAAGAAGGTGAGCTTGCAAAGGAGCGTGAAGCTGCTTCTGCTCGCTTGAAGGCTTTAGAAGAGCGAGTCCGCGAGGGCAAGATGAAGAAAGAAGAGGAGAAGAAGAAAAAGAAGGCCGCCACGGCAGATGCCAAGGAGAAGGAAGCGAAGTTGGCTGCCCAACGAGCCGAGATTGAAGCTGCGCGCCAAAGAGAACTTGAACTTCAGCGGCAGCTCGAGGCTATGGATGATGACGATTCTTCCTCGGATGATGAGGATGGACCCCAACATCTCACGCCGCAGGCCTCAACACCGACACTTGGCGGCAGTCAACTAGGCAGTCAGGAGCTGGAGCGCAAGGCCACTCCTCCTGCGCCGGCGCCTCCCGTTATGTCACCACCCTCCGTTGTGACCAGCCCCCCAACGGAGACGGAGAGCCGGAACCCCTACTTCAGGATGATGTCGCAATCGTCCGAGTCTTCTGCAGCGCCATCAACATCTGCACCAGCAGCACCCGCTGCTCCTGCGCCACCGCCTCAACCCGAGGTGTCCACCAACCCCTTCCACCGGATGACACAAGAGACCAAGGCTGCCCCTGCTGCACCAATGGCCCCACAGCCAACTGGTCCAGTTTCGCGGAAACGCCCTGATACTGATGACGAATGGGGTTCAGACAACGATGAAGAAGACGAAGACTCGGATGATGATCGCCCAGCTGCCGGTGCTGCCCAACTAGCTTCGCTTCTCTTTGGTTCCATGGGACCCCCTCGGCCAATGTCAGCTACAGGCAACAAGTCCGCGACAGCTTCGCCCGCGGTAGCCTCGCCGCCTTTCAGCCCTCCCCCTGCGCCAGCGCCACCAAGTGGGGAATCTGCAGAGTCTTCGGGCGGACCACCACCACCGCCGCCGCCGCCCATGCCAGAAGGAAGTCCAGCAGCTCCACCGCCACCGCCTCCTATGCCAGACTCTGGAGCACCTTCAGCACCTCCACCTCCACCGCCGCCTGCTCCAGGCATGGCTCCGCCACCTCCTCCACCGCCGCCGCCTTCCGCTGGCGGTGCCTCTTCGGGTGGTGGTCGACCTTCTGGTTTCCTGGGTGAAATCCAGATGGGGAAGTCGTTAAAGAAAACACAGACAAAAGACAAGAGTACCGCAGCTGTAGCGGGACGGGTCTTGGATTGAAGTAACTAGCTAGAAAGCATTGCTGCTATACGATATCGGGTTAGGGGACGCGATGAAAGAATGACATGGCTTGGGGTAATGGAGCTGAAACCTTTTGGATTGCTTAAATTTTCCGACGAGTGTCTCGTATGTATATTTCCACCAGTTTCCAGCCTTGACTTCACATAGACATGCTGGCTGCTCCTTGTGGAAACTTTATGTTACTTTATTCGTCGAACAATAGTCTTGCGTAATATACTATGGGTTGTGTGTTATTTATTATTTTTATGGACTTTTCTAGATACGTGGTGGTGTTTACGAGCGTCACATATTTGGGAACTCCCATCTGTCACTTGCTCAGTGTCAGAAGAACCAAGATGAACCGAAGGTTTTTCCCCAATGAGTCGAGATGCTGTTTTCTCACATGAGCTACCCCTGATTCACAGAGAACCAGTCTGATCTCACCCATCGCCAGGCTACCCCTCTCCTTGATATCGCGCGCTCCCTGTTTCATAACAAGGGCGACACCGACCACCTGTAGCAACCACAAGCCATGCACCACCTATACTCCCATCCTCAACCCTCCGTCTCCCGCAAATAAGCCTCCACCCCCATCATCTCCAGCCCCTTCATCTCATTAACCGTCCTTCCCCTCTCCCACGCTACACCCCTACATGCCGCAAACACATTCTGATACTTCACCATGCCCTCCGCCGGCCTCTCATCCAACCTCTGCCTTAATATCTCACACCCCTAGACCTCCCTCGTCCACTCGCCACTAAACCGCGCTTCGACCAGCTCCGCCACCCTCCCATACGTCACCGTATCCCCCGCCGTATAAACAACACACCTTCTTACCCCCCGCGACTCAAACACCAGCTCCGCTGCCACGCGTCCGATATCCCGAGGTGTCGTGACGCTGAACTTCGTGTCCCAACTACCAAGCGCGCGCGCCGTCTTCTATGCTATATCCACGGGCCCGAAGGCCGGGAGGAAGAGGAAGCTCATGAAGAGCCCCGTGCTGACGATGACCCAGTCCACTCCGTTTCCCTCTCCCCCTCCTTCTCCCCCTTTTGCTTCCGGTGTTGGTTCTGCAGCAGCCCCCGAACGGCAAGCTGTTCATCAAACAAATCCTGCGCGCTCCCCTCACCCACGACATCATAATCCAGCCCCCACTGCCAAGGAAAGTACCTCGTTAACCTCTTCCCTCCCACCCCGGCCGCCGCCAGCAGCACGGCGCGCGTGATGCGCACCTGCGTGCCCGCCGGTAGGCCCATGTCGGAACACCCGATCACCACCTCGAACCTCCCAAACAGCGCTGCCCGATCGGCCTCGGACTCGGCGACCACGTCGCCTGGCTGGAGGACCGCGCCGAGGGTTCGCAGATGCGCGTTTTGGCGCTGCTTGGCGGCGTCGGCGGTGTTGATGGTGGCGGGGCGGAGCAGGATGGCGATTTTGGGGTTTTGGGCTGCGGAGGAGTACGATGGGTGCTGCACCAGGCCCTCGAGCCCCGCGGTGCCGAGATCGCCCGCGCCGATGATGAGGATGGACTGCGGCGTTGGGGTTGTCATCGTGAAGCTCTAGTTGTGTGTGAGAGTGATTCTGGGCTGGGTCGTTATCAATCCGATTCGAGAAACCACAGTAGGATCAACTTTGTCCAGCACATAATTTTGAATTACACCCCTCCAGCTTCGAACTTACCCCCTATCCACATGAATTGATTACAAATGAAACACACGGAGCATGCCGATCAGCGAAGCCAAGCCAAGCCTACCTACCTACTCAAGTTCGTAAGCAAAGGCGGAACCATCTCATGATGAAGAAGTGGTCCCTCCTCCTGACTGAAGGACCGTTGAACGACGCCAAGTGCAAATCGCAACCGCCAGCAAGGCACGAAAGTGGGAACCCAGCCGGCCAAGAGTTGAGACCCGCTAGATGAAGTGGACTTCGGTGAACAGCTCCTATTCTTTTCCGTAGAGTCCGGGCGGTGATTTCTATCATAAAGCCGGCGTGACCCCTTTCTACTCCGCTCGTGACTACTACCACTTGTCTTCGAGAGTGTGTAGGAACAGTGAGTAGTCGGTAGTCCCGAGTTGGGCTGCGTCAGAGCTGGGAGCCAAGCAATATCTCGAGTTCATGGAGCGGACGACTTGTGGTTCAACGGTGAATCATAGTCTGTCAGGATGATTCAACACGTATGTGTAGATACGTGTCACCACACAAACGTATTGGCGTGCTATAGAAATTTCGTAACAACAAAGCCTTTGCATTCTCCTCAACCGGGAGAGTTCCTCATTTTAACAAGCGTTGCAAACCTCCATTCTTACCGGGTAGTCCCCGACCCGATATCCCACGCAGCGCAGCTATCTGGCTACACTGGAGACTACTATAGCCTGATCAGACACGATGTGCACGTATGTCAGAGAGGGACGGTGGTGCCTCCACTGCAGGAAGAACCAGAGGTACACTGAACCCTCATAAGTCTCCGTACACGTCCTTTCCAGCAAACAGCGGTAAATTTATCAATCGGAATAAGCACACCGGAATAAGCAGTTGGCTCTTTGTTGGGCATGCTTGACGGTTATTCCGGGGTACTTATTCCAAGCATAGAAAATAAAATACCCCTGAATGTATAAGATCCTGAGAACGGGGTGTAAGGTACGGAGACTTATGAGGGTTCAGTGTACCGAATGTTGGAGATGCAGCACTGCAAGAACCACCCTGGCTGCAAGGAAGTCCATAGGAGGGACGAGTTCAACTTGTTCCTAGTCTGTCCGGAGTGTCAGAAGAAGGGACATCCTTACGCGCAGTACAGCGATCGGTATAAGAAGCCCAAGGAGTCCAAGAAGCCCTAGAGGGGTAGTCAGGGGATTCGGAGGCGTGTATATTCGCTAGTTACCTAGGCCTATGTACTGTGGCGAATGGGCGAGCCGTGGTGCTAGTTTTGAAGATATTCACATACGCGTGTTATAAGTGCAATCATGATAGCGGCAGGTTGATTCACAGATCCATCCAAATCTATCACGTGTCAAAATGGCTGCTGGTTTCTTTAGCAACTCTGGTATGGCCAGCCTCAAGAATAAAGCACCACTTAGCCCAAGTCACGTCCATTCGAGCCCGTTGCTGGGGAAGATCGGGGTTTAAGGCGGACGCATGGCCTAACTCACAACATTGTCTGTATTGCTGTATAACATTTTCTAAATGCCCTTGCCTATAGACATCCCCGCTGCCTGTAGCTCTCACGGTATAGGGACCGACTTTTACATACTTGAGTCGTAAGACATATAAGGTCTTCAACACGGAATGTGCCAGATAATTATTAGTCACGAGTTGACAAACTGCGAGGCCGTGTCCCTTAAGATCGACGTGAAGCGGGCGACCAAGGCAAACTCAGTACGAGGCATCGATGGACATGTGAAGACCTGTCATCACACTGTGACCAGCTTTGAATCGTGAGACCAGAGTCCCCAATACCTATGCCGCCGAGGGCTGGGCAGCTTGAAGCCTACACCTTATCCGAATCCTGGATGACTACGCGTGGAACAACGTAAACTCAACAATCTACTAGGTAGGTATGAGGAGGACGCGGGACTGGGCGGCTGTAGGCTCATGGGCTGGATCTGACAAAAGGGGGCTATATGTAGGGTCTCGGCCACGTGCATATAAGGCCCCGAACTCGTTTGTTCGGACTGAGGGAGAAGCATTTCCATGGTAACACAGCACTGACCTCGAGGGAGCACATGTTGGATCGACCGCTTGGCCCTTAGCGTGATGGTGGTGATGCAGAGGCTTGTTTTGATTGAAGCTGGGTGAGCTTTATCGATAGGCCATTAGTACGAGTGTTGAGGTGGGGTAAAGGTGAAACATGGTGCAAAGCCATCGATAACTGGTGGGCAGGCAGGTGGGGCGCCTGGCAGTTGCCTAGGGGACGGGCCCAGGTCCAAGGGTGCACCGTGAAGCGCTGCAAATAATCGCCTGCATGATCTTCCATGCCATTGTTGATCTCGCCTGGCCTGCACTTGCACTTGCACTGGACGGACTGACTGCCCTTCCCGAGCCCCTCCCCTCCTATTACTATTAGTGGACGGCCCTCTCAGCGACCTCCAAGACCTCCAATACGCGTCCAATCGATCCTTTGCAAGCTACCTTATTACTCGCATCGCATCTCGCACCGCACCGCACCGCATCGCATTGCATGAGCTCGTCTTCGCGTACCAAAGCACACACCTGCGATGCGTCGATCGAGCTTCAAGGGGTACTGGGCTGCTTGACCGAGAGCGCGCGTTTATCATCAACGAACACCATTTGCAGCTTTGTTGGGTACTGTCATCAGTCACCATCCTCGACCAGCACTCGAGCTGCAAGACAATAGGAGTCCATCCTTTCGCCAATCTCAATCCGCGTTTCCCGCGCAACCTGAGACTGCCACATTCCTCATCCACAACCTCTTCCAATCGCCACCGTCTTTCCTGGACGCGCCATGTCGTCCACCATGGATGCTAGTTATCTCTCTCAGCAGGTCAACACCATTATTGGCCAGCTGCATGGCCTTTTCGACGAGATTGGCGTTCCCAGCCATGATCGCGAAAGTAGAGAAGCAGATGTAAGTTCACTTCCGACCCAACCTCGCGCGCATGCATGCTTATACTGTTTCCTCGCAGCTCTTCTCAGCCCTATCCGAGACATTGAACAATCATGTCAAAGCCGTGTCGGGAGAGAAAAAGGAGATGGTCGACGAGGCTGAACGGATAATCACCATAATACGTCAGATGGAGTCGTCACTCGATGACTCCAGATCGCAACGCAACCACCACTCCGGCGACGACGAGCTGCAAGTCACATACCCCCTGACGCAATGCCTGAGTTCGTTGAAAGAGAAGCATAAACAAATCAGCAAGCTTCATCGCGAGCGGTTTGAACAAGTCAAGAGTATGTCACCTTCCCCCTGCCGAGGACTAATATGCTATGTATATGGGAAGTAGACTAACATGAGAGTAGAGCTTGTACAAGCGCTGGAGTCCTACTCGTCGCATCTCGAGTCCACCTTCGTGAAGATCGCATTGCCACCCACAGGACCGAATCAGTCCCTGCCGCCGACCTTCGATCTGTCTCCTTCATACGTCGACAAGCTGGATGACGAGTTCACTAGAGTTTATGAGGAATACACTCGCCGGGTTGGGACAGTGAAGGCCCTGTCGGAAAACATCATCCAGCTATGGGCAGAGCTGGGAACGCCACAGGCCCAAACCGACAGCGCCATTGTCAAGTACTACCGAGACGCCCCTGAGCAGCTTGGCTTACACGCAGACGATCTTGCACGTCTTCGGGGCAAGAGGGACAAGCTAGCCGAGGAGAAGAAGAACCGGGAGAGGCGCCTCAAGGATCTTAAGATGTCCGTGGAAGCCCTCTGGGCGAAGCTTGGCATTGACGAGTCGGAGCGGAAATCCTTCTTGAACGCCAACCGTGGCTGTGGTGTTCGCCAGATCAATGAGTTTGAGGACGAATTGGCGAAACTGAACGAGCTCAAGCGCCAGAACATGGGTTTGTTTGTCGAGGATGCGCGATTCAAGCTCCAGGAGCTATGGGACGCATTGTATTTCTCCGAGGATGAAATGCTCGAGTTTACTCCGGCTTTCTCTGAAGTCTACAGTGACGCACTCCTCGAAGCCCACGAACGCGAAATTTCCCGACTTGAGGCTCTGAAGGAACAACGGGCACCCACCCTGGCAATGATCGACCGGCACCGAACTCTCGTCCACGATCGAGATGAGCTTGCTGCGTCCAGCCAGGATGCATCCAGACTCATGATGCGCGGTCAGAAGGGAGAAAGGCGGGACCCTGGCAAATTGCTGCGTGAAGAGAAGCTGCGAAAACGGATTGCTAAAGAGCTGCCGAAGCTCGCGGCGGATCTAGCCAAGACGCTGGCCTACTGGGAAGATGAGTACGGCCGCCCTTTCCTCGTCCACGGTGAGAGGTACCTGGACCTGCTGGAGCCGGAGGCTCCCAAGCCCACCCCGGGCCCGCGAGCCAAGACACCCGCAGGCCCTCCACCATCGACGACTAAATTTCAGAAGTCGGCACCACCTAGCCGTGGAAATAGCACTGCAAGCCGAGCAGCTACCATCACAAGGTCGAAGACGCCGACGGCGAACGGAAACGGAAACGGCACTATCAGAAGAATGCCACCTCCTAGCCAGTTACCTAGGGACCCTAAGGCTAGTCCTTCGAGGATCCCGGCGCGGGCGCCTCTTTCCAACCTCAAGCATGGAAATAATTCTCCTGAAAGGCAACGACCAGAATCCCAAGCCCAGGGCACCCTACGAGGCAATCTTTTGCGGGCGCCACCTCCCAAGATGAGGGAGCTTTTACCTGCTATTGAGTTGGAAACCCCGACGAATCCATACCGAGGTACTGACCTCGGCTCCAGTTCCAGTACCCACGTCCGGGCCGTGGTGCCGGAAGACGTGTACGATGACCGGAACTCGTACCAAACTTATGCGAGACCTCAACCCTTCCACCACGACTCGTACACATCGGTTCGCAGTGAGCGACTAGCGCAGTCGACTTACCCGCAAGCGCCTCCGCCGAGACAGATTTCGAATACTTCGACAGTGATATCAGGCTCAGAGAACTGGGAGACATACGATGACAATTCGGAACCTGAACCGGACGCGTCGGACGCATACTATGAGAAGGTACGAGCTGCAAGGGGGAAGCGTTTCACGCCGGAAGACGGGTACGCGCGCCCTCAGACGAGTCAGGCTAAGCGCCACCGGGGCATACCCCCTTCCATGCATGCTGGTAATGTCATGATTGACGCCGAGGGCAACCGGATCATTTCAGGGAGCGAGTGGACCGACGAGGACGCCTTTTGATGACGGCTTTGAGAGTCCGTTTCGTCGTGCCTGGATGACCACAAGTTCCGAGCGACACACAAACCTCACGATTACGCGTAATGGGATGCCTTTGACATATACTCGGTAATCATTGTGGCGTCTTCTCGGCTGGGCCTTTCGATTCTTCCCTATTTGCACACACAGGCTGCTTCTCTCCTTCTTGTACCTGATTAATCGCATTCGATTTCGACAGCCGCAAGGCCTTGGTTAGAAATCGCCCTTGTCGATGCCAGACAACGGCACCCACCGAGATCTCAACTCTCATAGTGGCGTTCTGTGTCCTCGTCTGAAAATTCTTTTTCTTGTAACATACCCGGAAGAGGGTGGGGAGGGAGGGCGGTGTTCGACAAGTCCTGGCATGGGCGTCGGTCTGTCTGTTTGTTTGTCTGTCTGTCTATCTGTCTACGTAGGCGTTTGGAGGTACAGATTCTGGTTGCTACCTAGATGATTGTGTGAACTAAAAGGTCGTCATCACTGAAATGCAGCTGACATAGGGTCATTACTCTGGAGTCTTTCTCTTCTTCATATGTGAGATTCAATGTGATTATTGTAGAACCCTGGCCGACGGGAATCGGACATTATGGGAAGAAGATAAAACCCCGACGGCACGTTCCTCCTTGCATGAAGCATTGAAGTGGATATATGCATGCATTGACGTGTATGGATATGACCTCAACATTACCAGCAATGGATTCCAGCGGCTCCGCGACCCCTGTGGAAGCCCCTTCGTGTTGTTCCTAGGCATGACCGCAGCGACGCGCGCAGCCGCCGCGCCACGATTGGACCCCACCAACCCACGTTATCTCCTCAGCGACCTGTCTCAGCCTTATTCCTCCGGTATTGTTATGATAACGGTTAATTGATTCCACGTGTGACGTCCCTCTCGTTTCCAACTTCACCTTGACAATGATTCCACCCTGACCGGAGCACGCATTGTCTGCAGAGACTTCCTATCCACCCCCAGTATATGAGAAGCAAGATCTCAGTCCTCTTGCGTCGCCGAACTATGCATAAATGAACCCTCGTTGCTTCAAACTTCCCAGCCCAGTGGTTCTTGCCACAAGCAGGCCTCATGAACAGCTACGCGGCCCCTAACCGACTGCTGCCGCACAGTGCTTCTTCTACATCTCACGATGACCCAGCATACAAGACCGCTCTGAAAGGCGCCTCGCTCGCTTTTCAGAAAACCGCTGCGAAAGCTCCGCCCGCTCCTCCAGCTTCCAATCGCAACGTCGACAATGGCGCCCTCATTGCGGCAACCTCGGCGTCAAGAGATCACAGCCTCGCTCGACCGACTTCACGGGCACATATTTCCCAATTGAGTCGACAGACGACCGGCAACAGCTTTCAAGTCGGGAATGATAGTTATGAGGTCGAGCAAGGCGTCGGCAACCAGCGCCTCGGACAACATGGGCATTCGACACACCAGGGCCAACTGATGCCTCCAGCCAAGCACACCATGGCAGATCCTCGATCCCCGTCCTTTATAGCCGCAACTCTTGCTGCTAGCCGATCCGGCAGCCCTAGTCCGAATCCAACCGCTCAAGTACATCCGTATGCCCAGCTGGCAGCTAGAAGACAGCGGAAGACGAGCATTGGGGACAGCAGTGCTGCTAGCTCAATGACAAGTCTCGACCTAGCGACCGACTCGTCTTCGATCCCGTCGACGAACGCCCTGATATCGATGTTCGAGAAGAGGGACGGTGATACAGACCCGGTGAAGCGAGGAAATGCAAAGTCAAGTACTGGCGGCAAGTCGCCTGGTACAAAGCCCAGACTACAACCTTCGACTTCCGCAAGGACGCTTAGTCCTGTCGCTAAGAACGACACGTCTCCATCCTGGCTGAGGAGCTCTTTGGCATGGGAGAGGGCAGCGACTCCGCCAACTGCTGTTCAGGATTTGGCTCGAGAGAAGCCACAGCAGCTTACTGGAACCGCAATTGAGTCGAGACAACGTCCTCCTATTCCTCCACGGGGATCTAAGTTAGATAATGGTGTTTCTGCAAGTACTCCGACGCAAGAATCTGGAGGGAAACCGCGCGCTACTACGCCGCCCCCAAAACCCATCAGTCGGGCAGATACGGTGATACTCTCGCCCCAACCTAAACGCGCCACTTTGTCACGAAACATCCTATCGAGCCAGCCGGTAGAACCTGCTCTTACGGGTAAGGGGCGAACACCGCCAGCGGTGAAACCCAAACCAAAGCGCCCGCTTTCCATGCAGAGTGCATCGGGACCGTCAACTTCAGTACGTCAAAGAGGCCCGGTGGTTCGATCAAGGAGATCATCTTCAAGTTCGTCAAACGATACGTTTGTGTCGGCTTCGTCAGCACCGTCACCGCAGGCAGACTCGCCGCGCCGCGGTAGGTCACGGCCGGCAACCCCTGAGCTACTACGACCTACGCGGCCCCCTTCCGCCACAACCCACCCTATTCCAATACAATGGTCAGGCCGATCACAGCAGCAAAGGCAGAATACCTCAAGTCTGCCCTTGGAGTCGCTTACCAGTGCCATCATGGCGGGCTCTCTGGCATCTTCTCGCGCGACCCCGACTCGTGCGTCTCCTCCGACACCGCCACCGCGAAAAACAACGCCGCACATGCGTCACACCATGCGAAAGCCCCCAGCTAAGTCTGACGATGAAGATCCCAGAACCAGATCACGACACCGGAAGAAGGCGCTGGGTAAGCTTGGACAGGGTCACAAGCACTACCATCATGAAGGATCCAGAAAACGTTGGCGCGAGGAGATCACTGCTCGCGAGCGCAAACGCTACGAAGGCTTATGGGCCAGCAACCGAGGCTACTTACTGACGGGTCCGGAGGCGGGCTCAACAGTTCCCGCGGGGGTGGATGCCGAGCAGTTGGTGGTCAACGTGGTGGTCCGCGACATCTGGATCCGCAGTCGCCTACCCCTGGACGAGCTAGGAGAGGTGTGGGACGTGGTCGATAGACAGGGCAGAGGCTATCTCGACAAGACGGAGTTCGTCGTGGGGATGTGGCTCATAGACCAGAGGCTCAGGGGTCGCAAGATACCGCAGAAGGTCAGCCCCAGCGTGTGGGGGAGCGCACAGGGCATGCAGGTTCTGGGACCGAAGTCGAAGAAGGAGAAGAAAGAAAAGAAAAAGAGAGAGAAGAAACTGCATGTGAGCCACATGCATGTGTGAGACGCGAAGATGGCGTGTGCAGTATGGCCGTTGGTGAATCGGGCACTGGTTGTAGCGGTTGCAGAGTAATGATACCCCTTTAGAATTACAATGGAATAGAAGTAGTGTTAGACTACCTACCGTACTGACTCTCCATCGCGGGTGGGCATGTATATATTTGACTCTGATGAGCCCAGTACTTAGACATAACCTTACTTTGTCTGGCGGTAGGCTCGGTTGTCCGAAACCGAGTTATTCAGTACATAGAAGCCGCGAGCTTTGGTTGGTATGTGCCCTTTGGCCCTACACGAAGCGGTTATGATCGTACGTACAGACAAGTTGGCCGTGTCTGATGGCCCTGCTTGTAGTCTCAGAGCTGCTTTGCAATTGAGACCTATCGGTTGGTTTGTTGGCGGCCTGGTCTGTTCATCTGGCCTGTCTTGCAACAGCCGCCCGCGTCAGCCAGGAGTCTCAAGACAGCTAAGGAGGCAGAGACTCATTGGCGGTGTGGGAGTCGGACGGGCGGTATGACGAAGGCCGCGCTCGTATAACTATAAGCTTAAAGTAGGCATTGTACATGTCCCTGTTGTAAGACGGTACTGGGGATTGTCCATTGAAGTTTGTGGAAGTTTGCAGGAAAGATGATAGGCGCTTTATCCTGTGTAATTTTAGATGAGGTTTGTAGGTTAATGCCGTGAAACGCGGCTATCACCGCTCGTTCCTGAAACGGGGCCACCGCCAATAGAGGTGGGCTCTAGCTTCATGAGCTAGCCTCTAACGTTATCTACCTGTAGGTGCCGGACAACACAGCTTCCAAGGTTGATGGCCCGTGTCTCATCGTCAACAAAACAACCGTCAGTCGTCACGTCACACCTCTCCCGTCTGCGTCTGCTCTGATTCCGATTCTTCGACAATCACATTCTGCAGATTCCCCTACACAAGTACACCCAACAATCCCATCATCCTTCTCGGTTCTTCTTTGTCTCTATCCCACGAGCATCTAGCATCTAGCATCTAGCATCTTCTGATAGTGTCCCGTTCTGCGACAGCGTTACGCTGATCCCAGAGCTATCCTTGCAACATACCATTCCTCCTCTCAGCGGCAGTGAATCGTGTTGATCGCTCGGGAGGGGCATTCCATTCCTCGGTCTCGACCAATACATACATTCCCTTCTCCGCACGCGCTCTCTATATCTGCTAATATCACTTCTCCCCTCTACCCGTCAACACTATTGCGATCTGCTGCCATCTCGGCGCTTCCACGCCATCATGTCGATTCATCACTGAGGACGCCCGCTCGTATCGTTGCTTCCCTGTTGCGGTCGTACCCGCAACTTTACATCATCAATCTACAAGCGCTGCCTTCACAGCATTAGGGTTCTACCTACCACATACCATCAAACGCAATCGCAGAGCCCCCGACTACGACTACTAGCTGTCGACCTCCAGCTATCGACGCTGAGCAATTTCCTTACCGCCACAACGCCAATTGCGGCACTTCTTTTACTCAATAGAAGCAAACAGGAGCCGACTTTCGACCACTTCGCCATCCGTTTCACTTCTGTTTTAATACTCTAATATCTAATAAACATACGCCACTCATCGGGTGTAAATAGTGAATAACCCCATCGCCAGGCTCCATCATGGCCGAGACAACAACGCAGTGCGTTACCCAAGCGAAGGGCTCGAGGACACCTGGCCGCGGTGCGACCATCAATATCCCCTGCTCGAGCGGACCGGCGAGTCGTCTGCGGAACGCTATAGGCTTGCCGACACCAAGTCCAGTAACCCAGAACGGAAGCTTCGAGTTTGATCGTGTGATCAAGTCGGGCTACGTCCACAAAAGGACTCGGAGAACCAAGGTAGGTGGACAACTGGGTCTCGATATCAGAGTCTTGGGGTCTCGAATACTGACTTGCTATTCTTGACAGGCTTGGAAACAGGTATTCCTTGTTCTTCGGCCGAATTCGCTCTTCATCTACAAATCCGACAATGAAAGCAAACTGCGCCATAAGCTGCACCTACCAGACCTCTCGGCCGCCACACCACTCAAAGACCCGAAGCAGAGGCGCCATAACCTCTTCGGACTATTCTCTCCCGACAGGAACTACCATTTCGAGGCGCCGAGCACGAAGGACGCGCAGGAATGGATCAGTCTGATACGGCAGGATGCGAGGATAGAGGAAGAGGAGGAAGAGATGTTTCTGGCGAGCCCCATTGTCCGCCGCCAGTCTTATGCTCCAGCTGCGTTATTGAACGAAGGAGCCGAGAGACCAAAGGATATGCCAATAACAACGGATAGGGGGAGAGCAGTAGCGAGCTCGCCGGAACCCTGCGACCGTCCGGTCTCGAAGTCGGCAGCGTCAGCCAGTAGACGACTGTCGCATCACGACTACTCTGGTATGTCTGGGAACGAGCTGGCTTCGCAGTCGGACTTCTCAGACACGGAGCCTCAGAGAGCTCATGGGGCCTCACTAGAGAGCTTCACGATACCGTCTACTTCAGCGTCAGCGACACAACTAGGTTCCAGTTCAAAGAACCGCCCAATGTTGGAAAATCGAAACAACAGTCAGCTGAGTGGTCTCAATATCGAGCGTGATCCAGACCGGGTTGTATGGCAAGGCTGGCTCTGGTACCTCAAGGGCAAGCGTGGGGTCAGGCAGTGGAAGAACTGCTGGGCTGTCCTCCGGCCGAGAAATCTGATCCTCTACAAGGACGAATCCGAGTATACGGCTTCATTCATCTTGTCGCTGTCGACCGTGGTCAACGTGGTCGACATTGACCCCGTCAGCAGAACAAAGCAGCACTGTCTACAGGTCATCAGCGATGAGAAGGGCTACCGTTTCTGCGCCCACGACGAAGAGACGCTAGTCCACTGTCTGGGCGCCTTCAAGAGCCTCCTGTCCAAGAGGAAGGATTTGCAGGCACGGGCAGCCGCATCTGGCAATGTCGCGACGCAGCAATAGTACCGCCGAGCCGACAGGCAGATGAATATTATATGATACCCTGGGGATCTGTTAGGATTGGGACTGGAGCTGGGCGGTTCCAGTTACAGAACCAGGGGGCCGGGACTAGCTGGCTCTGTCCACGGGACGAGTTGGCGATGGAAGACTTTTGTACAAAGTGAATGTCTTGACGACTTCTTACGATACGGAAGCATCCCACAAACACACACAGACGCACGTACATATATGTTTTGCGGTATGATAACGATGAACGAACAACAATACCTATTATGACTAGATTTTTCTGACGAGTGGCAGGAGCTAGCTAAGGCAGTTGCTTGTGCTGGCAGTGGTTCCGTGGCATTGACTGAACATTCTAAGCCCACCAACGTAAAGAGACTCGTGCCAAGGCTCAGGCTAGAATATTCGGTTACACCTCCATCTTCACCATTCAACCAACATCCATACTGTCATGTACAGTAGGTATGGTGGAGCACGTGTTACTTCATGATATAAGTAGTCGCAACAAGAGAAATGCGGAAATATTCCTCGTTCGACTACGGCGACGCAGCGATATCGATATCCATTGGAGGAGCTTATTAGGGCTGAGGCTGAGCGGTCTGGACTGGGCTGTGCAAGAGCTGCAGCTGCAGGAGATTGGAGGCCTGGCGAAGCATGAATAGTATAAGTATCATCCCATATCTATGTTTACCCTACCTCATATTCGTTGCAAGTTTAAGGCAAACAACGTTTCTCATCGATTATTTCGAGCACTGTTCGTGTGTTACGTGTTACCACAGACCGCACTACCAAGCAGAAGACTCCTGCGATCTATCGACTGATTCCGATAGGGACCAGGCAGATAACCCTGTTCCCACAATGGCAACACAGCCCGAAAACCCCTTCCTCCGCCTCCCAGCCGAACTACGCAACACAATCTACGAACTGTACCTCGCGTCCTTCTCTGGCTACTACACTCCCGCCACCTCCAGCCCATCAGACGCCGCTCTCCTCCGCCCCTTCGACAATACCGCTTCATCATCATACACCACCAACGACGGGCCCCTAGGCCCGACTTCGCTCCTCCTCGTCGCCCGGCAAGTCTACGACGACGCCTACACCGTCGCCCTGGACACCCTGACGTTCTACTTCGCCGGCGAGGACGCCATCCTGGACTTCGTCGAGTTCCACCAGCGGCGGGAAACCGCCCGGTACATCCAGCACGTCATCTACGACTGCACCTCCCAGGCAAAAGGTAGTATTAGTATCACGGGGACCCACCGATTCTTCCGCGGACTGCGGCGTGCCGCCACACTGCCCGAGCTGAGGACGCTGGAGGTGCGGTGCGATCACACCATGGCGACTCGTTTATCTCCCTCGGAGCTCATGAAGGCGCTGGAGGCCTATCCCGCGATCGAGAAGGTGGTCTTCAGGGACGTGGCCGCCGAGGTCAACCGGGCGCGGCAGCTGCGTTTTATTACTGGCACGGACGCGATTTCGCCCCCGGAGCTGGACGGGCTGGAGCGCGATGAACAGCTCGTCTGGATTGCCTCGGCGGGGTCTGGCAGGCTCAGCTTCCTCGGCCCGATCGCGGAGAGGATGCGGGTTCATTTCTATGACCATTGGAGCACGCGGGTCGCGGGGAGGCTAAGGACTCTGAACGAAGCTGTAGCTGTCAGACTGCAGCAGGCCGTCGTCGCAATCCAGACGGAGGAAGAAAAAGAAGAAGGCAGGTATAACTTTGCCGATGGTGGAGATGGAGATGTGGTGGTGAGGCAGACGGTGACGGCTCCCTCGCAGATGTTCATGACGGCGGATTACAGCGAGTGGGACAACGAGGGGGTACCGCGGAAAGATGCCAGGGGTAGGCGGATCCCGCAGAAGAAGATGTACGCTCTGTACAGGCAGCACGAGAGGCAGAAGGACTTGTATGATCGGTCGTTGGCGGAGTAGATGCCGTCCAATAACTTACCAGCTGCGATAGACGTCCCTCCCTGCTGATTCAGCTTTGAACTTGATGGAGGGAGCTGTTGAACCTGAATATCGTTGTGGTGGCGGATGAGACGAGAACATTGCCTACCTAATGATTCGAGATTACGCCGCAATATCGACCTTGTTTTCTAGGAGTCTGGCCGGTGGTAAGTATAGCGAGGTCATTCTTCTGGTGCTGGCGTGCCGTCCCTGTGGCTGGTGGTCGTCAGTCAACAGGTTCCTCCTATGTCACATGTGTGTGGTTGCATTGAAAACCAACAGTCGCACTGCCGCCCGGGTGGTGTGTGTCACACTGTTGGCAGCTCGCAACAAAACACCACTCGCCTATATCAGCCGGACCACCACATTCACATGGATGTTTCACCTCCCACGGTCTGGCGGCATCTGACAAGTCGCACCACCTAGGTACTGCCGCCGGAATGACCTACCTCGCCCTGCCTAAAGGGTATGTAGGTGCGTAACAACGGGTTACACATGTAGGTAGGTTGATTTAGACATATGGTGGATATATCATATCTACGAGCGTAGAAACAGCAGCAAAATGTGACATGGACATTTCCTTCATCAGAACATATCTCCGTTATGGACCTCATGTATTCGTCGCCTCACATATGGTAGCACACTAACTTATGTGCCTCCTCACCCAATCCACCATGAATCAGAGTAGTTGAAGCATGTCTGCCGGCCCGTTTCCTCGGCGTGAGAGTTCTTCGCAGCAGAAGTCACCCCGCGGGCGAAACCTGAGTTCAGGGCCGTCGTGACCGGCCGCAAAGATATCCTGCATCTGGAACTCGCCAACGCGCCAGCCCTTTCCTCCAGCGGTATTCTTCTGCTCCCCCGCCTCTTTGCCTTCGCTACTGCTCGGCTCAAAGTCGAAATACCAAAACGTCATAACCAGGACGAGGCTCGTCTCGAGGTATGCCATCGCCTTTCCCGCACACACCCGGGATCCCATCGAGAAGGCTACAAAAGCTTCATGCGCGGCTTTGTTGTTGTTGTTGTTGTTGTTGTTGTTGTCCTTTGCAAGCCATCGTTCTGGCTGGAATTGGAATGAGTCCGGGAAGTAATTCTCGTTGTGGTGGAGGCTGTAGATGCTCACGCCTATCTGCGTGCCGGGAGGTACCATCCGACCCCCCGAACCGGCACACCCCCCCAACCGGCACAGCCAAACCCCACAACCACCACCAAAAGTCCCCTTACTCACTTACACGGATTACAGCCCCTTTTGAGGGTATCTGTGACGTTCTAATACGGTACAGGTATGTCCGAATGAGACAGAGCCCTGGAGCCCGTGGAACGTCAGGTATATCTACCACCATAGAATATTCAGTTGCCATCCTGAATATTCCACATCCTTTTGTGGGGAGCTTAGCCAATTGGTGTGGTGGTCAATTGCTATTCTGTGACAGTATCTAAACGTTCTTTAGATAGTTAGATAGCCCTTTTCTTGGTGTTTAGCTTAATATAGATTATTTAATTGCTGGCCATCGGCATCGGCATTTAGCAGCCTCCGTGCCCCGCCCTTAAATGCAAATTTGCTGTAGAATTCTCTCTGTGAGCCCCTGTCCCTCATGCACCACAGCATCCTGAAGCCAGCCACGATGCCTCCGCCCACGTATACAGAGGATGATGTGGTGGATGCCTACCTAGACGTCACAGATAATGGCATGTCCGTGAGAAAATCCAGCCAAAAATACGGCATCCCGGGCAGCACGCTGTCAGCACGCATAAGGGGGAGAGGGACTAAAACAGAAGCTCACACCACCGAGCAGAGAATTTCTCCCGAGCAAGAAAGCAAGGTAACAGCCTGAATATTGCGCCAGGAGACTTTGGGGCTTGCCCCCTCTCACTCAGCCGTCAGGGAAATTGTGGTAGAACTCCTATAAAGAAAGGGGGATTTCGCACCACTTGGGAACCACTATATGGACAGCTTTAAACGACGCAACCCTACCATTCAGACTAAAATCGGCAAGCGAATGGAATCTGCTCGGTTTAAGGGGTTTATCCCTAAGTCTGTGAACTGGTTCTTCAACATCTTGGAGGACTACGGCTGGGTGAAGCCAGAAAATACGTACAATGTCGATAAGGGCGGCATCATGTCGGGTTTTGGTAACTCTTTCGAGCCCCCTACCCTCACAGTCAACTAATTACCCTTATAGGCATTGATTCCCTAGTTCTGGGAAGTTCTGAGACGAGGAAAGCTTTCCTAAAGAGCCCCCAGGGCCGCTCGTGGACATCTTTCATCGAGACCATTTCAGCTATTGGTAGAGTACTCAAACCAGGCTTGATTTTCAAGGGAAAAGATCTCCAAGCGCAGTGGTTCCTTGAGGAATTCCAGAAGATAGCCGACTGGTACTATATAACGTCGGAAAACGGCTGGACCAGTAACGATATCGCCTGCCAGTGGCTTGAGCACGTTTTCATACCACAAGTGGATGAAATTCGTGGCCAGGAGCAGTGGGAACCAGTCCTTTTGATCCTAAATGGCCATGGTAGCCATACCTCCGTACGTACACCAATTTTTTCTATTTATTTACTGGTTGTTTGATTTATTCCGATTTAAATAGCAACTGACTGTAGAAAAGGACGAATTTATGATGCGGTGTTATTTTGCTAACATCTTGCTGTGCTTTTTCCCAGCACACACCAGCCACGGAATGCAACCACTGGATAACGGCCCCTATAACGCCCTTAAGTCCTATTACCAGAGATTCCTCACCCAGTTAAATTCTCTGACTGATTCTTCCCCTGTTGACAAGATCAACTTTATCCGCTGTTACAGCAAGGCAAGGGACATGGCATTTACGCCAAAAAACATCCGCTCGGGCTTCCGAGTGACAGGATGCTACCCAATTAACCACAAAAAGTGTCTAGACCATCCAGAAATCCAAGAAAACAAGCGGAAGACCCCCGAGCCGGAAGAACAGGAAGACTCGGAGCTGGAGGACCAACAGACCCCTACCACGAGCCGGCAAATCCGGGATTTCGGGAGGAACCGTTCCCCAGCCACTCGGCTGAAGTTCCGGAAGATCTCCCATGCCTTTGAGAACCAGGAGACGGAGCTGGCTATAAAAGACCAGAAGATCAGGGCCCTGGAGGCTGAACTGGAGCGGCTACGGCCCAAGAAAAGGAAAAAGATACCAAATCTCAACAAAAAGTTCATGACAATGGTAGAAATACTAGCCCAGGGTGGTGATCCGTTAGTTCCGGTTGCTATAGAGTCTTCTTCTTCTTCTTCAGAGTCGGAGGTTGTTGAAGACGAGGGTGAGGAGGACGAGGAGCTTGCGGACGCTGAGGAGGCTGTAGAAGCCCCTGTTGCAGAAGCCCCTGTTGCAGAAGCCCAGATGACTAGATCCGGGCGGTCAATCCGGGCGCCGGCTAGATACGTCGATTGAGCAGCTAAAACACCACAGAATGATAATTTTGCTGATTTTTTTGACCCTATACAGCCTCAAATGCGTGTAAGTGAGTCGGGGGGTCTTTTGGTGGTGGTGGCGGGGTTTGGCTGTGCCGGTAGTGGGGGTGTGCCGGTTCGGGGGGTCGGATGGTACGACGTGGCCGTCCACGATGAGCGGCTTGTCTTTTGCATCAGTCGCTGCTTCGCGCCACAAGGTCCCTGGCACGGGCGGAGACATCCTGAGAGCCTCGTCGATACAGGCACGGAGGTAGCGGCAGCTTGAGAGGCGCGGCCCGCCGCGGATTTCGGAACCCGAGCTGAACGTGGACCGGATCTCCGTGGCTAGCTTTTGATAGCATTCCGGGTTTTGTGACAGGTAGAAAAACGTGGCGGCAAGCGTGGATGCGATGGTCTCACCACCTGTGTGTTGAATTCGAGTTAGTGGTCGTTTGTCCGGAATAGAGAGTATGGCAACAGACCTGCGGCAAAGAATAAGATAGCTTCGGCCCAGATAGCGCTCTTCTTCATGTTCTTTATATCGAGGTCCGACTGCTCGGCCTCGCTAAAAACAGACAACAGATCGTGCTTATCTTCTGACGGCTGGGCGAGCCGGGTCAATATCATTTTCTCGATGGTGGCCCGAAGTTCTGTCCGCAGGCGATTTGGGAGCAGGTCCATCAACACCGTGTTGAGCCTTTGCTAGTGGCGTGAACTGTATACACACGTTGGTACGATAGTTACCGAAAGTGAGGGCGTCGGTCAAAGATCTATGTGCATGGTCGGTCTGGAGGTTACGCTCGTAACCAAAGCCCAAGAGACCGGCGACATCGAGGCCGAGATATCGACACATAGGAGTCATGTTCACGGGGCTTGAGTTGGCCTGTAACAGTTGACGCAGGAAGATGAGGACCTGGTTCACCATGATGGGCTCAAAAGACCTCATCGACTGTTCCGACAGCACCTGGCTCATCAGTCTCCTCTTGGGGCGATGCTGGGCCCTGTTCGTCGTGATGAATGTGTTATGCTGCTCAGGCTGTGCAACAGCGTACACGTAGGACTTATTGACCCTCTCATTCTGGTAGATGGCTTTCACGGTGTCAGTCAGCACATTCCTCACACTCGCAGCAGCAATCAGGGAACGTGCCTTGCAACGCTGAAACAGAATTGAATATCAGCCGGTTCGGAGCCTGTCTCAGAACGGGGCCTGCCGAAGTATCAGTTTACTGGATGATCACTGGTCAGACAATAGTTCCGCTGACCGTATCTCAAGTGGTTCTCGTAGGTCTGCAGATGAAGCCGCTTTCTCAGGGCGTAGAACCCGCCGTAGGCTTCCGAGAGCTTCGCCGCGAAGGGCCCCGGGTACTTCCGGAGCGGGTGCAGGAGCAGGCGGAAGCCGAGGACGAGAATGCACTGCGTACGCGGTACTAAGAGGGCTGACTGACTTCAGACAGCTGTCAAAACATACGTAGAGGATGCATGAGTAGCTCGTGTAGACGAAGAAAAGATTCAAGATCGCCATTGTATAGGTACTGTGGTCTGTAGATATGATGAAGTCTGGGTTGAAAGAGCCCGAGAGTAGTTGTTGAGGGGGAATGGAAATGGAGCGCGTAGATGAGATCTGGGCACCCCTGCTGTCTTGTACCAACATGAACGATGGTCATCGAGCCCACCCCCTTGCACCGATATAACCAACATACCCCTGACTTGAGCATCCCTACAGTCCGTCCAGCCGGGGTTTAGGTGATCACCGAAAGCACCCCTGTAATGCTTGTTATATACACTAGACACACGTGGACATCGAACGGTACGGGTCAGGGGCGGCCAGTTCGCATTCAATCAAACTCTCCAGGATGTTCTCCATGCTCCAGATATTGCGTACCTTCAACCCGCCGCGCTCGAAGAACGACAGCCAATCGTCCTCAGTTCGCTCACTAGATGAGAACATGACCATCATCATCCAGTCCACAGCAGTCGCCTGGCAATCAGCTCCCGTAGCCGGTATCACAATCTCATATACGATAAACTTGCTGTACCTGGGCTTCATGGCTTCAAAGATCCGCGCGACGATGGTGAGGCACACGTCGTCGGGCCAGTCGCAGAGGACGGAGTGCATAAAATATTCTCTGGCTCCTAGTTCACCACAACGAAGATAATGTCAGCTCAAGACCTCCTGACTATTTTTGGGATTGGCTTAAAACAACGGAACCCTAAGAGCTGGTAGGTTGGTTTTATTCTTAACGCCTTAGCGCACTCATGCGTAGCAAGTAGTATTCCCGTTTAAGGTGTCTAGGGGGCGCTGAAGGACTCAAAAGGTCCTATTATGAAGTAGCTATGCTAGCTACTGTACGGGAAGTTCCCTAAGCAGTCATTCAGCCTCAAGGGTGAAGTTCTTAAGCAGTAGTCCGAGCAGTGATTTTCTGGGGCGGTCTTGCGGATGAATCCCAAAAGAGCGAAACGCCGAAATGCGTAATTCTCTTCACTGGACCAAAGTCAGATCAGTTGACGGAAGCGCCGTTATCGAAGGCCATGCCGCACGTGGTACCCGAGGCGAGTTTCCCCAGGCCCCAGGCACCTGTCGGGTTGCCAGCCGCGTTTGAACCTTCGTTACCCCGGTGTGCGACTTACACAAGCCGAAATTCCGCTCGCAATATGTACCAAAGTATTTACTGGGATCAGAACGGCCAAGTCGATATCTGAGCAGGATGTGGCTTTGTGCTTCATTAGTACGAGACCAGCATCTCTGAACCGTGTACACGTTGGAACCATACCAAGTGAATCCTCATATCTGCCATCTACCACTGAGTGGGAAAAGCCTCGGGGGCTGGAACAGGTACGGCGCTCGGGTCATCCTGCAGAACAATTCTGATTCCGGGGAGGTAATGAAGGTCTTCGTCGAGCTTAGTCTCTGTGTGACAATCAGGCCTGCAGCTGCGCTGGTCAGGGCTGATGGGTTGAAATATCTAGATTCAACGATATCTAAGGAAGAAGAGGCAAGGTCGGAAGAGAACGGGGAAGCTAGGGGTATATATGTACATAAATATGTGGAGGTATTATGTAATACCGTAACACTCTGTAAGTAAAGAAGTCAGAATGTAGACTACGAGGCACATTACTTACCGGGTTCTTCTAGGCTCAGCACCTCGAGTGCATCCTCAATTGTGGCCTGTATCTCCGCAGGGACGTGTCTGCCCGTATAGGACCAGCCCATTCGGAAAATCGATTCCTTCAAGAGCTTCCGTTTTAGTCGTAAGACTAGGACCCAATGTTCATGTGCAGGGTCCGGTTTGTGAAACCAAGCATCATGTACGATTCGGGTTTCGATTGTCGTGATGAGCTAGAAATGGGCTAGTTGAACCGTCCCGTCATCTTGCCACCCGCCAGCGGCAAAGCCCGCTCCGTCATAAAGTCGCTGCTGCCGTTTCAAGTAATGATACGCGGCACATTCTTGGTGGTAGTGTTTGGCACAGAGGTCTTCGGAGTGGCGGATGGGAGGAGGCAGGTTACACCCTCGCACTCGTGCCTTGGGATTTATTGGCATGCCCTGGTTTCAAGTGTTGGCACGCGTACCTTGCACTGCATTCTCGCACGATTCGGTTGGCCGCATGACGCCTGGGAGGGCGACAAGCCATGCGTTGCTGGAGTTACGATGGTGTGTTGAATGAAACCAGGTTCACTTGTTGTATAGAAGCAATTTGCAAAGTGCAAAGCAAAGGTAAGAGAGCGTGAAGGCGTGCAATGTGCAATGTAGAGGGCGAAGAGAAGAGATCGTGGAGGAGAGTAAGTTGGGAGAGATTGAAGGTGGCGAGTTTTCGGTTTTCAAGTTGGTTACATCACCATAGGCACCCATCGTAGGTATTTCAAGGCATCAAGTCCAAGTTGACCTACTTCTAGTTGCATAGATTATTATCTGCACTAATAAATACATATGTGCTCCTCGAATGCATCTAGTAAGACAGTAAGACTTACAGGCTAAAACACAGGATTATATAATGAAGAATTATATACGTGTCAACTGGCAGTCCTTTCTCAGAAGCACTGGGAACATTAAGATGCTCCCAGGATTATTTATACGAGTGATAGTAGTATATTGTCGCGTTTACAGACCACAATAGCAAGGAGCGTGAACACCTGTGCCTAGGTGCTGAACTACCAGCCATAGTATACTCACTTAGAACGTAACGTCTGGTTTGGCTGATGCGAGAGAAAGAAGTAATCGTAGTTAGGAGGCCGAGGCAAGTTGGATAGACCAGGTGAAAATAAATACTGCCTGTGACCATATCGTACTGGAGTCACCGCGGCTTGCTTCTGGACAAACGTCGTATGAGTTTCCTCGATGACAGCTCAGATGGTCAACCGTGGTGGTTGGATCCTGACTGACAACTGACTCCGTTCAACCAGAAGGAGCCCAGGTACTCGCCTAGGGCAGCTTGTTTACAATACTTAGGGGAGAGGAGCACAGAATGGGCAAAATTCGTGGAGAAGAGCAAATTCTTTTCATCAATCTGCCCTCGATAGATAGCTGTTCTTGAAGGACCAGATGGATGACCCAAGGTCATACCGCCGCAACAACGGGGATGGGCTCGTGAGCGGGACTGACTGTACTTATTATCTTGATACCTCCACAACCCTGCGATGCAGAGGCTCTGGGAGGCGTGGTTTGCACTACTGAGGAGCAATCCCCCACGTTAAATACAAAACAAACAAACAAACAAACAAACAAACAACCAGAAGGAAACAGAAATAAGTGGGAGAAAAGCAATATATAAGGTAGGTGAGTATACACCCTATTGCTTTTCGTCAATTTCACTATTTCTCAACCACCTTGATGGGCAACCGAGCTTTTGACCATCACACTCCCGACACTATTACTCCTTGAGGCGATATCATTACCATACTACACCGCAAGGAGAATTTGTTGCACCAACCAATTATGCCGTGCAGAGTATGTACCAACCCGACCTCCGAGCCCCGCCCCTTTCGGCACCACTGAGCAGGGACTGACAGCAACCTAGGCGCGTGTTCGCGGCACAGTCTGCGAAGACGACGACGACGACTCGACGACTTCGTGTTCCCAACCCAGCAAATTGAAACGATATCGATGTTGTGGAATCAATTCAGGTTCTGCCACATCCTTGAGCAAATAAACAATGGTTTTTTTTGGTGGCTTATGGCTGAACTCTGTTCGTCTTCTCCCTCAACCTCAACGCCACTAGCAAACGACTCGACTAAAGGACTCTTTCATCTACATCATCACTAAGAACGGGCAATGCAGAGATACCTTAAATTGCAGCAGAAGTTGTACGAGGCATGGACTTACGAGGCAGCGGATTGGAGAATGCCCCCGCGATTCACGAAGCCCACTTCCACTGACAGTCACGATCAAAGCTCGAATCGTACACGATGAGTGGTATTTTCCCAGGGACAAGTGCCCCGGGCATGAACAACAAGTCTCTGTCCTGCTAAGACGGCGAATCCCCACGATTGATTCCATCTTCCTGATGGGGTGGTCCTATGTGGGCCAAGACCTCCCCGACGTTACTGCCGTTTCGGACAGAGTACAAGGGCGTACCTAGTCGGAGCCCACGCTAGTAAATCACAGATAGAAGCAAAGTGCAAAAGAAAGCGTCCATCTGGGTAACATCGTGCAAAGTCGGACACCAGTTGCTGGGGTGGAGGCGTCTAGCAGACTGCTGGTAGTATGTGTTCTTCCATTTCTAGTTAGCAATCCGAGATTGAAACCTACCTGGGTGTGGAGTGGTTAATGGTTGGTGCTTAATGGTTGACGTCCAAGGTCATCCTCCATCGTGGCACAGGGCCCAGGTTGACGGGGGGTGCTACAGGTAAAGGTCAGGCCTTGCGACGGATGGAAATCTCCTGCTTGAAAAGGCAACGTTTATTCAGGTACACTCAGCCCTCATCAGTCTCCGTACGCGCATGTTGACAAGATTCCAGACCACCAGTGGGATAGTTGGAAATACTGGAATAAGCATACAGTAATAAGCAGCTCTAGGTTGATATCTTGTTTTTCATGCTTATTCCAGCGTGCTTATTCCAATTCGATAATTTTGCCGTTGTTTGATGGAAGGGCCGCGTACGGAGACTTATGAGGGTTCAGTGTACCATGCGGGTTCTGATAGGCTGTCTGCACTCTTGACAGGAGTTGGCTGTCGGGCCGTTCCAATTAGTCAGGGTGTTCCAGCACGAGGGTGGCTCGGCCAGGCATGTGACGCAAGAGCCGCGAGACATCATGCTCCAATGTAAGTCATGTTCGTTGCTAAGACGCCGCAAACCTGACTGAGGTCGTGAGCGTAGAACGAAGGCTGCAACTGCAGTCATCTACGTCCGAGGACCGAGATATCGATGTCCGAACTCGTGGGAGGTGACACCTTGGACACCCCATATTCCAATGACCGGGTCTGGGCTGTATCCATCGAGTTGCTCATAGGCACTTGGCTTCATATTCTTGTCGCCATTCTTAGCAACCGATGTTGTTCCTGTTCCACTGTGGGTTGTCTGCCGGCTTCTATGGGATTGCTTCGTCCATGACTTGAGCGATGAGCCGATAGTGTGCAGACAACCCAGGCCACTGAGAGCGTTTGGGACCGCCGGCACGCAGGCGACCACGAAAAGCAGTACCATTTCCGCATGGCCTGCGAGGATCACGGTTCCGACGTCGTAAGTGGAGTCTTCGGCGGACAGATACCGGACGCTGGTTACGATGCGGATGATGGCAACCACACAGTTACTAGTAATGATCAGCCCAATTGAACCGGTTAATAGGTAGGAATAAGTTCCATACAGAATGCCTATCGCAAAGATGAGGGAGATGCCGAGCTTTTTGGACTTCGATAAGTGGAGTTTCCAGATGACCATTTGAGGAAGGGCGAGAATGATCATGTCCGCCACAAGATCCAGGCATGAAGTAGCAAGGATTATGAGTTTCTTGTCCATGCAGCGTCCTCGAACTGTTGGATCCCATATGCTCTGGCGAGGAATGCAGGCGAGATTCTCGGCGACCTTCTCCGACCCATAGAATAGAATAATCACCCAGAGGAGAACGTGGCTTGTCCAAAAGAACGCGTTGCGTGTTTTCAAGGGGACGAATATTCGAATCCAGTCCAGGAGGATTGCCGATCGAATGCACATGAGGGAGGACCCGGCGAAGTTGGAGCCCAGGTAGACAGACAATCTGTTCATCAGCCAGCTCGTTCAATGATGGACGAAGAACCCCATTGAATCCTACATATTGGAATTCCGAGATGGTCCTCAGTCGGATATCCCACTGGTGAACAAACAGACCTGTCAAGTCAATCAGGCGGTAACAGGCCCAGTCGTATGCAACGAAGAGTGCCTAATAAGACCCCTGAAGTTAGAGATGTGTCAATCGACGTACTAACCCAGTCATACATACGAACGCTGCAAATATGAGTCCTGTATATTCGATTAGATCAAGGAAGGCGGTACCAGGGACTGGAACACTTGCCATCTCCAATATGCACTTTCTTGATGCAGAACACCCTCGCGTATGCTCGGATCAGGATAAAAACAGTGGATATGATCAGACCGATGGTGACGACAGTGAAACACAGCTGGTTTCTGTTCGGAGGGGAGTCGAAGTTTGACACAACATTGTCGGGTGGCTCGAGGGCAGGACCGTCGAGTGCAGCTTCTTTCTCGGTCGGGGAGAGGGAAGCGAAGTAGTCGGCAAATTCGGCCATCTTGAAGCTCTGACTCGGAGCTTCTTTCCAGGAGCCGCAGGCTTCTTGGATGGGGAGTATCTACCATATGAATGTTGAATGGACGCAATGACAGGACATTATGTGATCTCAAGAAAGAAACCAAGCGGGAATATTCCGTCCAGACACATTGATTTTCCATTGCTCCAAAGTTATTCTTAGCTACCTATCTGCACGTGGATTCGCGCGGGCACTGGAGTCCTGTGTGGGGTGACCTGGCCCAGGTTGTTTCGTTGGTCTACATTATAACTTATTGGTAAGGCAGAACAAGTTCTGGGGTAGGATTCTCTTCGATTGACATTACCCCAAGGACACCCGAGTGAGGCGTAGGTGGTATTGGTGAATTCCACGCATCACATCCAATAAGCACGCTATCTCACATGTCGTGCGTCTTGCAGCTCGGCACAGATCTGGCCCCCGACAGCAAGGCTCGGGATGTTGTGCTCCGTGCGTTTATCATGCCACAATGAGCTGAGGGCACCACGTACATGATACATCGTGCCAATGAAACGCGATGGCCATCAGCCGTGGCATTATGTGATGTCTGGAGATACACGTTGCGCGGTTTGGTGGGCAGCTAATCTTGACACCTGAGGTCTTTCCTTCGTCGCCGCGTAAATCACTGACAAGGTGGCAGACACGTTCCAAGAGAGCAAACTCAACGAGGCAATGCAATATACCGTGATTCCAAGGCCGGAACCTGATCACCTCTCACCGGACTCAACGCACTAGATACGCGCCTCATTACGTCAAATGAACAAATACAAAACAAACAAACAAACAAACAAACATACGTCAAATGAACACAGCTGGGGGGTTTGATCACTTGAGTTGGATCATGTCTGGATATATTCTAGGGTATGCAGGTGAGCAGTCGTCGACTTCACGTCACATTCCTTTCTTATGAGTGTTCTATATAGGGGTGGTTGTTATCACTGCGAGGCTCAGCAACATATTCGGCCGGAAACTACTCTTCACCATGAGTACTAGCATACCAGAATCAGAGCTTGGCACTTTTCAGCCGAATGAGACCCTCCTGAGTACCAGACATGACGAGCCGACCGCTCCACGCGTTCCAAAACTGCTGATGGATAAGAACGCGTCCGTTTGAGCCCCAGGACGTCACGCGCTCGCCTAGCATCCACTCATCCACCTTGGCCGTCGGTTCGTGAAGCCAGAGAGTGTGGTTAAGGCTTGTGCCCATGGCAACATTCCGCAATTTGCTTCCTACCATTGCGGGACTGGCGTTCAAGGCGCACCCTAGCATGTAGGTATCTGATAGATAGACCTGCGCAGACTGGTGCAAGGCCACGTTATCTGACGACAGCGGCGGCGAGCGGACGAAACCACGCTGGCGGTATTGGGTTGGCCGGTCTGTGGGCGGGTTGTCGAAGGGTCGCCAGTCGAACGGCTCTTCATCTGCTCTCAACTGCAGTAAGGGGACATCGCGGGTGATGGCGGCCGTTATTGCTTCCTGCAACTTTTCTTTGGGAATGTCGTCTGGGTGGCAGCCGTTTGTATCGGGCATCGCGACTGCGTAATCCAGTACGTTTCAGACCGGTAAGTCGTTTCTTTGGAAGCAGACTGTAGAGACGTGCACACACTTGCCACCAGCCCCTTGGCTGACGTGCACCACTCGCGAAGCAAATGAGCGCCCGTCGCTCGTGCGTTCGACGCGAAGACGGACGACCACGGTGGGTTTTACGGCATGTAAAAACGTGGATTGTAGCGAATGTACGCTGAATACCGGAGGCAGCGTTGCAGAAGCGGCAGCCACAGACAGAGCGATAATGGCACCGCCGAAAACCGACCGCACTCCCCGTTGGGCAGTCATCGGACTATTCGGGGGAAGATACACGTGAGAAAACGAGTGACACACATCAGGTCCTTGATAAGGAGAGGAGACACATGTGGGAGCTAGGTTTGGTGATTGACATACTTCGCGTTGACATAAATATCTGGACCCAACTCAGGGACTTGCTTGAGGGCAACCAAGGCCTCAATAGGGGCGTGTGGAGCCATGGTCGCCGATGACTTCAATGTTCTGAATGAATGCAGAGTCGGAGTCGACAGTCGCAATGATGATCCCTATGGCAGAGACATTGCTGCACGTACGAGGTGGAAGTGCAGGTTGAATGTCATGCACTTGATCGCAGGCAGGTGGTGCCTCTGTTGGTTCTCAAATGTAACCACATAGAAGTCGGTCGACCAACAGCGCTAAGATGGCTGTGCAGTTTCTTGATTATGATGGCTGGCAGTCCAATTAGACGCGGAATGGCGTAACACGTTGGCCGTTGACTGACAGGGGCAAGCGCGGCAGGGGAGCTGCTGTGACCAGTCACATAGTCTGGTTGTCATTCTATTTTCTCCGATCCTTGAAGGGGTTACGGGCAGATGAAGATCACTCGCCCGTGGATCTGCTGGTTGTCTTCCCCGCAAACATGCAGACATGCAGACATGCAGATACGGGAGACAGAAGAGAACCCGGTTTACTGGCAGGATCATGCATTTGCGCCGCCGAAAACAAGGACCTCCCTCTGGCCTGGCTCGGGTCCACGGGTTCTAGCTGCGAATGACAGCTAGTCAGGGGTCCCTCTTCTCTGTGCCGCTGGGATGGCCAAAGATGGGGTTTTCGTTTCCTCGCTGTCGTCCAAAGACCAGGAGACCGGCGTGGTCCTCGGCCTGACCTGATCTCGTGGTAGCCTTTCGTTCGCCTATTCGTCCACTGTCTGTCCTCGACGTACTGGCTATGCTATGGCATGTGACAGGTATAGCATATCGGGAAGGTGGGCGTAGGTGGGTGAATTGTGGGTGTAGGTGAGTGTGTATGTCTGCAGCAGGGGGTGGCAATGCGCATCATGACGACCGTCGACAGGGGATAACTGCAACGTCTGCTCGACTATATTGACCCTTGGTCCCATCCCATCGCAGTCACGCCCCCCGGCCTGTCTTGCCTCCTGCTTCGCTACCGGTTTTTGACTGCCACTGACTTGTTTAGTTTGCTCACAATGATGGGCTTGATCATAATTTTGGTTGCTATCAACCTTCTGCCCTCACATCCGCTTTTGCTCGTTTGTCTCTGTTGTTGTTGCATGCTGATGATCGAGTGATTCACTGCATAGGTAGTCTATGTGGATTGAGTTTCATCCGGTCTTCTTCAAGTCAGGGACTGTGCGCTCGTGGACAATACAGCAGACCACTGCATATCTTACTTGGTTCCTCTTTGCTCTTGCTGCTCTCCACTCGGATGGGCTCGTTCTGAATATATTTCTAGCTTCCACCAGAACCTTGGCCTCCTCGGGCTATCTACATACCACAACTCTATATTACACCCTCGGTACTCGACCCCTGCTTGGTGTTGCTTGCCGTCCACAACCACGATGAGAATATTCTCCCTTCTAGCCACCGCGCTGGGCCTAGGCCTTCTCCCAGCAGCATCACTCGCGCAGACCGCCCTCCCACTCTCGTCATCGGGCCGCTGGATCCTCGACGCCGACGGCGCGCGCGTGAAGCTGCGCTGCATCAACTGGGCCGGCCACCAGGAGACAAACCTGCCCGAGGGCCTGAACAAGAAGTCGGCCGACTACATCGCCGACTTCGTGGCCGCGCAGGGCTTCAACTGCGTGCGCCTGACGTACTCGATCGACCACGCGCTGGCCCCGGACGTCGGCGTCGGCGAGGCGTTCACGGCGGCGGCGGACGCGGCGGGCGTGAGCGTCGAGGACATGGACGGCATCTATGGCGACGTCGTGGCGCAGAACGCGTTCGCGGGAGAGGCTGGGGCGACGGTCAGGGGAGTCTGGGAGCAGGTCGTCGCGGCGCTGTGGAAGAGGGGTGTCACGACGATTTTGGACAACCATGTATCTAAGGCTAGCTGGTGCTGTGAGTTTTGTCCTTGCCTTATGTAGTCGGGGTCGCGCTTATCCTACTTGCCCTTCGTATCCAAGGCGTGTCGCTGCTGCCCTGATATGACCGAGTTCCTACCAGACAACCTTCAATACGCAGCGCCACTGACACCTCCCAGGCAACATCGACGACGGCAACGGCTGGTGGGACGAGGGCTTCGGCTACAACGACGCCAACAGCCGCTTCTTCAAGACGCAGAACTGGCTCGACGGGCTGCAGGCCATGGCCGAGTGGTCTGCCTCGCAGCCGGGGGTAATCGGCATGGGCCTCCGCAACGAGGTGCGCGAGTGGCTGCTGCAGGGCACCTTCAACGACCGCGCCGACTGGTATAGCTTTATGACGCAGGGCGCCGAGCGCGTGCACGGCGCCAACGCCGACCTGCTCGTCATCATGGGCGGCACGCAGTCGGCGACGGACCTGACGCACCTGCGCACCGTCGGGACGCTCGACTGGACCGCCTGGACTGGAAAGCATGTATGGGAGTGGCACGCGTACGATTTTACAGTTACTTTCGCGCTCGCCAAGGGTGACTGCCCGCTGCTGAAGCAGACCTGGGGTCTGTTCGACGGCTTCGTGCTCGAGCAGGGCCAGGACTACACGGCGCCGCTGATCCTGTCCGAGTTCGGGTTCGGCATGACGGGCGGGCCCGACGACGGGCTTACCGATGATGACAAGGCATACCTTGACTGTCTAAAGGAGTATGTGACGGGGAATGATGGCGAGTGGGCGCTTTGGGCCCTCGAGGGTTCATACTATGTGCGCGAGGGCACGGTTAATTACGATGAGGGCTTTGGGCTCATGGATTTCGACTGGAATGGCTTGCGCAATCCGAATGTTACGGCCTTGCTGGCGCCTATGCTTGAGGTTACACAGGGGCCTTGAGGCTCTGGAGGTTGGATGAACGGGAAGGGTGGCAGGCCGCCTGAGGTCTATCTTCACTGCATGTCGGTCTATCTTCACAGTATCTCGGTCATTCTAGGACATCTTCGCGCGGGTTGCATTCTATTGATGTACATATCCCAGGTCAGGATCACAGCACGGGTCAGGACTGCGGGTGCGGATGTGCTTTCGATATCCCTATTCTTTTGTAGTGCTATATGCTGATTTTTTATCTCGCCCAGTGCCTGGTTCGATCTCTTCTTCGCCCTCCAGCGTTCCAGCATTACAGCATTACTTGACAATGCCTTTTCCCACGAATATAATCTCGCTCCTTTCGATCCTCTCTCTCGTCAAGCTCTACTGCCAGTGCATACCCACTGTCCGCCAACCGCCTGCCGCCTGCCGCCTACCACCACCTGCCTTGCTGTGGCCCAGTCCTCAGTCCGGTGATAGTTAAGGTTTGGAATTATCTCACTCAACACTAGCCCCCTACCAATAACGCCTCCTGATCCTCTGCAACCAGATTACACTTCGAACCGCCCCCCTTTTTTCCACAATCACACCAATTACCAATGAACAGCATCCAACCTTTTCCACCTCGCATAGTCACACACAATGGCATCCCTCGCAGCAACAAGAAGCCATGATCGCAACCACGCAGCCAATGATAAATCTGCATTCTCGTCTTCACTGATCTTGCCTCGCCCAATAGAAAAAAATCGCAGTACGCCTCCCACCAGGCACGTAACCATACAGATCACCGCACGCCAGAATCACTCAGCGGGACCTCCTGATGTCCAAATCGGGGTTGGGCAAGTTCTGCAACTCTGTGCTCAGGCTGCAATCAGTAAATCCAGCCCCACCGAGTTTTCGAATATTTAAGGCAGCTCTCCCACTTCTGCTCCAAACTTCTCTCTCTTCCATACATCCCACTTTTCTCCATTCCACTCCACCACGACCACATATCGCCATCACCATCACCATCACCATCCATCGTCGCCGACGACCATCAACAAGCTAAGTCTTCCTCCCCCATCCCCCATCTTCATCAATCTCTTCCTCCTCCATCTCCATCAACTTCTTCCACCCCAATCCATCCACATCAACTTCTTCTCCGCAACTCATCAACTTCATCCTCCCAAACTTCTACTTCCGCAATACCTCAACGTCTCTCTCGCCACTCCCATACTCCTTCTTCCGCAACTCCTCAACTTCTACTCCGCCACTCCCACGCTTCTTCTTCCGCAACTCCTCGACTTCTCTTCCGCCACTCCCATACTTCTACTTTCGCAACTCCTCGACTTCTACTCTGTCCTCCGCATGTCATCCAACTTCTTTTTCCGCAATACCTCGACTTCTTCCTCCCGCATGTCATCCTACTTCTCTTCCGCAATACATCAACTTCTTCCTCCCGCATGTCATCCTACTTCTACCGCAATACCTCAACTTCTACTTCGGCAACTCCATCGCCATCAGCTTCTTCTTCGCCGACTCTACCGCCATCATCGCTCTCCGTTCCTCGCTCTGACTCACTCCCATTTGCTGACCACGCTAACTCTTAGTGAAAACTTTCCACTTCGGATTATCTGTCGTTTTGTGAGTCACTGCACCCCTCCCCTCTTCCCTTTGCCTTCTCTCCTTTGCAATCCCTGTCATAGTCCACCTTCACCCTCGCCTTCGCCCCCGTCCTGTCTTGCCGACATACCTCACCTACCTCGTCGCCGCCCTTCCTCTCGACCTCGTCGCCGCCCTCATCACCCATCTCCTCGCCGACGCACCCTTTCGACCGCTCGCCGCCCTTCCTGTCCGAACTCGCCGCCGCTTCGACATCTCCTTGACATGAGATAAAACTGCCACGAGATTGGGCGATCTCGTCAAAAGTCTCCCCGCGCGGGTGCGCGTAATCTACGGGTGGGTGCGCTTAGCGCACCCAAAGTGTCCTCTCCTTGGCACGAGATAAAACTGCACCACGAGCCCTCGCGATCTCGTTAAAATTCTCGGCACGCGGGCTGCGTGTAATAAGTGCCCCTCCGAGGACAGACGTTTCCCCGTACCAAAACCGTCCGCAGCCACTCTCTTCGGAGGTGGCTCCCCTCCTCAGCATGACTTTAAACTGCTTGTATCCTGAACATGATTGACAAACTGCTTCCATCCTTGGTACGATTGTTGAAACTGCCTTCTCCAGCATGAGACTAAACTGCTTGCCATTTACTTCGCCATTTATCTTGCCATCTAATAACCATCTACTTCTGCCATCTATCTGACAAGTCCTACCCCGATCTACGAACATTTGGGGGGGGGGGGGGGGGGGGGGGGGGGGGGACCACTGTCACAGCCATATGACATGACCATCTAATGAAGGACGAAAATCGGACTCTGGAACCTCCTCGTGGTGTTCTTCGGGTAACGCATCAATGCGGCCAATCCAGAGACGTACTAGTATAGCTTTAGACTCTTGCCATAGACCATGCTGCTTCCTATGTGACTATGTCCCTTCTCTCATAGAGCTAGATAATCTCAATACACATCATCAAAGTCGCCGACCATAAATTGGTTCGGCTTGGTTCCATCATCCGCTGTGTTGTATCTTGTTGTGCTGCATAGTGCTGTGTTCTGCTGTGTTGTGTCCAAGTCGCACCTTGTTCCTCTTCCAGTCACCAACCCGTCTTGCGAACCCGTATTGTTTGCGAGGTCGTCTAGAAGGAACCGTCAAGGTCCCGCAGCGGTAAACAAGGGTGGATTGCGTGTCTTATCACTAGCGACAGTGCTGTTACCTGTGCTTCAGTTGTCGCATTCTCTTCCTTGCTCTGCCTGCAAAATCCCACGCGCTCTGGTCTCTGTCTCTCGAGTAACAGTGGGCAGCGAAATAGTCAGCGAAGCCCCGTCGGGACCCTGGTTGTAGGTATAGGCAGCACACGTCACGACTCGTCGCGCGAAAGGTAGCCACTGCCTCGCCAGCTCTTCATGATACGCTTCACCTACTTCCCGGTATTCTCCTCTGGTTCTTGCACCGGCCCTTCGGAGTCGAGTTTTCTCCGCAGCGTTTCTCGCAATGCGCTACCTAGTCAGACGGTCGCAAGTGTACGTGACGCGCGACGTTATATGGAGGGCGGCAGGGATATGAGAAAGCAACGATATAGGGCTCGCCGCCGGGCAATGCGCTGCGCTCTCGTAGCTGAGCGGACGGCGATGGGGTCTCGGTTGTGATGTCGCGGGCGGCGTCGACTGGTCATGGGGGTACGAGCCTAATGACCTCGCGTCAACGTGAGGTGAGGTTGCCTATGAAGACTTTGCTGTGGTTTTCAAAAGCTGAATGTAGACAGAGAATATAGATGGCCATGGCTGGGAGGAGATGGAGAAAGCACGATGCGCAGAACTACATACATGGACGTTGCTTCCTCTCCCCCCCTGGCTGGCTGGGTTGCCATGTTGACGGCTCTGGCTGCTCTGACCTACCTAGGTAAGTAGGCAGTGAGAATAGCCCAAAGGCCGGCTGCCGACGACTGTCTTCGTGGACAGCATGTGCAGCGCGTCATGAGTTGGCATAGACTGATGCATCAACAACCTCACGCAGAACTTGTGGACACTGAGTGTATCGCCAGCAGGTCAGGCGAACCCAGAGATGACTTGCGACTTTCGGATCGCCTTGGCTGCCATAACAGTCTGGGGAGTCTCAAATAGAGCTGAAGTGCTCTGAGATCCATTCCTACAGGCCTTTGCGTTTTGTCGTCATATAATATGCCGCGGAAGGCACCAACCACCACCAGATCTTCTGAGCCTCATAGCGCCGAAACGGGCTTACCCGGCATGTAGTTGCGTGCCCCGTGGTTCCTTCTCAGGCTCACCGGGGATGGCCACAGTCCCCTCTTGATGTCGATGTCCATCGTTTCTCGCTTTTCCGCTCTGGAATAATTGCACTGCTGAATCCGACTCGGCCCAACATCCAAGTCCAGGACTAGACTGTGTGCAAATACAACCACACAAAAGTCTCGGGTGAGGTACTACGATGCCATATTTCGACTCGCCTTATTTTCCTCATGCCTGTCACCTTCCACTGAGATTCCAGGTGGACCGAAGCTATGTGATCGCCAATCTCGGCCCCCTGTGTCAGCTCGCATCTTCTGCCAAAACACGCCTTGCTATTGTTTCGAGCTGCCGACACGCGATCTGCCTGTCCCTTTCCGAACGCCTCTCTCAAAGCAGTCACGGCCACTACAGCAGCTTGCAAGGGTTGGTAGACATATGTGGTCTTGTCATCGTGCGAACCTGATGCCAGTCGACAGTTCGCGGTTCCTGGCTGGGCGGGACTCTACCACGTCCAGACACTGTTCATGGCCACTTAAGCCACGGGTTCAATTGACTGTGCGTCCAAGTCAACAGGACAAGCCAGAATATCTCCATTGTCTATGTGCAGAGCCACGTATGCTTTCGACAGGCCTCCCAACACGCCTCGAATTGAGAAGAGACTTATCCGTTCTTCACTCCACCCCGTCTTCGAGGAGAGCCATCATGGTCCACTACACACCGCTTCATGGATGTGCACTCCTAGCTACTTGAACATCAAGTGAGTGAAATGAGACAAAGTTCACGCTTACAACTGGAAAGCTAACCAGGCATATCTAGATACTTCCCGTATTCCCATCCCACGAATCCGAAATCCGATATACCACACGTCCGCGAGTTCGGGAACGACTCGATGACTTCTCAGTCCCCAACCTCAAATGTCAACGTTCTACCCTTCCTGGATAACCGCGCGGTCGACGATGCCAATTGATACGACCTACTTCAGACAGAGACCTGCGACGTTATGTGTGTCCCTTGCCCCGTTTTCTCTACGCCCGCTGGCGGTAACAATCTTGTTGTTTTTGGGTTTCCTCTGGCACATTACTCTCTCTGCTGCAACATCTAACCGAAGTCGAAGGCGGTTACGGCCATTCAAGCACTGTTCGCTATGCTCAGCCGCTAATTAGACGTGCGTCCACACAAGCTTGTGAGGCGCAACGACAACGATGTCCTTCTCGAGGCGTATCTTCCATATTGGGATCATTAAACGACGCACGGCACAGCACTGACACACACCCGGCCGCCCAGAGCAGAGCTTCACTGGTTTGCCGTCCCCTTCGGTAGAGGTTCGAAATGGCTTCTGGGCTTCGTAGTAAAGAGCTTCATGATACTGCCGGTGGAACATCGCTTTTCTTCCCGAGCCGACTTGCCAATAGTTACTTAGGTAGGTATTACTAGGTAAGGTCTCGTCTCTGTGTTGATCCCATGGCGAACACTCTAAGCGACGATGTTTATTCCCGCCTCTCCTCCCACTGACTGCGAGCCGTCGGAGCCTTGGGTAACACCGAGGTCGCCGCCGAGGTTGATCGCGTTTGCTTCGCCGTCTAGGATGATTCCAAGGTTGCCATCGAAATCCTCAGCTTCTTCAACAGCTGCAATATCTTCTGTTGCAGTCCCTTCTTCTGCAGCGTCGTTAGCAGCCGCTTCTCCTGCGGCTGCGTCTTCTGCAGCGGCTTCTTCTTCTGCCGGAGCATCACCTGCAGCTGCTTCATCCTCTGCAGCTGCCCCGCCGCCCAGCAGCGCGAGAAGTTCTATGAGACTGCCCGCGCCAGCCTCGTCTGCCGCTGGTCTCGCTACCTCTGCCTGACCAGCCGCATCTTGGAGAGGGTTGGAGAGACTGAGGCCGGTACTATCCGTCAAGGCAGTACCATCTGTCGAGCTTTCGGTAAGGCTACGGTCGCTTTCACCCAGGTCGATACCACCGATGGTAATTTCGCTGCCTCCAAAGTCCAGCTGCCGGGTCTGCTTTGGCTTGCCGACTATGGCGCTTGCTCGACCGGCTAGGCCGCCCTGAAAACTAATGTCAGCTCCAGATGATGGAGTAGGAGCCTGGAGGATGACTCACAACCCAGCTCTCCTCGCACGCTGCTGTGTTGGCGAGTGCGAGAATCGAAATCTTAGCTGTGGTAGAGAAACGCATGACCTGTGTTTGTTGATAAAGACCTGCCGCGCAGCAGTTTGGGGAAATGTGTATTACAAGCTGATATGTAAGAAATAATGAATGATACGACGATGCGTCAAGCCTCGACGATACTATGAAGAATATGACTGAAAGATCAAACACTCGAATGGGTATAACAGCGAAGGATGGAGATGGCCAGACTCTACCGTCATGCAGGTCATCGCCTTTTGAACTCTCATCATGCTGTGATATCCACAATGTCTACCCTCAAGAGCAGAAAGACATTCGATGCCGAGATTCTATTTCGAGGAATGATTCACAGCAACGGTTTCCGTCGACGTATCTCAGACAGTCCCGGGCTCTGATGGGTAGTGTTTACCAGGTCTGGCGTTGCGTCAAGACAATAAAACCCTTGGCGTTACAGCCGCCTCTGCCCAGCGCTCGAAAAGGCTTTGAGAGAAGAAAACCAGCGTAAAAGCACATCTTCCACTGTGGCCTCCCGTCCCAAAGACAGCTGACGTTGAGATGATGACTTGTGCGACCCTTTATTACTGCTTGCCAGCAGTCAAACGCCCAGGCGGGAGCTGAGCTTGCCGGTTGGCCTCGAGACCTCATAGTACTCGACAATGGGGGCGAGATGTTCATCAATCGCTGCTTGGCTGTAGCATCCAAGCAGTAGTAATGGGGGCGGGCTAATGGAAACCGCGTGATCACTCGCGGTTGAGGTTGAGCGATGGGCATATCGGAACTATGGAACGTAGGTACGAGCTACAACCTGATGTAGGCTCCGATAGTCGCGATTCGAAGCCGGCACAGGGAGCTGGTATTACCGTGATTACAGACGCAAGCCTATCCTGCAGAGATCGGCTTCATCTCATTAGCGAGGGTTGATCTGTGTACATGCCGTAGGTGCGCTGAGTGGTCTGGCTTCATGCCAAGCGGGGAAGTCTTCTCCCCGAGTATCAAGTCTGGCATTAACAGCCGCCCCGTCACCCGCCCGTCACCCGCCAAAGTCATTATCCAGCTGGCCACACCAATCGTTCCGGCCACCACTGAACTTCCCAATGCACACGTCTCTCCGAGTATCGCAATCCGTTGAGCGACGACAGCCCCAATGCGCCAAATACGATAGCCAACCCGTATACTGCACCACCACCCGACGACCGCGCCGACAATGGCCACCCCCAACACCTCGACACTGGCCAGTTCGGCGCAAATCTTTACCACGCACACCCTGCCCCAGATCCGCGCCATCCACAAGACCCTCCATGTCCAGATCGACGAGAAGTCGGCGCGCCTACGCACCCAGGTCGGCAACAGCTACAGGGAGCTGCTGGGCACCGCCGACACCATCGTGCAGATGCGCGGGGACATGCTAGGCGCGCAGGACATACTCGGTCGCATGGGCGGCCTGTGCGGCCGGACCGTCGTGGACGGGAAGGTCGGGGGACTGCGCAAGTTCCGGGGCGGCGAGGATGCCGACGCGCAGTTGAGCCAGGCCGCGCGGTTGAAACTACTCAAAGCTTGCGGCCTTGCTGTGGGACGGCTGTTGAAGGGGGGCGCCGAGGGCAGGGGAGATCGACTGGTGCTGGCAGCCAAGGTCTTCGTGCTGAGCCGGTTGCTGGTGTCGAGCTTCAGCGACCTGAAGGCTGCTGACGAGGAAGCGAGGGCCGCGGTCGAGGCTGCGAAGAAGAGTCTGGATGGCATGAGACGAAGACTGACTAGGGCAGTTGAGAAGGTCTTGTCCAAGGTTGGGGATGGCGCGGATACACCCGAGATCATCAAGGCCCTGTCCGCCTACAGCCTTGCGTGGAGCTCCGGTACTAGGGACGTCCTACGGCATTTCCTTCATATTAGAGCTCAGGCCATTACGTACGAGTTCGACCTCGACGAACACGAAAAGGATAGGGGCACTGAAAACGTCCTCAATGCCCTCAGGTTATACACCAAGACGCTGCTGGACGTGCAGGCATTGGTGCCAAACAAGCTTCCAGAGGCATTGTCCGCACTGAAGAAGAAGCCCCTCCTAGCAGACGAGTCTCTTAGAACCTTGGAGGGCCTGCGACTGGACATAAATGCGAGGTGGTGTGGTGAGGAGATCCGCTATTTCACACCTTTCATCAGACATGATGATCTGGATGGGAAGCAAGCTAGAGATATGCTGATGGGCTGGGCGAAAAGGGGTGGTGAGACCCTCCTGGAGGGTGTCAGCAAGACGCTCGAGCAGGTCACCGAGTTCAAAGCTATTGTAGAGCTGCGGACAGACGTGCTGCAACAATGGATAAAGGACGGCGGAAAGGCTCGAGGCTTCGACCCATCTGATATGCTTGATGGCCTGCGGAAAACCATCAACGACCACCTTCTGCGCATCCTGGAAACCAAGGTCACGAAGCTCAAGCTTGTCGGATCGGAGGTTACGGCGACATTAAAGGCGTGGCAGACAGGCACGGCCGATACACACCGCAGTCTCTGGGACGAAGAGATGCTCGACATGGACATATCGGGCGATGCAGTTCACGTTAACCACGAGATTGTATCACGTCTGCATGGGAGAAACCATGCTGTTTCACGAGCAGTCACAGGCTTTGAGTCGTGGCACCACATCATCGATAATGTGGGCGATCTAGTCGAGCAGCTTAAACGGCAACGTTGGGACAATGATGTGGTTGACATCGAAGACGAGGAGGTCATTGAAGCTCGGCAGAAGTTGTTGAGCAAAGACGATCCGCAATTACTGCATAAGCGACTCAACGCAACGCTGGAGAAGGCCTTCAGTGATCTGGACGAGCAGCTGACGTCTCTATGGCAAGCCCGAAAGGATGGTGCGGGCAGTGGCCAGATTGCCACGTACCTTCTGCGGATCCTGAGAGACATACGAAGTCGACTACCTGACATTGAAGGCGTCAAGTCTTTTGGACTCGACAATGTCTCCTCGCTGCATGAGAAACTCGCAGCCCACGTGTCCGTTACCCCCATTGAGGAGTTCACCTCGACGGCCTTGACGCGGAAACGAGTAGCTGGCCGAGCGCTATGGGAAGGCGAGCCATCGTTGCCCGCTCAGCCCTCACCTGGCGCGTTCAGTCTCCTGCGGAAGCTCGTCATGTCGATGGGCGATTCTGGACTCGACCTCTGGACCCCTGCTGCAGTTCAGACTCTCAAACACGTCTTTGGGAAACAATTGGCGGAGGCCTGGCGCGAGGAGCTTAATGCCCGCTTTGCTGAGATAGAAGTACCAGAGACTCAAGCCGACAAGGATGATTCAGATGAGGACAAGTCGTCACAAGATGCCGAGGGTTGTCCGGCGGAGACTGACGAGAAGCCGCCAAAGGTCGCAGACGATCAGAAGAGAGACGTGCTGATCCAATGGCTGTATGATATCCACCTTCTACAGCATTGCCTCGGGACCGAAGAGGGCTCGAATGAGACTCTGAAGGAGCTTGCCGCGGAGGTATTGAAGGGGACTGGTTTAGAGAATGAAGCAGAGGGGCGTCTGGCCAAGACTTCGCAGGAGTATTGGAAGAGGACAAGCTTGTTATTTGGCCTGCTTGCATGATGATACCCCTACGATAGATGGTTTCGTGTCACTTACGTGCCAAACTGAGACCAAACTCAGAACAAAAGGCAGTCAGCATCCGTTTTACCAGACATGTCACAGCTATGCCTCCAGCCAGGTCTCATGCTCGTGATAGAGCCGTGAAGTCATCTTCTATGCCATCCATTGGCGAAAGCTAGGTTCAAGCTACAAATTTATCATATGCCATTGCTACTGTCCGTTCACGCGCTCTTGGGCGAAAAGAAGACAACCTGGACCGTCATATCGTCCCGGATATCTCTCGAGTTTGGGTATCGAAAAGTGAGCGCTCCCCGGACCATCTCCTCGTCTCCGCCGCCCAGCCCGTTGCGCATCAGATGTACCGCCGCATTGTCGTCCTGCACCGTGGCCTTCTTCTCGTCGTACTGACACTGATGTTTCCAACCCAAAACCGTGTCCGTCGTCTGCGGCTTCAGCGGCTGCTTGTCCTTCTGGCCCCCCTGCGCCTGCCAGTCGATCCACCTGCCGACGAGGTCCACGGCGTCCTCGCTTGACATGGTGTCCCAGAGGCCGTCGGTGGACAGGATGAGGAACGAGGGCTGCGTGTCGGAGATCTTGGTCGTGGTCACCAGGGGTTCGGCCGTGAGGTAAGGGCCGTCCTTGTAGTTCTTGTACCGGGAATAGGAGGGCATGCTCAGGCCGTTGTAGTACCAGCGCAGTCTGTTCTTCAGCGTCGCCGTCCACTTCCACATACCGTCGCCGAAGGTGCGCGAGGGCTGCATGCCCCATACCCTACCACCCTTGACGACGTCGGGCTCGTCGGGGAACTGCGCCTGGAGTCTCGCAATCTCTGAGGGAGTGGCGCCCGTGCAGTCGACCGTGAGGTCTTTGCTTTCCCACTTGCCGTCGGCGGCCATCTGGCCGAGGACCGCCCGGCAGTCTCCTGTCGATGCTACCATCAGATTCCTCGATGCTGGATCGAACAGCGTCAGGAGAGCACACGAACCGGCGTACGCCGCCTCCAATCGTCTTGCTTTCTCCGCAAAGGACATGTTACTGTCGATTGTGGCAGTGGCGGACTTGACCAGCGCATCATCGAGCGTCGTGAAAGCCGATTTGAGCGCCTGGTGTATGGACTCCTCCGACACAGGCCCCTCCCCATCTTTAGGAGGCTTCGCGTCGCCCAGCGCCCTTCTCACAAACGGCATCATCTGCGTGGTGAGGAGATTCGATAGCTGCCAGCCGCAGTGGCCGTCGAAGACCGCCCACGCCATCCACTTGTTATCCCGACCCACCTCCTGGGACTTGAATGGACTGGAGAAGCTCCCGTGCACGAAGGCGTCTTCGCACGGGCTGTTCGAGGCCAGCTGGGCGCCGTGGTATCTGCTCACGCCCTGCGAGCCCAAGCCCGTGAAGGAGAAGGCGTGCTCGTTCAGCTGCCGAGTGACGTCCTCGGAGGAGGCAGGCGCCGTGTAGGCGATCTGCCCGTCCGACGTGCCCAGCTGGTCGAGATCCGGTATGCGCGGGCCGCCGCCGGTCACGAGGGCGGTCTTGGCAGCAGCAGCGGCCGGCGGCGCGTTGTGCTTGTCGCCTGCGCGGGTATCGCGCTTGTAAACGTCATTAACCACCCATCCGGCTGCGATCAGGGCGCCCGTCGTGGCCACATTGGTGACGGTAGTGGCTCGATTCTGGGGCTGGGTGCTTGAGAATCGGGGCCTGGACGCGGACTGCGAGACACGCGTCGTGGTGGTCACGAGACGCGGTCGATGGCGGACTAGCTGGCGAGAAAGCATCTTGATTGACGGTTGAGGTTGACTCCAGTGGTGGTTATGGTAGTGCCAAACTTGATGGTTTAGGAGTATCTCTGGTAAGGCGTCATTGCCGGACCAGGCTGTTCGCAGGGTTGCAGTCGGGATATGTGGTTTGTGTCGCCAGGAACGGGCCGTGAATACTTGCCGGCAGAAAGCTGCACAAGTTCATGCAACCAGCCGGAGATTAATTTTCAAGGCTCGTGAACGTGACCGGCAGGGTACATACAGCGCTACTTCGCCCCCAGCAACAGTCCACAGTCAAGGTCCCCTTCACTCCATTATTCATCAGGCCTGGCGATACCTTTGATCGCTTCGTCATGGCCTTGCGACTAGATGCCCCCGAGATATGGTAAATATGCCCGGCTGCCTGGGTAGATAGCAACAGGTACGCATTGCCCAGCAGCCCAGATCAAAGGTTGCTTGATCCCTGTTAGCGGCATCTCACGTCCAACTTTAGTCACTCGTCACCAATGCGCACTACATGATCAAGTCAAGCAAAGCCAACGATAGACTAGTCCAGGAGGCAAGTTGAAATACCGCCTACTTTTTGCAATCAGGAAAACTTGGCGACCCACCCCGACCAGTTTTCTCTGCTAGTGGCCTCCCGCTATTCTAAGCTGGGATGAGGCTCTGTGCACGTGATATCAGTCAGAATCTGGCTTGGTAGTGCTTAGCAAATGATTTTCGCCGATCGCCGATTGCTAGTACCGCGGCAGCTGTGTGGTAGCTGGTGGCGGTCATAGACGTCACGAATAAGGTTTTCCTGATTGCAAAAAGTAGGCGGTAGACATCTGAATTCTAGGCGGTAACTACTAACAACGGTCTAACCTGCTTGGCCCGTCAAGATCCCGCCGCTGCCGCTCCTCGGCACTAAGGTAAAGGATCGTGGGGTAAATGTGGGGTCAGGGGTCAGGACGGGAGCCTCGGCTTGACTCGGAGGGGTCTCGCCGGTTCAACGTCACACACTCACTCACTCACTCCTTTCTCACTTCAACGAGAGCTTGTTTCAGTTCCAACGTACCGTATAACCCAGACAAATTGGATAGAGTCAGCGCTGACTACAGCGCATCAAAAGGCAATGGCGGACGTGATCAAGGTCTCGTACGCCGGACGCATCGCCACCATCACCATCGACAACGACAAGAAGCTTAACGCCCTGGACATGGAAGGTTACTATGACCTCTCCAAGGCCCTGCGTGAGGTCGCGTTGCGCAACGACATATACATCACCGTCCTGACCGGAAAGGGGCGGTACTTTTCGGCGTAAGTCTCAGGACTAGGTTAGGGAAGTAGGACGAGCCAACCGCCGCCTTCCCTCTCATTAGCCATCTCACCCTCCCTCGAGTCCCCCTGCAGCCCGCACGCTCACTCACCCGCACCACGTTAAAACCGATCTAACAAGACCCCCCAACCCCCAGCGGCGCCGACGTATCATCCCTCAGCCGCCAAACGCCCGAAACCCCCGAGGGGCAGCCCCCAGACGTGTACCTACAATACCTCCGCAGCTTCGTATCCAACAACCTCAACGTGACGCAGGCGTTCTACACGCACCCCAAGATCCTAGTAGCGGCTCTCAACGGGCCAGCAGTGGGCCTCTCAGCCGCGCTGACGGCCTTCGCCGACTTCGTGTACGCCGCACCACACGCATTTCTACTAACGCCCTTCTCGTCGCTGGGGCTCGTGGCCGAGGGCGGAGCCTCGCGCGCGCTTGTGCAGCGCCTAGGCATCAGCAAGGCCAACGAGGCGCTGATCCAGAGCCGGCGCATCGGCTGCGACGACCTGGTGCGCGTCGGCTTTGTGAACAAGGTCTTTGAAGTACCCAAGGGCGACAGCGACGGCTTCATGCGGGCCGTGTACCGCGAGATCGACGACACCATGGGCGACCATCTGGTCGGCGACAGCCTGACGGCCATCAAGGCGCTGATCCGCCGGCCCGAGCGCGAGGTCCTGGATCGGCAGAATGTGGCCGAGGTGTTTGCGGGGCTGGACCGCTTCGTCACGGGCGTTCCGCAGCAGGAGTTTGTCAAGATCGCGACGGGCAAGAAGAGGCATAAGTTGTGAGTGGGCGTGGTTGTTGCTGGTTCATTCAGCCTGGTACATAGAATAGCGAGCGCGGCACATTGTATATACAAATATGTCGTAAGCCTCAAAGAGTGCTTGTACTGATATTTGCCGCCTTTGGCGCCCTCCCTGCCTGCGCTCCCAAGCAAACCAACCGAGTGAAATAATGACTTGCATAGCATTGGAGTGCAGAGCAGGCAGACGCGCACCAATACCATGAGCTACTCGCCTCCGCTGCTCAGTGCTCACCCCGAATCAAGCACCATTGTCTGCTGCGTTCCTGTGCCAGTGATCACCGGCTCCAGAGTTTCTCGCCCGACAACACCTTCCAAACCGTGATCCTGCGAACCCCTGTCCAATCAATATCTGTACCGTCGCGCCCGATGATTACATACAGCTTCTTGGAGCCACTTTGTGTTCTGGTCCTTGAAGAAATTTTAGTACCTTCCTTCTACGCGCGGGCTCGCTCTTCATAACGGGGGAACAAGGGGAAGCGTAGCTGATGAATGCTCTTGTTCGTTGGCTTCGAGCTGGCTGGCGTCTTCGGTCTTGGATATGGTGACGCGTAACGTATGGAAGTTCGGTAGATGTTGTATTCATGGTGGTCTTCTTGGGGTTTTGTGGGACTGTGCAGTTGCGCCTTCAAGGTCTTCTATGGAGAGATATGACTGTGTTTTGGGAGGACTTGTTCTGATGGTATTGCAGTCTGTGGGAGGTCTTTCCGCGCTGTAATTCAGGGTTGCCTTGACCGTGTCGCCTTTTTTCGTGGCGTTAGTGCGTGTGTTGGTGCATGTATACGAGGACATATTGTATTTGAGATTAGATAGGAGCAGAGAGCTGTCGATCTTGGAGTAGTCGGCGAGCTCGTCTGGGGCAATTTGGGACTCGATGTTCTGTGAGATTTCAAAGTGTTCTATTAAGGAGAGGAATTCCAGCTACTCTGGAGCGGCCAGAATGGCCCTATATATATCCAAGATACTAAAGGAAAGGATACGTGGCCTTATATTGGCCACGTATGTGACAGAGTCACGAATGGGGATGGTGATCCTGAAGGATGACTATGGATAGGCCAACGGAGCCCAGAATCTAACATGTTCGAAACGGCGATGTGTGTGCAAAGTCTGCGAAAAGCAGGCTGTGACGAGAGGACGAATGTGGTTTTGGCATCTTGACGAATCGCTGCATTATAACTTTCAGCAGGAGACAATGATTCAGTATGGGAGTCCTCGGTCTGTACTTACATTGTTTTGTTTTCATTCGAGAAGGGGGGCGGAGACGCTGTGGTTGTAATGAGATAGGGGTCCGGTGCAACACTGGCACTGAGGCTTAGGAATCCTGCATCATAAACATGCTACTGCAATGAAGACCCAGGATTGCGAAAGCGGAATCATCAATGAAGAAGGCATGCTGTTTAGTCGGTGGAGTGACAGCGACTGGATGCTAGGCGAGAAATCGCAGGTGCAAGGTATCACACCTGTAAATTCACCAAAGGGCCGCCCTCTTCATCACTACAAACAAGCCCCATGAGGAGACCACAGGTACTTCACCTCCCCGTAAAATGTCTGCTGCCTGAGAGTGACCGGGTGACCGCCTGCACACGCACCCCGAGTTCCTCAGCAACCACAGCCCCAGACCATATGTACCGCAATACGAGCCCAATCTTCCCGACGCCCTATACCAAACGTCAGACCTTGTAACGCACTGGTCTAGCAGTATGAGACAAAACCTGTCCGGGGGCTTTTCGTAAAATCTACGCTTCGATTCGGGGCGTGCTCCACGACGATATATTAATAGGTCCTCTCGACTTGGTCAGAGCACGTATTAACGCATGGGTCGGGGGTAGACTTAGCTTTTTTGTAAAATTTTCAGGCTGTTTTCTATCTTTCTTTTTTAAGCAAGAAACCTATTTACTCTGGTACTGCAAGGAGGCACCGGAACACGCAGGCCTAGGATAGAACATCTCATGTTAAGAAAAGTAGTGATATGGTATCATTTTGTACTTCGTTGCAGTGGCACAATTCTTCCTTCCTAGTGCTTCCTTACCAGTCGAGAGGCCTATATTTATATTGGTCACCCTTAAACCCTACCATCCGCATACATATCAAGGCCCTGGCTGGTTTATCATCGGTGGAGAAGGCCTGCCTGTCTCTCGGCCCGTGGATTTGAAAGACTCACCTCGGACCGCTTCTCGTGATAGCAGGCTTGGATTTATTGCGCGTCACCAAGCATACTTACTGTATGTACACGGTAGCAACTAGTAGATAGACCTCGGCATGTACCTGGGAGCAGGAAAATACACGATTAATTTGGTAGGTAGATTATGGGTATCAAAGCTCCTAACCTAAATACAAAGCGATCCATTTCCATGGCCCGTCCTATTAACCACGTACTCCTCAATGCTCCTCAATGCTCCTCAGGTATACGCCCACGCCGTGATAGGTAGCCTCCAGAGCAAACGGCAACCCGGATCAACACCGTCTCCTCGCCTGTGCCAACTCCGAGTCGTTCCATAACGGCACTCTGGGAGATGCGTGCTCTGTTCGCTCCATACACTGCCCAGGCTAGACCCCGTCCGTTCATGTATGTAGCAGATGCCTTGTCCGGGTACGTAGGGGTGCTGCCAGACTGATGTTCCACACCGAGGCTACATTATCATGTAGGGGAACTCGGTGGTCTCATATGGTACGGTGCTCCTTTCATCAGCAGAGCAAGCCAGGTCCGACCAAGTGGTCGGGAGAGTGGTTTGCATGATGACCTGTGGCCATCGACTACTCCACGGGCAAGAGCCCATAATAACCATCGAAAGCTGCATGCCCTACGAACAGAGAAGTAAACTCAGAAGACTTGCGAACAAGACATGCGACAACGAGAGAGCAAGCGGCGACGACAACGACATTTTGGGAGACGGAGAGGGCGTCCATGTAGGAATAGCCGTAGTGGTAGGCGCTAGCTGGGTCTGCGCATTACTGCAAGAGTCTATATATACAGCAGAACAGAAAGAATTAGCCGACCCGAGACAGACAGAATTAAAGCAATGTCCGCGCCGGTGTGAGCCGTGGGTTACAGCTTACGGCCAGTGTCCGTAGGTGGACCCCGAACCTGTGGAGCACGCACCCGAGTTCGTCGTCATGTTGTCCAGATCGCTCGGGATGATGAGTGCATCCGCCGCTTTGCTGTAGTCCCAGCGCCAGTCGTCGAGGTCCGACTTCCAGTTCCAGAACATCCACCCGGCCGCGTACTTCTCGAAGCCGATGACCTGCGCGGCGAACCACTTCTTGTAGAACTCCTCGTTGGCGTCAGGATCCCAGACATTATCGGGCGGTTCGATGCACCACTCGGTGACGAGCGTCGGCGTCTCCCCATCGGCGGTCTGGTCGTTCGTGCATGCATCGTTGATGTAGGCAGCTTTCTTCACCTGCACGCTGCTATCCCAGCGCTGGTATCGGTGGGATTCGAAGGCGACGGATTCGTAGCCTGGGGGTAGGTACTGCTTGGGGTCTCCCGACCCCCAGTTGGTGCCCATGAAGGCGATGTGCAGTTTATCGGAGCGGTTGCCTTCGGCCTCGCGAATCGCCTGGATAGGGTCAGGTGCCGTTCCGATGACGCGGAGGAGGGAGGGCAATGAGACTCACGCTGTACGCCTTAGGATAGAAGTCACTTGTCAAATCTGGATGGGAATTGCCTCGCTCCGGCTCATTCAGGACGCCTATCATGCCCACGTTGCGCGTTTGGTTGTTGTTGGCTACCAATTTCGTCAAGTACGTGAGGAAGTCGACGCCTCTCTGGTAGTTGTTGTCGTTGAAGAACTCGACATCCGTAGTCACGTGGCCAGTGAACTGTTGATCCGATGTTTGGACACCCGGGGCGGCATGCATTCTGGTTGGCATTAGAGGTGTCAAGGGGAGCGGTCCTGATTCTAGGAGGCTTACTCAAGCATGATGTACATGCCATGGCTGCTTGCCATTTCACAAATGTCGAGGAGGTACTTCTCACCGCCCTGCGGGTAGTGTTCGTCGCTGCCGACCAGGCCCTCGTCCATCCAGAAGCCGATGGGGATGCGGACCGCATTGAGGTTCAGGCTGTTCATCTTGTCGAAGTCGTCCTCCGTGATCCAGCTCCCCCAGTGGTTCTGAAACTTGCTGTTGGCCTGCTCTTGTCCCAACTTGGCGACGCAGTTGAACTCATCGTTCTGGTCCGAGCACCCGATGGTGTTCCACTCATCCGGGCAGAGCCACTTCTCGATGATGAACAGACAGCCCAGGTTGACGCCTCGAATTTTGCTGCTCAGCATCCATCTCCTCGCTGGCGAATAGGGCTCCACTACCGTGAGGCCGCGGCGGCCTGTGACAGTCCTGGAAACTTGACTCGGTAGCCAGGCCTGAGTGACGGAACTCAGCGCTGCCAAAGAGGCGATGAGAGTCAGGGAGCCGCGCATGGTTCGACCAATCAGGGTGTCGGCGTGGTCCAAGGGATGTCCGAAGGGAGGTAATATCAAGATCTGAGGAGGACAGAGTGGACATGTAGATGGGGTAGGGTGAGAGCAATTGGTTATATGGTAGAAAGAAAGGGGAGTCGAGCCTGGCTCATGCTGTAGCAACCTGCAACATCAAAGGAATCGCAAGCATGCGTGGCTACATGACATTGCATCATAGGCAGATAGGCTACTATGTTCAAGCCAGCCGACATGTCATGCCTGTCGAAACGCAGGAGCTGAATGGGATGATGTGCACTGGATGGGGAGGCCCATCAAAGGATCTCATTACGGGGTCGGGATCTCAGCTCCTCAAACCCCAATAATGTCGTTCGTTCGCCGGAGAGCTTGAAGACGACCAAGAGAAGCCCTCTGATACGTGTAACATAGCTAGACAATAAGGTCAAGCTCGTGCGGTGCGGCTCCGATGCCGTTAACTTATACTCGGGTAACATCCAGTTGACAAAACGAAGTACCCTGTGAAGCTGGCATCCAGCTGCTGCCGCCAGCCAGTGCTGTGAAGTCGGAAGTCCATGGAAAGGCTGCCTGTGGGAGGAGCTGAAGGATGTCGCGGCATGACGCAGTATGAAGGAATGCTGTCGAACACTGGGAGTGACATAGAGAAACTGAAGGCTGAGGCTGGACGGAGAAATGGACGCCAACCTCCGATCTGGCCGTGACGTCGTCTCAGACTCGCAGACCAAGGCTGTGATTGTGATGATAGGCATATCATCAACTGGTCTTGCCCAGAGCCATGCACGCATACCTCATAAGATCTCATCGAACTCGTCGATATCAAGAAGAATTGCCGTTGGTGGTAGACTAGTCGGGATGAAAGCGAAGGAAACTCCGCCCAGGCTGCCGCCTCCACGATCTGCAGACTGCAGGCCACGATGTGTGTGATCAGCGTAAGGGGTTGTTTCTATTTTCGGACTCCCCAATCGAACCCCCATACCCACAGAGGGGACTCTAGAGAGATCCATCATCCTACACACCCGCATCGGCCCCGGACTCGAGTCTCTAGAGGGACCCAACCTGTCAAATCCTTTATTAGTAAAAGCCGTGCAGATGGGGAAAACGCAACGGTAGCATTCCAAATGGGGGCCACCTTGTCCAGATGTCCGTCCGGGCTGAGAATGTAACGCTGTCTCCAGCCCAGGCCAGGCTGCAGGTGCCAGGCAGGTTATAACTTATGCCCGATCGTTCTTTGACCAATGAACCACATCAGATTGATCGATGACAGCTGATGAATGACGTCCCTCCTGCTTATGTGATCACGATTCGCCGTAGGAAAGGCAGCTTATACATGTAGGCGTGATAGCTTAGGGGCGGACATAATTCCCAACCTCAAGGTCAGTCAGTCAGTCAGTCAGTCAGTCAGTCAGTCAGTCAGCCATACTGCTCTCTGCTCTCAGTAGGCCTGCCTACATAGGTGAGTCTTCTCTGGGATGGTACTCTCAAGAGCCAGTACCATGATTGCCCCATGATCGGTTCGCGGTAAGTCTTAGTGAGGATCGCATGCGGCGTCGCAGCGGGGCAGGACCCGGTGAAGATAGATGCTTAAAGTCTGTGCCCCTGGGATCCTTCAAGGAATTGTTACCCGCCCAGACTGTAACAACGTGCGACCCGAGGTCTGGGCGGGTAGCATGCATAACAGGCCTTGGATCGTCTCGATAGCTCTGGCACGTTGCCATAAGCAGCTCCTATGCATGAAAGGAACTTGTCCCAGGGATGTATATGAAACAAACCAGAGGAACCATTCAGTACACTTCACTAGATGTGTGAGTCTGGTGGGATGGCAGGAGTGAGAAACGAGATTAAGATGGCTTTTCCATTCCAACAGTGTAAGGATATAGAGCTCCTTCAGCGTACCGATATGACCTTCCTTCCTACTTGGCGACGGACCACCAGAGAGAGGCATGCCTTCTGAAACTAACTCTTCCGAATCCTCACGACCCCTTCCCCTTTCACTTCCATACCAAACCAGCATCTGCAAGTCAACCCCTTAATACCTATCCCAATCTCTCCTTCTCCGCCTTCAAGATACGCGGGACCTCCTCCTCCATCGAGCACTCCCTCGGCGTCCACCCCAGCACCTTATTCAGCCTCTCCGCCTTACCGCGGGAATTCAAGCCCCAACTCACGGCCTCAAACCCAGCAACATTAAGCGCCTCGTCCTTGCCGAGCTGATACTCCTCGTCGGATTTGATGAAGCCCAGCTCCTTCGCCTGACCCGCCACCGTGCGCGCCAGGTCGCCCCAGACGTGTTCGCCGCGCTCCACGAAATAGTACCCCTTATCGCCCCACAGATCCTTTGACCCATTGCGGAACACGGCCGCCTCGACGAGGAGCCGGAATGCCTCGCTCAGGTCGTGGACGTGGATGTTGTTCCAGCGCGCCTTGCCCTTGCCGATCACCGGCGCGTAGCCCTTCTGCAGCACCAATTTGGCGAGCTCGTAGACCTGGCGGCCTCGGCCTGAGATGGGACCGCGGCCCTCGCCGTAGATAGTAGGTGGACACACGATAGCCGTCTTCACCACATCAGCGTGCTCGGTGCCGCACTTGAGCACGATCTGGTCGACGTTGCGGTGGAAGGCCTCGTCGGGCAGGTGGGTCAGCTCCTCGACGCCGCTGTAGTCGTTGAACTCCTTCTCCTCCCACTCGCCGAGACGGTCCGCCTCGGAATCGAAGTACGTCACTGCGTGCATTCTGTAGTCAGTACCGTACCGTAATCGCTCTTCAAAAGCGGAGGAATGCCAGGGATCTCGTCTCAGAGAAACATTCCCCCAGACGCATCAAGGGGCACCGTGTAAGATTTGAACTTACGGATACCCGAGCCGCCAGTATGCAGCCAATATCCCGGCTTCGAAGCCGTGTGTCCCTCCACCAAACCCTCAGCAATAGCCTTTGCCGCGCCCTCGTTGTCCGAGGCGTCAGCCGTATCTAATCATTCACAATATTCAGCACCAAGTACAGCACACCTCAGAGAAGAAGGGGAAGAAAACTCACGAATCACAATATCCGCCCTAGCCGCCTCCTTCTTCAACAACTCCGCGTCGCCCAGCTCGCCGAGCACGATGCGCGTCTGCGGGTACTTCTTCTGCACGGCGTCGGCTTTCTCCTGCGTGCGCACCAGCAGCGCGTACTCGAACTCCGGGTGGCGCGAGCTGAGCGCGTACAGGGCGTCGCCGCCGATGTAGCCCGTGGCGCCGGTGCTGCAGTATTACACGGTATCAGTATCAGTATTCAGCGTCAGTATCAGCATCGCAGGCGCGGGTTATTGGTCATAGTCATGGTCATAGTGACGTGATTGTCGCGCGCGCGGAAGATGGGACGGGACGGTGCGGCACGGCACGGCACGGCATGGGAGGGGGGCCGAGGAGAGGGGAGGCGTGAGTAAGTGGACATACACAAAGATCTTGAAAGGCATATTGATGAATAGTTCGTGAGGTGGGTTCGATTTGGTTGGATATCTGCCGGTACTCGGGGAAGTTGTGATAATTGTAGGTCCCGAATTTGCCAAGACTGAGGTGATGAGTGAGGTATTTGTACCTAAAATAAACGTCGTGATTGTGATGTTGGAGGTTTGCTTTGCGGCTCTCCGATCGATGACGCAACGCAGGACATGTGGTGGGTTATCACTACTCAGGTAACCCTAAAGTCTCCCGGAAAAGTGCTTACCCACATTTCATCATAAGGTAGGAGGCAGAAAGGGTCGAAAGGTAGAGACACCCTCTACGCGTAATCTGTCCTCAATCATCATTTCATCTGCAAATAACATCCACTAACGAGGAAACGACATTCAAGTCTCGATAACTTCATTCGCTGTAGAAGGGAGGCGAAACAATGCCCTCTATGTACCGATATCTAGGTCGCTGGTCTACCCATCAACGCCGCCAGGGAGATTCGTCACGAAGTCCTATGCCGCTGCCGTCTCAATGGAGACACGAACGCCGTTTCCTTGAACTTCTCCCGCGTGATTGTCGGCTCTCGCCTTGTCCCCGACTAACCGAAAACGATGCCCCCAACGGTAGCCCGGCTCACTCGTTTCCCAAGCTCCTGCCATGTCCGCCATGAAAACCAAGCCCGTGCCCTAGATATGATCGTGTGTACACCAGTGACAACTGAAGATAGATGCCATCGCTTTACCCAGCTGAGGACATGAGTCGCTGTCAAAAATATTAAGAAGAAAACCAGGACGGAAAAGCAGGTCCTCTGTACAGGCGTAACAGACCACTATGAGCCCATGATTAATTTGTATATGGTGTATCGTGTGTGCAGCAACAGTATCTGTTGCGGAGTTGTTGCGAGGTGACGCGTCGACGCCTTCGGCATCAGTGGGTCGTATAGCCTGCGATGTATCGACTTCCTTACCATCCTCGCCAGTAAAAAGAAAGAACCAAGAATTGAAGGTGTAATAGTATGGCGGACATCCAGGGTGGACAGGTAACCGAGGAGTTTAGAGAGTTGGTATGATGACAACAAATGCAACATCAGCGTATTGACGAGCATGTGCGCAAAATGGTACAGTGATGACGCAAAGAGGTCGTAGCCTTTAAGCCTCATCATCGACCTGTACCGTCTGGCAACCTTGCTCGAGGCCGGACTCATGCACAAGGCGCGTCTTGTCGTCTACCACCTCTTCCACGGTGCTGATGTTCGTGCTTGGTGGGCTACTGCTCTGCGGACTGTTCTGCTCCATGGTGAGTGAAGGGGTGGGTGCAGATGAGTTGACGTCCACATGAAGGTACGGCGTGCCGGGACTAGCAGCGGCCGCAACACCCGCCGCACTCGTAGTTGACGTCGTCGCAGGGGAGGATCCCACGATTTTCTCAATCGCCGCCATCTGGCGGTTGTTGAACTGCTTCCTCAGGGCCGGAAGAAGAGGTCTCACCTCCTCCCTCAAGTCATCATATTCTGATCCCTCCTTGAGGGAATGGAAGAGTTTTTCTGCAGACGGGTCAGTATCGATGATTAACGCGGATACGTCGGGGATTGACTCACGGACTACGTAGTTCCCATATTGATCCTTCAGAATGTTCAGCAGTGGACTGATTCCGTCACCGTTCGGTGGTGCAGTGAGTTTAACGCGGATGGCGCTGCGCTCCTCGGCTGTCCCGAACCCTATGCACTTCTCGACCACATTCGATGCGTACTTATGCTTCGACAGAATAAGCACTCTGTCGATGACGTGACGGATCATCCTTGACCGGTCTTCTGGTTCGCCAAACTCGATGATGTGCTGCGCGACGTAGTTGCCGTACGTGTCCGCAATGAGTTTCGGAGCGCATGCATGGAGATCCGCCATCAAAGACTTCTTCTCTGCATCTGTACAGTGCTCTAGAATGCGTTGAATGACGCGGCAGCCGTATGAGTGAGAGGCCAATCCTTCTATTCCACCACGGAAGCCATTCAAAATGGACGGAATGCAGGCGCGAGGTAGCGTTTGGATGACCTTCTGTATCACATGGTTTCCATTCAGGTCCTTGCAGATTCGCACGATGTCGGATTTGAGTTCCTCGACAATCTCGGTCTGCTGTTCGACTAGAACATGTTCGAGTGCCTGTACTTGACTGTTAGCGATCAACTTCACGACATCTTCCACTGTGCTAAACTAACCTTCTGGACTACGCGGCATGCGTACATTTGGGTTGATAGCTCTGCAATCTTGCCCTTCATCTGCGCCGCAATGACTTTCTTCTGCACCTGATTGCCATGCTCGAAGAACTTTTGGATGACGTAGTTGCCGAACACATCTTTCATGAGTTGGAGAGCATTGGGCTCAAATTCCCTGAACACTTGCTCCTTTTCATCGCTGTTCGCTGTCTGGAGCTTTTCCTGAATGAACCGCGAGCCATGTTGATCACCACTGAACTCAACTATGTGGTTGTATATGTCCTGGATCCGGAGTTTAGCTCCCCTCCATCCTCGCAGCCAGGAGTATTTGCTTACTTTCAGCTCATAGCTCTTGTTTGACTTGGCGCTTCCACGGAACTCTTCGAGAAGAACACTGCGAGCACCTCTACTGGGATCCATATCTCGGCTGGGCCGGACCGGAATCGGGACGCTTTGCATGAAGTTGGTAGGCAGGCCATAACTACTGGTAGGAATCTGCGGTCGGAAGCCATTGACCTGCGCGTACGGGTTTTCGTACGCTGCCGGGTAACTGGGAATTTGGTGGGAGTTGTAGTATGGGGTTGGAAAGAAACCAGCTGCCTGCTGGGAGTATTGCGAGCCGTACTGGGCGCCGTACTGCCGGTCCACGTCCTGTTGCGTTCTGCGGTCTCGTGATGATCCGGGCCTATTCCATGGGTCAGGTCGCGGATTGGGGGTTCCTGTAAACCCTCGTGGACTGTTGAGGCCCTGGCGGTAGGAACTTCCAGCAGGCGAGCTTCTCTCCACGGAACCTCTCTTGGAGCCGTAATGCGCGTTCATAGGCTCCGCCCACGCATCCTGCTGTACACCCTGTCCAAAACCTCCTCCATTGTTTCTTTGATCATTGTGCCAGGGTTGAGAGCCAGGGTTGAACTGGAAAGGCTGACTAGCCGGGTTAGGGTAGCCATTGTGGGCGTACGCACCTGCGGATGGCGTAGCGGACTCAGAGTTATCGTTTAGGTTGAGCGCTCGGTTGAAACCGTCGTCCAGGTCCTGATCATTAGCACCGGCAGGGACATAGTATGCATTACCACGGCTTGCTTCTGATGACAGAGCAGCAGAATGGTTACGGACAGAAGAGCGTTGACCTTGGGGTATGGAATGGCCAGATCCTTTGGTGAAAGGATACTGAGAGCTCTCACCGTAGAGATTCGGAGGTGTCGATGTGTCGGTCTCCGGTTGGCGTGAAGTTAGGCTGGTTGATCGAGTGGCCCCGAGATTCAAGAAGTTTGGGTCGGTAGAGTTGCGCCTATAGATTCCTGGGGCATCAAGCCCGAGCTGAGAGTTGCCCATCGTCCCATACAAGCCAGGGTTCCCCCTTTCCTCGCCAACGGATTCTCCGAAAGCAGACGTATACCGGAAAGGAGCTCCAGAGTTGTCCGCCGGCCCAGGAGGCATGGTCCTATTCTGAAGGCCCGGCCCATTCTGACTGACCGAGGTCCGTGGTTGGAAGCTCCGGACGCTGCTGTTGGCGTCGGGGAAGCTGTGCTGTTGAAAGCTGTCCCTTGTGCGTGTAGGCGAAGTACTGCCGGAATTCGAGTGTCCGTGTGAAGAGGTTGAGGGTCGATTCCATATCGCGCCTCTTGATGGCCACTGAACGGCTTCGGAATGATGATTCAGCTGGGCCGAGCCGGAAGGGACGTTAGATAGAGCCTCTTCTGACGCTGTTAGGCCAGTCAATTGTGAGCCTGTGATGCCTATTAGCGGCGTCCGTATATTCCATGGACGGCACTTGTAGGCCCCTTTTGGACGAACCTCTTGAGCCTGATGTCTCCCGGTGCGAGCTCAATGAGCTACCAATTATCGATCCATTACCCCAGATTTGGTTCGACTGCCAGGTTGCAGGGCCAAATGAGGAGCCGCGAGGCTGCGCATTCTTCTCGTTTGAACCTGCCATCGCGATATTTGGAAACCCGTTCGCTCGAGTCTTGTAGAGAACGAGGGTCAGTTACAAAATTACTACAGGAACGTTCCAAACAGGAGGCGACAGCGCATCGGGAGTGGTGTAGAAAAAAAAGGTCTGCGACGTGGGCTGGGGCGCGCAGTGATTAAAGGGCCAGCGCCCCCCAGACCATACTGTAAGACCAGCATAACGAAAGACAAAAGAGTACTCACGGCGGTAGTCATAGCTCCAGTGGTCGAACACTTCGTTATCGAACCAGACACAAAAGTGTCGAAATATGTATAGGACAGACCCTCCGGTGTTGTCCAATATAGTATGTGAAGCCGGATATTCAAGACGGGCGGATGTACGATCGGTTCGCTCGAGCGGCGCAGGGCAAAGGAATAATGTGGTATATATTATATACTTGATAGGATACGCGACAAGTCGCTCAAACTATATTGCACTGCACGATGGCAAGAGAGGCAAGTTGTCAGCTCTCAACGTCCTTGAGAAGAGGAGGGAGGAAGCGATGCTTGGGTTGACAGCGGCATGAAGGATGCTTGCTGAACGAGTGACGAGCGATCACATACTAAGACGGAAAAGGTTGCTTTGCTATATGGCAGGGGAAACAACGTACTTAAAGATGCCGATTTACTGCCTGGTCCAGATTATCGAGGCGGTGGCTGTCTGGGGAACTCAGTGTCGTTGGGCGGCGCGGCGCGATCAGCTCAAGGCAGATCCGACTGTGGAGAACTCAGTTGCCAACACGCTGTGTTTGCTATCACCCAGGTCGCGCAGGCTGATCGCTGGCGTGCGTCGAGGAGATGACAACGGACGAATATATTGGGCGTTGCGACGGTGGTAAAACTGGGAGGAACACAATCCGACACCTGGCAAGGTGGTCGGGAGAAGTGAAGTCGAAAGGCGCCGAGGCAGGCGGACAAACGAAGGGCTGAAGTATGGAACGAAGGGCTGAAGTATGTAACGACTGTCGTAGAAAGTACGGCAGGGCGTAGGTGCGCAGATAGGTAGGGAGGAGGCAGAGGATGCGCGAACGTGAACGGTGGGGACGGCTGTTTGGAGAGAGGATAGTCGAACGTTTGCGGCTTGGATCGCAGGCTCGTAGCGTCGTGGTTGGCTGAACACCTACGGTAAGGTACGTGAGAATGTGTATGTATTCTAGGCGAGGTATGTATGGCAAGGTATATTCGGCCAGGTTGATGGATTCTGGAGGAGTTGGGTGGTACTCGGTTGAGGTACGTGCCTGCTGCGTGCCTAAAGAAGGTGTCCTGGGTGTCCTGGGTGTCCTCGTTGCCGTTCACGGCAATCAGGCAGAGAGAGGCACGGATGCAGAGGTCGATACAGCTGCACAGGTCGCAAAACTGGAGAGGTGGACTCGGGATTCGATTGGCCTGATTAAGGATCGGGCCTCTTGGCCGCTTGCAAGTTGCTGGGTCTCCGCACAGGGCCGGGGCCGGGGCCACAGGAGCAAGAGTAGCCTGTAGGGAAGGGCGAGAGTCGGGAAAGAAAAGAAAAAAAGAACAAAGGCCTCTCAGATGCGAGTCGAGCGCAGGGCTAGACCGGGGGGTTGCAACTTGCGACTAGAATCTCACACCTCGCAACGCCCTGGCTGCCGGGGCTAGGGGCCTGACGTAGAATAGGTAACTCAATTCAGGATGGGTCCCGACAGAGCTAATCGAGTGCTGTCGCTACTGACGACCGTACCTAGACGGTGCCGTTCCTGGACGAACAGATCTGAAGCTCGAAAGGGTGTGTGGGTGGGTTGGATGCCACCGCTAGATTGGGGGTTGCGGGTTGCGGGTTGCAGGTTCGCAGGGCTGACGGGGCGACCTGTGCCTGCCTGTAGGCTGTCTGGCCTGATGACTGTTGGTTGGCTCGAGATATGGATGATTGTATCGGGAGACGCTCGATGATGCAGCTGGTGCTGTTTCCGGCAGAGGGCCAGCCCAGTGGTGGCCGGGGACTGTGCAGTGTGGGAAGGACGGCGCGAGACCAGGTTCCGGGGAGGGAGTGGAGGGGTCTTGGCCGCTGAGGTGTGCCGTCCAATGTCTCCACTGGATGGGATGGTCTATCGATGCACCGCAGCTCAAGGCTCGACGTCTCGAACAGATTAAGATATCGACGATGATGACTCTTGGGTAATGTATGTGACCACGAGTATGGATATGAGATGGATACAGATAAAAGCAGAGTTGAAGAAGACTGCTGAGGGACTCAGGTTTCTCGAGGCGGTGGAATATCAAGGTAGGTATGGAAGTTTGTGTGCAAGCCGCTACCTACTAGTAGGTAGGTTGTCACAAGGTAAAAAGAGTGCTGAGTCTGGTTTCCTCGTGCGTGTGCGCTTGCGATGCACCTTGGCGAATCTGGAGCTCCCGCTGAAGTCTCCAGGTCCAAAGTTCTCCTGGTGGCAGGTGCTGCGGTTGGGTATTTGGACGGTAGGTACATACATGTACCTCGAGGCGGGGCCGCTCCAAGGTGCAGATGGGGGGGGTCCTGATGGGGGGGGGGCTGCTGATGGCACCTGAGATGGGGCCTGGAATGGGGCTCCCGCTCTTAGCGGCGCTTCAGATTCGACGTCGCACGACCAACCTGCACCGGTGATGCTGCCGTCTAAACCCTCTCCAGTCTAGACCGTACGAATCTGGAAGGCAGCGAGCTCTAGCAAGCCTAGCCTCTCCCTAACGCCTGTTTTGACAGCTGAAGCCGAGCACTAGACTGTCCAAGTGGCGGGTGAGGCAGTTGCATGTGCCGGAACTTTGCCCAACTTCTCTCAACGTTGTTGTTATTTTGTTCAACAATAGAGTTCGCGGGTCTGTTGACAGCTGTCCGTGCTGGAATGTCGTGGCGGGTACGTACTCTCAGATGAAGATCCTCCGGTCCAGCGAGAGAGGTATGCTGGCCAGACAGACGGAATGCTTCGGTTGTTGTCTGCTGCAGCCAAGCCCGGTCCTGGCCTACTGTGTTGCTATTTTTACTGATGTGCAATGCAGCAAGGTGCGGTGCGGTGCGGTCGGTGCGGTGTAATGCAGCGTGGTGTGGTGTACGCCTGCAGATGGTCGTCTGCACCTAGTCGACCGAGAGACCTGGAATAGGTGGTTGGCTTTCGCGTATAGTCATGCGATGGCGGCTATGCACCCGGACTATGCTTCCTAAGCGACGTCTGTATATTTGGGGGCCGTGGCAACTTGTTGCTGTCGGTCTCGAAACTGTTCAAGGATGTTTGGCTGGAAACGGATATATGTGGTGCCCTATGTACGTGCGAATACTCGCTGTTGCTTCTGCTTGCTTCCCTACTGGCTGTTCTGAGCGACAAACACCGAATGTCAGTCACTGCGCCGTACGGAGGAGGTAGTATAAACATGTGCTGGGGTCTGGCCTGATTCATTGGGTCAGGTACTTACTTATCCACCTGTGTGCATCCGAGTAGGCTCAGGAGTCAGCTGGGGGCTGGGTGTAGGTTTGACACAACTAGGAGGCCGTATAGAAGAAAGGGGCCAGAAGAGCAACCGATGACGATACAGAGATGAACAAGGAATGTGATGCTATTTTGTACCGTGAGGCTAGATATCCTCAGCTTCAAAACCCTCTAGGCAACTCCTCGCTTCTCCCTTTGGGCCAATAGTGGAAGAACAAGGGCGAAGGAAGAAATCAAAGTTCGAGCTGAAGGGAGGATGGGTGCCATATTGGCCATATTGATCGCCTCCTAACCTTTGCGGGTATCACGAGCTATTGCCCAGCCGCGTCACTTACTCAAGCATGTGCAGTATAATGAGCTGGTGGTACAGGGGGCAGATGTGCGGGCGCACGAGGTAGATCACTCATGTGGCTCCCCTGCCTGTCTGAGGCACTGGCTCAATCTGGTGCCTCTCAATGTTGTTTGTGTGGTATGACCTGATGCCAAAAGCATCGCGCGTTGCACCAGAGGTCATATGCAGTGCCGGTCTACTCTCCTGAGGCCCGCCTAAACCTACCTGCCTTCTTACCAAGGCACACATCAATACCCTCGGTCGTCACAGTAATAACCCAGTGGCTCGTGATCTGCACAAGGAGTGCGCCGACTTGGATCGATCCCATCACTGGACTCTGCAGAGCAGTAGCTGGAGTCAAGGGAAGCCGCCCGAATGTCTTGCTTGGTACCAAGAATGTCGGGAATTTTCATCGCAACGCATACCAATGTCCACTTCTCTAGTCTCTAGGACGACGACATTCCCTTGCTGGAGCTCATATTGGTCTCACTCAAACTGCTGGTGGCACTGAGCTGCCGTTCACATCCAAGGAGTCACACAACAGTCAACGCTCGCCTCGGCAAGCGAATCGTTGGTGCGTGGTCCTGCGCAACCAAGTCATTCGTTTCGAATCATGTAGACGGCCACTCGAAACCATCCTGTCAAGTTCCCTACCTACTTAAGCACTATTGCTCTCGAGTCACTACTCCGTCAAAACCGGTGAGACAAAAGACGGAACACATCCTAGCAGTGTTAGATTTGAGACATTTCAGCTTCTTCCAAGCGTAAACCCAAAAGAAGAAAAGAAAAACAGCGACTTAGGACCTTGCCTAGATCGCTCTTATCGAGCCCTCAGACAGGAAGCTCCAATTCTATTTCGCCTTCGAAGCCTTGCGTCTGAGGGTGAGACATATCGCGCGAACTACGGGTCGTGGGGGAGTTCACTCCGGGTAGGTCTCGGTAGATACCTTCGTGGTACGAAGAGCTACCGTCATCGTGGGCAAAGGAACTCGCGATAAGAGCATCCTCTTCATTCCCTGCATCCACTCCTTTGCATCCACTGCTTCAACAACGACTCATAAGTTGCTCGCCGGCGTAATACTCGGTCTTGTTTGGATGACAGAGGGCGACGCGAGGCTGCGAGTGAGCAAAGTCGCAAAGGGCATGCTGAATCACATGCTCTAACGATAAGTCACCTACGACAAGGACAGATGTGCTTCAGTTCAATTAGCATCGTCTGCTAGAATATCATACCTCGGCCGGGCTAGAAGAGTGGTTTGCTCACAGTATCGCCACCATTCATCAAGTCTAGATGCAGGATCATCGAGAGGTATGTATCCCTTCGAGAGGCGGTGTCCCTCTAGTAAGGTACCTAGAAACTCTGATCAAAAGACTCAAGACCTATCAATAATAGAAATATCCTCAAGGGTCAGTAGTGCAAGCCAGTCGAGATTCAAGTCTAAGAAAACAGCTCTGACTCTCTCAGTCACGCTGCATAAGATGCCCTCATCGTCAAACCTTCTCTGGCAGTAGGATCATACTTACTCGAGGCTCGTGACTCTTGTCCAACGCTGCGAACGCTTAGAGTGGCTCTGCCGGGATGAATATATTATTTCAGCGGGATCGATAGAGAAAGCACAGCAGTCAGCAGGATACCGGTAGCCGGTGCGAGCAAGTCACCTCTCGAGTGTCGTCTATTGAATTCATTGTTTCCCCGTCCGAGCTGGGCTGCATAACCTCATTCTTTCAGCGGCTATGATAGCAACTTAATCAGCCAACAACGGAATACAATCGCATTGAAAAGGGGCATCTGGAGAATGGAGTGGCCAGAATGAGAGCGACAAATATCCATAGCAGAGCTGCAATGTCTGGATGGAAAGGAGTTCCCCGTCACAGGTTGGCTGCCGAGTCCGCGCTTGGATCACCGAGAGCAACCCCGATCCAGCCAAGCCTCTCCCTAACCGTTTCTGTGCCTGCAGTAACCCCGCTCTGATCACGAAACGAGCTATTCATTGGCCACAGCTGAGATTAAGCCCGGGTTGCGGTCTAGCCCGTTGACCTTTGCACCAATCAGAGCGCCGTGCCTGATCAATTTAATTGATCCCCCTGCGTAGTGCGTGTTGGCTGCAGGTCGCAGCCAATCTTTGGCCTGCCTGCTCCCCCGGCCCCACTACCAGTTGATCGTCGTTTCCTCTCTTCTCCAGCTCATCCTCCAGCTCCCTTTCGCCTTTCTCTTCCTCTTCTCACCGTCTCCATCACCGTTGTTGTCGCCGCCGTCGCCGTTCGTCCAGAGCGCCCATACATTCTTTTTGGCTTTGTTGCCGTCCATTCCCTTCATCAGGTCTCAACTTCACTCTTTTTAGTTGATTCCGTTCGGTCTTTATTGCTTTCGCAACCATTCGAAAGTTCAAGGCCACCATCCCTTGCGTACGTTGATCCGGCTCTATTGTGTCTCCAATGCTGCAGAACATGAAACTACCCCTATGGAATTCTTCGTGGCTCTATCAACTCACTAGCCATTGGTGTACTGGAGTACTAACGGTTGTCTCATCCTAGCCAAGCCATTCATTCAATCACTGGACCAACGCGCCCGTTACGCTACACAACATCGACGACGTCAGATCACCACATCCTGAACACCACAAATCACCATGTCTACCTTCAGCAACCTTATTGCCAGGGGCAACTCTGCTGTCGGCCGCCGGGAGGTTGGCGATACCAATACCATCATCGACCTGATGGTCACCTTCCTCGGAATCGCTTTCTTTGCCCTTGTCCTGGTGGCCCTTCTTGTGGTGCTGCGACGGGCTAGACATCAGCGGAGACAACGCGAGCAGACCCTGCCGCAGTACAACGATATCAAGCACGACGATGACCACAACACCCGCCGGTTGACCATCCAGACTGGCGATTGCCGACAAAGCATTCTCGTCGTCAATGGACGCCCCATGCTGGCTGATCCAGCTTCGCCCCCTCATTCGCCCACCAACATCCCCGAGATTCACATTACTTTTCCCGACGAGCACGACGAGCACGGGCGCCAAAAGAATGGCCGAGTCTTAATCGTCCGCGTTGGCGAGAAGTCTGTTGGCCTAGAGCCTCTCCAGGACGAGCAACTGCCTGCCTACGAGAAAGAGAGCAAGGGCGGGTTCTACTCTATTGACATGGATCATATCGGTGGCCTGAAGGAGAAGGACCGATCACAATTCGCGTAATCTACTGACGGACCACGGATTTTCGAAAACCAACATAAACCATGAACAGCTCAGTCGCCTTTTCGATTGCTCCCGCTCTACGACGGAGAGGAGTATAGAACGAAACGTTACATGCATGAATCACGGAGTACATATTTGTGCAGATTATTTCTTTCCATTCCTTCCACACCTGGGTCTGCTGGGCAAGGCGGTGAAGTCAAGACATGAGATATATCATTGATGACCATTCAAGGATGCTATTTAGGAGCGCCACTCCTGCAATATTCTCGGTTTGGAGTATATATCGGGTTCGTATATAAAGATACCATGCCCCTGTTCCCCGTGCCTGGATATGGTTCTCTCATGAAGCCGTCTGCATGGGGAGTAGAGGAGCAACCTCCGGCCGCGCCCATATATTCTAAATGTATAATTGATATTGATAGTACCAAGTTCGTTCGGCCTAATGAAGTGTATACAGCCCCAACCTCCCGACCGATTGCCAGACTAGACAACCCCAATCTGCCTCAACCATCTTTCAGGTCGCGTCCTAAGCATGTGCTTCGTGACTCTAAAGCTAGTACGCACTCCTTGAGAAACGACACCACCAAAGTTACCAGGCTTAGTTTTTTCGTTAACGCATCCAAAGGGCCTCGATCGGGAAATTCGACTCTGTCAGCTGCCATTGTGCGAGCATCTGCCCAGCCTGCTCCAACGCTACTTACAGCTACTTATCCTACCAGAGTCACGAACCTCTATTAAATACCTGCCATAGAGTACTCGCATGTACCATGGCCACGCCGTGTTGGTTCCCACACGTTCACATGTCTTGCGGCTGCCATGGACTGATCATCTCAGCTGGGGTCTTCCAACACTGGGCAGGGGGGTTATGACTGATGGCATGGCATATGGGTGACGCTTATCGATGTGGAATATGGTACTCCTTATGAAAGAGGGAGGAGGCTGTTGGGTCTACCTCGGACCGAAATAATGGTGGTTGGGGGGTAGAGGCTTCAAGACTTGTGCTGGATGAGCTGCACCACGAGTCCCAGGGGCATCCGACAACACTGGAACGCCACCGTATATGGCGAGTGTATTTCGGTGCCGGAGCTGGTCGACTGGATGCGTGACGGATATTTCAACTGAAGTGCCCTTCATCGTCGACTGTGGGATCGCCCTCGTCTCGCATGATTTTCACCGTGATGTGTGATATCCTCGGTACACCGCCAGGATCTGAGAGCTCCTGGAGCACTCTGCACATCACGGCAAGGCCCAATACTAAGTATCGATATGTTTGAGCTACGACGCCGTCGCGACGCCTTCTTCTGCCATACTCGATCGACAGTCAGGTACTGTCGTTGACCATTCATGATACACTAAACCCTCACAAGTCACCGTAAACTATCCGTCCAGCAAACAACGGTATATCGATAGAGTCGGAATAAGCACAATGGAATAAGCATTAAGTTGCGTATCAAACCAAAACTGTTTATTTCTGTATGATTATTCCAGTGTTTTAAGTTTCCGCGGGTGATATGGAACCTCATCAACATGGTGCGCACGGGGACTTATGATGGCCGAGTACCTATACCATGGCTGGGGCGAGACCATGCCCAATAGAGATATCTGCTGAGAGGACAAGGCAATGAGCTAACTGTGATCCTGCTTCATAGTTCACCGCTTGTTGGCCTGAACCTGAACCTGAACCGTCCTTTGGGTGCTCCAGACTGGAAAAGAGCTCAACCTCTTACCCCCCAGCCCCCGGCCTCCCACCCGATGTTGACCTTCAGATGTAAGAAAGGCACCTACACCTATCTCCTAATCCCATCGATGAGGCCTTAGTCCCGTGTTGGAGCCTATCTCCTCTCCTTAATCCCATCGGCGTGGTCATAATTTCGTATCGGTGTTTATCGCGTATGAGTGACCGATGAGTGACCGATGGCGGAGAATTGAGTTCATCTGCGAAAGTGGAAAGCGATGACTACAAAATCGAACACGAAGACCTTGCTCTCACTTCTGGATTGGCTTTCTTAGCGCTATGAATCTATTTTCAACGTAAGTATAACGTAGCAACTTTGACTGAGTTCCAAGCGCATGAACACAAGGCACAATTGTGGGTGTGACGAAACCAAGCACACGATAGAGTCTGTACGATTGGTAATCATGATCGGAGAAGTGTGAAAAATGTGTTAATCCCGACGAGATGTTCGGGGGAGAGCTTCCAATTTGAGGCAGATATACGATTTAACTCCGCTATTGACGTCAAGGACATTCCGGAGGTCGTCATGTCGATAAAACGGCGAACACTCCACATACCTTATATCACTTGAAGTCTGGACGCAGACAGACAAAAAAGTCCTTTGAGGTTGTAATCTACGTCGCAACACCAGCTCTCGAGGCTCTTCAGTCCCAATAAGCACATTGCCGTTTCATACATATCATTCCACGATGGGTGGTGACCCAGGAGCAAACGTCGAGGCTGTCGCCAACTTCACCAAGAAGACCCACAACGACACTTATGCGTTCATCTCGCCGAAGCAGGGAGACCTTTCCGGCAGGTCGGTGTTCATCACAGGAGCGTCGAAGGGCATTGGACGGGAGACGGCTCTCAGCTACGCCAGAGCCGGCTGCGGCAAGATTGCCATCGGGGCACGGTCCGATCTCTCGAGCCTGGCGACCGAGATCAAGGAAGCCGCGAGCAATGCCGGCCTCAAGACTGTGCCCAAGGTCCTCAGCATCAAGATCGATGTCACCTCTGAGGACAGCGTCAAGAGTGCGGCCGACACCATCACGAAGGAGTTCGGCGGAGCGTTGGACGTACTCGTCTGCAACGCTGGCTACCTGGAGGAATGGCACCCCATTGGCGAGTCGAAGCCGGACGACTGGTGGAGGACGTACGAGATCAACGTCAGGGGTGTCTACCTGTGCAGCCGATACTTCATCCCGCTGCTGTTGAGAGGCATCAGAAAGACCTGCATCATCACATCCAGCGTCGGCGCTCTGCTAATCTCGCCCGAAGCGTCGGCATATCAGACCACCAAGTTTGCCGTGTGTCGCCTGGCGGAGTTCATGGCGGCCGAGTACAAGGACAAGGAGCTGGTGTGTATCGCTATTCACCCCGGAGGGGTGAAAACCGAGCTGGCGTACAATATGCCGGAGTATATGCATAAAGCCCTGGTAGACGAACCTCAGCTAGCAGCAGACACCATCGCATGGCTAGGCAAGGAGCACAGGCCTTGGCTGAGTGGGCGATATGTGACGGTGAAATGGGATATGGGAGAGCTCGAGGCCCGGAAGGATGAAATTGTGAAGGGTGATCTGCTCAAGTTCCGGTTGACGTGTTAAGGTGGTCAGTAAGGCAGCCACGATTTCATAGTGCACAAGGTAGCTATTCTGAAACCGCCAGGAAGCTTCTTGAACCCAAATGATTGAACCTGCGCTGCTGAGAGACTTTGCTCGTGATGTATGAAAGATGTCCCGGGTCCTGACGGGAGTGGATGGACGGTGGAATACATGCCGGGCCGGCACGTGGCGAGATGTCTGTCATCATCTGCCAAGACATGTCCACGGGTAGCTGCACCCGCGCTTTCCACCTGCCAAGCCCGTCCCTCTTCCCGGGCCACAATCCCTCGTTTTTTGGAAAGCTTCAAAACAGCTCCGTTTCAAGTCAAGCTACCTCTTCATTGTACCAAGTTGTCTGCCACCTCAATTGTCGCCATGGCTGCCTGTTGAACCACTTTACCTTGTATATTTAGCTCAATCTATCATTTCTGGAAGCCAATGGCTGTTCATGACGCAAGCACGACGCGCGACTCCCCTTGAACCTCGAACTCGATCCGCGCGAATATGTCTCAGCGCAATGCTCGACCCAAAGCTTCCACGACCGAATACAAGGCCATAGCGGCCGATTGGGCGAAGGCGAAGCGAATAAAGGAGCTCAGAGACCCAGCCAAAGCGCCCGAGAGCCCCGCCAACAACACAGATGAAGCTCAGCGTGCTGCTCTAGAGGGTCGCCGGAAGTCGGCTTTCGAGCGCCGCTGCTCCTGGACCGTTGGTTTCTGGGTGTGGATGTTCGTGATGCACGCGATCGGCATCCTACTATTCACCAGTGGATTTCTGTTAACCCGCCTTGTCCTGGATGAGCGATCCGAATGCGCGAGCCCCCCGACCGAGCCGTTGTTGACATGGAGCGGGAGCGGCACAATAGACGGCGGGTGTTGGCACCCAAAGAAATTCAATAAGGCTGTCATTGTAGTGGTTGACGCATTGCGTTACGACTTCACTGTGCCAGTAGAAGATGCGAACAAGGCCGAAGTGTACCACAATGCCTTCCCGTTTCTTCACGAATCGTCCATCCAGTCGCCGAGCAATGCATTCTTGCTGCCCTTCATTGCCGATCCGCCAACGGCGACGCTCCAGCGGCTGAAGGGGCTTACTACGGGGACTTTACCCACATTCGTTGATATAGGCTCCAGTTTTTCGGGCACAGCTATCGAGGAGGACAACCTGTTGATGCAGTTTCGAGACCAGGGCAAGCGGATTGTCCATTTGGGGGACGATACTTGGACGGCCCTTTTCCCCGACTATTTCCAATCCAGCATTAGCAGGGCTTACGATAGCTTCAATGTCTGGGATCTGCACACAGTGGATAACGGCGTTTTGGATCACATATTTCCACTGGTGAAACCCGAGCGGACTGGCGAGTGGGATATTCTCATTGGGCATTTGCTGGGAGTGGACCACGCAGGCCACCGGTATGGACCCGACCACGCAGCCATGACTGCGAAGCTGCAGCAGATGGACAGCTTCATTCGTGAACTTGCCCAAGAGATTGACGACGAAACGCTATTGGTCGTGATGGGCGATCATGGAATGGATGGCAAGGGCGATCACGGCGGTGAGAGTGAGGATGAGGTCGAAGCCGCTCTGTGGATGTATTCGAAAAAGCCCCTATTCGGCCGCACGAAACCGGAGTTCGCAACACCCCCAGCAACAGCCAAGATCCGGCCCGTGAACCAGATTGATTTGGTGCCGACGCTTGCTCTACTTCTGGGCATCCCAATTCCATACAACAACCTGGGCCGCCCGATTGAAGAAGCTTTTGCAGGCCCGAAAGGCAACGCCTGGGGTCATCTTGCTGCTGCATCTAGTATGGCAGCGGCTGGAATCAAGAGGTATCAGGCATCGTACTTCAAAGCTAGGGGCCTCCATCAGAGTTCTACGCCAGGCTCGCCTGCATCCCTCTGGAAAGACGCCCAAGATACGATCGAGGCGGGCACCAAGACCAAGACGTGGGAATCTTCATACAAGGCGTATACCGCTTATCAGGAGGAGACTCTGAGGATTTGCAAGGACCTATGGGCGCGTTTCGATGTCCCAAAGATGGTACTAGGTATCTTGATCATGGCATTTGGTGTGGTTGTACTGCTCCTCTATGTATCACGGGATGACGATGAGGACTTCGCAATCCTTGACGACGCGGAGCTCGAGGCGCAGCTTGATTTCGCCGAAAAGAGCCTGGAACTGCAAGGTGCAGCCGAGGCCTCTTCCTATAAGAACGTGACAAAATCTCTTGTTACCTCAGGGGTGCTGAGTGGCCTTGTGGTAGGAGTAGTGAGCGCCGCAACTGTGACGCTCACAGGGTCAGAATGGCTTTCAGCCGCGGCAGCGACGGCGATTGGGAGCATGACCGCTGTCACGGTTACCCTGTTCCGGTCTGGAGGCAAGAGTGTGCTCAACCTTCTACCAACCACTTTCTGGGGCTGGCTTTCCGTCACGTTCGCTGCCAGTCAGTCGATCGGTTTTGCTTCAAACTCGTACACCATCTGGGAAGATTCCATCTCCTTGTTCTTCCTCTCGACGTTTGGCTTCACAAGTGCAGTCGCGGCACTTCGACGACCCACGATTGCAGAGCGGACCCTGGGTATCTACCATTCTCTCCTATTCATCATGCTCAGCCGAGTGGCCTCCTTTTCGAAGCTTTGCCGGGAGGAACAGATGCCTTATTGCAAGTCGACATACTATGCATCGGCAAATTCCTCGACTCCCGCGGCTTGGCAACTGGTTGTGCCATTTGCTGTCTTCCTCATACTTCCATCAATTATCAAATCACACATGCAGACCTCGAGGTCTTACGAAGGTCTTGCACCAATGTGGATCGGTTATGTTGTCCGACTCTGTCTCTTCTTATCTGCTGCGTACTGGACCCTCGATGCAGCAGACAATGGCGACTGGCTCGCCTCGCTTTCGCAGACAACCTTGAAGACCATCCATGTCTCACTTGCCCAACTGGTTCTTGCTCTGACGCTTGTCGCCGGCTCAACCGCGTTCATCTGGGCACCCCCCTGTGTCTCCATTCTCACGTCTGCCAACAGCCGAATGGCTCAGGTCACCGTTCTCGGCTACGGCAATACGAATGGCGCTCGCTATCTTTTCCTGCCAATTAACATCGCCTGCGCTTGCATCCTGCTCTCGAAGCCTGTAGGTGGAGGTGCCATCGCGATCATGCTGTGGCAGGTTCTTTCTCTCGCCGAGATCATTGATCTGAATGCCATCACAACCGAGACGATCGGTCCTGTCGTCCTTGCCCTGTTGGGCAACTACCATTTCTTCAAGACGGGCCACCAAGCCGTCTTCTCGTCGATACAATGGGACAGCGCATTCATCCCTCTCTTCACGATTCGCTACCCCTGGACTCCGATCGTCGTGGCACTCAACACGTTTGCAGGCCAGATCATAGCTTGCGTCGCCGTCCCGTTGCTGGTCCTCTGGAAGACTTCACCAAAGCGCAAAGGGGTCATTGAGAGCGCGAGCCGTGCGCTCGGCATATTCGTGGCGTACTACGCCGTCGAGAGTCTGGCCACCATGGCCTGGGCTGGGTATCTGCGACGTCACCTGATGCTATTCCGCGTGTTCTGCCCGAGATTTATGACGGCATCCGCGATTCTGCTGACGGTTGACCTCGTCGGCATTGTTGTCACGCTGCTGGGCGTCCGGACGAACGTTCTTGCTATCAGCGAGGTGTTTGGCTTCGCGGATTAGTTAGATCCTGTATGATGGCTGAGAGGATACCGAGGAGGATAATTGTACATCGTCGTATCTGTAGGATAGGTTGCTGATAGATATAGAATAAGCATGGTTTTTTACATTCGTTTTGTGCTTCGTCAAGCTCTTCGGCCGTACAGCAATGGGGTATAACCAAAACCGAAGTCACCAAAGACTCGGAACGTGTCTAGGAATGATGTCCCACCCAGCGGCTGGCGTTTCGCATAGACATCTCGGGATCGGGCGCATCAATCTCTTGAACCCACCACAGGCGTCCCTGTAGCGGAGCACGTATATCAGCAGGTCACATATATAGCATAACACAACAAGCTTCCTTGCTCTGTTCTGTTTTGTTTCCTGCCCTACTTTGGTTGGGGGTTTATCGCTTCCGCGCTCTGGGCATCTGCGGTTTCGTTGTCAGGTTGTGTGTGGGTTGGTGAGACCGAAACAAAAGCGGGAGTTACGTACGGACGAACTGGCTGCTGCTGGATCGTGACCGTGCGTGTTTGGGATTCTGGAGTCTGACCTGGGGTTGGCATACTGACATTGCGTGCGTGCGTGTTAGAGGTATGTATCCTACTCCTACTCCGGTTACGATAGGTGACCTGGTAGTCGTTCGTTGTGCACGAGGCATGACGACCGCATGTACCCATCCAGCCCACCCTGATCATCGCAACACGAGCACCGTAGCGCCGGAGCGGGCGAAAGCGTCGACGGGCAGTCCCGCAGTGAATTGGGTTGACACAGCACGGAGTGCTGGTTAGTTGGTTACATAGTTGGTTGCACCTCGGTCGAATGCTACCGTGCTGGCATACATCTCGTTTCCGGAGGGGTGCCCGAACCACAGTTTCAGGTGAAAGGTGCACATTGAGGGTGAACAGACCCCACCGACCGACTGACCAACTGAGACCGTGACGTGGTTCCCGGATATGACCATGTTATGCTGGTAAGTAAGTATGATGATTTTTATTGATTTGGCATAAAGCCATAATTATATCGGGTCACTTCGTAACCCACCGCCCGTATCCAGCGCGGTATGGGTGCCTCATAACCATCGATAGCCAGCTCGGTAGACATCGCCTCCCTATTGAGACCAAGTCTCTCTATATGCAGTCGTAGATATGGGAAGATCCACGTGTCTATTTAATTCTCCGTCTTGGGTCCCCCTTGTATCCCCCGTTGATCGTCTCACCCGCCAGGGCCACTCGGTGTGAATATATACAGCGAGACCTCCGCGGGTAACAAGTAAAAGAAAAGACGCAAGTTGTTGTAAGTGTAAAGGGGTATCAAAGGCACGCTCCGCTGTGTCGCGTGTAAAAAACAATGCCGGCCGTAGCAACGACAATCCTGTCCTATATCCAAGTTCCCAAGTTCCGCTGGCTGATGCCCCAACCAATCCAGAACGCCATTGAATTGTAATCCAGAACCGACCGCATCAATTATAGGCTATAGTAGCCAGTGCGAGATGGCCATAAAGATGAACGACAGCAGTAGTAAGGAGGAGGGCGCTGGATGTACGGATGCCGCGGCTGTCTGCGGGGTCACGGCTGCCAGTGTCTCGTTGACGAAGCCATCGCCGCATATCGAGTTGATCTGTTTCGCGGCCCCCTGATATGTATAGGTTATTCCGGCGTTTCGATCGGATGTCGCTGCTTGGAATATGCCCATCGTCTCGTTCGTGCACGAGTTGCAGGCCGGAGCTGCATTTGTGGGAAGCGTCATGTTGAAAGGCATCTGGTAGAGATAGGAGTTGGAGGCCGTCGTGAGATTGGTCACTGCATTGGCAAAACAGTATGCCGAGTCGTCCGGATCGGTCAGGCAGGTCGCCTTGTACACCGTGTTGTAAACCTTCATCCCCGTATAGGCCTGCATCACCAGTGCATTCTGCATCTCGTAATCCGTGGCACAGTTCCCATCGGCGATGAGCTCATCCGCGAGCTTACCGAGAAAGTCGGTGCAGAAGTCGATGTCAGCTTTGCAGGCCGCGTCGAGTACCTGCGTTATACCAACCAACGTTTTCTCGGCTTCGAAGAACGTCTGGGAGCTCTTTACTAGATGTTAGTTGCCGAACTGGTGGATGCGTGAGCTCTGATTGACTCGCCTGTATTAATAGTGAGACCGGATAACACTCCTTGAAAGTCGAGTTGCCGAGGAAGTTGTTGATGAATTCCGGGCAGGTACCATCACTTGAGAAGTTGGCGGACAAGGCACCATCAAATGGTGCCGGCAGTTCGCTCGCCGCTGCCGTGGTCGAGGTTGGTGCCGCCGTGGCCGCCGTGACAGTGGAAATATTGATTTCGATTGTTGTTGTGGAACCCTCGGAGCCTGAATTTGACGCTGCCACTCTCCGACGGAGCTGGCGGTGCTCGTCCTCAGACATGATCTGCCAGTGACCATCGATGAAGACCGGAACTCGTGTATCGACCAGCAGCGTTGCTGTCTCGGTAGGTTGTGGGGGATCGTCGAGAGAAGTAGCAGCGCTCAGGGAGACCCAACAGGAAATAACGAGGAAAATCACTGCCAGATGCATCCTGGGCTTGCGGCCGTGTGAAACGACAGGGTGGTGTGGGTCACGCCCGCGGCGCGGCGGCAAGGAGGATCGGTTGGTCGAGAACGGGAACATGGTCATGGTGGTTGCGCAACGTCCAACATCGCTTTGTGTACCGGGAAGGTCCTCGTCGGATATCTAGCTTGAATGTTGTATCCCGACGTTGACTATTCCAGCTGAATGCTTCAAGCGGGCAGGCACAGACGAGGGGAACAATGCTGCACTGTCCCGGTGCGTGCCCGGTCCTATTATATCCAGCTGGTTGGAGACAATGTCCCGCCCCCAAGATACTCTCTACAGAATTGGAGACGAGAAGTGAGTCGCGTGATGGCGGTGGACAGGCCCAAATGCCAATGGGGTCGTGTGTTGTCAATAATGCCGCTACCGTTTCCCAAGGTGCCGGGTCACAGCCTACAGGCACGCCGAGTATGCTGACGAGTCGGCGGAGCTGCGAGTTGTCGCGATATTTTAACAGAGTGTGGTTGATTAGATAGTAACGGGGGCCCTGGGAAGAGAGGCACGGTCGAAGACCTTCTCTTTTCATAGACAGCGAGCTGGGCAAAAGGGGCCTAGCAGTATTTGAATGTATCTGTCTCTGCCAGTGGCATGATGGCGTTCCCCGTTCTTGGTGGTGTGAGTGTCCAAATGTCCGCGAATCCCCCCCCCCTGGCAGCCTGGGTCTACAGCCGAGTCCAGACCTGGCGGGGGGTCAAGTAATCAAACGATATTGGGCCATTGCATGCTGCAGGCCATCCCAAAGAGGCAATCGAAGCAAATGCCAAATGGGGGCTGACTCGTCATTCGAGGTCATGGCGCGCCGAGCCTCCCTGCTTTGGGGTGCTGCCACGGACTCATTCTGGCTGCCACTTGGCTGGCCATCAATGATACTGGTGACTGTGTAGTCGACATCCACTGAGGCGTCTGTGATTCAATGCGCTGAGATGTAACACATGAGGGTGATCAGTGACTGTGTCCCTCCCTTCGTGGTGTGGAAGACGGGAGTGTTGACTGGCACGCAGGTGTAGACGACACCAAAGGCATGCACAACCGTCAAGTGTCAAGTTCCAAAAATCTCAGCTCACTATCTATTTAATTTCCCTGGCGACCCGCCGCGGTAATGCTTATGCAAGTCAGGGTCAGCCGGATGAAGCAGCCAATCAGACGTGTCACTCCAGAGACCGTTAAGCTCAGGTGGGGGTCCTAGATGAGCTGGAGCGTCAGTGGGGCCAGCGGGGCCGGTAGGCGAAAAGCCACTCTATCCACTCAGCCCGGGCGTCGGTACATAAGCTCTAGTGCTCAATGGAGCTAGCCCGCCTCGAAACTACGCGCTATCGAATTTCCCCCGCCACTGCTTCGATGAATCCAACACCAACGGGCCTTCAGGATTCTTGAATTTGCACAAGTCTGCGGCACAACACCGCAAAGTCCTCCCCGTGATTCTATCACCAATAGGATCCATCGATTGGCTGACTGCCGAAGGATTCATGCTTTTGAACAGCCTCACCAGATCTAAAAGGTTCAAGACAATGGCCGTCCTGCCTGTCATCTTCTCCGGTAGCTAATCCACCACACCAGGCTCCCGGCTAGTACTCACCGAATCATCGCCGGTCAACCATTTTATGTCAGGTACCCGTCGGTCAGCGCTTACAGTAGGATGATAGGATTAGGATAGCTCTTGAAGCCGAGACGCGTCATGTTCGCTCGGTATCGTGCGGAGCTTATGCGGCACTCCATGGCCAATGGGTACACTGAGATCCTGCTCAGTAGCGTCAGCTGTCATATTCCTCGACAGTCAGCATCTTGAGACTTGTCGAATCACTGCGCCGCAATATCACCTCTCTCCTTTCATATGTTATAGCGCCTCATCAGGCCATTCAAATCTGACTGATGAGTGTGCAAACGTCCCACCCGAAGCTGGAGTCTGATATGTAGACTCAAGTAGCACACGGGGAATTCCTAACGAATTGCCGACGGGTGTCTGCGCCATGAATCTTCAGCACGCCTCTGGCACGCACGGTGGTGTCATCTCTCAGTCTACAGTGGACGCCATTCCAGCCCTTTTCGGTTACACATCATGGCGTATATATTGAGAGAGAAAAGACGACGTCGATATCACGGGCACTATCAGGAGGTAGTCCATGCCAGCCTGCATACGAGGCGTTAGCTAAGCCGTGGCAGGCAGTGATCAACGAGATCGCCGCCGCTCCCCACAATGCGACGGGTTAAGGCTGACGATGCGGCTCCGATTGCAGATCTAGACCTGGTATAATGAGCGATCTTGCAAGCACCTCAAGCGCGTGAAGCGCAATCATGCTTCAGTGTGTTCCAAAGTCCTGCGACGTCTTGCACATATTCCTTTCAGCTCGGAATCCGCATGAGACCTTGCAGAGGAAGACCCGGCATGTCCTGTACTTGGTTACCTAAACGCGCCCGGAGCGGTAGGTCCTAGGATGATATTCCCCGGCCTGCAAGATAGATGTCCTTGGGTCCAACTGCAAGATACAACCGCACGTTGTCGTACAACGACGACGTCGGTGGCTCGTGGCGGCCATGCCGGCTGCCTCTGCCAAGAGATGTCATTACGAGGTTGCTCCCGCCTGCCACCGACGCAGTACACACCACACCGAGACCCGTCTGCACGATTCCCGACGCCATGCTTTGGGCTCATCTATCCGACACACTCAGTCATCAAAGTTGCTCGCTATTATCCAAGCAGAAGGATACAGGTTGTATCGTACGAGAGACTTGGGATCGGCATCCCAGGCCTCCGATGCGCTGGCTACCATCAGACAGCGAGCTTAACCTTCAATAACCGCGCAATAGCGGCAACCTACAGCCTCCTATTGGCAGTGGACTGGTTGTGAATTAGGCATAGTTGTATCAACCCCTATCATCGCCAGTCGGCCAGTGCCTGCCCGTCCGATGTGTGTATCTCAAAGCAAACTGAGATACGTGCGACATGAGTCCCTCGTGCCCTACCTACCAGCCCCGTTATGATGACTCCAGACATAGCCGGCGCGCTGAACTCGTGACAAACCGCCACCGAACGCGGAGCCACCCAGCTCATTGAAGTCACCGAACAAGACATAGTAGGTAGACAGTTGTTCACGAGCAACAATACTTCAGAAACAGTACACCACTGAGCGGTTTCCTCGTATACGATGGCAGTATCTTATTATGACTAGATGCTTTCGAGATAGGGTACAGTCACCCCATACAAGTCTCTGTCCGCGCACCTCGAGGGCGCCCCTATTGATAGCATATAGACAGTGCAATAAGCACCCAAGAATAAGCATCCATACAACAATAAGCCATCCTTGACGCTTATTCCAGCCCGTTTATCCCGTAGATTTGCGATAGACTCTGATTATTAGGCACCTTGGGGGATAGGGAGTGTACGGAGACTTCTGAGGGTTCGGTGCATTTATCTCCAGCAAGATAGTCGCACGCCTCCATGGCGCCAGTCCTTCTACGCAAGGAATGATCCCTACTCATCTATCCTAACCCAGTTCATATGTACTGGTTGGCAAGGACAAACGGTCCGACGAACTACATACTTATTATTAAACACTTACTTTGCTTGTCGCCTACTTGCCCCTTTTCTCATCTTGGGACTGCTCCTTCCTCACGAGTAATAAATACATATCACCTCCGCAGGCACTACCGCTATCACCTACCAGTAGCTCAAAAGGCGCGTGTCTGCTGCGTATGTGATATAAATACATAACACCCACCTAGTCAGCACCTATAGGACAACGACAACAACATCTCCCACGCCGCTGCGAGCACGACAAACAAAGACTATAGTGTTACCTGTCAGTGCACCGAAGATCCCAAGCAGCACCATGTTTCACTCTTCGCGGCACACACACGCATGCCCACAAAATCCATGCTTTCTCCGATGGACTGTTCATCATTGTCATTGATCAAAAGGTATGTATAGTAACAAGTAGTGGTTATAGGTATGTATGTCCCTGGGGTGGTAAACCAACAATTCTATGAGCCTGCCTCAGGTTCGGGCCGTCCGTCCGTAACGCCATACAATGCAATGCCTACAAAGCCCACCATGGAACCATGAACCACGGCCGAGGTGTTTCGTGCCGTACCATGCCGTGCCATGCCGTGCGAGAAGGGGTGATATCTCTAGCGCACACCAAGAAAAACCGTATGTCCAGGTGTCCAAACCCTAAACCAAACTTGGCGATGCCAACCAAGCCTTGCGCATCCTCCCAAGATCCCCTTGCCTGGGTATGACCAAAACAAACAATTACTGGTGTTTCTCCAAGCTCTGCAGGTTGACGAGCTCGGCGTACCGGCCGTTCTTGCGCATCAACTCGGAGTGCGTGCCCTCCTCGACGATCCGGCCCTGGTCGAAGACGTAGATGATGTCGGCCCGCTGGATCGTGCTCAGACGGTGCGCGACAGCGATCGTCGTGCGTCCCTTGGCGGCCTTGTCCAGCGCGGCCTGCACCACGTGCTCAGATTCCGAGTCCAATGCGCTCGTCGCCTCGTCCAGGAGTAATATTTTGGGGTCGCGGATCAGCGCTCTCGCGATGGCGATACGCTGCTTCTGACCACCAGACAGCAGAGCACCCTTGGTGCCGACTACCGTGTTGAAGCCGTCCGGTAACGACATGATGAAGTCGTAGATGTTGGCTTCCCGGCAGGCGAACACGATGGCCTCGTCGGTGACAGTGTCGCGTGCGGAACCGAGGGTGATGTTCTCCTTGATGGTTCCCTGGTAAAGTGTTGGCTCTTGAGAGACGAGAGCGATGAATGATCGGTATTCGTTAATGTTCAACGAGCTGATCTCTTTGCCGTCCACGTATATCCCGCCAACTAACGGGTCGTAGAACCGTTCCAGCATAGCAATTGTAGTGCTCTTTCCGCAGCCCGATGCGCCGACCAGAGCGACGTACTGGCCAGGACGAACGGTCAGGTTCAGTCCACGTAGAACGGGCTGTTCTGGCCGAGTCGGGTATCGGAAGTGGACATCGCGGAACTCAATGGTCCCCTCAACCACGTCCAGCTTGTCACCATCTCCTGACCAGGTATCTATGGTTGGTTTCCGGTCGAACAATGTCTTCAGCGATCCAGCGGCGTGATGTGCTTTGCCCATGTCGGGCGCGAAGGAGAAGACTATACCGGCTGATTGTGCACCGTAAATGACGGACATAAAACAGATGAAGAAGTGGAACAGGTCATATTCGAATTTGGCGATGAGTGTGCCACCATACCAGAAACCGAGGGCAAAGGCCAGGAATAGGAATGACTGCGCGGCTGCGTAAAGCAAGGAAGACTTGAGGACAGAGATTAAGCTGGATCGCTGCTGTAAAGCCAACGAGTGCTTGTACTGTGCAAGAACATCAGCCTCGCGAGTCAGGGATGCAACAGTTCGAATCGCCGAGATGGCTTCGGAAGCGTAAGAAGCGCTTTTTTCGTAAGCCTTCTTGGACCGTCGCTGAAAGTGTGCCAACATGTAGAAACGGAAAAACCCGCACGCCAGCAGTACGGGGACGGTGGAGATGCAGACAAGAGCTAGCTTCCAGCCAAATGCCAATCCCAATACCATGGAAGATACCAGCGTTGTCGTGACCATCAGCAGCGTCCCAAGAGTGGAACCGCTGAGACCCGCTACGTGTGTCGTCTCTGTCGATAGGAAGGAAGTGAGGGCACCAGCAGTGTTCTGGTCTTTATCGAAGAAAGCGACATCTTGGCGAAGCATGGTGCGGAAAGCCCGATCTCTTACACGATGGATAAGGCGCTCAGAACATCGGGCAAAGGCGACGCCTTGCCCGATCTGAGCAATGAACTGAACAAAGGCCAACATGAGATACATGGAGCTCCAGAAATCACTGTTGCTTTTGATCTCCGTCCTGTTCACAGGGGTGACAGGGACACTGAGCGTCAGAATCTGCTTCGCGAAGAAGAAGGCCTGAGTTGGGTTGCCAAGTCCACAGATGATGGACCAGAACAAACCCCATACCATGAGTTTCCACTCCTGTTTGTTGAACGATGCGATGAGCTTGATCAAGGTCGACAATGCGTACTTCTTTTCCTCCTCTGGCTGGCGCCCTTGGAGAGCTTTACTCGAGGCGGATCCCTGCGTTGTTGATCGATTCATCTTTGCGTTGATGTTGTCATCGGGATCCTCGATATAGCCCACAGCACCGCTCTTGCTAGACATCTTACGCATGAGTTTCTCTTCATTAGCATCTATAGCCTCTTGTTCCTCTGCTGTCAGCTCGTTGACGGCAGCAATGTTTTGTGCTGTGACTAGATTGTAGTACGCGCCATTGCGCTCAAGCAGCTGGTCGTGGGTCCCTTGCTCGACGATTGCACCCTGAGTCATGACAACAATGTTGTGGGCGTCTTTGATGGTCGAAAGACGATGAGCGATGGTGATGGTCGTCCGACCTTCTGAAGCGACCTCCAGAGCAGCTTGGACAACGCCTTCGGACTTGGTGTCCAAAGCACTCGTGGCTTCGTCGAGAAGAAGAACTAGAGTAGGCAGTCAGCAAGCAAGTGACGTCGAAAGGTCCAGGGGAGTGCTCACTTTTGGGGTCAGACACAACAGCGCGAGCGATGGCAATTCGTTGTTTCTGGCCGCCAGATAGGAGGAAGCCCCTTTCGCCAACGTTGGTCTCATATCCCTCTGGCAATGCCGATATGAAGTCGTGGGCGTTGGCTTTCTTGGCTGCTCCAATCACCAACTCTCTCTGTCTGTCGTCCGACTCGCTCTCGAAATTCGTGCCAATAAGACCATATCGAATGTTATGGTAAATTGTGGTGCCGAACAGGGTGGGCTCCTGGCTGACCAAGGACATTTGTTGCCGCAGCCAACGAAGGTTCAGTGTGCTAATATCGTGACCATCCAAGAATACCTGGCCTGCAACCGGATCGTAGAATCGCTCAACCAATCCAACAATGGTACTCTTGCCCGAGCCGGAAGCCCCCACGAGCGCAGTCGTCTTGCCTGCGGGTATGTCCAGGGTGACGTCCTTCATGACAACGACTTCCGGCCTGGACGGATATATGTGCTTGATGTTCTCCAGGCGGATTGTGCCCTGTACCTTCTCAAGCTTCTCACCACCCTCGGCAGTAGGATCCAATGGAGACACTCGGTCGATGGTGTTGAAGATCTTGGCCGCGGCAGCAACAGCGGTACCAAAGGCCTGCAGATTGGGAGCAACGTTACCGAGGTTGAAGGCCCCAATGATAATGGACATCATGATAATCAGTACACTGGACAGTGGGATAATTCCCTCCACGAGATAGTGACTGCCCATCCAGAAACTCAAACCGTAGTTTAGGTAGACAATAAACATCATGCCCGCAATCATGACAGCCAGTACGGCGGCTTTTCTGAAACCATAGTACTCGGCACGAATCAAGTGAGAGTCGTACTGCTTCGCAAGGCGTTCTTCGGTACCAAAGGCAACAGCATTACGGATGGAGCTAATGACCTCCTCGGCGACGGTACCCCCCATAGCGTAAGCCTGTATTGAGTGTTTAGTGTACTTGACAACCCATCGCGATCCAATGCCCATGTCGAGCAAGATGGCAAAGATGACGGAGGTCAGGATAAGGGTGAGCTTCCAATAAAAAACGAAGCCAATGACGAACGCAGATACGAAGGCCGATACAGCCGTGAGAGTCAAGGCGACCTTCTCGGAAATGCCTTCCTGGATCAAGTTGGTGTCGGCCGTTATTCGAGTGGTGACCTCGCCAGCGCCGACCTTGTCGAAGAAGCCGATGTTTTGACGCATACAGCTCTCCAGATAGTGTTCGCGAATCTTAGCGCTGATATGTTCGCCCGTGTAAATGAAGCCGACGGTGCAGATATAGATGGTGACGAACTCGCCAATTGCCAGGTATACGAAGTTCAGAACTAGAGAGGACATGGAATTGGTGAAGGCATCGTAAGAAACCTCGTGCTGGAAGTACTTCTGGAAAGTGCCTTGAAGATTGCCAAAGATGACCGTCATCAGAGGCAGTGCGGCACCGCCAGCGATGGCGCATAGCGCGCTCACGACCATGATGAGGATATCGTTGGTCGAGGAATAGCGGTAGATGGCAGCGAGACCAGCCTTCACGTCGGGTGTATCGACTTGCTTCTTGAGAACGGCGGCCTCGTGTCCAGGCAAGTGCGCAAACGGATCATTATCTGACTGTTTGGAGGCGTCGATAACCTTGGAATCGAGCTTGGCCAGCCTGCCAGCAGTAGGCTCTCCCGACGCTTCATCCTTGGCGGCGGGACTCGTGGCATAGTCGTCGGTCGAGTCGCCGTGACTAAATGATCGGGTCGAGGTCCGGTGGTCGGCGGCCTTTTCGGGCTTCTCTGATATTTCGGGGGCCATTGTGATGGGATTTCCGACCTCAAAGTCGGGAGTTAACAGAAGCGCAGTGGCGGGTTGTGGTACGAGGTTTGCGCCGCACTGTAGGAAGGGCTATCACCGGCACAGAATTGCATGCTCTCCCGATCGGTGGTGGCGCTGGAATGTGTTGGAGATGAAGGGCCTTCACTGTTTGTTTGCTCTTCCACTCCTAGAAAAGTGTGTACTAAGCAATCGCAGGAGAAGTGTAGGGCAGAGTCGACCCGGAGGAAAGGATACTAGGAGCACATGCGCAACGACGCACGGGTGAGTGCAGGTGTGTAAGTTATATGGAATAGGGAACGCCTGCGGCATCACTTTGCACAAGTAGAAGTCAAGCCGACCGTCGGGTTTGTGATATCCGGGGTTAGTAGAGGTGCACCTGCATGTACACCCCTGTTTGCTGCGCTAGCATCTACTACTGTGAGCCTTGAGGCGGGCGGCCGGCGGGATTGCGGCATTGTCTACGATTGTTTTCCTAATCTGGTTAGACAGCCACTCATAAGAGTCCAAACTATTTTATTGTTTCCACTGGGCGCCTCGCCCGTGCAATACCTAGGTATTTCAAGAGGCAATAGTCCGAGTATTGATGCGAGCCCGCTAGAGTACCTACATACCTCCTTATGTACTTATTCGTGGTGGCCCGAGTCCGAGTCCGAGTCCGAGTCCGAGTCCGAGTCCGAGTAGGTAGGTAGGCGGGACTCCAGGTAGTCACTCTACCCAACGAAATTGAACGAGTCTACGAAATACCCTTTATTATTACCCTGGTCTCTGGGACCGAACCTAGAGAGTCTCGACCGAGCCGACCGGGTTCGGTGCGTAGCCAACCCCGATTGGCCACATGCACTACCCCACGGTAGTACTGTGAGATGATCATCACTGAAGGCTCAGATAGAGGAAACAGGAAGCGGGATAGCACGAAAGAGGAGGCGAACAACTGCAAAACGACCGTAAGCCAGACGGCGGTGATGACTCGGTTTGGCCCGACTTGAAGATACGACGCCTCGGCTGCCCAGGTGCTGCCGGGGCGTGATAGGTTGGCTGGTTGACCGCTAAATTGTGAGGCGAATTGGATTCCATACTGGAATCTGGGCCCCGAGGACAAAGTCTCTCGGAGTTCGGCCGCGATTAGACACCGCCGCGGCCCCACTGCATGATGATTGGTGGTGTTCCACACCCGAGCTCTTCTGGAAAACATTTTGCGCGGGAAGCTCGAATCCCTGCGTCGTGGCCGTCGGGCCGTCAGTTCGTCTCCCCATCATTGTTACAGGTTACAAATACAGCGCACCGTCCGAGTCCGAACCAGAGGGCAGAGCCGCGTGTTGGAACATGGCAACATGAAGCCATTTTCTCACAGTCCTTATCTTTCGTCATTCTCTTTGCATTACGGCCACTGCCGCATGTTGGTACTCTAACTCATGCTTGTTGGACGAGAGCATGGTGGTACTATTGTAGAGTACCTACTTTAGGTATGACAAAGCCTTTACGCGACAATGCAGGTAGTGGCCCAGTCGTTGCGGTCATTAATATCTTCAGGTTTGCTCTTTTCTATTGTCATAATATGAACCTGGTCGACTTCTTCTGCAGACTGTTGGCTCACGAGGTCACACTGATGCAAGTATTCTGGTCTGGCAGAAGAATCGAAGCAAACAAAGGAAATTTCCATTAATGTGTGGACCTGGTCCAAGGAAAGCTTGGCCCTTGATCCATCAGCCTTGCGAGCTTGCCACCTTCCAATGACGTTGTCATCCATTCGTCCCATCTCGAAATTCAAAGTTCATTCTGGTCAAACCCTGCTAATGCTAAGCCTTCCTGCCAAGTGCCCTTTCGCCTCCCAAGACAACAAGTGTTATTTCCATTTTCAGTTTTAGTTCATTTCCTGTTCTCTCTTTCGAGAATGGCTTGACCATTTCATAATCAACTGACTGCGCAAGTTATTAACGTTACCACCTCCTTCACCTAGTAACTTCTACCCCGCGCACCTTGCATCACCTTGCATCAGGGGTCAACCATACCTTAACGAGGCTCGACACATACCTACATCATCAACGACACATTTCCATCTACAACCTCCAGCCGGCCGCAGTGCAGCCACTGCGCGACACTCGAACCTGAACCCCGGCCGAGCTCATCGCAACCGCCAAGATGCGACTCACAAACCTCGCCTCACTCCTCGCCCTCGCGTCCTTACCCTCCCCCGCATGCTCCAAAACCGCCCCCAAGAACGCGATCCTCCTCTCCGAAGTCCAATCCCTAACCCTCCGCGGCGCCCCCGCACAAACAACCCACCGCCGCGTATCGCCAATCTCGCAACTAACCTGCGCCTCATCCCCCCAAATCTGCCGCCTGCACACCATCGACGTCCTCCGCTGCACGAACCAGGGCTCCGGCTACGACACCGAGGACATCCAGTGGTCGTGCGAGGCCGCCCTACCCCCCGAGCTCAAGCTCGGCTCCACCGACGTTATTTGTGAGGGCTACGCCGGGCCCGATGACCCGTACGTCCTCAAGGGCAGCTGCGGAGTAGAGTATAGATTGGTGCTCACCGAGCTCGGCGAGGAGAAGTTCCCTGATATCGCGAACGGCGGCGGTAGTGGTAGCGGGGGTTGGTTTGGTGGTGGTGGAGGGGGCAACAACAAGGGGCAGAAGAAGGAGGGCGATAATAAGGACAACGCGCCCGACATCAGCGCCTGGCTGTTCGGGATCATCTTCGTCGGCGTGTGCGTCTGGATCCTGTACAGCGCCTGGACCAGCGCCACGGACGGTCCCAGAGCAGGCCCCGTGCAGCGCAGGCCACGCGGAGTCGGCGGCGGCGGTGGAGGTCCCGGGTTTGGAGGCGGAGGTGGTTATGGCGGCGGCTACGGTGGCTTCTCGGACGATGACCCTCCACCGCCATACACTGCTCCTAAGTACTCGTCGTCGAGCCAGGCTCAGAGTCAGGCTCAGCAGGGCTGGCGTCCGGGCTTTTGGAGCGGTACAGCTGCTGGCGCGGCCGCGGGCTATATGGCAGGCAACCGAGGCAGCAGTAGTGGACAGGGGACACCGCGCGCCACCAACAGCAGCAGCGGCGGTGGCGGCTGGGGATCGACGCCGTCGAGCTCCTCGGGTTCCGGCTCTAGTTCAGGCTCCACGTCTTCCTCCAGGTACACCAGTACCGGCTTTGGTTCGACCAACAGAAGATAGGTATATGGATCATTAAACGAAAGAAAGATGCGAATCACCTCTCACTTTGTAGTATCACAAGGGCTCGCACCGTTTTATTACTACATCATCAACTGTCGCACTTCGCATGCTATCCTGTGCTCTGAAGCTTGAATCTGACAATGCCAAGACTGGCTGAGTGCAGAGAGGTACCTAATGAGGCCAGCCACTCCTTTGTTTCCCGCTCTCCTATACCTGTGAAAACGGCCGTGCTAGCGGCGGTTCATCCTGAGCCGCCCAGCCTTGACCACAATTTCTACTGTCCGATGCGCGAGTGCGTTCCATTGCGCAGCTATTGCGCGATCGTCATACAATAATTGGCCTGCCCAATTCGTGATTTCCCCTATTATGTACATCACATCTTACAAATACCCATCTGCCCCTCCATTCAGGCGCAGGTGAACGTGGTCTGGTGCCTCGTGATCAGCGTGAGCGGCAGCAAGGTCGTCCGAGAGAATGGTCCAGGGTTCAAGCCCCCATGTCTTATCTAAAGGTGAACGGTCATGGCGTCGGACCTGTCGAAGGACTTGTTGCAATTCGGGCACTTCCGCAATCGGTTGACAAGCCTGTCTTCGACGCAGCCCTTGCAGAAGATATGTCCGCAAGTGCGGAGTGCCGTGTTCTTGAAATCCTTCTTGCAGACAGAGCAAGTCGCCATATTCTGGATGCCACGTCAGCCAACAGTAAGACTGCAGAGATGTTAGGTGTGCTTACGCGCAGCATTTCCTCCTCCTCGGAAGAGTTGCTCAAGCTCTTGGCCTTCCACTTCTCACGCTCCTTCGTTGCAGATTCGAGACGGACCTTGAGCTTTTCAGCATCCGCTTCGGATGTAGTGGCTCGCTCTTTAGCGATAGCGGATGTAGAATCCTTGGATTTCGCCAAGTTCGTCAGTTCCGCGACTTGTTGCTTCAGAGCATCGTAGCGCCGCGATATTTCGCTGCTGGAGGATTCCAGCTTCTTGTTGTCGGCCATGGTGGAGGCATTCGTCTGTTTCAGATCGGCCAGCTGCTTGTCCAGGTTTGTGACCAGCGTTCGGTTGTGCGCTTCGACGTCCTTGAGCTGAGATATAATCTCAGAACTCTTGCCGTTTTGCGATCGCAAGCGCTTGATCTCTTCCTGCCTCGCATCCCCATCCTTGCGTGCGTTGAAGTACTTCGAGTCCGCTTTGCCCTTCTCCGCAATCGCCATGGCAACACGTTCTTCTTGCGCAGTGAAGTCCATCACCTTCTTGTTCGCTAGAGCCTGGAACTTCCTTACGGCATTCGTCATCCCGGGCAGCTCATTTTCGATCGATTCGTAGTCTCGCATTAGTTTCTTGTACTTCTCCCGAAGCTCCTCCGGCGACAACTCATCAACTTCTGGACGCGCTGTCATGTCTACGTCCTCGCTGCGTTGCAGGCGTTGCAGCTCGGACTCCAGAGCAGAGATACGTTCCTCTTTTGCGCCAACAAGTTCCTTCATGTGTTCGAAAGCCGATTTCTCCTGCTCCTTGCTCGCCTTGAGCATCGTCACATCAGCATGCATTTCATCTCTTGCGGCTCTAACGCGCGCAAGGCTGGTGTCCGCTTGCTGCAGCTGGTCTTCAAGTTCTGCGATAAGGACCTGAGCTTCTGATTCGACCTTCTGACGGCTCAACTCTCTCTCCTCCTTTAATCGCGCTGCTGCCGATTTAAGGTTGTGGTTATCTGCTTCCAGGGTGTTCATCTTCCGGATGAGATCCTCGTTCTGACTCTTGAACAACTTGAATATTTCTGTACGAGAATAGTCCTCGTCCGTAAGATTCGTTAGTCGGGCTTGCACAGATGTAACTTCTTCCTGGAGAGCCTTGTTCTGTGATAAAGCAAGCTCCAACTGTTCCTTTTGCTTGCACGCTACGGCGTTGGCCTCTTGCAAAGATAGTTGTAGAGTTTCGTAGTTCCCATTGGTCTGGTCCACACCCATGCCGTTCTCTTGGCCGGAGCCCGCAGGCGGACGAGCGGTGGCATGAGCAAGTGCCTGCTGTTCAAGTTTTTGTACCTGCGCACTTTTTACTCTGTCGAGCTTTCTTTCGGCCTTTAAGTATCTAAGGGTAGCGGTGTTGAGCTGGTCTGAGAGGCTCTCCTTATCTGACGCGAGGCGGTCAAGCTTGACGAGGAAATCTTTCTGGTTGGCCAGGAGCGCATTGACTTGGGATTCTAGGTTGGGAACGTTGGGTGTGAGTTGGCCCCGAGTACTTGACAGCCGAGAAAATAAGGTCTCGAGCATCTTCTTGATCGACGACGCCTTTTCGCTCAGGTGTGACTCAAACTCCTCCATGTCTCGGAAAAGGGCCTTGGTTGGGAATAAATGCTCTCCTTCTTAATATTAGCCTCTGTCCAAAAGTATGGTGAAATGGAGATCGTACCCTCAGATCCAGCCTCGAAAGGGACATTGCCTTCGACCATAAGCTCTACTTCTTGCAGCAACTGACACCGTATCAGCATATCCTATACTCGCATATCATAGTTCCTCTGCGTGCGCGACTCACCTGTAGCCACCAAGCGTCGACGATTCGTAGGTGATCATCGTGGTGCGTAGATCGCTTGACAAACTCCTCGAGGCGTGTCTCCAACGTACCCTTTTCGCGTTTGTACTCGAGCATCTGTCGGTATATGGCATCCTTCTGATAATCCTAGCCAGTCCAAATCTGTCAGCGACTTCCTTCTTCGTATACTCTGGTGGCGATGGACGCGGTGACTCGAATTGTGGTTGACAGACAAGCGCATGAGGATATCAAGAGGAGCATGTGGTGATAGTGAGATATGGTGCTGATGCCAGTAAAGCCGCGCATCAGTTCTGAGATTGTGAGTAGAGTGTCCGGCTGACAACTGGGAGCGGGGGCTGCAGAGGTCTCGTGCTGGGTGAAACAACCGCACCCGCAAGGATGGTACAATGGGGTGAAACGTTCGCGTGCAAAGCAAGATCAGACAAGAGGGAATCTCGCAGGCGAGACACTTACCTCAACCCAGGCTTCATCTTTCATTTCGGTGTCGTCCTTGGATTTGCTACCACCGTTGATGGCCTGTCGTTTGGTGGGAGGCGCGATGTCGTCTGTGCTGCTGAGAGCAGGTCTCTTGCGGTCCTCCATCTTGACGCGAGTCGAGAGAGGGGCAGTTGTCGGAGATGTAGACAGAGGCATCAGAATGAAAGCAGGGCGGCGAGGACAGGACAAGCGAAGGGGTAGAGGGAATCAGCGGGTGAATGGATCGTGGAAAAGGAGTGGGCTCAACGAAGGTGGAGAGGACGGCGAATGGAGAACGGTCGGCTCGAATGCCGCTCGAAAGAGTAGTCTGAAGATCTGCAGGACGTAGGGTGTAGTGCGGTCGCATCACTGCTGGCGGTAGTCCATCGAGAGGAGTCGTTGTCGGGTGGAAGAGGGTGAGGACGAGGGCGAGGGAGTGGGAGAGGAAGGCCAACTTGCTGTGATGGTGGTGGATGATCTGAGGAGAGAACAATGGCAGCGGTCCCAGGAGACAGACCGAACAGTGAAGTGGACGAAAAATCCATGTTCAATTCAACACGCTGGCTGGGCCGGCATGGAGCTAGGCGGTTCTTGGACATAGACTGGTTATCAGAATGAGATAAGGATCTTGAGTGGGCCGTGCCTCCGAGGTCCCCACCTCATCTCCATCTCCCATTCGGAATGACTGGAAAAAGTCCAGATGCCCACCAACATTGACAATCGACAATTGGGATAGATATTCTCAACCGAGCCCATCTCGCCCATAACCCGGTTGCTGCAGCAGTAGATCCCGATCTCACTGCATGCCCCCGGGACCTCTTATCCTCAGCTCGGCGATCCATTCGAAGCTCAATCTGATTGTTCCCATCGCGGGTTACCCCTCCAAAAGCCTGGACGACCATGTCAACGACGACGTCCACTACAAATCGAGCATAGCCGCAACCTCGGAGCACTGAGCGGCCGCAGCAGCCATGAGTTCCATGCTGAAGAAGACCGGAGGCTTGTCCTTCAAGCCAAAGGCCCGTCCTCGTCCCGGAGCTGGTCCCTCCAAGCCGCCTGCAACGGCTGCATCTGCCAGTACGACTCAAACACCTACTGTTGATTCTCAGTCCCAGGCATCAACTCCCGCCCCTTCCAACCCATCCGAGCCCACTACTATCCCCTCTACCGAGACGGCTAGCCATGCACCGACAGAACCGCAAGCTAGTGCACCGGAAAAGCCACCGATACAACAACCCCCTCCACCTCCACACCAGCCCGAACCCGAGCCCGCGCCTGCGCCTGAGCCAGAGCCAGAGCATGAACCTGAGCCTGAGCATGGACCTGAACCTGAACCTCGGTCAGCGGCCGCTCCATCTCAACCGCCCCCGGAAGCGTCGATACCCACAACATCTTCAAATTCGACGACGGAAGGACATGTTGCACAACAGCTTAGGACTCCAGCTCAGTCGCAGGCTGAGCGGGCAACAAGGCCAACGCCGGCGCCTGAAGCGTCAATGACAAGCCCCCCGCCAATTCCAAGCATCGAGAAGGACAACACGGTACCCCGTGTGTCTGAGGGGACCTCTCAAACTACTGCCTCAAGATCTGCTGCTGTTAGGGTGTTGTCGCCGGATTCCTCTACTCCAGCTGGAGATAGAGGTGTACCACCGACCGCCCCTCCTTCACCAGCGCCTGCCCCTGACACTATCGCGGTCATACCACCTGTGGACGAACCTGCAGCACCTGCTCCTACTCCTGCGCCCGCCCCCAAGAAGAGAGCACCTCGGAAGCGCAAGCCGACTACAACCGAAGGTGGGACAGCTGCAGAAGGCGCAGCACCCAAACAGAAGCGGCAGCGTAAGAAGGCACCGCCAGCAGCCGTAGCGCCAGCAGCCGGAGATGGCGATGCTGCCGCCGCAGAATGCGAAGAAGCAAATGCTCAGGCTAAGCCGGCGAGGCGACGGAGACGGTCTCCAACCCCAGAGGATGCCGAGACTTTGACAGTCGATCATGCCACAATGAAAGTCGGCGACCTGGTCAGAGATCTTGGCATCGGCAAGAGATTTAAGCACGCAGATATCATCGAGGAGCGAGCGCGCGAGGCACGCGCAAAAAACCGGCAGAAGAGGCTTGAACGAGAGAAGCTCAGACTGGGTATTGCTCCGACAGAGAATTCGGAGGCAGGGTCTCGTGCGGGTACTCCGGCTGAAGGCAGCGGTCAAGGGCGTGGCCTCAATACAGCCGAACTACGTGCAGGTGTGGGTATTGGGGCGGCGGACTCAGGTGTAGGCTACGAAATCATCGACGGACAAATCATCATCAACCAGTCCTCCCTTCAGGTCGACAGGCATCAACAAGACATGTCGACGCTAGAAACGGTCGAAGAAGACGACTTCAGTCACCACATAACATCCGCCAGCTACTCCAAGCGAAACATGGGGTCCAATTACTGGAGCGACGAAGACACAACGATGTTCTACAAGTATCTCCGCATGTTCGGCACCGACTTCGAGACCATCTCGCACATGTTCCCCAACAAGGACCGGCGGGCCGTCAAGAAGAAGTTCAACACCGAGGAGAGGCAGCGCCCCAACCGTATCAACCAGGCGGTCATGGTCCGCGGCGAGAAAAAGGTCGGCATCGACCTGGACGAGTACAAGGCGACGCAGACGGAGACCGTGTGGCAGGAGGTTGATAACATCAAGGCCGAACACTACAAGCTGGCTGAGGAGTACAACAAGGAGGTCGAGCGCCTCAAGCAGGAGCGCAGGGCCGCTGGTCTCATGGACGATGATGACGATGTGCCCGCCGGTGGCGATGGCGATGGCGATGGCAAAAACGACGGAGATGCCCCCGCTGATGGCGAGGGCGAGGGCGAGGGTGAGGGTGAGGGTGAGGGTGAGGGTGAGGGTGAGGGTGAGGGTGAGGGTGAGGGTGAGGGTGAGGGTGGGGCGGAGGGGGTTGAGGAGGTTGAAGACGAAGTTTATGACCTAGACACGGGTGCCCAGGTTGCAATTTCAGCCTGAACCGATTCAGGCCTGACCGCGGAACGACAAGCTGCATTTCATTTGATACCCCGTTTTTTCTCCTTCTTTCATCTTCCAGCTTGCATAGCCAGGATAGGGGTATGGGACAGGAGTCGGAATGCGCTCACACCCACGCCACAGCAGCGGCTCGCTTCAATGTTGCATTTGAGAAGAGAGTCGGTGTCACCGGTACTCGACATCGTTCTGCGGCTAGAATCACAAAAGTTTCATTGCTGCTCAAGAGGATAGAACTGTACTGTATGAAATAGGATGAATGACATGTGTCCATGAATGGAAAAATTGACGGGGCGAACGTTCAAGCTCCTGACTGGCCCCTTATATTTGGTAACCGAGTACGTGCCTACAGAAACAATCCGTTGGCTCATTTCTTGAAGTCACTTCACTTTTAGAACTTATTTTCAAGAATCACTCATCCATAGCATTCCAGGCTCTTAGTTGTTCAACTTTTTATTTCGTGTTTCTTCCCTATGGACAGACTGCGTAAGCTGGCCCACAGTTCCCAGAGAAGAACATGGGGCGGAACTCAAAGATCCCGTCCTTGTCTAGACTAGATGTGCAGACTCCTCCACTCCAGTGACCTGTTCCCCCTAGCCGAATGATGTGTTTCGTATATGTCAAAACGGACAGTGAACGAAGCACCGCGAGGGTGATAGCAGGGGCCTATTAGTGAAAGAAAGAGAGGTCATCATGCTGGATATCGTGAGAAAAGGGTGTTCGGGAGGCGGTTGGGAGGCGAGATGAGTGATACACAACGTGACATGGCTAATTCTACGCCGCGTCGTCCTCCTCGGGCTGATCGAACAGGAAGTTGGCGGCCAGCTCCTCGTTCTTGTCGCATGCAAAGTACGCCTGAATCGCCGCTTCACGGTCGAAACCCAGACGACATAACTGTGGTGTGATTAGCATATTATGAACGGCAGCATCGGAAGATTCTCAGACATACTCGCTCAATCGCATCACGCTCTTCCTCGGTCACACTGATAGCCTGGGCACCGGGGGGCAGAGGGGCATCATCATCGCCGTCCTCACCAAGCAACTGCAAGAATTGGTCGGGGTTCTGTGCGATGAGCTGGGCGAGTTGCGGGTTTCCAGCACCAAGCTGCTGCAGAATCGGCTCGAGCATTTGCGGTTGCTGTTGAACGACCTGTCGAAGCTGTTGGAACTGGGCATTGTTTCTCAAGAAGTCAAGGTTTCCGAGATCCCGTCCACCTCCGGGAGGGGTAGCACTGGCTGCGGCTGCGGCTGCGGCAGCAGCAGCAGTAGCAGTAGCCGCCGCATTGCCACCGGCTCCTCCACGGCTACCACCTCGACCGGCCTGAGCAGCGAGATCGAAGAGGTTAACGTTATCTCCACCTTCTGCCTCGGCGGGTTGCGCAGCCGGAGCAGCAGCCGGCGCGCCAGAAGCAGGAGCAGCTGCTGCTGGTTGGGGCTGTTGCTGTTGAGCACTCTCCGGGATCCCCTACGTAGAAATGTCAGTTTTGATGAGTCCAGAACAATAGCCTCGTAAAGCTCACGGTCAAGAGGTACTCAACGGCGCGGTCAGGGTTGAAGAACGCTGCGCGGAGAGCGGCCTCGATCTGGGCTCGCTCGAATCCCATAGCTTCCATGTTGGCGATCACAGCAGCGCGCTCGGCACCCATGGCCATAGAGCTGTCGGTCCCGCTCTGGCCACCGGCGGCAGGCGCAGGAGACGGTGTGGCGGGGACAGCGGCAGCGGCACCTGCGGAATGAGAGGGAGCGGGCGGAGCAGCCGGAGTCGCGGCAGTCGATCGCGCAGGAGTTTCGGGGACAGAGCTCGACGAAGCAGGGGCAGCGGCAGCAGGAGCTGGCTTAGCCTGTGCGATTATTAGCAGCTGTGTATGGGTATAGGAAAATGCAGTTGGTCGCCCATACCTTGTTGACCATGCAGACGACGAATCCCTTCTCTTCGATCTTGTAGGTCGCAACGGTGTCTTCATCCTTGAGAATTTTGCCTTGATACAGGTCAGCAGCTGTGGTCCTCGTATAGCAGTCGTATGTGGGGATATGCGATGCGTACCGGAGTAGATGAGCTTCTGCGCCTTGGGGTCCCATCCTTTCTCCTCGGAGATTCTCTGCTTCACGGCCGAAACCTGTCATGGTCATGTCAGAGCCGGCACATCTAGAGGTATGTCGGCGACGGGGAAGCTTTGGCAGTGGATTTTTCCGTTGTAGACAGCTGCGCCAGTAGGATGACGACATACAAGATCGGTGGGCTCGACATCGAGCGTGAACTTTTGTTGCTTCAGATCCTAGGTACAGCAGGTAGGGTTAGCGATCGGCATCAGTGACCATGGGAAGTAAACTGCTTCGATGGGCAGGTCGAGAGGCTGGAAGCTTGAGCTCCCTCGAGACTCTCAGCCTGACCTCCCCACAGCCCGGCAGCGGTTTGCCATACCTTGAAAGTGACCTTCATGTTGGCGGTGGCTACGTCGAACTTGTGGTGTTGTGTTGGTTGCTCGTCGCAGAGACTTGTGGGTATTTGTTGAGAGAGGGTTCGTTCAACCCTTCCTGGCTCTGGTGATGGGTGGTAAGGTATTGGTGGTGGAGGAGGGAGGAAAGGCTGGAAATTCACCAGGTAGCAGCTATGATGTGTCGCGGGGCGAGAGAGCGGGCGGCGGGCAGTGGCGGCTGCGTGGGTCCCGTCTGCTGCGGCTAATAGACGTCAGACTCCAGTCTACGGGTGGCCAGAAAAGGCTGGACCGCTGGAGCTCAAGCTGTGAGTGAGTGGATGCGGACGAAATATGGGGAATCTCAAAGTCTTTTCTTGGCGCTGTTCAGGTTCATACCTTAACACCCGCGCGCTTGAACAACCTTGGAGACATATGCATCTCTGTTTCGCTTGCGGTCTGGAGGGTATTTGTCTCCAGTTGCACGCCTTGCCGGCTGGCCCACGAGCACATCCAGTCATTCGAATAGGATCACACGCGTGCCACGTGCATCACCACTACACTCCATGCGGAGATTGCGGGTAACATAGCAATATCCCTTGGTACGTCAGTGTCACCGTCTCAGTCAGTTTCAGTCTGAAGGTTATTGTATGTAGAACCACGCGTCTCACATGCATGTACTCAGGTATGTCGGATGAGCAACTTTAGCTCTGAGAAAGCGCTCGGCCCGAGGCAAGTTCATCCTTCAGAAACCCAAAATGCTGCAGGTGTGGAACAAGTTCTGATTGTTGCTTTCAACGATTTTACTCATTTTATATCTATACAAGTTTTGACTACACATTATAGGTAGCCATCCTAACCCCGATCCTCCAGCCAGGTAGCAGCAGCAAGGAACGGGGGAACGTGGTGGCTCTGCTCGGGAGCCCCTTTTTAGAATATAATGAAACGCCGCGCTCAAAAACACAATGGTATCTCCCAATGATCCAGAAACCCAGCCGTCGGCCCCTCCCAAGCGGGAAACAACCATCTACAAACAAATATGCGCGAGCTCTATCACGACAGGTCTTCTGGTCCTAGTCGGCGGGCTTGTCGTTGTCATCGAATCATGCAGGTCATCGCCTCGCCTGCTTTTTTCCTCATCCAAGTGGACTTCCGGTATCCGAAGGAGTAGCGTCCCGATCCCGTTGTTTTCTGAGTTGGTACTCGGTAAGACTCGTCCGCGATCCGGCGCTCAGGATCCAGTCGGGGATTGGCGGTGTCATCTTCCTCTCCTCCACCTCCTCTATCCGGAGGTGCCCATCCTCACTGGGACGTGGCGTCGTCAGGCTGCTGTCGCGGCTCCCTTGCCGACTGAGGGGACTTCTGGACGCGGGTAGACTGTCGCTGCGCATCCGCTTCACGGACTTCCCCGGGATGATCTGCCCAGCGTTGGGCGACGCAACCACAATGGTACCGGGCGACGAGGCAGGCGGGGGTACGGGCGAGTCTGATCGGAAGAGCGGGTGGATGTGCAGCTCGTCGGTGGACGACTGGGGCGTCAAGGTACGCTCTACTTGAGGTCTAGGGACGGGGCTGAAACTCCGGCTTCGATAACGCTTCGGTTCTTCGAGATCGAGCGGGCAGCCGGGGCTGGGACTTCTGCTGGTCGCCGGGCTGGCCGGGATAGTCTCCAGAAACCGGGACGGCTGTGGAGAAGAGTCTAGAACCATCTGACGGTGATGAGGCTCAAGCGATGACGTGTCCCAAGAATCGAAGCTCTCCTCCGTCGGATTCGTCCGTTGCGAGTATAGACTCGGGTCGATTGACGGAGGTCGTCTTCCAGTCCTGGCGCCGTTTGAAAGAAGTCCTGTCCTGGAGCCCATCGGGCGCATGGCATGGGACAGAGAGCTGCGGATGGAGCTCACGGTCTCGGCCGCCGAACGTCCACTGCTGGAACCTGGTGGAGTAGGATACCCTGCCGATCCTCCATCATAAGATTTTGACGGCTTAAAGACGGCGGTTCGTGTCTGAGAGTACGGAATAGACTTGACCCGTTTTTGCAATGGAGAAGAGCGATGACCCTCTTCGGTGGTATGTAGGGACAGCGCCTGGTCGGGGTCGGACAATCGATGCAGTACGAACATGACCACGATGAAGACGAGTTGACCTGCGGATGCGAAACCAAGGGCGACGGACGCTCCAACCAGAAATCTTGTCGAAGGCACTTGGAGAATCGTCTCGGGCAGGTTCGCCGTCTTGCCCATCAAGACCAGCTCGGCGACAGACACCGTCGAAGCCAGCAGGCTTGCGACAAGCGTCGCCGGAAAATATAGAGCGCTCGATCGCCTTGCGCCAAGATACGTTGACCCTTGAATACAGCCGGCAAGTAGGACGATCATGATGGCGAGCACGATTGCTTCAAGGGCTGATGCAACAGCTGCCGCTATTCTCACGGGCGAAGTCGACGTCGAGAGGCCGTGAGCAAGGACCACATCCAGCGCAAAAATGGCCGCAGTCGCCAGGAGAGCGGCAAGGCCAAGCACGGCTGGCATAACACGAGAGACGGCCATGACTAAGAGAAGGGTGGTCAACCTTGTTGAATGACGAAACGGTGTTACGAAAAGAGTACGCTGCGCTTCGTCGGGTTATAAGCGCAGCTATCGTTCGGTAGCGTTTGATCGCTCCCCAGCGGTCAAACACAAAGATATGCGCTCCTATGCGCGATATCCGAAAGTCGGTTGTATAGGCAACAACGCCCTGCTGCCCAAGGCTTCTGGCGAGGCAGTGATCCGGGCACGGCCAGTGATTTTTGTATTTCCGCTGCTTCGCGGTGGTCTCGAGGAAGTCCTTAGATCGATATCGCTCACGTCAAAATTTGGATGGTGTAACCCAGAGGCTGAAGGGAAAACCCCAAGTTGGCCCTATGACGGGTAACGGGAGGTTCGCAGATGTGACTTGCGGCGGCGAGAAGATCGATAAAATCTGGAACAAAGAACGGCAGGTTCCAGCGGATGCTGGTATATATGTGTGAGGTTTGGCTTGTTGTCGACGGCAACAAGCATGGATAGCTGTGTGGCGGCAGCTTGCAGCGAGTGACCTGATGGACGGTCTATTGCTGGGCTAGTCAAAGCAGAGCAAGACAGCGGGTAGGGTCATGTAAGGGTGTAAACGAATGCAAGGGACGACGATTCGTCGTGTGTAAGTGCCAGCCAGCAGTCAGTATCCCAAAAGAGCGGGGGATAGAGGTAGACGAGATGCAGGCCGCAACAATAGGCCGCTTCCTAACTGTGTAGGAGAGAAGGAGGACAGAATGATAGTGACAGGCTCTCGAGCACTGGAGTTGAAGGACAGACAGGCAACAGGTGGGTTGGGTGAATGAAGGAGGGTTGAAGGGTTGAAGGAGAGTGATGGTGGGTTTCGAATTCGCTTGTTTGCTATTCGGCGGCGGGCCAGTCAGGCTAAAAGTAATAAGATGTCGGACGCGTTCTGTGCGTTCTGTGTGGTGGAGGTCGCGTGTGGATGGTGTGGAAGGATTGGGATGCCATGCATATGTACACACACACAGCTACACAGACACGATGGACCCCTGTTCCCGTCTCTTGGTAGAGACAGGGGTGGCGGTGGTGATGAGATGTGGCGGGGATGCAGGTATGCAAAGGTACCGGCCGAGCCAGCGGGCCAGCGTCGTGCTCGCGTGTGCTGTGAGATGCCGTTGGGCGATTCGATCTGATGATTCGATCTGATGTAGATGATGTGCAGCTGATACTGTGATGGTTGGCAGTTGCCCTGTCGCCTGGGGTGGTGAATGAGTGAATCTGATCTGATGCCAGATGGCCAGGGCCCAGCGGGGATGATCAGTGAAGATGCAGTGAAGATGGATCCTCGATCGGGACGAATGAGATTTGGGGTTTGCGTGATGACCCCGGTAAGGCCGGTCTGACGGTCTGACCACACGTTTCCGCGCCTTATCCTTGTCTCTTCAAATTTGCAGGTTTTGTCGAGTGCTTCCTGAACTGGATATCGGTTCGTCCTGCTTCTTTCCTGAAGAGCTGAGACTGTCGCAATGGTGGCGTGCGGCTATATCAAGTTTATCGAAACGGCTTCTCCTCTCTGACAGGTGTAACGATTGGTCCAGGTGTTCTCCGTCGAAGGTCACACTGCTTCGAACCGGGTTTCTGTGAGATGGGATGACGGGCCCTGGTTGGCCAACGAACAGAACGACAAGGACAGGCAGGTACTTGTAAAGAGCTCCAGAGCTTTTGTGGCAACAGCGGAGATGGGAATAGGTGATGATCAAGGATGAACGAATGAACGAATGAAGCAATGGATGGATCTACAAGTGCCGGACCTGCCTACTGCAAGAAAGGAGCGTGAGAAAGCAGCAAGAGGAAGAGAATGGGAAGGAAACCGATGTCATGGCGTAAACAGAGCCCTCAGCCCCATCTTATTACTCCATCTCGCCGATACTGGAGTCCTACTCCTGGACGAGGAGCCGGAGATGGGTCTCGTTCTGCCCCGAGCCTAAACTGTTTAACAGCCTTACTACTGTAGAGGATCGTCCTAGGCTGGCGGTGTTAAGTTAGGGGTTAGGGCGTAGAGGGCATCGTCAACTTTGCCATAGAATTGAGGTGTTACCTTAGCCTCTAGGCAGGTCCTTGTGGCGCAGGCGGTTTGATTGTATGGACCCACTCTCTTCCTACTACTGTGGTAGACTCTCACTCTCGAGCCTCTTCACACTTCACACTTCACACTTCCCGTCACAAGTTACAAGGTCATGTTGCATTCCAGCCCGCAAAGGCGCAGCAGTGCACAGCTCGCTTCGACGACCATGAAAGATTTCCGTCATCTCCATAGCAAGCAGGTTGCTGTTGGTCATACTTCCTACTACTATCCCACCCCATTACCGTCCTCGCATGCCAGTGACCAGTCCTGTCGGTTGGTGGGCATCACCAACATTGGACAGGGTATTACCCAGGACTGCCAGACTGTGTGCCCTCAAACTTATTTTCTCCTCGTTCTCAGCTGCTCGGAGCACCAATAACAAGCATGGATATGCCCACATCGGCAAAAGTTTTCACTTGTCACGAGTTGCACATACATTTATCATGGCATTACTTGACCTGTTAAGACCAGATACATTTCAGAACCCGCAAGAAAGAGGGCAAGGTGTCATTCGGTTGCGCGACTGCAATGCCGTCTCAGCTCCAATAATCAGGTGTCAGGGCCCGATGTGAAACACAGGGACGAACTGTCTCTGTTTGTTTTTCTTTTTCCATCAGCCTTCTGGAAAAAACAAAACCCCGCTCAGATCCCACGTCTCCAACGCAACGGGTGGGTGGCTCCCCGCTCAGTTAACGGGGGCAGCCCAGCTAGGGGGGACAGCCAAGCTTCCCCGACTGCCCCGTCGCAGGGAACTACCCGGGTGGACCTCACCAGATCAGCCGCCGTCGCACCTCTACCATTCGTGCCATTTCCACATCTCACTACACCTCAATACGGGCGTAGTGCTCACTGCCGTCCTTTCTTGAGACAGCGGCGCCAACGACCTCGGTGATTGCCTATTTCCTACCTGGCTAAATGACGACAGTCTACGGGATTCGAGGGACCAGTGGCAGCCTCGAAAGGTGATGGACAATCAGGACGTTGCAACTGTCTACAGGCTACAGCCACTCACTTTATCGGTCGATCTTTTGCGCTCTCGAGTCTTGACAACGCGCATGTTCTTCTCCTACTCGAACCGGACGAGTAGACGCCATCCGGCAACGAACTAATAACATCAATTACCGCAACAAGAGCGCAATCTGTTCTTGTTGCTCTATTGCTCAGCCATAAGGCGCCTCACATTAGTAAAGCACCCACTGCCACACATTCCAGTCCCAGCTGCCTGCTGCACAGCCGCATATGCAGATGTCATGCCATAACCCCCGCCACGATGGCGACACCATAGCACGTCGCTTCTATAGTCCTATGGCGTTGCACGATCTGGAAGGTGTCACAACTCGTTCCCATGTTCGAGCTCACTCCAGGGTCACGCAAGCGCTGCCATCTTCCACGTGCCAGCTCACAAGGAATTGCCTCACCCACATTAACAACATGGAACGACATCCGGGTCATGAACCCAGAAGGTTGCACTGAGAGGGGCAGAAGAACAAAAGAGCTTCTGCAGCGGGGGTCGGATATGGATCGACAGTATGGATTGTACCAAGTTTTGGCAAATCTACAACCCGATATGGTTTCCCATCTTCGATGACCGGATCTGCCGGTCGAAGCTATTGCAAGTCTCGGAGGCCATCTCAAGATTTGAAGGTCGTCGAATGCCGGTCCCATAGCAATCTCCGTGCAGCTACTGTACATTTTCCGCCACCGATCTCAACAATGGTCCGGCCTTCATGACGCTCCCAGCTTGCCGGTGTCTTTCGGCAGTTTTTTAACGCTTTGGTTCCGAGCCCAACCCACCCTTTCAGGAGTTGGTTTCCTGTTGCGTGCTAACTAACAGCAAAGCTCTCAAGTCTGTATGGTCAAATGGACACATATGCTCAGTCCATCATCGCCGTAACAGCGACGGACTTCACTATTGGGAAATTTACACTACGCCAAGATGCGCCCTTCCCAGCCCAAGGGACCACCCCGGACGCAGGAACAAGACAGGCAGCCCTAACCTTAGCAGCTGCAGCAAGGATAGACCCGGGGCAGCGGTCTGCTCCACCACCAATCGAACTTTCTATCTTTGGTCTCGCCAAATTTCCGAGGGATCCGCGCTGAATGAGCTGGCGGCGCCAGGCGCCAGGCAGCTGCCAGGGCCGGACCGTCGACGGCTCCTGAAGGATCGTATCGCTGTGATTGGCTTCATCGTGTACTCGGCTCTTGTGAAACAAGCCGGGATGGACTCCGGAGTCCCTGGCCTGAACTCTTGCTACAGTAGGACTCCGGAGATATCCCGTCGATGTTACCTCGCTTATGATAAATAACCTGATCTTGACTTCTCACGCACATCCGTCACCACGATGCACATGCCTATTCAAGTACGCACTTGCGGCTCTGAACTGTGAGCTGCCTACCCTCGCCCTATAGACCTGGCCCTGACTCCTCAGGCACATCTGCTCACGATGCGCATACCTATTCGAGTACGGATTTGCAGTTGTGAGCTGCTTCGATATCGGTCCTGGCCAGGACTCTTGCTGGGAAAGCTCCTGTCGGTGAAATCATATGTCGTCTATTAACGTCGATGCTACCCTCGCCTTGATAACCTGGTCCTGACTCCTCAATCACATCTGCCATCACGATGGGCATACCAATTCGAGTACGGACTTGCGGTTGTGAGCTGCTTCGACATCGGTGATTCATCAGGCTCGCAGAGATCTTCGTCTTGCCTGCAAGATTGTGAAGAGGCACCCACAAGCGTGAGGTCAGAGTGGCTACCTATCAGCATACCTTTCACTGTGCCTACCGCCCCGTATCATTCATGCTTACGGTGATGTAGACACCAGTACTATCACAACACCAAAAATAAGGAACATAGGCACGAAAAATAAGGCAAAACATACAACACCGGGGATTCGCTGGTCGTCACCGACCCAACTACTAATCCGGCGGTATCAGGCTTATTTAAGGCAGAGCGAACGGGATGCCAAGTTCTCCTAATCCTATGGTCGTATGTGAAGGATCTTGGTGTTGAGGGGCTTCATATCCAAAGTCTTGGACAGACCCCCGAGATGTTCAAGCCGAATGGCCAACGCGGTGTCGCTGGCTGCCGACTGCGGGAACAGGCTGCTGTAGGCGTACACGAGGTCCAGTGATGCCTCGCTTCGCTCAGCAGACTTGCGGCAGTCACATTTGATGTGACCCTTCTTGCCACAGCGCCAGCAGATCGTCGTCTCGCTGGCTTGGCGGTGAGATCGTTGTCCATCCCCTAACAGGCACCATGGTTCATGTTCAAGAATACACCGTGATCTCAATTACCGAAGCATCTCATCAGTGGTAGTCTCACTCACGACCTGCTGCCGAGCCATTGAGATGAGGTCAGCCCGCAGCCTCCTTTCTTGATAATCTGCCCACGACGCGTGTGACCAGATCTCTCGAGGTCTTAGTACCACCCTTCACACTTCAAGTCTGACTAGTTTTGCCATCACGACGGGTAGGAATCTCCACCATCGTCAGTCGCCCGCCGGGGTTTCCTTGCCGTTTAAACTTACAACGGTCGACACCTGTCAGGCCTCATGAACTGCTTTCCGAATCGAGTTATATCCCGTGCAGTAGATCTTCGAAGCTCGCGTACAACGTGCAGTAGATGACATGGCTGGCCAGGTCCAGTATGTCTTCTCACACTTGAGCACGGCAAGGGACAGCATGTCTGCTCTAATCGAACCGTTCGCCGACCTCCTCGATGACAACCTCAAGGACAAGGTGTGCCGCAGGTGACATCGGCCAGGACAGATGACGCGGCTCGGCGCCTGCGCCTATCCGCAGTTCAATATAGTCAAGCCACATCAATGATCGGCCCCCGACTCTTGTCTTGACTCCTGAGACAGCTAGCTACGCGAGGTAGTACGCCCGGGCCGTAACGCGGGTGGCGGGTGGCGGGTGTCTCGGAAAGGATCCATCTCCGAGTCCAACCAACCCCTTCTGATATGAGTCTCGTTGTTGATGTTCCAATCGGCCCGGTCCTGAGGCGCCTCAGTCGGTCAGTCCCACACCCGTGTCTTGAATGCAGTATTCACTTCGCATAGGTATGGCGGCTGCGTTGTATGGCCCGTGCCTGAGGGTGGTCTTGATACTCATGCCACAATCACCGAGTATTGCCAATTCCACCACGAGCTTGACCTCTTATGTGTCAGCCATCACTGAGAAAACGCAAGACAACAGTCGATAGGGGCTGACGTCCAAGTCGAGCTGTCGTTCTGTTCATATTTTAGCTTGGATGGCAGCGGTCCTGTAACGGCACCACTTGGCTTAGCTAAGAGTATATACGCGAGAGACGCAGTACACCGTGATAATGCCTATAAGAGCCCGGACAGGCAAAGGGACCGACTTACTATCGTAGACAGAACTTCGCAGGCCGAGAGGTTGTGGGAAGCGAAGCAAGAACCGGTCTCGTATAATCGCCGGAAGCGCGTACACTGATAGCCTTTAGATAACCAGAAGATGTTATTGGGCCGTGGTGTATCAAGTCAGCCGATGCACCTAGTAGCGGCGCTGAGGGCGGTCAATGCCCGGCTGATTGACGCCTTTGTCGGTTGGTAAGATGGGCAATGCTATGATCAGCAGCAGTATATTGCCGATAGACACTGTACGACGAACGGCACAAAAGAACGTATTATGTCAATTAGGTTCGAATCCCTTCACCGGTGACCTCTGGGCTTGACATACATCTATCTATTGCCATAATTCATGAGTTGGGCCCTGTTGGGTCAACAGAAACTGAGGATCGCGAGTTTGGACGATATATGTGTGAAAAGGGGTAGGTAGCCCCGGACCTTCCCTGCCCCAGCGCAATACCGTCCCTCATCCTGTGCATATGGTTAGGTCCCCGGGCGCGGTGGCATCGTACCTTACCTCGTCCTTTGATGGCTCAAATTTGACTCCGACATTTGAGTACTTGATCAGACTGGGAAAAGAGTCGAGCATATCATATCTCCACCTGCACTTCTCGGATGCTCCCCGGATTATCATCAGAAGCCCCCTATTCCCATTCGAATTGACAGGTCTCAGTACATCTCCTCGTTCGATTGGGTCATGAGGTTGAGCCCTTGGCTTGCAACAAACGCCGTTGCATGAATTTACAGGATCACGGTAGCAACAGACGTCACGAGGCCTAGTATATTCGCGGCAATGGGTAGAGGACTGTTATTAGCCATGGTGTCGACAGCTGATCATCAACTGTTGATGGGCACAGGAAGACGTGAATAGGAGCGTGGGCTGCAACTAGAGATAGACCTCGTGTCAATCTTTCCCTCGAGCCGCCCCCTTGCCACCTGGTCTGGTGCTAGAGAAGCAGACTCTAAAGGTTTTAATGCTGCCTTAGATAGGCAGCATATCGATCGCCTCTGCTTATGCACTCACCAGGATACTGGCCTCCGAACTTCGGAGCGACCCGTGAGGCGACGAGGCTCTGTTTGCGGGGCTGCCATTCACTTTCTGGTCAATGAGGAGTGAGGGAATGGGCAGCGTCGCATCGAGAAGTTGGGCTGGCTGGGACATTCGCGTACTCTGCTTCCTCCATACAATTAACGCAGTGTCGAGAGAGTGACGCGTACCAAGCTCCCAGCCTTGCGCGCGCGATATCAGCTTTCTAGATATGGATAGCCACCAACCACGAACCCGGTTGGATGATTGTTTACAATCAAGGTCCTCATGCTATGCGGGCGGTTCAGACGTGTCCATCTTCGAAGCATGGAGCCAGTCAGGACCCAGTATGATACTTGTTTCTTTTCACATTGCCTCACGTGAGACTTTGGCGGTCAGCATCTCATGTCAATACAGGATGGACACCGCAGCTTGACGCCTCCGCTTTGTCGGAACATCTAGAGAACGACTTCGGACCATTACAACCGTCTCCTGAGACGCCAGAAGAGGGATCTCCTCATCGTGCCGATGGTTCCTCGCCGGAGCCTGTGGATGGATGTTCCTTGAGAATATTGTACACATCGTTTCATAAACGAAGGAGTTGACATAATAACAATTTGTCGTCTAGGTTTATCTCTGCGAGGAAGGGCAACCTACCCCATGTCCATATCGATCCTCGAGTCTTGAAAGTGCTCAACGAAGCCGGCAACCTAACCGCAAAGTTCGCCATATGTGTATGAAACCGAGGACTGGACTGTGTTCCCAACAACATCCTCACGCAGCAGTGACCTGCACAAATTTGGTATGACGAGGACTTTTCCCCTTTCTTGATTCGAAGTTGACACCGTCTAGTCCTGCAATATTGGTTCTGGTTCTGGGGGGATGATTCAACTCATACCTTTGTTCAGCTTGTTACAGATCCGAAGACTTTGACGTATTCCCTTGTAAACTACCCTGCCGAACAACAGACACGCTTGCTTGAGGTTCTCCGACAAGATACCCCCAAAAGCTCGCACCCTTACTTTGTTGATACGCTGATAATTGATGAGATATTACTCTCCTACCGTCAGGGGATCAAAGAGCAGCGAGAAGAGCTCCTCTGTATCGTAAGCCGCTCAACCAATCCAATGGTCCAGCGCTAAGCTCTGCAGGAAAAGGGACAAGATCTGTCTAGCATTGAGACGCAGACTATGAAGCTCCATGCTCTTGCGAGGCAATGGCTTGCCATGCTGAAGGACTTGGGAGATATGGATGAGCACATAGTGCGCATTCGAAGACTACGTGACGACAGTGAACGCAGCATGGGGACAACCCTGACAGTCGAGAAGGCTACATCGCGTCCTCTGGACAACCCCTTCGACGAGCTTCAATCCACCTGTCACTTCTGGACCCAATGGGCCAGGACATATGCCGAGCGCACAAATATCCAGATCAACTTGGTAGGGAAACCCGTCAACTGGATTTACCAACCTGGGGTGTCTTGCTAAACTTGGCCATAGATGCATCATATCGCCACTCAGAAGGACAGTCGTGCCAACCAGGAGATCAGCCACTTAACGACAGACATCGCGGTACGAGCGCAGCGCGAGAACGTGTCCATGTTCACACTTGCGATCGTGACCGCAGTCTTCCTCCCCGGGACTTTCGTATCGGTGCGTCTATCAGATTGATACCCCGAACAGAGAACTGACTGACAGCCTTTGTCCATTAGTCAGTGCTAAGCACCGTTTTCTTCAGCTACGATGGATCTTTGCTCTCTATCTCACAGCTATGGTGGACTCTCCCCGTCGTGGTGGTTCCCCTGACATTTATAGTCTTGTACCTGTGGTTTCGCTGGGTTCAGAATCTCCTCAAGCGACACAGTACCGCAGCACTGGAGAAACGAAGGGCAGAGTTGGAGGCTACGATTGCCAAGCGGGAAGAGTAGTATTACGTAGGTATGCAAGGAGCATACGTACCGCTGACTGTCAGCGTCATCACTCCTAGCCAACAGCTATGTCAGCTTCCTCAGCCCAGTCCATAGTAGCATCACCAGCCTCCAATCATTCTCATTCCACACCCTCGACTCTGAAATACCAAGGCTCAAAGAACACAGCTCAGGCCTTGCTGCAGCTGACACTAAACCCCCTTCGGCCTCCGTTCCCTAATCCCGACTGCCCCTAATCTAGCCTTGCGCGCAGTACCTACGGTGTCGGAGTAGACGAGCCAAGTCCTTGCAGGAACGAATGCATAGAAGGATGAAGGAAGGATTAGACAAATTGACGACGCGTGACACCGCTCTCACAGCAGATGGACTTAGCTTCATAAGACTCATGTGCTGATCTGACCGGTCACCGGTACCAGTTATGATAGTGGCAATATCCACTACGTACAGCCGCCCTGTGCCATATGCTTCTCACCGAGGTCATCGACGAGGTGCATGTTCCATCAGCTGACTACTGGACGGGCGAGGCATCGGAGACTAGGCCATTCTCAACTGGCCACCCCGTGGAAAAGGACCCGTCGGGAGCTGCCTACCGTACATAGGGGCGGCTCCCTCGCGGATGGGGATGCCGGTAGCCCCCAGTCGCAGTATCAGGCTACAACAAATTCACTCGACGGACTGGCTGATGGGCTCTATGCGCCCATGCTGTTTTATACTGGACTGTACTCTTCTTTGATCGCGGTTCGCACAGTGGCAGGGTGCTAGAAATCCAGCATGTTTGGGAAAGGGGTACACTGAACCCTCATAAGTCTCCGTACACCACGCATCCAGCAAACAACGGTATATTCATCATGATTGGAGTAGGCACACCTGAATAATCATCCAAAGAAGCGTATAAGACCGGCGCTGCTTACTACTGTATGCTTATTCCACTATTTAAGTTTTCCTACGGGTGATCTGGAAACTTATCAACGTATACATGCGCAGACTTATGAGGGCTGAGTATCAGAAGGTCACGCCCTCAAGATCGACCATAATTAACTATGGCTGCATATCGTATAAGCCTTTTTAGCTAACTTCTGGGTCCTATGCTCCATTTGGTAATCCTTCCTGGGACACCCTGCTTCAGGGGTAGAAACCCACCGAGGTAAGGGACCATAGTAGGTGTACCGTAACTCGTTATTATGGATGTGTGCCTCGTCATTTATCTAAGCCAAAGCTGCGGTTGATTACCGTTGAATAACTCGTGGTCATCAATACGTTCCACGTGCCGCCATCACCTATCTTCACGTACGTCAGCCTGTCAGCACGTCAGCTGCGCGGTTGAAACTCTCCGTGACAATCAACGAAATGGTAGGACTGGGATCCAAACCACAACGGCGCTGGGCTTCTGGACTTCCGCTCGCAGGCATGGATACCGTCCAGAGTACTGCATGTAGTGACCGGACGTCGGTCGAGCTGATCCTCCCATCGCAGGGTCTGCCATCCTACATGACGTGATACGGGGACTTTCTTCAAGGGGTATGTTCTCACACGGCACAAACGGCATGCAGGGCTTTGTTTCGACCGCGGCAGGGCAACTTAGACGGAGAGCTAAACTCACCACAACGGTTTGATGGCCGCAACCCGGATCTGGAGGAAGGGTTCCTCCAAACACATCATGCAAAGAACCACTACTTTATTGGTTCAGGCGGACACTTCTACGTCCATATGCATTCCTTGAACGGAAACGTCGCATTGAGCATGATCACCACACCTCGACTGTTATCTCAAGTCGATTACAGTAGGTAGCCAAGAAAAGGGGGGAGGGAATCCACCGAAACAGAAGTACGAAAATAGGCAGTCAACCCGGCCCTCCCTAACAGTAGACCTCGTCCACCGCGCCATAGTCGCTCTTCCACACGCCAGGGCTGTTCTTCAAAAACTGCGACCGAAACCCAATCATGCGCTGGCCGCGCGGGCTGAGCGACCGGGCAACCTCGGCGTCGACCAGGAACGGGTACGCCTCCTCTGGCGTGAGGTACGAGCACTGAAACACCAGCGTGATGGCCCTGCGCGTGCGGTCTTCCGTCACGTTGGCCCCCCCGCCGTGCACGACCTTGCCGCTGATGAAGCACGCGTCCCCGTGTTCCATCTCGGCTGGCACCGTGTCCGCCGGCGTGCCATTGTCCCCGAGGTCGGCCCAGGCGTGGCTGCCGGGTATGACCCTCGTAGCACCATTATCGACCGTGAACTCAGACAGCGCAACCACAAAATTGACGCTCGCCTCAGGCGCGCCAGGCCCGGCGCGTGTGAAGATGGGGAACTGCCACTGGTCGCGATGCAGCGGCTGCGCAGCGCTGCCCGGTCCAATATCAATGACCTGCGCCGAGTTCATCCAGTACCCGCCCGCGTCCTCAAGATAGACGGCCTCGCACAGCTGATGAATCAACTCGCTCTCGAGCATCTCGTGCCGGAACGTCGGGCTCAGCGACACGACGTTGTTGAGCCGCTTGGTGTTTTCGCCGTGGAACTCCTTGACCCAGCCCTCGGCGTGCTTGGAGCCCGCGCCGAGCTGATTAATGGCCGGCTGCACCTCCGCGTTCAGCCGGACGACCTGGTCCTCCGTGAAGAGGCCCTTGATGATGACGGCGCCGTCCGCGCGCATGGCGCTGAGGACGGCGTCGCGGCCCTCGGAGGCTTGGACGTGCTGGAGCTTGGGTGTAGGTGTAGACATTTTACCCTCAGGAGCCGGACTAATAAAGGGGACTGGAGGACCTTCAGTTTGGAGTGTGCGAGCTTACAGCAATAATGCTACTAGAAAGAAACTTATACGAGAAGCCGCAGCTGAATATGCACACGAAGTTTCCAAGGGGGGCTGATCATATTCGAAGGATTCTCCGACTGGGGAGTCATGCCACTGGACGTCTCGTTTCGGTCAGCAGGATGATACCGCATGCGCGCGTCGTATGTCGGTATTCACGCCCCGGAAGGGTCAGCAAGATATACCTCATACGATAGTAGTCTAGACTCCGATTTCCCCGCAGGGTTAACAGGAGTCTGGTTCTCGCCCGCATTGTCAACACTCAAACTTGCACATCAGCAGGTCGATGTAACAGTACAGTAATGCCATGCGTTATACTGCGGAGACTACCCCTTTTTAGGGGTATGGTCTATCCCCTGCTTATGTATCAGCATGCAAGCAGAAGCTTTCCAGCAGGGGTCTTGTTGAAGGTGTACGTTCTTGCAAATACCGACTCATTAAGTACAGCGTTGAAAAGGCGGCCTGAACAAGGACCAGTAGGTACTTCTACCTGAAATCAAAAGTACGGTAGTAGATAGTGGTAACGTAAGCAGACATTTCAGGATTCGAGTGCCGGTAGCTCCCCCTTCGCCATCCTGCTCACTCACTGGCTGAAATCCGCCTTCCAAGCCTCCTCTACCAGCTCCTCGATGCGCGTCGGCTCGGAGATTCTTCCCTCGAACGCCTTTACAAGATCCAGGTGTCCGCTCAAGGTAGCCAAATCAAACGCGCCAAGCGCAACACCAGCCTCCAGATCGGCGATCAGCGCCCGCAGCTGATCCAATCCTCTGGGGAACCGCTCGGGGAACTCCTTCGCGATGTCCAGGTTCGTCGGCAGGTCGGCGACCGTCTCGTGTCTGAGCAGCTTCTCAACCGGCTGATAGCGCACCTCCAGCTTACGCCCCAGGCTCTTTTCGACCAGCCGCACGAGCTCGTTCAGCGAGACGGTGCTCGTCGCCGTGGTCAGGACCCGCGGCCACACGTCCAGCTCGAGCGCCAGCGCCAGGTACCGGGCAAAGTCCGTCGTCAGCGTCATGCTCATCCTTGCCTCGCCGTCGCCTGGCAGCACCGCCTGGCCCTTGGCCGGGTCGATGAAGAAGTACAGCGGACGCAGGTTAGTTTTTATGTGTGGCATGCCGAAGTAGTCCATGAACATGCTGCGTGTATGTTAATATCCTGTCTTTAAACCTGTACGGCCATTTTCTAGATGAAGAAGGAAAGGGTACAACAAAGCTTGTTCTCGAATACAAGGCTCAGGGTCTTGGGATGGGATGTTTTTATACGTACCCCGGGTAGACGAACGCGTACTCGAGCGAGCTCGTCTGCGCCAGCTCGCGCCGGGCGGCGAGGTGGAACCGCTTCTCCGGGTAGGGAAGCACGTCGTCACCGACGTCGTACTCGACGTTGTACTCCGAGGGGATGAAGCGCTTGACGCAGGCGCACCTGTCGGCCGCGCGGATAAGCCGCAGTTGAGAGTCGGACGCGGAGTCGCTGTCAATGATGAAGGCACAGACGATGACGCTGACGCGCTTCTCTGTGAGCTGCTCGACGAGAGCATCTTCGGAGACGTAGTCGGTCTGGATCACCGGGGCATAGTGTTCACCAGTCAATGGCGATATGCGGCTCGCATCGCTTTGCATAGCCTGTATCTACATGATCAACGACGTGGAACAGCTCACGGAACGTCGTACTTACCTTTCTTGACATGACATAAACCTCATACTTGCCGGTCTCGAACAGAGCCTCGGTGATGAGGCGACCCAGGTCGCCACCGCCACCGGCGACTGCAACGACGGGCATGGTGCTGTAGTGAATTGGATAGGGGAAAAATGCACGCACTAAGTTCTGTCCGAGTTGCGAAGAAGCGTCGAGCAGTTCCGACTCACGGAACTGTCAGGGAAAATAGCGCAACGTGCTTGTAGGACTCATCGGGTCTCACGTATCTCAAATCCTTATTTCTTGGTCCGCCCGTGGCTGCGGAGTTTAACCCACATAAGGTAATACCTGCATCGTACTTACGGATCATGCATTAGTCCTCTTAGAAGAGCGATAATCCATAAGGATGGAGGATGACCGCGCGTCGAGAAGGGGTCTTGTGACCGGACAACGATCCTTTCCAGGGGAAACGAAGAGAATCATATCATGGACCCTTGCGACCGCGGAACACTTCCCTCGGTGGTCCTTAGCAGAACCTCGGAATCCGTAGATATACGGGCCGCGCATTAGTTCTTAGCGGAGCTGACAGTGAACCGATCTGTATATACCAGTTGTCAGCGTCCCGTGGCTTCAACTGGCGGTCTAATCCATATTACCAAGCTGAGAGTAGTGAGGATTATACTGCGTTGTCATGAGTGGCCGTGTAGAGATGTGTATCTCAACACAGTAGGACTTTGCGAGATGGTAGCTTGGCTCACTCGCCTTGTGATCGCCATACTTTATGACACAAGATAGGCCAGTGTGGTCTATAAGCTGCCAGACTGCACCGACAACCACATATCGACTTCAGCAGTACTAGTCATCTGGTCTGAGCCAAAAGACTAATGACAGAAAAGATGGACGTTGTCACGACAGAAGACTGCCAGGCAAGTGTCAAGGAAATCAACAGTACTGGCGATTTCACAACAACGAAGGAAGTCAAGAGCACTGGCGATTCCACAACAGAGATGGAGCTCGACGACAACGATGGATCCACAACACCCAAAGAACCAAACCACACCAACAACACCACAGCGCTCAGCAACTTCAACGAAACAGACGATCCCGCCAGCCTACACCAATGCTTCCACAAGCTCTTCGAGCAGTCGGCAGCGAAGCACGCCGCCAAGGACGCCCTATGTTACAACGACGAGGCCCTCACCTACGGCGAGCTCAACGCGCTCGCCAACCGCATGGCCCGAGCTCTCGTGGAGCGCGGCGTCCGGAGCGGCGATATGGTCGGCGTGGCGCTGGACCGGTCCGTCGAGCTGGTCACGGTGCTGATCGCTGTCATGAAGACAGGCGCCACCTACGTACCTATCGACCCAGCCTTCCCCGCCGAGCGGATAAACCAGATGATGGAGGACGCCGCTCCGAAGCTTCTCGTGACCGGAGGCGGTGGCAACCGCGAAGCCTTCGCCGCCTGGGAGAGCGTGTGTCTGGGCGTCGACGAAACACTACAAATGACAGATCCGAGCTCCAGCAATGGGAGCGAGGAGAACCTCGACATAGACATACCCAGCGACGGCCTCGCCTACGTCATGTACACCTCCGGCTCAACAGGGCGACCCAAGGGCGTCGAGGTCAGCCACGGGAGCGTCGCGAACCTGCTCCTGTCGATGCAGAGGGAGCCGGGGTGCAACCAAAATGACCGGCTGCTGGCGCTCACCACGGTGTCGTTCGACATGGCCGTCCTGGAGCTGTTCCTGCCGCTCCTCTGCGACGCGACGACGGTCCTCGCGCAGAGCCACGAGATTAAAGATCCGGCCGCCATCGTCAGGCTTATGAGGCGCCACGATGTCACCATCATGCAGGGCACGCCGGCCATCTGGCAGATGCTGCTTGACTCCGGCTGGCGGGGCGAGCCGCGGCTCGAGAAGATCTTCTGCGGCGGCGAGGCGCTGCCCCGACCGCTGGCAGACCGCTTGCTGGCCTGCGGCGACGTCGTGTGGAATATGTACGGGTATGTACATTTGCGAGTCTCCTATTGCCCCCGCTGGCCGTGTATCAGGGGCGAATTTCCTCTTCTAGCCTGTGTCAAGAGCCCTTGCTCCCGAGACATGCATTCCGACTCTTTGTTTCTCGTTAAAAAGGGGTAATCACTGACTCTAGTTTTCTAACAGCCCGACCGAGGCCACCGTATACGCAGCAATCTGGAGGGTACGCCAGGGACACGCCATACTGGTCGGAGGCCCCATCACCAACGGCCGTCTCTACGTGCTCGACGCCGACTTGGCGCCCGTGCCGCTCGGCAGTCCCGGCGAGCTGTACATCGGAGGCGCCGGCGTGGCGCGCGGGTACCGCAACAACGCCGAGCTCAGCAGCTCGCGATTCCTCAAGAACCCCTTTCACGAGGGCCTAATGTACCGAACAGGCGACAATGCGCGCCTAATAGCACCCGGGGAGCTGAGCGGTAAGCAACTTACTTTCTGAGTTAATTCAGCCCCCTTATAGACACCTGGAGGCCGGGAATTGCCTAGATACCGTAGTCAGCGTGCGGTTTCAGGTAGTCTGCTTTCTTACTACCGAGTTTACCCCCAATTTCTCCTGAAAATTTAGTTACTGTTACTGACAACCACGGGTACAGTAATGGGCCGCATCGACGGGCAGGTCAAGATCCGCGGCCACAGGATCGAGCTGGGCGACATCGAGGCCGCCATAACCTCACACGACGCCATCTCCGGCGCCGTGGTGGTCAGCCGCGACGACCGCCTGGTAGCGTACTGCGTCGTGCAGGAGAAGGCGCGGCCGCTCAACAACAACAACATTGAGGCCAAGACGGCGCCACTGGACCGCGTGCTGCGCCCCTGGCTCACCAAACGGCTGCCGGGCTACATGGTGCCAGCCTTCTTCGTCTCGATGGCCGCGTTCCCCGTGACGCTCAACGGCAAGACCGACCGCAATGCCCTGCCGGACCCAATAGCCTCAATTCAGCCTATCACCGCCGACATGATGAAGCCCGCCACGGAGCTGGAGGGCCAGATCCTAGCGATCTGGTCCGGCGTGCTCGGCCACGACCGCATCGGCGTCGACGACAGCTTCTTCGAGGTCGGCGGGGACTCGGCGCGTCTCGTGCGCGTCCAGAGGGAGCTCGAGGGGCTCCTGGGCCTGTCGGTCCCGTCGCCCACGCTGTTCGAGTACTATACCGTCAAGATGCTGGCTGCGCATCTGACCAGTTCGCCCGGAGTGGCCGGCCATGAACTCGTCACCAAGCAACGTCGTATGAGCGATGCCGAGGACATCGCTGTTGTCTCCATGGCGTGTCGGCTACCTGGTGGCATTGACACCCCAGAGGGCTTCTGGGAGCTCCTCGAGCGTGGTGGTGACGCCATTACGGACGTGCCCGAGGGACGTTGGGGCGACGATGATGCCCCAGATAATGTCAAATCGTCGTATTACAGTCGTGGGGGTTTCTTCCCTTCAATCCACTCATACGACACATCATTCTTCGGCATATCACCACGAGAAGCGCGCGCTTTGGACCCTTCGCAGTACATGATGCTAGAGACCTGTTGGGAAGGATTTGAGCGTGCGGGTTATACCATGGAGCAACTACGCGGTAGCCAAACCGGCGTCTTCATCGGCACCAGTAATATTCTGGCCCATCAGCGGTTCAACCGAAGCGACGGCAATGACTTGGCTGATCTTGACGGGTACACCGTGACTGGCTCGTCTGCTGGCACGATGTCTGGTCGGATATCCTACCAACTGGGCCTAGAGGGCCCAGCTATGACAATAGATACTGCCTGCTCCTCCTCGCTGGTGGCCACTCACCTGGCATGCAGCGCGCTCCGGCAGGGTGAATGCGATATCGCGGTGTCTGGTGGTGTGAGCCTGATGCTCAACCCAGGCCTGCACGTGGAGTTCAGCCGGCTACAAGGCATGTCGCCGGATGGCCGTTGTCGGGCTTTCTCAGCCGATGCTCAAGGCACGGGATGGTCCGAGGGCTCTGTCGTCACTATTCTCAAGCGGTTATCCGATGCCCAACGCGACGGTGATACGATGCATGCTGTCATACGCGGCACCGCGGTCAATCACGACGGCCGTAGTGCCAGCTTGACAACCCCAAGCGGCGCTGCCCAGCGACGACTGATTCGTACGGCCTTGACGGTTGCCAGACTACAGCCCGACGACATCGACTATATTGAGGCTCATGGTACCGCTACCAAACTCGGCGATCCAATCGAAGCTGCCGCCCTGGCGGACGTCTTCGGGCCCAGCCGTACCAACGTAGAGCCTTTGTTGATAGGTTCGGCCAAGTCCAACATAGGCCACCTTCAGGCCGCCGCTGGCCTTGTAGGACTCTTGAAAGTGACACTCGCCATGCATTACAGAACATTACCACAGACTTTACATATCACCAAGCCGACTCCGGCTGTGGATTGGCAGGGTGCCAAGATGATGCCGGTGCTGGAGAAACGACCATGGCTCTCACATGGTAACCGCCTGCGCCGGGCTGGTGTCAGTGCCTTCGGTATCGGCGGCACAAACGCCCATGTCATTGTTGAAGAACCACCGAGAGAAGTCGCAACTGCTAATCGTACGGAGAAGGGAACTCGGCAACCTTCAACTATGCCGTTCCTCCTCTCAGGCGACAGCGAAATAGCGCTGCGGAGGCAGGCTGAGAAGCTCCATCAACACATCAGCACTAAGACCAACCGGGATGATGTGAGCGACGTCGCCTACTCCCTAGCGACAACACGCAGTCACTTCCGAAAGCGGTTGGTGTTGATGGCCAAAGACAGAGCTGAGCTGTTGGAGAGGCTGGGTTCGATCACCCACCCGGGCTCTTTCGCATTGCCTGCTACCGACGCTGCCGAGGCGCCACGGCTCGCCATGCTCTTCACCGGCCAAGGCAGTCAATGGTCAGGCATGGGCAAAGACCTGTCCGAGACCTATCCTGTCTTCCGCGAAGCAATCCACGAGATCGCTGCCGAATTCACCGAGCTGGATTTGCCGCTACTCGAGGTCATGTGGTCGGAACCTGGAAGCACAGCAGCCGCATTGTTGGACCGTACTGACTTTGCGCAGCCTGCTCTGTTCACTCTGGAGGTAGCGTTATGGCGGCTGTGGCAGGGCTTGGGCGTGAAACCAGAATATGTCCTTGGCCATAGCTTGGGCGAGCTCGTGGCTGCGCACGTAGCGGGCATCTTTGATCTGCCTGATGCTTGCCGATTAGTTGCTGCGCGTGGCCGGTTGATGCAAAATCAAACCGGCAATACAAGGATGGTGTCGCTCGAGGCCAGCGCCGCTGAGGTAGAAGCAGCAATTGATGAATCCGGCTTCAGCGGCAAGGTCGATGTCGCTGCCTATAACACACCAATGCAGACAGTCATTTCTGGCGACAATAAAGCCGTTGACAAGGTGACGGCTCATCTCGCTAGGCAAGGCCGCAAGACTAAGACGCTCGTCGTTGGACACGCCTTCCACTCCCGCCACATTGACGGCATGCTGGGGGACTTGCGAGCCGTAGCTGAGACCATACGGTATAATTCTCCGCACCTGAGCATCGTCAGCAGCCTAGACGGCAGGCTGGTTCATACCGGCCAGCTCGAGCAAGCAGACTACTGGGTTAAACAGGCACGCGAGCCAGTTCGCTTTGGTGATGGTATCCGCACGTTGGCTCTCCACGGAGTCAACGTCTTCCTTGAGCTAGGTCCGCAGCAAGTACTTTGTGGGTTGGGTGCAGCATGTCTTGCGGACGAGGAAGACAGCAAGTCCGCTGCCTGGTTGCCGTCTTGCATACCTCGGCAAGACGGCGCCTCGACCATTCAACGCAGTCTTGCCGATCTACATGAGCGGCGCGTGCCAATCGACTGGTCTGCCTATTTTAGACCCTTTGGCTGTCAGCGCGTAAACTTGCCAACATATGCCTTCCAGCGGTCTTTCGACCGTGCAGGCACGCAGAAACTTGCTGCTGCTAATGGTATCAGCGATACCCTCAGCCGTGCGCCCCATGGCGGTCAGGGGCGCTTCCAGTTCGAGGTAGCATGGCATCCCGTGGAAACAGACAACGTGCATCCTAGCGGAACCTGGGGTCTTATGCTTCCGGTCAACGACGGGACGTGGGCGGGGCAGGTGGAAGCTGACCTGTCAAGAGCCGGTATCAAAGTGGTCAGAGTTGAGCATCTCAAGCAAGCCGAGGGGCTGGATGGTTTGGTGTGCCTGTGGGACTCGGATGCGGACGTGATATCCCAGACGCGAGATTTCACTGCAAAGGCGCTTATACAGCTGCAAACGGCAGCTCAGACTCAGTTTATGCCACCGCTTGTATGGCTCACCCGTGGTGCGGTCGGTACTGGGACTGATTACGACGACCGGGCCATGCGACTCGGAGCGGGGCCGCTATGGGGCCTAATGCGGACTGCCAGGACGGAGCATCCGGAACTGCACTTACGCCAGGTCGATTTGGGCGACGTCGACGAAATGGGCACCAGTATGGTTTCAGCAGTGATACAGAGCACCGAGCCGGAATGTGCTGTGCGTCAGGGCCGAGTGCTTTCGCCGCGGATGCAGCGGGTCAAGTTGGTACCGAGGCCAGTAGCCAAGCAACCGCTTGTCCGCTCGGACGGTGCAGTCCTGATAACGGGCGCATTCGGGGATCTCGGAACGCGGGTAGCAATATGGCTGGCAAGAAAGCACGATGTTCGCGACTTGGTACTGGCCTCACGGCGTGGCATGGAAGCCCCCGGCGCGGATGAATTGGTCGTCGAACTCTCTGAGCTTGGTGTCCGCGTCACTGTGATCGCCAGCAATATAGCCGATCCGGAGAGTGTCAAGTCAGTCATGGAAATATTCAGCGAAGCCAGACCGCTGCGAGGCATAGTCCACGCGGCCGGTGTTTCTGACTCTGGTGTTCTGTCCGCCATGACGCCAGAGCGGTTTGTGACAACTCTTGCGCCCAAGGTCTTTGGTGCCTGGCTGCTGCATCACTCAACTCGAGATATGGATCTGGACCTCTTTATGATGTTCTCTTCCATATCTGGAGTCATGGGTATGGCGGGTCTTGCCAATTATGCCGCAGCGAACGCCTCACTTGATGCGCTTGCGCACCTGCGTCGCGCCGAGGGCTTACCAGCCACCTCGGTGGCATATGGCACCTGGGTAGGCGGCGGCATGGCATCAAGGCTTGTCAAGAACACACTCTCCCAACTCAGTCACTTCGGCCTTGACACCCTGCCACCAGAAGATGGGCTGGAGCTGCTCGAACACGCTGTGGTCAGCAATCGTCCACTGACCGTAGCAGCCGCACTAGATCTGGGACGACTTCAGGGCTACTTCGAGGAACGAGGCGGTATACCCCCGCTGCTTCGTTCGCTTCTGTTTCAGGACAGCGCCCAGAGCCTCCGAGGCTTGGATCTGTACAAGGTGTTAAGCGAAGCTAGCCCTGGGCAGCATTCCGATATTGTGCTGAACATGGTCCGGGAAGTAGTCGCCAAGGCATTGGGCTTCGCGAAACCACTTGGTGTGGATGTCGACCGTCCTTTGCGAGACATTGGGATCGACTCCTTGACGGCGGTCCAGTTGCGCAATCATCTGGCAACACTGACGGGGCTCAAGCTATCCGTCAATATTGCTTTCCTGTATCCAAACTTGAAGGCGCTCAGCCAGTATTTGTTGTCTCAACTGCGGGACTCGGATACGTCGTCATCATCTGCGACAGCCTCTGGCAGTGCAACTCCTGCCACCACAGCCTCTGACTCTCCTGAATTGGACATGACGGCGATCCGCAAAGGCTGCTTGGATAGAAGCTTCACGTTCGACAACGTAGCCAATGATCCAACTGCACATACCATACGTCCCGAGTCTGTTTTTCTCACAGGCGCCACAGGTTTCGTCGGTGCCTCGGTCTTGCACGAGCTTCTCAAGCAGGGCATCTCCACACACTGCCTTGTGCGCGCCGACTGCGTCAATACGGCACGACAGCGATTGGTGGCCACGCTTGAAGACTATGGTTTGTGGGAACCAAGTTTTGCGTCGCTGGTTCACCCGACGGTTGGAGACATGGCTCAACCTTTTCTCGGCCTGACCGAGGAAGCGTTCGAGAATTTGGCGGAACAGGTCGATGCTATATGCCACTCTGGCGGTCTCGTAGACTGGTTGCGACCACTGGAAGAATACGTCGGCCCCAATATCGTGAGCACCCACGAGGTTCTGCGTTTAGCTTCCTGTGGCCGTGCAAAGGCAGTCCACCTGGTGTCCACGATCTCGACGATACCAAAGCATTGCGGCCTTGATCTGACTGAGGAAGACCAAGAATACGGCTATGGTACCTCGAAGTATATCGCCGAGCGCCTCGTCGCAGCAGCACGCTGGCGCGGCGCGAGGGCATCCGTATACCGGTTGCCTTATGTGACAGCCTCGACTACGACTGGATACTTCCGACTCGATCGCGGCGACTTCTTACACAACTTTATCGTTGGATGCCTCGAGCTGGGGGCGTTTCCGTCAATTGATGCCGATATGTCGGCTGTGCTACCCGTCGACTACCTGGGCAAAACCATGGTCGTCGTGATGACACAAGATTTGCACCAGATAGGCCGTGATTTCGACTTCAGAAACTCGCGTGCACCAACCTGCACCGACTTCTTTAGGCTGGTAGGGAATGTTAGTGGTGGGAAGGAGATCATGACCTTCAATACGTGGAAGCAACGGGCACTGGACTATGCTACTGCCTATCCAACAAGCCCCATAGCTCGCATCACTGCTGTCCTGGACAGTTATACTGACAAAACCGCGCCTAGTATGTTTAAGGGGTTGCCTGTTGGGGATAACGTATTTGGGGGCGATAATTATCCGGCGCCCTTGGTCGACGAACGGTCGATGACTGCTTATTTGAACCGTATTGGCACTCGAGCCGCCAAGGCGAATACGAAGAGGTAAGGATGGCACGATTAAACAAAGCATGCGGCAGAATATCATGTTGCCGCGAAGCCCATGGCACATGAGATGACTGTGCCTCATTTGATGGCGAAGGGGTTTTGTCCAGCGGCGCCCGCGGTAGCCCATATGTGAAGTCATACAAATCCGGAGGTTGCTCTCAGGATCTGTCTGCGAAGCTGTTAGCTACAATGCGTGGACAAAAGTCTCCGCCCGATCCCCAATTTTACCCCTTCCATCTACTATACCCTCCAACTCAATTGAACCATAACACATCCAATTCTGGTGATAGAATTCTCAAATAAATTGTATTTAATAACTAAGTCAATAGTGTGTATACCAACCACCGGCGCGCCTCACTACAGCTATTCGGTCCTCCAGTGACTCCATCAAGGCCCGAACCTGCTCCGGATCGATCTCTGACCACGCCTGCTCAATTAACTCGTGTGCGTAGCGATAATAGGGGATATTATCCTTTAATTCAGAAAATTCAGGCTTAATTTCATATATGTTTTTTTTTAGAAGTCACCAAACATATTCGATTAGGTTCATATCGGGGCTGTGAGGAGGCCAGTCGATACAATGGATGCCGTGCTCCTCTATCCACTCCGGAACACCGCCAGTGAGGTGAATTTTCGCGTTATCTTGAACAAAAGGATCTCCAGTCTCGTAAAACGGAAGCAGGCCTTCCTCAAGAACCCATTTGTATGACTCTGCAGATACTCTTCTGCGCGGAGCATCCGGATCGAGTGGGCAAAAGACCAACTTACCTAGTCCTCCTTCTCTGCCGCGTAGCCAGATCATAGACCATACTATTATCAAAATACGAGATTTGCCATGATCTGTCTCGTTCATAAAATGATAACAGTACCGCTCTGAAGAGAATCGGATGGCCCAATCGCCTGGATTATCGGATAAGTTTTGGACCGTATATTCGTCTGAGAACATAGCTCGCAACAACTCTTTCAGGCGCTCTGATATGCTATAATAATTGGTAAAAGCGAGCCTTTTCTGAGCATCCTTATCTGTGAGCTTGATTCGCTTCGCTATGCGCCACTTCTGGAGGCCGTATACGTGACATATCCTCTTGATAGTCTTGGGAGAGCACGAAACGCAGGCTTCGTTTCGAATCTTCTGCCACGTCGCCCTGGAGAGCTCTCTTGCCTTTTTGATCACATGAGTGCGTTTACGAGTATTCAAAACGGGTGGGCGACCGCTCCTTGGGGCAGATTTTGGTGTAGAAGTGGCCTCAAAGTTGGTGGTAATATCAGAGATGGTTTTCAGGCGCTTCGTTTTAAACGCAGTTATAACATCCCTATGCGTTCTGTCGTTGATTTACGCCGCCACGATTGCCGAGTGAGCTTCTGAAGTGAATTTGCCGTTACCGACGCGATTACCGCTTAATTCGTCCCCAAAAGATCGTAAATCCATTATCAATTGCGGTGTTGAGAGAGTGGTGAAGTCAAAGGGTGATTGACGCGTTGTTTTGATCTGAAGGAGATTGTGGTGGGTTGGGCGGAGACTTTTGTCCACGCATTGTAGCGAGAAACCCCCCTAATTGATTGGATTAAACCCTTGTGCCTTTGTGGTAGCGGAACCAGAACAGAGATCTATCACAAGTCTCGGTTGGGATGATCTATATTCTGGTTGGTGCTTGGTTACGTTCGGATGGGAAGGATCCCATCCGAGAAGTATCTAAATACCTAAATTACAGTGGGTTGGTACCTGTCACCTGGGGCAGCCATCACAGGTAACCTTATCGTAGAACGCCCTGGATGACAGGAGATCCGATAAGGTACTGGTGGCTGGATCCAGTGGCAGGGATCCACACCCTAACTACCCTTAAACTGATTGCGAATACTTGGATTATGTCGAACGCTGGTCGTCCGTACCGACAGTCGGGTTCGTGCATGAGACATGCAATGCAACCGCTGTGCAGTTGTCGTGACATCCAACAAATCCAACCGGGCTTGTGGCCCCCTTGGATGCTGCATTTTGGGCAAACCTGGGCAAAAGGTCGGTACCTAGGTAGGCAAACCCGGCTGTTGGCATGTCAATGTCAATGTGATATGACACGATCTCGGCCAGGTCATAGCGGTTATCTCCTATCGCGGCTCCGGGGACTACAGGCCATCGCATGCGACTTCCCTTTCTGCAATAGTTACGGTTTCGGTCTGTCGCTTCGGAACTCACTTTTGCGGGGCTGTGCTCTAGTGCTCCCCACAGCGCTATGCTCAGCCTCACGAGGCCTTCATCGTGGATACAAACGAGTATGGCCATCGCCAGGCGGGACGCTAGGGACATGACCGCTGCTGCTATCCTCGATTAGGCAATCCCATGCGGCTCCTGGCCTCCAAGAATCTGGGCAATATATCGACGAAGCCGTGGTCGTGCCCACGATACCAAAGGTAGTAATGTTTTTGACAGCATATGTACCTTCAAACAAGGGAGGCTGTGCATAGGTGGAGGTACCCCTGTCTATGCAGCTGCGTGCCCAGGGCATCATCCCCGCCAACACTGACGTAGCTAGGCCAGGCCCAATCAGAAGCTTGGGATACGACCCCATAGGAGCTTGCATTCCAGGTTGATTGCCCCTCGCCGACGAATCGAACTGATAAGGAGCCTCCCGTGCCTCCATTCCCAGCCAAACCGGTTATTTGGTCCATTACATAAGGTAGACAGCTTGTCTACTTTAGTTTTGCTTGGGACACTCTATTTCTGAGCACATTGTCTAGTTGCCTTCCCAATTTGTCTGCTAGACAGACATCTGCCCGGATCCCCTTTTTCTAGACCCAATTGAGCCTGAGGGGCGTTCCACTTTGTCGAGACGCTTGCTGTCGAGGTAGAGAAAGGTTACACCGAGTCATCTCCGTCGTCGAGAAAGCTTCACGGGTCGTGCTCTTATAAGATGGCTGCCCTCCGTCTAGGAGGCCCTCTGCGGGCTGTGTCTGCTACTTTCAAGCGCATCACTCCATCTAGAGTATCGTCCAGAAACGCCATCTCCCAGATCCTCACCCGTCACGTCGCCGCATCAAACGCAAGAATGTCTTCCAGCTTCTTCGCTGGCGAGCCTAAGGGCCCCGTGCTGAAGACCGACATCCCAGGACCCAAGTCCCAGGAGCACATTGCCAAGCTGGACCAAGTCTTCGACACCCGGAGCTTGAACATGCTTGCCGACTACACAAAGAGCTTTGGCAACTACATTGTCGACCCAGACGGCAATGCTCTGCTGGACGTGTAGGTCTTGCCCGCCGATTGACAGTCGCTCACTCAGGCTAGCCGCTAATTGCCATCCAGTTACGCCCAGATCGCCTCTATACCCGTCGGATACAACAACCCGACTCTGATGAAGGCTGCCCAGAGCCCAGAGATGGCTACGGCAATCATCAACCGACCCGCACTGGGCAACTTCCCCTCACACGATTGGGTTGAGATCCTCGAGACCGGTATTCTGAAGGTAGCTCCCAAGGGCCTCGACCAGGTCTTTACCGCAATGGCTGGATCCGATGCAAACGAGACAGCATACAAGGCCGCCTTCATGTGGAGACGGCAGAAGGAACGAGGTGGCCCTGCCGTCGATTTCACCAAGGAGGAAATGGAGTCAGTCATGAACAACCAGAGCCCTGGTGCCTCCCAGCTCTCCATCATGTCATTCAAGACTGCCTTCCACGGCCGTCTCTTTGGCTCTCTGTCGACGACCCGCTCGAAGCCGATACACAAGCTGGATATCCCGGCATTCGACTGGCCGCAAGCCACCTTCCCCCAGCTCAAATACCCGCTCGAAGAGCACGCCGAAGAGAATGCCAAGGCCGAGGCTGACTCCCTCGCCGAAGTCGAGCACCTGATTAAGAACTACCACCTACCACCGTGTGCCGTCATCGTCGAGCCCATCCAGTCCGAGGGCGGCGACAACCACGCCTCTCCGGCCTTCTTCCGGGGTCTGCGTGCCGTGACCAAGAAGCACGGCGTGCTGTTGATCGTGGACGAAGTGCAGACCGGTGTCGGCGCAACCGGCAAGTTCTGGGCGCACGACCACTGGGATCTGCCCGAGCCGCCGGACATGGTGACCTTCAGCAAGAAGGCCCAGACCGCCGGCTACTACTACGGCGACCCAAGCCTCCGGCCCAACAAGCCGTACCGGCAATTCAACACCTGGATGGGCGACCCGGCCCGCGCCATCCTCTTCCGTGCCATCATCAACGAGATCCAGCGCCTCGACCTCGTCAAGCACACCGCCGAGGTCGGCGACTACCTGTACGGCAAGATCGAGGCGCTGGCCAAGAAGTACCCGGGCGAGTTCCAGAACCTGCGCGGCAAGGGCATGGGCACCTTCATCGCCTTCGACAACCCCAAGCGAGACGAGTTCCTGAAGAAGGCCAAGAAGTTCGGCGTCAACATCGGCGGCAGCGGCGCGAGCGCCGTCCGCCTGCGGCCCATGCTCATCTTTGAGAAGCAGCATGCCGACCTGCTGCTCGAGGCCATGGAGAATATCGTCTCAAGCTAGGGGCGGAGTATGGGAATACTACCAACAGGTGGAGAGGTATCTTGATTCATGGTTTACTGCGTTGATGCTCAGTCATAGCCTGCCTTTGGTTGTCATCAAATGCATCGCGTGTCAACAGACTGGCGCCTGGGAAGTAATTTATGCTGCATGAGAGGCTGCTTGCTACAAATAAGCAAAGCAGAACCAAATGAAGGAGGGTGGGCAATTGATCTTAAATGGTAGCGAATAAAGCATAGCGTCTGCACTGAAATTGAAACACATGACGGCAGTTACGGTCAGCAGAGAAAAAGCTGGTGAAATACCCTGAGAAAAGGGTCAAATGAATGAATGGCGGGAAGTGCTTTGTCTTCAATTGACATTCACATTCGTGATTCTCCATGTCGTAACATGCACCTTGAAGTTGCTGCTTATAGGAGCAGCTGGGATTCCAAAGAAGTCGGGGTTTCGTCCAAGCACTCACTGAACTGACACCACGCAGAACAACTTCACATATGCAGTAACAAAGACAAGTTCAGCCTCTCAGTATGTCCGGGTCAACCTCGACCCTTCCGCTTAGTATTTGCTGGATGGATGGCCTATGTGGTATATACATATAGGGAATCGCCGACTCCGGACACGCGCTGTCATGTCGCTGAATGGTATTGTCGTGTCGCCGAATAGAGATCCAGCGCCCGCGTGTCTAACACTCCCGTTGCCTCTTATCTTCAGACGCCCTCTTGCTCATTTATCTCTCACAGACCTGACTGAGAGCAAGAGATATCCTAAGCGCAACCACGCACCGGACGAGATTCGCATGCATGCTTATCAACCGACCGACTCACACACTAAGCTTCGTAAACCGTGCAAGCCATCGGTCGCGTCGCCAGCAACCCATAGCGCTGGTGATGGGACTCATTCCGAGTAGCGTGTGTCAATTACTAGACCGTCGGGTATTTGGCTGGTCTGAAAGCCAATCGCTAGCTGGTTGGGGCATACCAGCCCCAGTCCCTAACGCCGATGAATATGAGAAGTAAAGAAGTGCTTCGGTTGCCTCCTGATCGACTCCTGCCCCGGCCGAAAATGCAGAACCATGCTGAACCATGTAGACCTTTATGTGCAGGATGCAGTTGAGGATTTGCCCATGGAATTGGCAAAGATTTTGGTATACATGAACCATGATATAATGGACAGGACGAAAAGTGAAATGTAAGTCGCTCGGGGCTGCGTCGCTCTGCAGCAAGAAACAGACGTTGATGTGGCGTGCTCTTTCTATTTTCAGCGATTGACGTGAAGGTTGCTTTTGTGTTTGGTAATGGGTGGGAGATGAGTAGACAAACCCAATAGCTCCAGTCTGTTCGTTCGTCACGACTAATGACTTAGAACTTCATGCTTCGGAGCGTTGTCATGGATGTCTCGACCGGTGGCTTCACCACTGTATCTCTCTCTTTCGGCGTCTAGGGCGTTGATCTCGTTTTCCCTTTCCAGAGCAGCTTCCTCCTCACGGAGCCTCTGCCGCTCTGCTTCATCTTCCACCTCTTGCTCTCCGAAGACAGTGTCATGTCCCATCATCTCAAGCTTCACCGTAGTCTCACCCTCAGGCGGTGGTGGAGGAGGCGGAGGAGGAGGCGGGCTTGACATGTCACCTCCATCCTCCTTCAGGCGCTTGAGCGAAGGGACCTCTGTCGGTGTCAGGCTGGGAGATCCAGCCATCTCATCTTCCCGCTTTCGCTTTTGTTCAGAACTTGCGGGCGTCGAGCCAATATCTTCGTCATCGGTCATCGCGATGTCGCGATCATCCTTGACAGCAGATTTTCCCATGGGGGTATCATGGCCATTGCTATGCGTAAGAATAGGCGCATGAGGTCCACCCTTCCCGGCACGCTGCGCCTTCTTCTTCTCATGATCCTTAACCTTCTCGACAGCACGATCAAAATAGTCCTTGACGTATTGTTTCACCTTCCTCTCCTGTTTCTCCGTTATTGAAGTTGGATCAGCCACACGATTGTTCTTGTAGTCGGATGCAACAAGCTTCTTGTTGACTTCTTTCGCGAACTTTTTCAATTCTTCTTTAGGGAGCTTGTGGCGGAACTTGTCCATCACACGCTTAACGTGTGGAAAAAGCTATCACAAGATTAGTATCTTTGTAAAAAGAGAACTATGCAACAAGGGACCACTACATACCGTGTTTTCGTAGAGCTTCATCTGTTTGTCGACCGACATAGACCGCCATTTCTCCTTTTTGGGGACCGGTGTGGGGGTGCTGACATGCTGCGGAGTCTGCGATGCAGACCTTCGCGGTGGCGCACTGTCTGGTTTCGTAAGCGAATCGATGATGTCCTGCAGTGTCTTCTGCTCCTGCGCAGCCTTGGACGGCCCTTTCGGTTGTGATGCAGGCGCTTCAGACGCAGGTGCAGTGGGCTTGATCCACGTGGTGTCACCACTTTTGGTGTAGTAATACAGGCTTCCACTCTTGTCAGTTGCTGAGAACCAGCCGGGCGGCAGATTGAGAGCAACAGGTCGGCGCTGTCTCGGACTGTTGAAGAAGCTGGGGTTCCGCTGCGGGATGTTGCTTCGCGGACCTTTAGGGATGTTGTCTGGAAGGGTCAGAACGGTCTTGATGAGTGGCTCCCCTTGACGATTGCCCCGGCGATCTTCAAAAGAATTGACAGAGGGCGTGGCTTGGGCCGCCTGTGCATTGGGGTCGAACTTCTTCCGGGGAATACGATAGGCGACCTCCAATTTGCTCCATTCATCCAATAGGCGTGCAGAATCCGCAGCGACGTCTTCGTGCTCAGACTTGGTCAGGGACTGGACAGCCGACTCGATGTTAGAATCGGAGATCTTGTTCTTGGTCAGACGAGGAAACTTGTCGAGGATGTCCAGGATCTGAAGGACAACGTTGCGGTCTTCAATGAAGGTGTTTAGCGCGGTTTTCAAAATCTGGTATCCGTGCATTTGCACAACTCGATTGCGCACTTGGTTGTTGTCAGCGTGCTGGATACGCTCCAGCAGCTTGACAGCGATCCATTTCTCTTTGCACTGCATGAGTGTGGCCATCACCTTCGTAACGCCTTTCTCGTCGAGGCCGCGAGCTTGCACGCTATTAACGTACTCCTCGTCGTCCTCGCCGACCTTCTTCTTCCGAGGCTTCTTGGCAACCGCCGTCTCCCAGCCATCGCCGTCGTCAATGCCAAGAGCTTCAATCGTTGCATCGGGCAGTTTCGTAGCGCGCTCCGTCTGGGTCTTGCCTCCGATGAATCCAATGCAATTTGGCTCGCCACAGTAGCAGGGTTGCGGATCGGCACCGTATCTGTCGACATTGTAGTTGAAGACCAACTCCTCGCCACACTGGATTCTCCGCAGGGAGAAAATGCCCATGCGAAGCTTGTTCCCCACCACCCATTTGTCCACGTAGCAATTGGGGTTGCAAGAGTGATTGCAGAAGCGACCGAGATTACCTTTCTTGGTTGCGTCTACAAACTCGTGTTTGGTCAGTGACATGAAATAGAAATGCCGGATGCCCTCTTTGTCGTATTGGACCATTCGTCTCCGGAACGTAGGTTCGTTAATGACTTCGCCAATGTACTCGAAGATGAAATCATGCGCCTCCAGATCTCTGTTTGCTCGTAGGCCGAAGCCCTTCTTTTCGGTCTTGATGACCGAGACGTCGGCAAACTGTCTGCGCTGGAACCGTTGATTCTGGCACCCTTCTCCACAGTTGCACTCCTTGTCTACACACTCCATTTTGGTGGCTCGATTGATGCAGTCAGAGTATTCGCCGCAAGCATGGTTTGCACCATCCCCTGAAACATGCCCATTAGCGCTCCACAGGCCCTATTTGACTCGGATGGGGTACCTACGCCACTCTTCGTTGCAATCGCAGTCCAGCGCATCGTGTTCTGTTGAGCCAAGCGACTTGGATCCATAGAGACAGGCCTCAATCAGCTGGAAGTGTGTGCAGGATTCGCTCGTCGCGTCGGGTAGATCTTGGAAGGTCATGGCGGGCTGGGATGTCTTCTTTTGTGATGTTTTGCGGAGGGTTTTCGGAGGTTGCGCGCCGTCTGGTGTTGAGGCGCTATCACTGCGCGGCTTCTGATCATCCGGCGACATGCTCTGCGGCCTGGAACCTTTGCTGCCAGTAGGTGTCGTGGCCGTGCTGTCTCCTTCCTGCTTGATTGTAGCTCCCCGGGACATGGAGCCTGTGTCGACTCTGAGACCTTGCAGGCCGTCCTTGAGGTGTTCCTCCTCCTCCATCTCTGCAGCCAGATCGTGCGTTGCCGTAGGCGTACTGGTCGCGATGTGGAAGTGATAATCCAAACTTCCTAGAGGGATGGGGAACAGCGACGAATAGGGATGCTGCTCTGTAGAAGTTGAGTGGAAATCCCAGGTGAAGGGAGTGGTCGGAGAGAGTGGTTAGCACGCAAGAGTATAATCGCCGACCGCCATGTGCAGGAGGTTGTGATGCGAAGAGGGAGAGAGGGAGTGAGTAGGGAGGGGAGAGAAATGGTGGTCGGATGGTCGAGTCGGCGAGCTAGAGGACCGGAGAGCGGTAGGTGCTATGTTGTATTGGACATTGCAAGCTGGCGTGTGCCAATTGTCGGTTGAGACGAAGAATATCCAACAGTGCACATGTGCGGCTCTTGATCGAGACAGCTGGGTTGGGTTCTGTCGTGGAGGTCAAATGGCTGTCGCAAAAAAAAGATGCCAATGCGCGGACTCTCAAACCTTCAAAGAGTCTCCTGCTCACTCACTCGCTCGCGGCCGCGCCTGCCACTTGCCGATGGTGTACGCCAGTGAAGCAGATGCGCCCCGATATATCAATTCGTCTGTAATATTCGATTATGCAATGTACCCCGCCAATCAGCACCTGAACCGGGCAATTTGTAGTGGGAGACGCCGACGCACTTAGTGGAGGCGCATCGCTGTGCTGAGATGGCCTATTTGCATACTTGCACCCAGCCCCGCCTACTCGAATTAGATATTCTACCACTCAGCCTCTCCAACTTCATTCTGAATTTCCACGAGTCAAGCATGTGAGAAATGCGCATTACCTTCATCAAGTGCTACCTAGCTGATTTGCGAATAGGATTCCCTCCAGCTATGATTGTACCAACAAGCAAGGCTCTACCTAGAGGGAATCCGCCATATCTCTTTGATGTTTCCTCTGTAGACATTTCGCACGATTCTACGCTTACCAAACGCCCTTCGAGCTGGCTGGCATGGCCCTTTGCAAGTCCACCGGGAATAGATAGGCCGTGGCCGTCTCTGTCGCAGTCGCAGTCGGAGTCTGTCTTTCCGATACTGGGGCTTCAGGCGAGGACAACTGGATCTCGTGAAGTCGGCATTGTTCAATTGCAGGGCACTCGACCTTGAACCCAGACCTGACTGCCTGAGTGGCACCCTGGTACAGTATGTATGAATCCAAACTGTGCCGCTGCCCATACGAATCCGAGGGTGTTATAGCATAGGGACCTCTCAGAACATAGTCATCATTTGTTCGCAAGACACACGACGTACACAACTACTGTGTATCCGTCAGACCGGAGTCCCAGACGCCCGCTGCTGCTAGTGCAGACAGAGGGAGGCATTGCGTTACATCACTCTCCGTGGACACGCAGGACCTTAAGCGACTGGAGCTCCTTCTCGGCCTTTTCTACGCACGTCAGAGTCGATATTATTATTAGCCATGGCCAGTTGTACATTGAGTGGGTCCCCCCTATGGGAAGTTGCCAACTCATTGTGCATAGAGCAGAGCCTGAAGTCGAGGTGAAAAGGCGGTATGTGAGTTGGCACTGGTATATAAAATGGACGACTCCGAAGTGGTTCAAGTCCGAAAAGTCTTTCCGACTTGCAGCTCTTCGAAAAAGACCTCTCTCGCTCGTCTTTCGAGGAACTTTCGCGCGCAACACCATCTTTTATACACAGAAGTCCGAGATGGACCGATATATTGCGGCTCGAGTCTCGTCAGATGATGAACTCGTGATCTGTGCTTACAGAACAGCCCCCAGGAGCCCCCTTCGGCGGTCTGATTGGCGAGTGTTCAGTGGTCCTCGACCATTCAAGCGGCCCAACCACTTGGCCGCTCACCGGGCTTACAAGACTAGGAGGCTGCAGAGCCAGCGAAGCGGTGCGAGAGTGGCCAATTGAGACTCGGACCTTATTTCCAACTGAAGCCTTGGTTACGCAGGAGCTTATTCGGTCTCAGTCCAATGCTTATTCCGTTCTCTCGCCTGGTCGTCGCCTTGGGATGCTCACTGTCGGGCTTTCTGGGACGGCCCGTTCTGGGATGCAACCACCAGAGCGGTGCCGGAGATGGGGTGGTCTGGAATTGGTCGCTGAGAGAAAAGCAAGATCAGTGTCTCTTGCGCCTCGACGACCCAATACAAACCAGCCAGGTCAGGCGACCCGATTTGTCTGAGTGGTCAGCAGGAGTTGGCTTACTGGCTCACGACCTAGATGTATTGGGCATCTGCAAGAGAAGAGGCTGCATATCGCCAGGCCACTCAACTGCTGGGCCGATAACCTGATGGTTGCATGGGGATGCATGGGGATTCCCTTGTGGCAGAAATCCCCAGCATATGACCTCCTGGACAGTAGCGGCAAGCTGCGCACTCACACGTTTACCTGCTCTTTGGCTCTTTGGCCTCTGTCATGCTTGTCGCTTGCAGGTCATACTAAGAAGGTTGGTCTGAAGCGGAAAACACCCGAACGCGGATCTGGAAGGGATGCACGCTGCTGCTGGGTTTCAACGCGATCGCTTGTCTCCGAATTGGCACGACGGACACGCAACTCAATTTGCAAGGGAAGAACTCCTTGGGACACACGCCTTTTGACAGTCGGTGCTTGTCAAACATTTTGTTTGAACCGTCAGTCGGGCTCTGCAAGAAAGACCACGCTCACTCGCTGGCTTGCTCGCTTGCTTGCCTGGCGCCTGGCTGCTTGCTTGCTTTGCTCCAGCTCTGCTGAAAGCTGGAGACCTCTCGGCAAGATACGAAATAGTCTGGGGACCAGGCGACCTATGTCAACCTTGAACAATTATTTATTCCCTCCCTATCCCACCTTGCCCTGGTCCAACTGCTCCGCCGCGCTACCCTTGCAACGCAACGCAACGCTGCGCTGCGCTGCGCTGCGCTGCGCTGCGCTACATTCATTACCTCTCTCTCGACGATCCACGGTACGCTCTCTCCTGTCTGCTCGCTGCTTGTACTACTCAACTCACCTGGAGCTGAGACACTTTCGTTTTCCCTCCCGGCCCGTCTCGCCAGACACGCGCGCTTGTATTTTGCACTCTTGCGCGCGTCTTTCGACCCTCTCGCGGCACGTTCACGCCCTCCCTTACCTTCTGGGATCCTGGCGCAGTCTCGCGTTGCTTGCCTGGCTATTCTGCAATTTACCTTGCCCACTACCACCGCACGGAGGCCTGGACCTTCAGATAGACGAGGCGTCTGCTGCGATTTGCATGACGCCCTTTCAGCCTCGCTGCCTGCCGAACGGTTGCCTCCCAAGTGTTGACTTTGCTTCTGTGTGCTTCAAATGTTACTTACAACCTTCCTGGCGAACTCCTTGTCTCCCCCACCTATTATCTATACGCCCCTCCTACCAAGACTCTCGCCATGGACACTACGTTTTCAGATGATGAGAAGGTATATCCCCCACGCAGAAGAAGGTCCTGGCAGCGTCCGACTAATATACGTGATTTGTCAAGAGGTTCGTCCTAGGCGAAATGATCAAAGTCAGCACCATCGACGTCACTACACTGATCGACTTCATCCGGGCTCACCAAATCGAGCCAAACTGGATGTCTATGCAACTTCCCGGTGGTGCGTTAATTGTCTAAAACCCTTCTTTCACCTGCCCCTAATCTTGATAAGGCCGCAACATGAACCAGTGCCTGGGGGCAGTCGACAACATGTTCCAAGTTAGATTTCCCCCGCCGAACTTGATTAGATTCAAGCGCAAGTCCCTGAGCGACCTGGTCGACCAACCCGCGAAGAGACAAGCCATGATGGCGCCCGTCGAATCTCCTCTAGCCCCGGCGCGTGTCATACAGCCTCGGCCTCCACCTCCACCGCCAAATGGCTATAGGCCGGCACCTATTGTCATTACCGGTAGCAGTCCGGTCACGACAACGACAACGACGTCGGCGTCGACCACGGGCAAGAAGCGCGGTAGGCCGTCCAAGGCCGACAAGGAAGCTCAAGCTCAGGCTCGCGCGGCCTACTCTCGGCCAACACCGATCACGCCCGCGCCTCTGCCTCTGGCACCCATCGTACAGCAACGCGAATATGCAACCTCTCCCGGTTACGAGATAGCTAGCAGCCTGGCCGACCAAAATTCGAGAATGCGCTCCAGACCCGGTCCGGTCGACAGCCCACGACAAACGAGTGGTCCATTCCCGTTAGCCTCGCCAGCTTCTACCACGGGCACACCCCGCGCCCTCCCGGAACCTCTGGAACAGGTGGAGAGGGCTAATCTGTCCCCTCGCGATCAACAAGCCTCGGCTCCGCTGGACTCGCGATCACCAACGCTGCACGCGTACATCCAGCACCAAGAGCCATCGCCGCGCGCACACGCCCATCCGCAGCCTCGGCAACAGCTCCCAGTCCCGATACAGCCTTCCCCACGGCCTTTGCAACCATACGACCAATACCGCGGCCCCGATCCCATATTTCCAGACCGGGACAGGAATCGGAGTATGCCCGACCCGATATCGAGGAACTCGCCACCTTCCCCGGTAGTAAACCGAGGTTGAGACGGAATGCGCTGTGGTGATTGAAGAAGGGACCAGTCGAAGTGATTACATCGATACTTTGATATTCCCACGCAAAAGGCGTACTACTGGCCGATACAGGAAGATTTGTTGCGGTTCTTGATAGGCACACTCACTGCCTTGGACGATTTACGGAATTCCCTCTGCTTCGACAGCGACAGCGACAGCGATTCGAATTGCTACACTGGGCCCTCATAGGTCTCCGTACACCACCCGTCCACCAAACGTTTGAACGACGCATTCGTCGATTCGGAATAAGCACCATGGAATAAGCATTGGAAGTGGCGTGTCAAACCAAAGCTGCTTATTCCCGTCTGCTTATTACAGCATTCCCAAATTTCCATTTGATATGTGATCTGGAATCCTCCCAACATGGTGCGTACGGAGACTCATGAGGGCTGAGTGTACCTGGCGTTATACCCATACCCGCATACGCTTTGCACCATCACCCTGCTGGGCGACGCTTCATTCTCCGGCAACCTGGCCGTTCCTTGTTAGCATGCATGAGCTCGATTATCTGTACCATGCGAGCCGGTATCCACATTACGACGGCGTCTGCCCATTTTTGTCACTACAGCATCTGGCGGCTTGTTCTGTTTTTCTTCTCTTTATAGGTCACGAGATCGCGCTCTTGGCGTTTGCGAATTATCGTTCGTTTGTATAATAGGTTATCTGGGAGGCTTTTTGGGTACTAACGGCGGCTGGTAGGTTTTTCCGGTGGCTCGCTTGCTTGGGCGTTAACTACGATATAGATGTGTTTATGTACGAGATACGCAATCATTGGTCGGCAAGGAATTTAGTGGAAATAAAGATATCGATATTATCTTTTTCGTGGTATGAGATGCTGGTGTTTGAATCTCAGATCTGGCTGCTTTGAGACTTGATGGGCTAACAGTGAATGTGCAGGACCGCGGTCTGTAAGAATTCTTCATTGGGTAAGTACGGGCTGTACGGACGGCTTGCAGAGCCTTGCTGTGCGGATAGGGGACATGATTCCTCTCCCATCTACAGCGCAACGTCGACGCACTAGCTCGACACGACGGATGAGCCAACTCAGGTCACAGCGACCACTTCCGTGTACTAGCCATATGTGTATCAGCCTACGTGACAACGATTTGCATGGCTTTTGCCAGCTCGAGATCGGTGACGGCACGTCAAAATACATATGATTCTTGTCTATGGACTTCCTTTGACCGAGGTAAATGGACGCCGAGTCAACAGACTGTGCAAAAGTCTGGAGACACGACCTTGGAGTATATTAGACGCCACTGGCTCGGCCTCCGTTTTCGACTTGTGCTCGTCTGCCTTGAACATCCTTCGATCGCCTAGACGCATCCCGGGATGGGTGTTCAAGCAATGAAGATGTTGTCCCCAAACCCGGCCCGATGTCTGAGGCCGGGGTTTCAAGATCACTGCCTTCTTGTACCTGCCTCATTCGTGTCTTCTCCACCTACGTATGTAGTTACTACCACTGCAATGTTCTTCATAGATAACCTGGAGCTCCTCATATCTCCACGTCCGCCAGTTATGAAATGCGGTATCGAACAGATGGGCCGTGGGCTCAAAGCATAACTGGTATGTATAATCTCCCTGTATCAATACATTGTTCCCGCGAATTGTGAGAGTGCGAACAGCCTTGGGGGTGGTGGTTTCGGTCATGTAATCTGCATCACTACCTACTTGACCCTTTCATCCTTCATTCTTCGCGGCCAAAATTCTTCGCCCGCCTTTCCCGGTGATTGTCTGGCAAAGCCTGCTCATATTTCTCATTGATCGGTCGGTCCCCTTCGTCTTGTTGCGTTCGGGGACTGAGGCATATTCAAGTTGATCAGAACCACAGCCAGCAACAACTTCCTCTTACAACTTCAACCACGTCTCGATTGCAGTTCATCACGTTTCAAAAAGAACCACGTTACCGCAGTGAGGTAAGATACGACGGTACAATCTCATCACCGGCCGTGATCTACATGATCCTGGAAGCACCGGGGCGAACCGCGTCTCTGGTACTGCGGTATCCAATCGCGAGGTGTGTCACTTACGCGAGCCATTCAGTTGGCGGATGGACGTAACACACCTGTCCTGGCACCCAATTTGCCGGGGTCTACGTACAAATGTACGGAAGTGATTGGCTCCCGGTTGGGTGCGAACAAGTGGCTGGTGTTGCATTGCATCGATCAACCTGCCACCTTGGTAAATAAGCCAACTCCTGAGTCTTACTAATTATGCGTACCATGCACTCGGCAAGGACAGCACTTGGCGTGGAAAGACGAACTTTCTCATAACTGCTCTGTGTTGATGCAGGGTGGTGCTGTAAGTTGCTTGAGCGTCAACGGCATGATCCGTGAAAGTCGGGCTGCATTTTGTACCTACACTTACGGTAATACCCGACTTAACTACCCTCCCTTTCTTCGGCTAACTGAATGCGATGATTACGCCTAGCACAGCATCACATACCTCGGGGATACTCTGGTCTCTTGCTCATGGGCCTAAGGGTATTATCGGGTTTTATGGCAGTTTGGAAGTTCTCACAGCTAGGCACCCACACCACGCCAGGCGGAACAGACGATGGGGTGCTATAAGCTGTACTGACTGTAAAAGCCGATTACAATGCAAAACTGTAACACTGTAGAGGAGGCTTCGCGTACACACTTATCTGTTCATCAAAGGAGCGTGACATGCAGCACCAAGGAGCCCAATAACAGGCGATCATATTGGATCTCTAGGACCTCAAACTTCGAGGTGGCCTGGGTGGGGCTATAAGACGCTTTGGCCATCGGCCCGGTCATAGAAGGCTCGGGCCGTTCCAATCCATACGGCGGGGCTTCCATTGACATGACCTGCCCCGCCCCCGCCGGCACCTGGCGACCCGGACCCCGCTGGGCCTCATCAGATCAACAATCTGAAGTCTCCATGTTTCACGACGTCTCGTCACTCGATACAGCAACGCTGGATACTGCTCCCCATCATGACAGCGAACTGACTGCGAAAACACCACCAGAGACTCACCATGGGTCGTGCCGCGGCAAGGCTTATCGAGCATCGAAACCCTGCCGCGGGTACCGTCCTTGGATGTGTACGAGCTCGTGATACGTATATCGCTCTAGACTGTTATGTGGAAAATTAATTCTAGAACGAAGTGAAGGAACAATTCGGCACATTTAGCTCCCCAAGGAGGTGCATCACAGGCTGGAGCTGGCTGGCTGGCTCCCGCCTTCCCTACATGGAGACAGGTAGGTAGGGCATTCCCGTCTCCCCCACTTCCAGCGGAACTTACCTTCCCCCTTCTAGGTGCAACGCCTCGGCTGCCTCGATCTGCAACCTGCGTGGTGCAGTCGCTCATAGGGTGCTCTTTAGGCAGGTAGAATGTAGCCCCGCCCTATCGCCCAGGTAAGGATGCGGGGGATCGAAAGATGAGAATAAATAGCTCGCAACCTTCCAACTTCATAGGTGCCGAGGTACTCATCCGCATTCCCTTCCCACGTCCAACGGCGACGACCTGGTTAGCTGGACAGTCTTGCTTTCTAGCCACTAGACAACGATGTGGCTCATCGATACTCATACCCTGAAGCTGGTGTTCCATGCTGACCCGAAACAGTGCTCGTACGCCATACTCTCACATACTTGCGCAGAAGAGGAGGTGACGTTCCAAGAGTTCCAGAACCTGGCATACGCTCGCACACGGCAGGGCTTTGCCAAAATCAAAGAAACATGCGCTTTGACTCAGTCAGCCGGGCTCCATTGGGCCTGGGTCGATACGTGCTGCATTGACAAAACGAGCAGCGCTGAACTGAGCGAGGCCATCAACTCCATGTTTCGCTGATATCAACAGTCAACTGTCTGATTTACATACCTTTCGGATCTACCACCCCTAAAGCATGAAGAGCCGATCATAGAAACACTGTCGCCTATGGGCGACAAAGACGTCAGCACTACCACCGGAGACATGATGGACAATGGTCTACCAGGATGCCGGTGGTTTACAAAGGGATGGGCGCTGCAAGAGATCATCGCCCCTCGAAATCTCGAGTTCTACGACAGCTGTTGGACTCTCCGCGGAACGAAGGAGTCTCTACGTGATACACTAGCCACGATCACGAAGATTGATCCCGCAGCTTTGTGCGGCACTCGCCGTTTGCAAGACTACCCAGTGGCTGTCAAAATGTCTTGGGCATCGAAACGAGAAACAACAAGAGTTGAAGACTTAGCCTATTGTCTGCTGGGCTTATTCGACGTCCACATGCCTATGATCTACGGCGAGGGCGATAACGCTTTCATCCGATTGCAGGAGCCCATATGCAAAATGACTAACGACCTATCGTTATTCTCATGGACGTCGAAACCAGACCCTCGAAATGTCAGTCGTGGGGTCTTCGCAAGCTCCCCTGAAGAATTCAGGAGCTGCGGCGGCATCGTGCGGTTTTCGCGGAGTTTCAGGCGGGATGTCAAGTTCGCAATCACTAACAGAGGACTGCGAATAGAACTCGGAGTCACTGAATATTCACAGGCCACTGGCATTATCATCATGATGTTGGACTGCTTTGATACTCTGAGGCTCACTGATGGTCGACCGTCATCTATCGGACTATATCTCTTCCCAACTGGAAATGAGGTTGTTCGAATCCACCCTGATAAATTGCATGACGACGGGACGCTCTGGAACCGCTTCCAGAACAGGTGTACCATCTATATGAGAGAACATATTCCGGTGGAAGAGGGGTTGTCTCAGAGCAACTACCACCCAAGCATTTACATGGATTTACCAGAACCCGTCGCCATGCTCGATGTTCGCCCTAGTGCCCAAAAGTATAACGACAGCGACTCGCCTGTCTGGACCAGACTTTCAGCGGACGAGGACTTTCTGGTTTATTGCTTATTTCGAGTTCATGGGCAACAAATCAGGGGCGTCCAAACTCACGCTCCATTCCGGTGCTTGGTAGTATACGCCAAGTGGGCAGGTGAATCTCGACAGGAAGATGTGATCAAAGCCTACGTGTGGACAGAGCACTGTGACTTCTGGCCTGAAATCGTCAGGTTGGTGGATGGACCAAATGAGACCTGCGAAGGATCCAGTAATTACCAGCTGCACAAGATGCTCATCAAGAACGGAGTTGCGCCGGATGAGAAGACAACTGCCACTCACGTCGATGAAGAGACTGTCGTTACTGTCAGGCTGGATGTATCCCAGGCTTCATTGCATCACATGCTAGATATATCTGTCGAGAGATCCGCTATCCAGGAATAGGTGGAGAGGCTGCGTAGCAGGGGTTCACGGGAGCTTGAATGTGTGCGCAAGGCATAGATACTGGGTGCTGGCGCCTGGTTTTACTTCAATGAGGCTGTGGTTGGAATCGCTTGATTCAGTCAACGAGGCTTGGAGTGAATACCGAAGAGTCGAGCAATGTGTATGCAGGCGAGTTACCCCTAATACCTCTCTGTACTAAGTGTGGCCTTGCTCCCGCCAACTATATAACGTCGTAGCCTGCTGTCTCGAGCTACGGAACAGCCATATATCAACTAGAGCACTGCAGGAGCCCCAGGAGCTGCGCATACATACCTCCTACATACACACCTAGCCGGATCTTTCAAGCCCCGATACGAGAGAAACCCAACATCAATCCTCATCCGACGACTCGCCCCCCGCAGCCCTGGCCCGCTTCTTGCCCCTCTGCTGCCCATCCGGTGCCCCCACGTCCTTTCTGACAAAGACATAGCTCCGGGCCGCGCGGTCTTCGCCCTTCCACCCGCCGCCCACGGCGTCGCCGTTTTTGTTTTTGATCACGCCCAGCGTGCGCGCGTGGTGGTAGCCCGGGTACGCGGCGGCCTGGAACCGGAAGCTGCACTCGACCTGCAGCCCGCAGTGGCGCGCCAGGTCGCGGATGTTCCACAGGGTGTACGGCTCGCCCTCGAAGAGGGTGACGATGATGGAGGGGGGCGTCTTCTTCTTGCTGTCGTCGTCGTCGTCGGAGGGAGGGTTGTGGGAATGGGAGGAATGAGAGGAAGCCACTCGGGAGGATGGCGCGAGCGATGGAATGGCGTGTTGGAAGAAGGCCACGAGCAGCTCCTGGTTGTAGCGCACCTGGCGGTTGACGTCGGTGCTCTTGCCGCCGACGTGCGGGAAGTTGAAGATGATGCGGTCCATGACGCCCTCCCGCTGCCTGGTGCCGGTCGTGCCGGCTGTGGTGGTGGTGGTGATCGTCGTGAACGGCGCCATCTTGGTCGCGTCGACGTTGTACGCGACTCGGCAGCTGTCCCCCTCGGCCTCGATGGCGGCGATGTTGGCGGCCGCGTGCGGGTATTTGAGAAGCAGCTCGGCGCGGTTCTTTTCCAGCACCGTGGCTGTCACGTCGGCGCAGTAGTGGTGCGTTACCAGCGAGGCGCCGAAGCTGAGGTCGCCCTCGCCGATTAGCAGGATCTTGTCTTCAGGCGAGAAGGGGATCGTGGGCTCGGCGTGCTGTCTCTGCTGTTGTTGCGCTGGCGGGTTGGTCGTCTTCGAAGGGGCTGTCGCCTGCTGCCCCTTGGACTTGACGTTGCCGTGTCCTGCACCCTTGCCCTTGGCAGTAGCCGCCTTGGGTTGCGTCTTGTGACCCCCAGCTCCGCCGCCGTGTTTGGCCGGCTTCTGCGGTTGCGCCAGCTTCCGCCGCTTCCCCATCGTTTCGCAGAGGTTGTGTGCTACCTGTACCGGCGCATGTTTCGAATTGTGTGTGCAAGACTGCAGAAGCAGTTCCTGCTCTGCTCTGCTTGCTGCCAGGCCGAGCGTAGATCCCGCAGTCGCAATGGATCGAAGTGAGGCCGGCTCGGCGCTGGTTCTAAATCGCGGGCGGAAGGGATGATGAGGTGCGGTCGACGAAAATGATGCCTGGTGGTTGCTTAATGGGGAAAATTCTAGTGGCTCCCAAGCTCTCCCGCAGACGCCGACATATCCCACTTCCGGCTGGTGGGGCCTCTGCGGGGGCACGCGCACGCCAAGAATGGACATGGCCTAGCCCGAAGAGGGTTCATCCTAGATCATCAGCGACCGGGGGGTTCCAGGGGTCCCTTTTTGGGGCCAGGTCTCATCAACGACCTCGGGAATCCCGACTCGTCTTGTGTAAGCGGGCAGGCGGGCAGGCGGGCTGCTGCCCCTCGTGGGATTCAGTTCGGTAGGACGAAGAAGGCGAGTTGGGTTTTCAGTCCCGAAAGGAGAGCCTTGACGACTTGAAGCTCCAAACTGTCACTGCATTACTATGATCGGTCTACCGTATTGTATCACGGCACACGGGGGACAGTTGAAATATCTTTCAATGTTCATATACAAACCATACCGACGTCTCTTAGCATGGACTGTATCCAGAAGAATGTCAAAACAAAGAACAGCTGCAAGTATTTCTTAGTTTTGAGTTTTGATAGAAGCCGATCTCGTTTCTTTTCTAGCACCAGTCAGCGCGCTTTACGCAAAGTCCGAATGTCCGTGTTCATCGACAAGAGAAGACCATGGTGTTGGTGCCACTCACTGCTCAGCACAGTCAAGCGATTACCTATGTAAGTTTTTGCTCTCGTGAGGCTTCACTCTGTCAAGAGTGAAGTGACAGAGCGAGGCCTCGCCCATTGTGCATCTCACCAACAAGTGTCAAGACTGCTGAACAATCGCAAATATCTGAAGTCTGTGTCTTACTTGAGCGACAGTAGATACATACATGACCTATTTGCTGGCTCTGTGGGGGCATACGTATTGAGATGGGATGAACAATGGAGACCCTAGAATGCGAAAAAGAGAGTAATATTATTGGCTTTCCTCTGCAACGCAAATGCTCGTACACAACCAGCCTTGAGGCGCCCAACCTGCATGCGTGTAGGTACGAAGAGGTCGTGACTACGTCTTCCAGCGCAAGGGGTTGGTTCCGTGAAACGCTGCCATAGGGGTTGCGCGCAGTTGGTGCATGTGTATTGGGTCCATGTATCCCGTGTCCCCCATGTCGGGTACACATTTGTGACTTACAGAGAACTCAGAAAAGTCAATCACGAATAGGTAGATAGTCGTAGAGCCAGCCACCAAGGCACTCCGTCCGCAATGACTTTCTATCCTCGACATGAGCCAGAATAATGTAATTGTTATTAGGTCGCCGTCCTTGATGCAATGCGTCCAGCACGGCGTGGATGGATTGGATTGCAGCTGGACGCCCCGTGGCCCGCCGTGGGAGAGCCGGAAGCGGATAGCGGATGATTGGTTTTGCCGAGCCAATCAGCGACGGATGCCGGGGGCGCTTGGGGACTGGAGAGACAAACTTGGCTGTATCGGGAAGTCTCCTAGTTATGCGTGTGCTGGTGCAGTGGTGCTGGCGTATGCTGGGGGCGACCTGCTGTTTAATTGAGAAAATCTCATGGCGATATCTCTACTACACGAACCCTCAATCCGTTCTGTTGCCGCCCTCACGACGTGGAGGATAGCAGCGAGATCGAGGCAGTTGGTCTCTGGTTTCTGGTTTCTGGCTTTTCTAGTCTGCATTGTGCCCAGTCGCTTTTGCCGCCTCGTCCACCGTCTAGACTCTGGCCTCCTGCACTCTCACCTCTCACACCTCCAGCTCTCACACCTCACCTCATCCGTCTTTCACCATTTTTGGCAGACTGACTTCTACCACTTTTTCCCTGACTGCTGCACACCACCAAACCACCATTCATCCACAAGCAACTTCTTTTCGCCTGCATCCCTCTCTTCCCACAATCTTACACCACCCTCCTGCAACCTGCTCGGTCGTCAATCGCCCGCCGCAACAGGTTACATATTCATCACTCTCTCCTCTGCTCCATCCGCTTCTCTTCCCATCAATACATACATGATCCGCCAACATGGATGACTCCGCCCAACCTGCCGACTCCCCGGCGCCCAGTCCCGCCAAGGGCAAGCCCGTTGCCCCTAAGAAGACCACGGGAAGAGGCATCAGTAAGAAGACCGCACGGAGGGCAGCCGCCGCCAATGCCAGACGAGGTGCTGGCCGTGGCAGAGGAGGCGGCCCCGGACGAGGCCGAAACAAAACTTACGACAGCCACCGTGTTCAGGCTGCCTACGAACGCCAGAAGGAACTCCGCGAATTGTATTCAGAGGTCGCCGGCGCTGCCAAGCCCGCTCTCGAAGATTTGGCTGATCTCACAGTTAAGAAGCTGCTCGAGAACCCCAATGCCCACGAGGAGGTCCTCGAATATCAGATTTTGCAGCAGCAATTGGATGACCAACTCGCCGCCGTCATCCGCAGCGCAGATCAAGAGTTCAACACCAGGACCGCCATTACGACCCGCCAGTACGAGCTCAACACCGCCGTCAGCGAGAAGAAATTTCTTGTACGAATTCACTTGCCGAGCTCTGTTCGCACATTGGCCTTCCTTTTGTCATATGTTTGCTTCGTGTCCCCATTACTCACATCGCCTTTAGGACTCTTACAATTATTCGACTGAAGAATTTTACGATGCTTCCCTCAACCGCACTAGTATTCTGGAGGAACTCAGGAATGAAGGCTGCGGTGTGGATGTAAGTCAAAGCCATTTGAACTTGTACTTGTTCCAATTGATGTCATGAATTCACTTTTCTCATGCATGCCGTAAATCTGACCCGTTCGCGCAGATCGTCGATAAGTCATACACCTACGTACAGGAATCGGATGATATCGTCTTCGACCAAGGACCCTACGTCTATCTTCGTGGGGATGGACTCAAGATTCCTTTTCCTAGTCTGTTGAAGGACGAAGAGAAAGAAGAAGTCAAGAAAGCGGTCATCAAGCCTCAGTCGCACCCTCAGCCACAGCCGAAGAAGGCAAAGCCTGCTCCCAAACGGAAAGCAGAGGGCCCGCCTGAAAGTCAGCCGGACTCGAAGAAGCCAGCTGCAGCTGTTCCTGGATCGAGCAAGTTGACAAGTGGCGAGGACGCCTCAACTCCCCGACCACGGCACATCGGAGGTCTGCTGTCAGCCGAGAACGAGCCCGATGCCGAACCAGAGTCCAATGCACCTTCGCCTACGCCTAACAACGACGGGCAGTCTCCTGGTTTAGAGCCAAAGGCCGACCCAGCTGTGAAAAGGAAAGACGTGCCTGATCTCCCCAGTGGAGCAGCTGAGCCTGATGCTTGGGATGTCAGGACTGTCAATAGACGTGGACCTCGAGCAAACAACCGTATCATCATTCCGCCGCCGTTCGAGTGGGATGATGACGAGATTGGGTTCCGGGACTCAACCAACGACTCAACTCGGAAGGCTACACGAGGAACAAGAGGGGTCTACCTTAACAAGCCAAATTCTCGCTATCATCACTTGGACCGTACCATAGTGACGTACGACTGTCTCGAGTATGGGGACGGGGATCTGGATGCAACGCTTGTGGAGAAGCACAACCTCCATCCAAAGTATGGCTTGTTCATGCCAGACTCGGTCAATGATTCAGAGCCACCTGGAGAGCACGTCAACAGTACTAAACCTGTTGTCGTCATCACCCCCAACGGAACTACCCTCCATGCGTCCCGCTCAGTCAAAGCGATGAAAATGGACCGCGCGTTACAGGAAGAGGCTACAAGGGCAAAACTATCATCTATGCTGAGTCAGTTCTGCAAGGAGACAGACATAGATCCAGACGAGATTACCACGAATAAAATCCGCGAACGCAAACGCCAAGCCATTGAGAGACTGGTTAGTACCGCGGTCTCTGACGAGGATGAAGATGTTGCAGGCGGTGAGCACAGCCGTAGCACAGATGCCACGGCGGTCGATGATTCCGTCGCCAGGGCAAGCACCAACCAACTTCTCAGTGCCGCGGCATACCTGGACGCCGAGCAGCCACTCTCGCAACTTGGCAATCAGCGGTCTTCCCGGCCGTACGACGCAGTTCGAGACGTCTTCACCAGTTCCGAGCCAGTGCCTCCTCCGCCTACGCAGCCTTTGGAGGTTGATACCATCGGGCTCTCTTACCTTGCGGACGTGGCTGAACATGTGGCACAACAGCCCGAACACCATCAGCCTGGACATCATCAGCCTGGGCACCACCAGCCCGGACACCAACAGGTTGGACACCACCAGCCTGAGCAGCATCATGAACTACAGTTTGTGCATCATACGGCGCCGATGTATGACCATCGGTTGGATGGAGCATCAGAGCAGATGGATATGCCCGTGATTGGGGACTCCTCGATGATCGATCCTCGTCTTCTTGGTGTGCCCATCCAGGCGTCTGCGCCGTCAAACGCCTTCCTGAAGACAGCATTGAACCCAGCCCCTGCGTTTGCCCACATCGCACCGGCGCCTGTTGGAGCGTTGGAGGCGCCACCCCAACCCTCTACTGGCAGAATCCCTTTCACGACCCAGGGTTCTTCCAGGGGAAGTCCTGTTCTTCCACCTCTTCGCCCCACACGACGAGATCATGGTCCAGACGCTTCGCAACCTCCTCAGGCGCAACCCCAACCACAACCTCAAGAATTCGGGTCTCCCCATATGATGGTCCACACCAATTCGGGCAACTTCTATCCTCCGGCTCCTCCTCGGCCCTTCCACCAGAGCTACTCCATTCACGAGCATCATCCTCTGATGCTCATGCCAATGCCCATGTCGATGCAGCAGCAAGGTCCCCCAATGGCCAGTGCTAGTATGCTACCTAATCAGGGTCTGCCTCCTCCGCCACCCCACTACGGAGGCTCATACCAGGTGATGACTCTGTCTCCTCCTATGCATAGCCATGCACAATTGGCGAATATGCCTGGGCACATAGCAGCCGCACCCCCTGTGTCTCCTCCAGGCCCGCCGATGGGCGTTCCATTATCCCCGGCCCATGCCACTCGCCACAGAGCTTCCATACCTTCAAGCAGCAGCGCCGCTAAAAAGTACCGAAGCATTGCTGCCGCGCCCATCCCTCACAACCAGCCTTGGCAAGGGAGCGGGGGCCGCCCTGCACTTCGTCTCGCTCATTATGACCACAAGGAGGCCATTAAAGACTACCCAGCGAGTGAGCCCCCTCCACGCTCCGGACCCACCCAAATCAGAGGCTGGAGCATCAACAACGCACCCAGAGGTCGAAACAAAGGTTACCGAAAAGAGGACACTGAGGAGAAAGACTCTCCCAAGTAGGCCTCAGAGACTGTTATTCCTCCTACACCTTTGTATTGACGATCGCCACTTCACAGCATCACTTCATACATCAACAAGTGGAACCCATCAGACAAGAGTCTAGGTTAGGCCTTGGCTGAAATGATCGACAGCAATCGAATGCTCTCATGATCATTGTCTACCGGCGAGGAAAAGGCAGGGCCTATAGCGACAATCTTTTGTTTCAGCGAAGAAACGGATGAGGTCCACCGGACATACTATACTCTCTCCGTCTTCTAATACTAATCGCGCATCCATCGTCATTCTTCTCTTTCACCAGCATAGCGACACACCCAGGTTTGGCTGGATACAGGGCATTTGGACATGGTCATGACGGCCATCATTGTGGATATGGCCTGGCACCACACAAAAAGCACTCTTGCATGGGTAGGAGTCTGGGGTAACAAAAATTACCTCCGTATTGTTTTTGTACTGTTTGGGATATTTGCATAGAGGTCAACTCGGCGCTTGGATCGACAAGATCGGACGACTGAGTTCTGATTTCTGGGTCTGCACAAAAGATACCTGCGGCATGACAGCGGACAAGGCTGTCGTGGACTACATGGTCCTTCGGATGAGGGATGGATAGAGAGCTGCGATGTTTCGTGCTCGTTCAGGCAGTCAGCCTATTAGATATAGGCATCAATATGGATATTTATTCATCCAATGAACATCGTGATTAGTCTAGTTACAATGCGTGGACAAAAGTCTCCGCCCGATCCCCAATTTTACCCCTTCCATCTACTATACCCTCCAACTCAATTGAACCATAACGTATCCAATTCTGGTGATAGAATTCTCAAATAAATTGTATTTAATAACTAAGTCAATAATGTGTATACCAACCACCGGCGCGCCTCACTGCAGCTATTCGGTCCTCCAGTGACTCCATCAAGGCCCGAACCTGCTCCGGATCGATCTCTGACCACGCCTGCTCAATTAACTCGTGTGCGTAGCGATGATGGGGGATATTATCCTTCAATTCAGAAAATTCAGGCTCAATTTTATGTATGTTTTTCTTCAGAAGTCGCCAAACATGCTCGATTGGGTCCATATCGGGGCTGTGAGGAGGCCAGTCGATACAATGGATGCCGTGCTCCTCTATCCACTCCGGAACACCGCCAGTGAGGTGAATTTTCGCGTTATCTTGAACAAAAGGATCTCCAGTCTCATAAAACGGAAGCAGGCCTTCCTCAAGAACCCATTTGTATGACTCTGTGGATACTCCTCCGTGCGGAGCATCCGGATCGAGTGGGCAGAAGACCAACTTGCCTAGTCCTCCTTCTCTGCCGCGTAGCCAGATCATAGACCACACCATTATTAAAATACGAGATTTGCCGTGATCTGTCTCGTTCATGAGATGATAACAGTACCGCTCTGAAGAGAATCAGATGGCCCAATCGCCTGGATTATCGGATAAGTTTTGGACCGTATATTCGTCTAAGAACATAGCTCACAACAACTCCTCCAGGCGCTCTGGTATGCTATAATAATTGACAAAAGTGAGCCTTTTCTGAGCGTCCTCATCTGTGAGCTTGATTCGCTTCGCTACGCGCCACTTCTGGAGGCCATGTATGTGACATATCCTCTTAATAGTCTTAGGAAAGCACGAAACACAGGCTTCGTTTCGAATCTTTTGCCACGTCGCCTTGGGGAGCTCTCTCGCCTTTTCGATCACATGAGTGCGTTCATGAGTATTCAAAACGGGTGGGCGACCGCTCCTTGGGGCAGATTTTGGTGTAAAAGTGGCCTCAAAGTTGGTGGTAATATCAGAGATGGTTTTCAGGCGCTTTGTTTTAAACACGGTTGCAACATCCCTACGCGTTCTGCCGTCGATTCGCGCCGCCACGATTGCCGAGCGAGCTTCTGAAGTGAATTCGCCGTTAGCGATGCGATTACCGCTTAATTCGTCCCCAAAAGATCGTAAATCCATTATCAACTGCGGTGTTGAGAGAGTGGTGAAGTCGAAGGGTGATTGACGCGTTGTTTTGATCTGAAGGAGATTGTGGTGGGTCGGGCGGAGACTTTTGTCCACCCAGTTTACATGATACTTTGCCCTGTCGTGACACCTTTCAGACGACGTATCAGAGGTCCGCCCGTTTTCAATTTGTCGAGTTCGACGTACACTGAACCCGCACAAGTCTCCGCACACCACCCGTCCAGCAAACAACGATAACTTTATCAAATCGGAATAAGCACCATGTAATATAATAAGCAATGGAAAGAATATATCAAGCCAGAGCTGCTTATTCCTGTATGCTTATTCCAGTATTTCCAACTATCCTACTGGTAATGGAGTCTTGCCAACATGGATGGCGCGTACGGAGACTTCTGAGGGCTGAGTGTAGCCTGCACTCCAGAACAAATGCCCATGCAGACCACCTAGATTGAGTGACTATACCAGAGGTGAATCGATTAAATCAACCTCTATATAACTAGCTTAACTACCTACTGTTTCCACTGCAAGATACTTGGTCAACGGCGTACCTACCTTGATGCCATGGATGGGTAATCCGTCATTCTTGCGGGCCCAGGGGTCCTGAATGAACCGATGTGTAAGCAACTCTATCTGGCCTTGCGATTTTCGGTGACTACTGTTCGATACCTTCAGTCTCCTCATGTTGCTACTGTTAGCCACACACATATCACGAAGTAGTGCAAGAAAACAAGCATACCCGTCAGGGCTCTAATCGCCTTTCCAGTCGTTCAAAACTGGGTCAAGGCGATTAGAGCCCTGACGAGTAACCGTGGGCTCAAGGGTTATGTGCTCCCCCTTGAGCCCACGGTTACACATGTTTGTTGACAGACGGACTCTGTGGTCCGTTGTTTCGCGGCTGTATCTATCTACTTACTGTACAAGTATCATCTGACCCACTGACTCAGCTATGGGAAGAGAAGAAAAAAGTGAGCGGCAGAGATTCGCCACTGCTTTGTGGCGGGGGTATCTTCCGCAATGCTATCCTGGGCGCCTCTCCTCCAAATCGATCGAAACATCGGAAAGATCTGCCTAAGAGACTCCCTTAAACATCCTCGCTCGCAGACCACCAGGTGAATCTCATGCCCAGATGGACTGCCCAGATTCGTCTCATAGGAGGTCCGAAAGACCCACTGTGTCTGGGTCGTCTTCGCCCGGGAAAATGCGAGAGAGGATTTCAGATCTCACTTTATGAACGCCGCCAACTCCGCCGACCCGGCCTGATTGAAGCCATCCGACTGGGTGGCACTTCCCGGCACCGAATTGTTGGTCTGGCCCAACGGCAGCATTTGTGGCATACCGACTTGACCCATAGGCGCGGACGCCGGCGCGGGCGTTGTGAGCTCGAGCTGGGCTCGGCCGAGGTTACCCTCGGGATGCATCGCGTACATGTTGGCCTCCATTTTGTTTCCGTCAAAGACGACCATGTTCTGGATCGGTTGTTGGTTCTGGCCTAGAACGTTGATGACGTCTTGCGCCAGTTGTCCGCCAAGGATTGCCGCGACAGGTGCCATCTCACTGCCGATGTTTTGCAAGAAGCTGCGCAGGAATTCGGAGCGAAGCGTCTCTGCTGGAAGGGAGAGTAGTTGATGGTTGTGGGTCGCGGTCCTCGTGAAGAACTCTAGGTCCTGTTTGGTGTGGTTCGGATAACGACTGTACATCTGCTGGAAGGACCAGAGAGCACGCAGACAGGAGAGGGCCGGTGTCACAGCCTTGAGGCGACGCTTCGACTTCAGATACTCGGACGGCAATGCGCTCGTCTCGGATGCAAGGTCCCATGTCGAATAGAGCTCACGCTTGCTGACTAATTCGATAGTCTTGTTGCCCTCCCTCTGAGTCTTAAATTCCGTCACGCTGCGTGTGCGGCTGCCATCTTCCGGGCCCAGAGCAGTCTTCCCGTTGCCTTTGTCACGCTTCAGAACGTAGTCATGCTCGATCAAGTCACAGAAGATGTAGCCGTAAAAGCCGTGTGAACCAGCCGCATAGAACTGAATATTGTGGAGGCGGGTGGCGGTGTTGATGAAGGCGAGCAGGGTAGGGTTGAGGTCTGTTGCGATGACGATGTCAAAGGCCGAGAAGTAGGACGCCCCTTTGTTCATGATGGAATCGGGATCGGGGTAGACCTTGACTCGTGGATTCAGCTTCTGTATCTGACCAGCAGCTGCCACTGCGCGGGTTTGTCCGATGTTTTCCTGGGAGAGAAAGAACTGAGAGCCCAAATCGGCTTCAGTCACGATCTGATCGTCAACAATGGTTAGAGATCCAATGCCTGCTAGGACGAGGTTCTTTGCGATCTCATTGGCCAGAGCCTTCATCGTGATCAGAAGAATATGAGCGCCTTGAATCTTCTGTTGGGCTTGCATTCCCCAAAGGCGAATCTGGCGATCATATAGCGCTATTTCATCTGGAAATCACGTTAGAACCGAAGACAGAGAGAGACCTGGCGCTGGAATCACGTACCGGCAGTCATCTTCTGGCCGGTCGCGCCCTGCTTAGCATTCGCGCCGTTGGGCCCGTTCGTGGGTTGCTCAGCGGTTGCGATGGTACTCAGAGGCGGGAATGTGCCATTGCTGTTGTTTGTTGGGCCAGGTGGTACAGCCAAGGCGGTACCTTGATTCGGAAACATCAGGCCGTTGGCTTGGGCAGTCTGGTCCGTGACAGCCTCAGTTGAGGGAGCCACCCCCGCTTGCGAATCTTGTCCGGACATCTGGCTGTCTTGAGCGGGCTGTTGTTCAGGGACGGCAGTGGGAGCTTGGGACTCGGCGGGCACAGTCTGTTCTGCAGTGGCCATGGCTTGAGAGTGTGCGATGAGGGAGAGTCTCAGTGTGAGGACGATGATACATCAAGGAGATAACCTCATCCGCGGGTGTCGCCTCTTTAAATAGAGTGATAGAAGAGGGTGCGGGCGATGAGATGACGAGATGGTGACGGTGGTATCTGGTTGTTTGCTCGCTGGCTCACTGGCACTGGCGCCAGAATCAAGATGATATCGAGTAGTGCGATCGAGATGACAAGAGAAGATGCTGGAGCTCAACAAATGGATGTGTCTTGCTTTTGTGGAGGAACGCTGACACTTAGCCACTGACTACCTCGCCTCGACGCTTGAGCTGCAGTTTCGGGCTGTTTGCAGCCTGAGCGTGGTGTGATGGATTGATGTGTTTGTGACTGACTGAGCCTCGTCCCCAAACGCCAACGTGCAGCGATGCAGCGATGCAGCCAGGCAGCATGCAGATAGGTGTAGATGCAAGCCGCCCAGAATGGCCTATCTCCCATACGGTCTAGCCGCGTAGGTGGGGTACCGGTACCTTGGGAGCGGGTATCATTACAGTTGCCTGAGTCAGTTTCGATGGAGTTCAAATGTTCATTACGCTCAAGCTGCGTGTTATGTTGCAAGTTCGCGATGTACGTGATGTACTCAGTAGAAGCGAGGCTACATTTAGAGACACACACGGTGCGGAGAATCAAGTGTGAGGTTAGGTAATGTAACTGCGGCGCGACCATGCATCTTCATATCCATGATTATGTCAGCACTGCGCATGCTTATCCGACAACGTTGCAAGGCTAGGTGCATGTTAAAGAGGTACCCCGCGTGCCTTGTGTTTCAGCGCTTTACAGTGGCTTGTTTCAGAGCTTCAGCAGCGCCCGTGCAAGTACACGCTATCATTTCCTTCCGCACTCCAGCAGCCCCAATGAAACGGCTCACCCCGCCTACCTGATCATCCATTCCTGTCGTTCCCGTTTCCCAACTACATCCATCCACCCATCTATCCATCCTCCCTCCACCCGTACATACGAAACACCACCTCGGTACTGTAGAGACGTACGATCGAACGTCTGTCTGCTCGCATTGTCACATAGAGCCCACCTCGCACCTACTCAACAACACACAATCTCACGGCCCCAGACATTATATCAAGAGAAACCCGCCATATTGTTGCGTCAGTCCCTGACCTACCTACCTCGCATCCTGCCCTGGTCTGTATCTAGGCGCCGATCCTGGATCACCGCCGACGCCGCCTTCTCTGAGTGTCTCGTCCAAAGAGACAGAGGCCTCTTCATGGTAAGGATTTCATCAAACAGGCAACATTGTGGTCCATGTGCCGCTCCGTCTCCTCGTGCCACTCGCCACAAGCTGGAAGTACTGACTAGTTTTGGTCTACCAGTCTGATAACCGTCCTGAGCGCCCATCTTCAAATACGAGCCCTTATCGCACCGCCGACGAAATCATTCGTTCCATCCTCGATGACAACGCTTCGCCCGCCGTTGTCAGCCCGTCTGGAGAATTGTATCGCGCTATAGAAAGATTCCACTCCCACCTCCATCGTCGGTCCACAAACAACGCACGACGTGACTTGGTTCGGAATCACCTGAGCCGCTGGGCTTCTCGTTCCTCTCCATCGGACGCTATGCCTTCCGACCGCAGCTCTGAGACGCAGCGCCGATTCTCGCGGGAGCCACCAGCAGCGGACACTTCCCCTCTGTTTAACCTGCCCCTAGGTGCTCCCTCACTTCCGCCCTTGCGTTCCTCGAGTTCCTTGAGTACCCGAAGACCGTCACTCATGTCGTCCGCAAACATTCCGGCTGGACGCCAAGCTCGGACACGCCCGTCAGATCGTTATTCAGCCAGGTCACGCGGCGCTCTGGAGACCCGGACCGAAAGCATGGACGATACGCTTGGTCGCTGGGATCATGGGTGGTACAATGGGCAGAACTCGCGAGAGGATGTACGCCGCTCTGTGCCGGCCCAACACAGTCGTGCGCAGTCTCAAGATAACGAGAGCGCGGGTCATCTACGCGACGACACCAACCAGCTACGCGCGCTGCTGGATTTCACCCATACTCCAGCACATCCGTACGCGGAACTTTCATTCACATCCCCGTCACTGCCACCGCAGGAACCCATAGAGGAGAGTCGCCGGGCGAAGAGACGCAAGTTGGACTCGGACCGCCTCGCTCCCGGGTTTCAGGGGTTTCGGTATGGCAAGTATGGGCAGGTGGAACCTGGTCAGCTGACAATGGAGTTGGTCAGCTGTGATGGGGGAATCTTCTCGGACGATGGTCAGAAATATGCTGCGGAGAATATACTCAGGAACGACGATACTGTATATTGCACCGAGGGGCCGAGGTGCAATATCGTCTTGAGACACCAGGGTGCCACAGTATTTACGCTTCAAGAACTCATCATCAAGGCGCCCAGGTCCAACTTTACTGATCCGTAATTATACCCCTCCCCCTGCTTCGGGCTTATGCTGACACAAAGTTCACGCAGTGTCCAGGAAGGCATGGTATTCATCTCAATGACTTCTGACCACCTCTTGACAAGGACGGCCCAGTACGCAATCCAATACTCACCTCCCAGGAGCTCGTCCAGGCGCGTCGAGCGGGAGATGCAACCTCTAGCCCCTATTGTGTCGGTAAGGCATAATGAGGATGGGAGTACAATGACAACCTCTCAGCAGCGAATGAGACGCTTTTACGAAATCGGAGTCCAGGACAGGCACAACGAATTGCGAGTTGCGCAAATCCCTTCTGAGTTCAACGCATCGCCTCCCCCCTTTCACGTCACAACAGAGTGTAGTGACGACGATGCGGAGGATCCGGCTCCCAGAGGGGAATGGGGTGCGCCGAATAGGATCGGCTCACTGCGATTCGAGAGCGATACTCAAAGACTAGGGAGCGACAGCAGTGACGAGGCGGCGGCGGACGACTTCTCGTACACGGGGACAGACGATAGGCTGCGACGTCACCGGCAACGGTCGACATCGGCGCTCGCCGAGGCGGCAGAGGCTGCGCAGGTGGCAACACAGGAAGCTGTTCGTGCGGTGGGCGGCGAACTGATGGCACCGCATGCACGGTTTTTCATTGAGCAGAACAAGACCAAATGCACGATACGATTCGACCCCCCAGTGTCAGGACGGTTTATATTGCTGAAGATGTGGAACCCAACTCGGGATCCGCGTGCCAATATTGACATTCGTGCGGTTGTGGCGAAGGGCTTCGCTGGTCCGAGATTCTTCCCATCGGTCGAACTGCGGTAGCCAGCGGGCACCGAGGACAGAGTTAGCCGCTCGACAATGTGTTGCTTTGATCCCGAGATATCCGTAGCAGTTACTGTATCTACAGAACGTTTTGGCCTCTGCAAGCCAGTGACTTTGTTATTGCACGTGCTGGACGTCCAAGGTGATGCCGCATTACCTCAGCTCATCAGAGTAAAGTAACGGAAACAACTGTCTTTTTAAGTCGATACGTTTACAGTCATGCCGGTGCTCGAAGAAAACGACAATGTCCCGGTTGCAAGAAGCCCACCGAGCCCTTGAAATCAAAAAGTGCAACCGAGCTAGAGACATATCACGTTTAGCACAATGCAATTGAATGATGTGTGTACTGGGTAACATGGACGGGCTACTGGTATTGCTGGGAGTTATTACTGAGAAGAGTCATCAAATAGATGATTGAGAATGAATCATAGCGGGGAACATTGAAGCTGCATGCAAGCAGGAAAGTCGAATCTCGGGTGTGGCAATGCGGAAAGATCAAAGCCGCTTGGTTGAGTCATCGCCGCCACAATGGAATGGCTGAAAAATAGGACATGCAGGGACAAGGAACTAGACCCCACCAAGATCATCACTGGCAGCAGACACTACTTTATCGAGCTCAATCCCGCCCAGACAGCAGAACTCACCTCCATTGACATTACCACAACCATAATCTGACGAACACACTCCCGCAAACGAGCTTAGATACCCATTCGCACTCACTTCTACTATATCAGCAGTCTCAGTATCCCAAAATACCCCAGCAGACATCCAGCATGGCTGTGCGCGCGCAATTCGAGAACTCCAACGAGTGAGTGCGAGAGCCCCGCCAAAGAACCCACGAACCGAAGCACCCCGCGAAGTTTTGCGCCTACTTCTAGGTACATGTACTGATGCGATATCACAGGGTCGGCGTCTTCGCCACACTCACCAACTCATATGCCCTGACCGCCGTCGGCGCGAGCGAGAACTTCTACAGGTGTGTTTTGTTCTGGCATTGTCGTCACGCACGAGGCTGACGGAGCTGCAGCACCTTTGAAGCAGAACTACAAGATGTCATCCCCATCTGCCGGACGACGATTGCAGGCACGCGCATCATCGGGCGGTTAACAGCAGGGTAAGCCATACCCTCAAGCCCCATTCCTGGCTTTCGCGACACAGACGACATCTGACATGTGCCTTGCCACCCCTTCCAGAAACCGCAAGGGCCTCCTCGTACCGACGTCGACGACCGACCAGGAGCTGCAGCACCTGCGGAATTCGCTGCCGGACGAGATCAAGATCCAGCGGATAGAGGAGCGGCTGTCGGCGCTGGGCAACGTCATCGTGACCAACGACCACATCGCGCTCATCCACCCGGACCTGGAGCGCGAGACCGAGGAGATCATCGCCGACGTGCTGGGCGTCGAGGTCTTCCGCCAGACCATCGCCGACAACGTGCTGGTCGGCAGCTACATGAGCCTCAGCAACCAGGGCGGCCTCGTCCACCCCAAGACCAGCATCCAGGACCAGGACGAGCTCAGCAGCCTGCTGCAGGTGCCCCTCGTCGCCGGCTCCGTCAACCGCGGCAGCAACGTTGTCGGGGCGGGCATGGTCGTCAATGACTGGCTTGCCGTCACGGGCCTCGACACCACGGCCACGGAACTGAGCGTCATCGAGAGCGTGTTCAGGCTGGGCGAGGGCGCCGCGCCGGGCAATATTGGCGGCAGCATGAAGGATACCATGGTGGAGAGTTTCTACTAAGCAGGGAGGGGTTTGCGGATGGCCCGGAATTGGCTTCTTCGTGGAGGTCGGGTCGAGATGACCAACTTCAGGCTGGGGTGCGGAAATCATATCTACCTAACCGAATCCTCGAGACGGGGACGGTGGGCATGTATGCTTCCTTCACATAATGAAGCGAGTTCGGCCTCTTGGGCGGAAAATCGTTGATAGCAGCTGCTGGTTCCTCTACAGAGCCCGGCCAGTTATGAAGCATCCATCCAGGTTATTCCTCAACCCACAATTACAGATGCCACGGACCCTTCAGTGTGACGATCGGGAGCCATAGTGCGTGACGACCTCTCTTTTTAGAACAAGACATTGGCTCCTTCTAAGACCCGTACCTCAAACATTTGGGCCCTTCAGCAATGTTTTCATTATATGGGATGGTAGGAGGGATGTAAAAGGGGTGCTGCATCTTCAAACGCTGAATGCTTAAAGTCAGGTCGCACGTCGAACAAACCCCCGGCCTCTCTGTGATATTTCGTGGTTACTTCGAACATGGGTGCTATGATGAAAGAAACTGCTTCAAGGACAGGGTAGTAGAAGGCCAGCCACCTGTGTAGGTTGGTGAATATGGCACTCGACGTATGCTGGCTGCTTCAGTGCCTTCGCACCCTCCAGAGGAGCAGGCAACTCACCAAACTATCCGGCCTCTGCTCATTGAGGTAGACAGACCATTTCCAGACCTGCTGAGATTGGGCGAGCCCAAAGGCGTCGGTCTATCTATATACGCCCCCTACTCGCCACCTATTCGCAATGGTGCGTGGCTCACGCTGTCGTCAGAATCCAGCAACGCCGGCGACAGGAGCACGTCTTCATGAAGGTCGCCCAGGCCCGTGGATATGCGTATCGTATTATCTGGCAGGCTTTCCCCTCGTTAGCGATGCCTGTGGGCTTCTTATCAATGGCCATACCTACTGTAATGCCTACCGTGATGTCTGCTGCCGGGCGTGGAGATGGCCACGGCGAGTCTGGCAGTGAGTGAGTGGTACTTACCTAGGTCTTCTAAGGAAGCCTTCTTGGAACGGCCACCAAGTTAGGTCTTTGGGCGGGCACACGAAATCCTTTCGTGTTGTCGCTGGGGGAAGGGCCTGGGGAGTGTAATCATAGGATGCGAGAAGCAAACAACGAGCAGGCTTGGGCGTAGGTGAGTGTTGGTCAGTTTTCCTCACCCCTGAGCGAAGTAAATACCTTCCCACTCTTCTACATCGTATGGTCTCTACGGAACTTATGTACAGCTTGATAACTGGCCTAGGTAGGAACCTGCTTCACTACCCGCTTCACTTCCTGGCGGCGACGGCGGCAGGTCGAGCTGCTCGACACCTCAGTCCGTAGATTGTCCAACAGCATCGACGGTGACAGGTTTGCTGAAACGCAGCTGCGCCGTCTCTAAGTTATCTTCGGCGCTGCGTACACGGCGTCGAAGGGAGAAAATCTGGGTTTTCCAGATTACGACGCCTTGTGGATAACAGGTCTCCGCAGTTTCATTCCGTTCTGGGTTTTCGAATGGAGTGGCTGCCCACTGTCCTGGCTGGCCCCTGGAGTTCAGAGCACAAGTCACCTTTAGTATCACCACCGACGCGGGTCGTCTTCATATTAGTAGTTATATATGAATCGGGTCCAGTGTGTAATTCTGCATGATCTTCCGTTTCAGTATTTCGTGAATACAGAGCCTCCCCGGATACTGGTGGTATACCTGTGCCATGCGCAAACTCCTGTGCATGATGGGCTTCAATCCACGATGTCATTCTCACGACAAGAGGGAATCCGACAGGAGGCGTTGTCGACTTGAACCGCACACTCGGTTGTGGAACTCAGAGCCCTGGGCTGTACTGAGGACGGGACGGTAGACTGCTCGCTATATATGGATTTTGGGACAGATATACCCAGAGTGACTTGGTTAAGTAGTCAAGGAGAACAGCACCGGGTAGATTGGACACTCGACGGTTTCTGTTCCAGCAAAAAGTACACAGGCCGGCCCTCAAATATAAAGTTGATATAAGGCAATCTCTACCAATACCCCATTTTCAAACATAAGAGTCGTAGGTCTCTACTTGTTGATTCGGGTAGAAAGTTAGTTAGATCCTCACGGCTATCGGAATACGTCAGAACAGGTCCTTTGATCTCCGCGTGATCATATGGACACTGTTCAGAAAAGCGACATCAGGAGGGCTGAGTGCAAGGGGAGTTATCCCGGTGCCGAAGGTCGAATATGCTCATCGTGTGATGTTGCTCGGTATTAGAGCCCCAGGTCAAGTTGGTGTAATCCTCTACCTGACCGTTTGGCGGATGAACGAATTTGCACCCTTACCTGTCGATGGCGAAGAGACTTAGTAAGCACTAAGTAAACCTGGTCATCGACATGCCTGGTGGTCCTGCCTGATGCCGAAAACATTCCCATCACGACAGTGCAAATCAAAGGGTTGGCGCCGGCAAGCCCTCGAGAGTCGATTCCAGTGATGAACGCCATGTTGTTTAAACCGCTAGACTTGGTCCAACTTCGCTCCAGCCTTTGAGGGAAGAAGATGGACCACGAGACCACCACCGACTCTACGGGAATATACCATCGTCGTCCCAAGTGCTCGCTCGGTGGCGTTTGGTGACGCCCCAGATGCTGCGTACGTCTATCAGCTATACGCAACACACACACTCGCTCGCTTGTGCCACTGGGACATGGGGCAGATGGCTTCGGACGACAGCTCGAAACTGCTGGACTTGTCGATATTGCAACAGGTGAGCATGCTTGGTCATGATAGGGGCTCCCAAGCTTCAGCCTTCTAATCTGTCTCAACTCCAAGCCACCGGGAACCTTCTTCGAGTGGATTTAGAAACCAGCCCTGAATCTTCGGGTAGCCAGCCTTCCGAGCAAGTCGCGCGGAGTGTTGCACATGCTCAAAGGGAAACCTCTTCCTTGGCCCAGGTATGCGGTAGGATAGCATACTTGGCCATGTCACGGCGAGTGAAGTCGACCAACTCCAAGATGTCTGTTTTGAGGAGCCGCATACTTAGACAGACTCCTTGATCAGAATTGCTATCAGACCGGTTCGGAGCCAAGCATGAACGCGATCGCCGCTGCGGCTTATACATGTAGTCGCACCACGACTTGCTGTTGGAACGAGATTGTCACGTCCCGCATGCGCCTTGTAACCCTAACCCTAACCCTAAGCAATTACTAGCCAAGATGCGACGACGGGCAACAAGCCCTCCGGGCTACGAGCATGGAAGTCCGGAGAGTTGGTGCTCATCACTGTGGCGTCCTCGACGGCTATCTAGAGTTGAGCGAGATGTGAGCGACTGCAGTGCATAATGTATAACGTGCCACTGCGTTGCGTGCCATGGCCTCACAGATGTCGTGACGATGACAGGGTAAATGGCGGGCAGGCCTCTGAGATAATACTGGCACGTCCAAACATGAAGTTGACAATCGAGGCCCTGGTCTTGAGAAAGAAGTGGCAAACTCTGGTGTCTCTTGGGCGGTCAATGCGAAGACCAGATAGGTCTAAGTACACACCTAATGTCCCCTATTCGAGCCTTCCAGGTACGTGTGAACAAACTCCAAGCGACCTCGCGACGGTCCACGCCAGAGAAAGTCTCAATGGTGTTGGTTAAAAGATGGCTACACCCCTTGCAGCCACTCAGCGTCAGCTATGCGTTGGTTCCCTGCAGGTGTCGGGTGTCGGGTCACCTCCCGGCGATTGCATGAGGTGTCTTGTCAATACCCCATTCGACTGTCTTCGCCTGGCGGTTGGTGGTACTGTAGCGAAGACATCATCACAATACGGGCAATCAACTCGAGACATGTGTCGCATCCTGCCTCTCCCAAGGATTCAAGTTCACCCGTAAGTACCTACATGTGGCTTAACGATCTCCCGCGTTTCTGTCCTGACTGAGTTCGCATGTGCATATGCAAGTGCTATTTGTGGTTCTTTAACTTCCACGGCTGACGGCTCACTTCTTCATCTTCCACATAAGCGTCCTACCTACTTGTCACGTTCAAAACACTGAAGTGCTACATCCACATGGAATACCCGACATCCTTGCCAATTACCAGCCGGCGGCTTACCTAAGATCTGGGATCCCAGCCAGGCCAGCCATCCTGCCATCCAGCTCACGTCCCCCGCCATTGGCAGAGTTAGGAGCTCAAATGACAAAACAGGGATGAAGGCACAAAACAGTCCCCGCTGCCCGTTACCTGTCACCGAACCGATCGCATCCACCGTTGCTGCGTTGCTCGATCTCGGGTGGACTCTCTCCTTTGTGCCGTTGCTGTTATTGTTGCTCTGTTGATTCCGCGGAACAACCGAAGTAGCGCTGCACCATACATCCTATTAGACGTACCCAACAGCTGCCTACCGTCTTCTTTTCTTCATCACCACCCAGTTCTTTGACAACCCATCATAACAACCGAGGAACGCTGCGGATTCGAAACCGCTAAAAGGGCTAACCTTGAGCCGCCTCCCAAGGTTGTCTCTGCCCGATAGGGGATCTTCCTTCCGGGGTCTTCTGCCCAGCCCGAAACCATAACCGATATTCGATCATGCAAAGGATCAATGCGACTCCTCCAGGCCCAGCGCCTCGGGGGTGGAGGGCCGAAATAGAAATGAATCATCCCAGAACATCTGTCGATCATCGCGAACCGACCTTGACCTTCGATCCAGATGAGGCAGCATTGTCAAAACCAACAGGCCGCTTGACTTCGCCTGCCAGAGACCGTATTGTCCTCTCCGCAAACCTACATCATCAACGGCAGCAATCGGCCCCCACCTTTCCGCCTCTAGATGTCAACACGCAGTCACGGTCGCCCAGTACCACACACACCCAACATCAATCTCAAGGCATGCCACTCACCGGCGACGGCCGGAGCGGACAACGCCCGGAGAACTCTCCAAAAAGATTTGCCAGCTGGCTGGGTGGCACGTCAGCCACGCCCGTCGAAGGAGCTGCCTCTCCAGATACTACACCGAAATCCAAGCGAGGAGCAAGTCCTCTTGACACGACCCCCAAGAGCGCGACCCAGTCTCGCTTCGGCTTCCTGGCTTCATCCATGTCGGCCTTCACCACGCGCTTAACGAACCAGCCTCCGACTCCTCGTCAGGTGGATGATGAGCTGTGTAACATGGATATCGAGGCGGCCCTATTCCCGTCCTCGTCGCCCTCGGACCACGATAGCTTCTCCCCGGCTGCCTACATGAACCTGCAGATGAACGCCGCCGGGCTGCTGCATAAGATGCAGGATGCCTACCGGGAGCGGACAGTAGCAATGCAGGAGGTGCAGGCCGAGCGGGAGGCGCAGAGAGAGGAGACGGAAGAGACGGAGCTCCGCATCAGGCACTGCAAGAACCAATTGGAGCAGATGGCCGCCAAGGCCGTCGAGCAGGAGCACGCGATGCAGCAACTCATGGCCGAACTGCAGGCGGAGAAGCGGGCCCGCCACGAAGAGCAGCGCATGAGTCGGGACAGTAGGATCATGGGCGAAGGGTCAACCATCACGGAGGACCTCGGCGTTGACGAGGAAGAGCGGAAGCGGTGGCGGACGAGCGACGGCACCGTCATGTCGGAGCTGAGCATCGACACCGACCGCGAGAGCGCCGAGAGCGAGAGCATCTTCTCCCGCAGCCGCAGTCCCACCGCCATGACCAGCGCAACCGACAGCGAAGGCCTCGATAGTAGCCCCGCTGGCCCACAGCAGCCCAGAGCTCCGATGCTCCAAGTGCCGAGGTCGAAATCGACTCAGCGCATGACTGCGTTCCAGAAACTGGTGAAAAACATTTCTGGTGAGGCAGGCGACAACATGGGCTCCGACGGGTGCCGGAACTGCCGCGGCCAGGACTCGAGCGTGGCATGGGATACTGTGAGCTTGCTGCGGGACGAGAACCGAGGTCTGAAGCAACGTGTGGCGCAATTAGAGATCACTGTTGATGGCGCTCTGGATGTGGTGAATGGCATCGGGCTGTTATGATCTTGGGCGGGTTGCATTTCTTGGCATCTAGAACGGCGCACCTTGCATGGTTGAGATTGTCTATGGCATTTTGGATAGCTGGGGACTTGCATACATAGGTATCTATCTGGCTGGGCTGGACTTGATGTGATAGATAGGATGGTGGCTATAGATACCAAATACGCACATCAACACCATAAGCTGAATGGATCATTCCTCGCGAAACAGATGTGATTCTATGACTTCGCGATGATGAGTTCGCCGTATCCCTGCTAATGATATTTCCTAATACTCTGCACAGTGCCCTCAAGCCAGTTCCGTTGCGTGCGCCTTGCGACGACCTATCATCCATGGCTTCAACGTTGAATTCCCGCTTTGTTCGATATCAGGGGCACGTTCAACTCTGCAAAGTCGCCTTGGTCTAACATCTGGTGTTCCCTCTCGTGGCCCTGTGGACACACGAGGTATAGAGACCCTTTTGGTTCATGTATAGATAACTCAACAGGGCAGGCAGGGCTTCCCTGTGTATCCAAACAGATTTATGATACCCTACCTTGGCATCTGAAGTACGCAGCCAGACACCACCCCCAATACCGGATTTCCACCCTCTTCAGCAGTGGCTCGATCTGCTCCGGACAGCATCCAAGTCATATGGTTAAATCTTTGTTCATTAGCCAGGCGTTCGTTTTGGCCGGCTGGTACCCATCCAGCACTGCTTTCCGGATGGGCCGGTATAAGTACAATGCCCCCAGCATCCAGCATCCCCGGTTTCACTTGTTCAACTCCCCAAATCAATCAATCAATGATGCCCCTCTCCATGTCCCCCATCGCCGTGGTGCTCATCCTTGAGGAACAGCTGTTCGTATCCGAGGTAGACCGCGAAGGCTACGGTCGCGATGCCCAGGCCCGGGAAGGCGCCCTTGAACCGGTTCCAGCGCGAGAAGAGGCCCTGGTATCGCCATGCCTCGCTGTGTATGAGGGTTCCAAGTCAGCGGATCTGATCTGCGCAGAGGCGCGAGGCGGATTGGTTGGTGGGTTGGTAGGTAGGTAGGTAGGTAGGTAGGTAGGGACAAAACTGACGCTCTCTCCCACGGGTCGTAGCGCGGCTGGCCGGCCGAGTGTGCGAACTTTTTGGGGTCGAAGCCGGTGATGCTGGGCTTGGGGTGGCCGTGCTGGGCTCGGAGTATCCTGTTGGTCACGGACGCATCAGCACTGTTGTTCTGCCCATTGTCCCCTGGAACGAGTATTGTTGGTTGGCCGTACCGTGTGGGATACATTGTGAATGTGTGCGAATCGGACGTTTAGTAGGTGTCGTGGTGTAGTCCTCCTCAAGAGACCAAGAGGCAATAGCTTCCTGAAGCTGTCGTTCAATCGATTGATCCAGCCTGGCAGTGGTGCTTGGATTGTAGAATGCTGATAGGTCAATCTGAACGTCGACATGGATGGATCCTCCCCACACCTGCAGCAGTTGAGTGACGGCACTTCGGCAGAATAACGGTCCGTACCTGTGGAAGTCTGAGCGCACGGCCCCGTGCTTCCAAGGTTGCAGCTGGAGGTGCCAGGTGGGCGGTGAACTATGGCGGTCCCAGGACAGCTTCCACCACCTGCTAGTCGCGATGAATTGAGGTCGTAGGTTTCAAGTGTTCTCTAACTGGAGGTACCGACTGAATAAGTTCACAACTACAAATCATCCCTTGACACCATACCACTCAATATCACTAAAACCAGTGCGACAGCTTCTTGCGATACAGATCCGCAAGGCAACTCGCACAAGCCCCAGGCTTGTACCGCGTGCCACCGAGGTGACAGGTCACCCTCGGTTGCCCGTCGCCCGTTGCCATCACCGCGACCTCACCGATGACGACCAACGCGCCCCTACGAGCACAGACAAGCAAACAACCATCGTGAGAAAGCCTAGTACCAGAGATGGCGCCTCCTTCTCGGTATGGGGGCGGTCCGCCCGCGATGCCTCAGTACCAACATCAGTTCCCCTCCCATCCCTCACAGTCCCATGCGACAAGCCACCAACCGACGTCGCTCGCAAACCCAGCATATCTCAACACCCAACTGAGCAGCCCCTTCGCTGCGAATGGCTTGGGACTGGGCGCTGGCATTAACACTGCCGACCCAGGTTTTGGCATGGGTGACCAGACGGGTTTCGCGAGCCATGCTGCTAGGTCAGGCTTTCAGCATGCTGCCCAATTGCAGCAGCAACATCATCCTCACCCACAATCCCATAGCGCGCCGAGCGAGCGATCAACACGAACAGGTGGTGGAGCCAAGGCCCGCATACGGGAGGTGTGGAAGCACAATTTCGAGGAAGAGATGGGTGTTTTGATGGAGCTGCTGGAGGAGTACCCTTACGTTTCCATGGTAAGAAAGCATTCCCAGAAGTGAACATGGAAGGCTACTAACAGTTTGGCGGCGTGACAGGATACGGAGTTTCCTGGCATAGTAGGACGACCGATGGGCAATTTCCGAGGCAAAAGTGACTATCATTACCAATGCCTGCGAGTTAATGTCGATCTCCTCAATGTCATCCAGATAGGCATCAGTCTGTTTAACGAGAAAGGCGAAACCCCGGCCGATCGAGCGAACAACTCCGAACAGGGCCCTAGTGCTAGAAGACAAGGCGCCCAATCCCAAGTACCTCTCGCATGGCAGTTCAACTTCAAGTTCTCTCTGCAGAACGACATGTACAACCAAAATGCGATCGACTCACTGCAATCGGCCGGTATCGATTTCGACAGATTAGAGCGCGACGGGATCGACCCCCACAAGTTTGCCTCTCTTTTCATCGTTTCCGGCTTCGTCTGCTTTGAGAACGTCAAGTGGCTCTCCTTCCACGGTGGCTACGACTTCGGGTACCTGATTAAACTTCTCGCGGATAGGAAATTGGCGAACGACGACAGTGAGTTCGATAAGACCATGAAGAAGTGGTTTCCTGCAACGTATGACGTCAAGCACCTCATGAAATATGCCGTCAAATTGCACAACTCTGGACTCCTTACGCCATCAGATCCTGCTTCCGTTGAGATCATGCAGAAGTTCGAGCAGAAGTCGGGCTTGGAGAGCATTGCAGACGCCCTCAAGATTAAGCGTGTTGGGGCGGCTCACCAGGCAGGATCCGACTGCCTGCTGACTGGCAAAGTATTCTTTCAACTGCGTGAAAGAATCTACAACGGAGACATCGCGGACGACCATATTGGCAAAGTCTGGGGTCTGGGGTTCTCGGGCATGGAGATGCCACTGATTGCGCATCAACAGTTGAATCCTACGGACAACACTCCGCCCAGTGGTCCCAACGGCAATGGCAATACCAATGGCGGCCCGAGTACGCCTAGCACCGCCAGTGCCGGACTGGCGAGTACTCCGGCTGCGCAATCACATAACACGAACGGCATGGGCATGGGCCCGATGACGCCCGGCGGCGGAGGCGGTGTTTTTGGCTCTTTCAACTACAGTACTAGATAGAATCCAACAGTTGGAAGTAGCCAACAGGAGGGATCAGAGGGGATGCCACAAGAGTCCCAATCCATACACCCACCTCGCGGCCCTCGTCATGGACCTCGTCATATGCCTCGTCCCAGAAGTAGCCAACAAGAGGGATCAGAGGGGCCGCCACAAGAGTCCCAGTTCACACACCCACCTCGCGGCCCTCGTCATGGCCCTCGTCATATGCCTCGTCCCAATCTTCCGAATCGTCCGTTTCGTAACCAAAACCGTTCCACCGAGCCCCAAAACCACGCGCAGCCAGTACAGCAACAAAATGGGCCTCAACAGGCCTTTTACCCTCCACCAGGCTTGCCTTTCTCACCAGAGATACGTCACCAGGCTTCACTGGCAGGAATGGATCCCGAGTCGTACGTTTCGTATCATGGTGTGTCTAAGATCGGCCACCACGCACGCATGATTACGAGGTCGGGCCATGCGCCACAGGTTTCGATGATGCCCAACCCTTTACAGCCCCCCAACCACGGACGCCAATGGGAACAGCCGAATCCGCTCCAATACCCCATGTATGGGCATTACCACGAATATCCCTGAGCGCCTCGTGCTCTGCTGCGTTGTTACCATGCGGTTCTGTGGGCTCTTGCGGTGGAAATGACATGGTCTCCATCAATCTCTTCGGCCGCCGGTTTGAAGGAGATGGATTTCTCATACCACTCACTGTTGTCTAGGAGTTCTTTCCTCTACTCTGCTGGGGATTCCTGGATTTCTCATCTGGAGTTTGGTTCAGGCCTATACATGGGCCAAAGGGATAAGGGTCTGTGGCCGGCCTCGTTCGTGGCCAATCCGGCTGGCTTCATCCTTCTTTCGACGCGGGCGAGGTTTCTCACGATGCGCATCTCTTTCCAAGCGCGGTCCGGTGGATAGGATATCAAGTAGCACATGAGGGGAACATGGCGGCATTTGCGTACATACCTGCGAATTCCGTTTGTGTGCCGAGCGTTTTCTCTCTCAGCTGTATAGTGTAGTATTAGTGGATCCAGGGGGTCAGACGTCCTCGGCATCAGGACGTGGAGAAAAAGGGCTGTCTGTCCATACAGATACAGATAATTCAGGTCCGAACCACACCACACGTTGGCTCGGCCGGGACTTCTCAGAAACTTCTTGCTTTTTCTTATTGCAGTGGTGAAACGCGGTATAGTGCTTGAAGACCAAGCTTCGTAGCTCATGTCCCTGGCGCATCCTGACTTGCTCTACTCTTTCGCTAAAGAGACTTCGTGTTCCCAACCCAGCAGATTGAGAGATGGTATGGATGTTGGAATCAATCCAGGCTCATGGCTGAACTCTACCTATTCGTCTTCTCCCTCAACCTCCACGCCAATATGGCTCCAGCGAAACCTTCGTCTGACAACATTCTCCGATGAGTCACGAAAGCCCTATATGAAGATGACGAAGACTCGCACGGGAATCGCCAAGGAGATTTGTGTTGACCTAGTTGATGTCGAGAAGTTGATAGGCCACTGATAGGGCTGACGTGCTCATATCTCTGACTGGGAACTTTGTAATTGCATGGAAGACACTAAAATCTAGACGACTTGGTTGAGTCCAACTACATGAATTCAACCAACTTTATCGAACCATGTTAGTCCTTACATTCAAACGGTTGTTTGACTACAACCAAGTAAGCTTGACAATGAGCAAGGATATGTTTAAATCAACATCGGGTGAAAGACACGAGGCATAGTAGGTAGTTCGATGCTATCTGGTGCTATGAGATGGTCTCATTATTGCCTACCTAGGTAGGTAACAGCCTACCGAAAGCGAGAGGATTGAACACCAGCGCGGATAACATATGCACTGGATGCACCAGCCTATCTGATGTATGCGTAGCGGATGGACCATGAGATAGGAGTTGATTGTGCCCAAGAACGCCCATTAGCATACGGTTCATCATGAGTCTCGTCCCATCCTGATAAGCACACGCCTCGAAAACCGTGTCACATAATACCTCCAAACCAAGGATAATATATACATGCATGCATACAGACTCCAGAACTCCCCCATGCCCCGGAGTTTCATTAATATGCAGATGCCGCTGACAGGTTTTGAGTTGATGTATGTACAGCTCATGTGATGTACACCTTCTTCAACGTGTCCCTGCCGTATATCTCGCCGGAGCGCAGGTCTTTCACCTGGCCGTCGAGCAGCCCCGCCTTGCGGGCGTACTCGTCGAGACGGGCGCGGCCGTAGGCACGGCTGCTGGGCAGCATCAGCAGGTCGGGCTCGACGTGGCTCGTGCTGTGGTTGGCGTAGGGCACGCCGCGGGCCAGCTCGTTGAGCTCGGTGCTGCAGATGGGACACACGTTGGTGGATAGTGTCAGGCTGGTCGCGTGCGAGGGCGGCGCCGCCAACGAGTCGGGGCGAGTCGAGTGACACGCCGGCGTCTTGAGCGCCGAGAGACCCGCCGAGAGCGCGACGTGCAGGAGCGGCTTCGAGGGCAGCTGCAGGAGCGTGTTGTGTGTTGTTGTGAAGAGCTCGGCTAGCATCGCCCACCGCGCGGGCGAGTACAGGTCGGCGTATGCGGCGATGGTGGGCGCGGTGCCCGGCGGAATGGCCAGCATGCCGCAGGCTTGTAAAACCTCTCTCGGGTAGGCGTCGCGGTAGGGGAAGAGGTATCTCCGCGCGTGGGCGAGTGCTTCGTTGGGTTTTGTTTGCGACCGGTTCCTTACGATCTCGATATACTGCTGGTAACGGAGCATGAATTCCAGGTTGCTCTGTGGGTGTCTGTCAGTGCTTCCAGTGGTTCAGGGGTACATGTGTATAGGTCAGGTCATACATCCATCTTTCGTAACTCCTTCTTGGTTTCTCCGGCTGTGCACCATGCCAGAGCCTCGGCGACGCTGCCGTTGAGCAAAGACTTGCGGATCCGGCTCATCTGCTCAAACGTCTCGACGTCGACCAAGCGCTCTATCCCCCTCTCCTCGGCCAGGGCCCTCGCGCTGTCGTTGTAGCCCTGCCGCAGGAGGTAGTCGACCAGCAGCCGGTCGAGCCGCGTCCGGCTCCAGCCCTCGTACTTGACGTCGTCGACGCTGTACATGGCGTAGAGATCGGCCAGGTGTTGCACTCGCGCTTCTTCTTGTTGGTGCAGGCGGTCCTCCTCGTCGGCAAAGGCGATCAGCTTGCGCTTGGTGCCGCGCATGCGCGCGATCATGGTGTCGAGGCTCTTGAGCACATCCTCCTTCGAGCTGCGGCCGTTGACGCTGCTCGTTGCCGTCTCCTTGAGCGTGTTGGTGATGAGGGCGCCATCCTTCTCGATCTCGAATCGAGCGGAGCGGAGGGTCTTCCGGAGGAGCTCGAAGGGCAGCCGCAGAAGGGGCTGGTCCTGTTGTTTGCAGTCGGTGTTAGTGGCATACGCCCGGTAAGAAGGTGGGATGAGTTGACTGCTCGGCAGAGCTGGGACATACGAGGAGGAGGTGATTCTCGTGGTCTAGTTCTGTGCTTAGCTGGTCTCCCATCTTCAGCCCTTTTCGAGTTTCACAGATGGGTTGCTGGCTTGGAAGCTCTGATCAGCTCTGACCGTCTCGTCGGCGATGTGACCGTTGTGACGTCTCGAGGCTTGAGGTGGGCTGGGATTGAGGCTTGATTGCAGTTGGAGGTCAATGTGATTGGTCGGCCGGATTGGCGGGGTACTTATTGCATGGATCCACTACGGTCCGGGTTCCCCGTCCAATGAGCTTTGCAGGTTGATGTAGTTGGGTATAGGTATCAGCCACTCACCGGTCTTGACTCTTAACGTGATATGATCATCCCCATGAAACTGGACCTCTTCCATCTTCCATGTTATCGACACCACCTCAGCAACTACAAAGTCATGAAAGTATCGGGATGAGGCAGATTCATTTTATTCGCTAAGTAAACTTGTAGTCGTTCGACCAGCATGCAAGAAATAGCTCGTACATCTACCTAAGCCACTTTGATAATGACTGACTTCCTTTGGCTGTAGCTTATACTCACTGGCTTGTTTTCGGCTACAACATGGAGGCAACCGGGAAGTGCAGTATCTGGCAGGTCGGCAACCCATACAGACATTGTTGCACATGATTCATTCCTGCCGCCCGGATTTGCTCAGGATTCTCAGCACGCCAAGCGCGGCTACTCCCGAGGCCTGTTACAGCACCCATATTGGCAGCATTGGCAGTGCAACCAACAACTGAGACTATGCAGTCACACACAGTTGATACAGGTCACAGGAACACCTCCTCGCGGCACTCTCAAAGCTACCCCGAAAGAGATACGGGGGATTCAGGGGCAAGGGGGGCACACCAAGGTCCAACACTCGACCTCAGAGGCATGCATGCTATTCTCTCCCTACTGAATACCGGGTGCTCAACCCCATTCACTTGGGGAATCAACTCACATGCAGGTATCAGTGCCAAACACTACGGCAGTGCACACCATCATGGTCTCTTCAATCATAGTGACTGGTCGGTAGCTGATCAAAACAACCGCTTAGAAACGGCGCTGGTACTGGGCCAATCATAGAGTCACCCTTTCTAATGCTGAATGGGAGCTTGCCACATTGCTACATGCTTGTAATCCCATCGCTACGGTACCTTAATTATATGTTGGTTTGGTGCTCGGGATCTGGCTCACCCAAAAAAGAAAGGTGCAGGTGCTCATGGAAACACCTCATGCCGTTGGCAACCCTCGGCTGGAGGTGCGAGTGGCAGCTGACGGCACCAGACGGCACCAGCAGGAAGCCAGGTAAAAAGACAACTGGAAGTGAGAAGTGAGACGTCGTTCTCTTTAGGTGGGTGTGTTCGATTTGCCTGGGGTGGTCACTGGTGGTCACTGGTGGTCGCTGGTGGTGGTGAGCACTGAGCATGGTCCCGCCACCCACTCTGATTCGCCAGGCTGGTTCAGTGGAGCACCTCCTGGTAGCCTGTGGTGGCCTGTGCTTTGCCCGGGGGGTCATATGAGATGCTGGCCTTCTTCCTCCCTCCTCGTCGCTGCATTTCCATCTCTCAAATGTAAAGAAAGACAACTTTGACCAGAAAATCACGACCGGCCATCTCGGGCCCGAACATTCAGCCTACCAACTTTTCCGGGTTGCAGGTGGTGATTTGGCGACTTTGACAGATTTCGTTGACTGATATCCCCATAATCACGCGGATCCCAGCCGTCCAGGCTACAGGCTACCACCGTTCGAGTGCTCACGTGAACTTTGAAGGCGAAGTCACTGGACTGCGACCGAGAGATCCCACTTCCACCCACCGCCCACCGCCCACTGCACGAGATCAGGCACATGACCTGCCGCCTGCGAGGTATGTCGATTCAATTTCCATTTACCCCTTTCCCCATCTGCGACTATCGTCGGTCGCCTCAATTGGGGTCACCATCAGCGATGGCCTGCAAAACACGCTCCAGGATACAACGCAATCAGCGACGCGCCAGATCACTGCAGATTCTGCGTCTGCATCTCCTCATCGCCGCATCTCCTGCAAAGGGGTTTCGTGTCACTTGCAGCTGTTGCAATTGCGCACGCAGGTCAAGTGCAGCCGTGGAAGCCAGGAACATCACTGCAATTACATGGCGACAGCAGATCCATCCATCTCCAGGCATTTGTTGATGTTATGGCACTGAGTGCCTGTTTGACTCCAGCATGATCTTCGTCGCTGCCCTCATCTGGGGGAGCCCTTGCCGCAAACTTTAGGCAGCGGTTCCCATTAAGCCACGCGCACTACATTGTACTCCATCGATGCGCACGAATGCGCACAATGCTGAGAAGCCTCAAATTGATGTCACGCCTCAACTACATTGCCTCCATGACCAAGACGATGTTCACAGTGGCGATCCCGTGCACTTTCCTTTCTCCAACACATACTTAGTTTGATTGACGGTGGTGACTGACTGACTTGCACAGGCTGTTCATGAGAGGTCTGTGGTTCAACATAGTCCAACAGTCGACTGATTTCATCAGTCCTGGGCCTATAAGGTGCCATCAAGGACCACAGCACTGTCTACTTGGGCAGTCACAATGGAGTCGAACGGCTATTCGCAGACAGAGGCCCTTCTGGAGCCTCTGACACATATCAACCGTGAGCATCTGGCTGCAATCACCGAGGCTGCTGTTGCGGACCACGACTTCGGTGCATCATCTCCATCTAGTCCCGGTCAGAAGCGGAAACGTGGCGCCCCCGATTCATCACCTGATTCCCGACGAGCAAAACGGACCGTGCCCACAGCTCCGATGTCGAGCACACCGGATCCTGCCTCAGCTGCCTATGTTGAGAGCGCTGTTGAGGCAGCACAAGCCGCAGCGCAGGCTGCCACTCATGCAGATTTCGCTGCTCTCCAGCAAGCCACAGCTGATCGTCACGACGCATCTGATCCTGCTAATGCGTCAAGCACTGCTGCTGCTGCTCTCGGAACTCTGTATCCCACCCTACACATCCCACAGCCGACCGAGGAGACATTTGCTGCCCAGGTTATAGCAGAAGAACAGAGCAATTCCGAGCCCTCATTTGGTCAGAGTGATATGATGCAAGCAGACGGCCTTCCCGATACGTCAGCAAATAGCCTCGGGCAACACTCACCAGAGAATGGTGTGAGATCTGGGCACTCTTCCTACTCGACTGGCGGAAGCATTAAGCCTGCTGTAGGCTCAGAAGAGTGGCACAAACTGCGGAAGGACAACCACAAAGAAGGTATGAGACTACATCAAGGTTCCCTCGGTGGTCAGTGCTAACATGAAACAAGTTGAACGCCGCCGACGGGAGACCATTAATGAGGGAATCAACGAGCTTGCCAAGATAGTACCCGCATGCGAGAAGAACAAAGGTCAAATACTTCAACGAGCAGTTGCTTTCATCACTCAGCTGAAGGAGAACGAGGCGCAGAACATAGAGAAGTGGACGCTGGAGAAGTTGCTTACGGAGCAGGCGATCCAGGAGCTCAGCGCCTCGAATGATAAGCTCAAGCAGGAATGCGAGCGAGCCTACAGGGAGTTGATGATATGGAAGCAAGTGGCTCAGAACGCGGGACTCGAGCCTCCCCAAGCCAAGCTCGATGCCGTGTCTTCCTCATGACTACCCGACGGATTTAGGCGCACCGCATAAGCATCCTTATTGATGCCCATTACGTCTACGCCCTGGATACACCCTCCTTCATCTGCTTCTGCACCTGATGCCGGTAGCCGACGCTACCGATGAGTTCTCGAGCGGCCCAGTATGCAACAGTTGAGAGCTCCGTTTCAGACGTCTTCTCGTCCACGAACTTTACGCGATCCAAGCCCGCAGATATACGGCTTAGGACTAGTTAGGGGTCAAGCGACGGCCCTTGGGAGGTTTAGGCGTTGGGGATCGGCTTGTTATAACACGGCTTCACTTCGGATGGATCGGGGACTCCAAATACAGCCTTGAGCGGCATCTGTAGTACTACTGTTATCACAGTTGAGAGAACTGAACATTATACGAGCACGCCAGCTTGCCAATGCCTGCTTCATCATGCCATGAAGACCTGCAGGATCAAAAACCAGAAACGGTGCGCCGAGCTCTCCCGGAGCTCGAATTGAAACTCAACTAGAAACATACCGTATCCTGAAATCCATTATCAGCATATAAAGGTAGACAGCTGATGCCTCACGTAAGTTAGGTAAGGAATACTACTAAGCACCATACGATTGGACATATGCAGGCTTATGATTCAGGTATCCTGCAAGACTCTCGGAAAGCACTTCCGTATTTGATGTCTAGGCAAGCATGTGACCAGAAGGCATTCTCCAACGGTTCGTACGTAATACACCAAGCCTGAGGTGAGGTGTACCTATGGCAAGTCAGGCAATTTGTGATGTGAAGATAATGAGTTACTATACTTGGATCTACGTTTGCCTGTCATAGGTAGGAAGATGATCTAGACCAGGAAGATAGATGTGCAGCTGCACTACAAGGCCTCTTATGAGAAGCATGACAATGACACGGCTCGATGATGGTACGATTCATGTTTGGGAGTGGGACAACTGGTGTCCAGGAGCTGTGGCCGCGTGGCGTTGGTTGTACCTACCTATCTGACTTGAAAGGCTTTCGGGGCAGCCACATATACCTACGTTGTTGGCCTTGATAGAGCTGAGATTCATTATAAACTAACTGCCTTGTGAGTTTTCTGGAAGGTGTTCAGCTTTGTATGAAGTCTTGTTGGCTGCAAGCAGCTTTTACATGGGAAATGAATGAATGGATGATCCGGAGATGGTACCTTATCGATACCGTGTCTGTTGCAAGCGCCCTCACTGCTCAGTGGGATTTGGGGGATTCTAGGCAGGATAGACCCTGTAAAAAGTGCGCTAGCGGCTGCGCTTTCGCTGTTGGCCACTGCCGTGCCATCACCTGGGCATGTGCCTGGCTCGTCTCGGGCTTTGTTTCCTCTCCTCTTTTCCCCCGAAACCCTTTTCCGAAGCTGACAATCCTCCTTCCTCTCCTCTGCGTCCCTCAACCCACCACCCACAAACCACGCAACGGCAAAACACAACAAAGCAAACCGGCTCTGCCAACAACGCGAAATCCGGTGTACACGACGTGCTCGTTAACCGCCTGCCAACATACCCTATTAAGTGGCAATCGCTGCGCACATCACCCCTCTCCCAGCAAACACCGCACTCCCCCGGAGAACAGCTACGCCGCAGCCAGATCGCCGACAGCCCTCATCGTGGTTCAGGTCCGCTCTCACCACCCAGTACCTCAGTCTTCCGACAGAACTTCCCACATAAAAGGGTACAGGATACATTGCTGTTTATGTATCAGCACGACAATACCGCTGTGTCTAGACACCTACCCCCTCTCACGCTGCAGCCGCTTCGCATACCGCCGAAGCATTGTAGCCCCAATACCAGATCAGTCGGCTGAACCCAACTGCGATTTCATCGCCTGAGTTAATGCCTTCCACCGCCAGCTACTATCCTCCAGTCTCCCCTATGTCTAGTACCAGGAAAAATCCTCTCTACTAACGTCCTGCTTCGCTCCACCCTCTTCTATCCACCTCGCCCACACCTACGAATGACTATCAGTCGTATTGTGTGCCCATCCTAAGGAATTCCACTCTTCGACCAACGCCAAGAACGCCAAATACCTGCTTCTACAGCCAAATCCATACAAAATACCACAATCATGGCTCTCGTCAACGTTCGCCGCGATGTCTCCGACGCCTTCTACCGCTACAAGATGGAGAGACTCCAGACTAAGATCGAAGGCAAAGGAAACGGTATCAAGACAGTCATTGTCAACCTGAGCAGCGTTGCTGCCTCTCTTGCCCGCCCCGGATCCTATGTCATCAAGTACTTCGGTTTTGAGCTCGGTGCCCAGACCAACATTGATCCTGCCGATGACCGCTGGATCATCAACGGTGCCCACGACGCTCCTAAGCTACAGGACTACCTCGATGGCTTCATCAACAAATTTGTTCTCTGCAAGAAGTGCAAGAACCCCGAGACTGATGTCGTCATCAAGGATAACTTCATCGTGCTTGACTGTAAAGCTTGTGGTCAGCGTACCGACGTTGATATCCGCCTCAAGCTCAGCGGCTTCATCTTGAAGAACCAGCCCAAGAAGGGCGGCAAGAAAGACAAGGCTGAGCGCAAGGCGGCCCGTAAGGCCAAGCAGTTGGCCCAGCAGAATGGCAACAAGGAGAACGGTAACGGAAGCGGCGGAGAGAATTCCGAGAATGGGTCCAACGACAACTCCAACGAGAACGGCTCCAACGCCGATGAGAACGACGCCGGTAGTGACGACGAGTTCACTCGCAGAATCAAGGCCGATGCTCAGGTCCTTGATGCGAACAACGAAGTCAAGGACGACGATTGGGCTGTCGACATGTCTGAGAAGGCCGTCAAGGCTCGTCAGAACCAGCTCCCCGACCAGTTCCGTCAGAAGCTCGTTCTCGGAGGCGAAGAAGAGGATGAAGATGGAGAAGGCGGTGGAAACACCGTCTACGACGCCCTGGGCGACTGGGTCCAGCAAGAAGCTACCAAGGCTGGCAGCGTTAACAAAGTCGATGACATTCGGGTTTATGTCAAAGCTAAGGAGTTGGGAATTGAGACCAAGTACAAGACTGTCTTGGTACTTGTCCAGACTCTCTTGGATGAGAACATCATCTCCCAGATCCCGAAGCGTGCGGGATTGCTGAAGCAGGTATGTTCAGCTGTGTCCCACCCCCTTCAACGATTGCAATCTGCTAACCACAATCAGATGATAACGTCAGAACGCCACGAGAAGGCTCTGCTCGGCGGCATCGAGCGTCTCTTGGCTGCCCATGGCAAGGAGCACCCTGAGCTCATGGCAAGTGACAAGATCGTCAAGATTCTTCACTTGCTGTACGACAAGGACCTGGTCAGTGAGGATGTTGTCACGAAATGGGGCACCAAGGCGAGCAAGAAGTACGTCGATCTTGCGACCTCCAAGAAGATCCGTCGTGGCGCCGAGCCCTTCCTCACGTGGCTTCAGGAGGCCGAGTCCGAGGAGGAGTCTGAGGATGACTAAATTGCAGAACATTATCTTGCTTCACTGTTGGGCTGCGAGTCTCCCACGTGTCGGACTTGATTTTGGCGGTGTGTTCCTTTCAAGCTCGTTGGGTTCCGTTCCGTTATCCTATGCTTGCGTCCTACATTCTCTTGATTCTACCTAAAAGCTTGCCTTTGGGTTCCGGGTACCGCAATGCATCCTGCTCCCTATGCGTGAGGGGCCGAAGGGGCATTTGCATCGGCTATGTACTTCAGGTTCTCGTTGCTTTGCAGCACTCTGGCTGCTGTTGTAATACGCGTACTGCCTCGCTCGATCCGTAGCGAACAATTCCACTCATTATGCACATAAGACAATGTCTCTAACTACGCAGTCCATGTTGTTGAATACATAGTTTCCAACATGTTTACTCAGATATAAGTGAGTGCATCGTATTCCGTTGACTGATTGTAAGATTTTGCTAAAGCCTGGAACACCCAAACCTATCAAACCTCTTACTTGACTGTAGTAGACACGCTTGCGGCCAGCTTTGCCAATCCCATTTTCACCCTGCCAGGTTATTTCCCATTGCAGGAACACCCTTAGCCCTCGTACGCCTCCAGCTTTCCAAGTATCAGATAACTTTACCAGGCTTCATCGGCATGATTTCCAGATTGTGTGTGACTGGTGTAGCAAGTGGGAAAGCGGGAAAGAGGAAGCGAGGACAGAGACAAGCTAAGGGATGAAATATTTCTATCCTAGACTTGTCATGGAAGCTAAGTCTGGCCGGATACATTAGCAGTCGATGTCGTTGATCCCTGGGACTACGGTATAGGGGAAAGCAGACGAGGACCGTAGATCTGAAGGTGACGAGAGGTAGTAGAGATCAGTTTGCTTGGCTGGGCGCTGCTGCCGTTGGCTTATTAGGTAGGATTATTAGAAGACGCGCAGTAAGAACGGAGTCAGTCAGTCCTCTCAATTGGCTGTGGTGCTAGTGAGAAAGTACGTACGCCTTACGCCTTCCTGACTACCTAAGTCCTGCTTCTATAAATAGACTCGCAGAAGGAAAGGCAAAGAATTTGAGGCATGTTCAAGACAAGCGTCGTGGGAAAGAGGGAGGAGAAGAGAGAGGTATAGACGAGACGAGACCGTTGGGGAGGGAGTATGTTTGGCGAGTGAGTGAGCCCAGGGAGAAATCCGCATTACCAAACCAACGCCAGCCCGAGGAGATGAAAAGAGTATGCCAAATGCTTTATTTGGTGTTGTATACGTAAGGCTCGCAGAGAGAGGACTTGAGGCTTGCTCAAGACAAGCGCAATCGGGAGGAGAGGCGGAATGGGGAAAGGCGAGTGACAGACAGGTGACTCTTGTAGAGAAACCGCGTCTACCAAACCCAAGCCCGAAGAGGTGAATAGGGTGCTTCCTTGCATGAGTCTCTCCCAGCCGTCACGAGACACCTGTATCACAGCTCATACGACGCGCGTCGTCCCCGCGAGATCATCGCCGCGAAAGACCAAGCCGCACACACGACCCCTTTCCCCAAGCTCTCTCTTCTCCCAAGCTCTCTCTTCTCCCAAGCTCTCAGAGATCTTCCCGTAAGTCTTTTCGTAGTCTTCTCGCAAGTCGTTTCGTAGTCTTTTCGCAAGTCTTTTCGTTTCGCACGGTAGGTACCGTATTCTAGAAAAACACACAATCAATCAGTATTCAATAAGCAAACCTCAAATACGCCCACCCGCAAACAAAAAAGCACACCGAGACAACGTAATAAACAAGAAGAGACGGGGAACCCCACCACCACTCCTGACCATCAAACGCCGCGGCCGCCTTCTTCTCGGCGGCGCCCTCCGCGAAGTCCTTTTGGCCCTCCTCCGTGCCCCAGAAGCCGCCCGTCGACTGCGCCGCCGTGGCGTCCTCCCAGCCCGTGTTGGCGGGCGCGCCGCCCCAGGTGTTGTCGTTGTCACCGGCACCACCGCCGTTATTGCTGTTGTTGCCCTGGCTGCCCACGACCGAGGGAGCCCTGCCCGCAGACCCGCTCCCACCAGCAACGACATTGCCGCCGCTGGCGTGGGACGGCGCATCCCACGAGTTCTTGGAACCCTGCGGACTCGGGCTCGGGAACGCGCCCGGGACGGGTGTCGAGATACCGGCGCCCCGGGGGGAGTTGTTGTTGCCGCCGTTGTTGGACCCGCGGTTGGAGTGGTTGGAACCTTGGTTGGACGGGTGCGGGCTCTCGACCGACCCCCAGCCACCGTTGTTGGAGAAGGTGTTGTCGTTGGCGTTGCCGACCCACTGGACACCGTCACCGTTGTCGTTGTTGTTGGTGCCGTCGATGGCGTTGCCCCAGACATCGGTATCACCGGTAGTGTTAGGAGCATCGCCCCAGGTATTGTCGGCACCACTGGTGGTGGGAGCACCACCCCAGGTATTATCGCCACCGCCATCCACGTTGTTGTTTCCACCCCACCCCGAGCTGCCCTCTGGCTGAGGACTGGGATCCTTGGCACTCCCGTTCTTGCTGTTGGTCCGGCTGAGGATCTCCTGCAGCTCGGCCGTGTCGGCCGCCATCTGCTGGTTGAGGTTCCTGAGGAGGTCGTTGCTGTCGTCGACGGCACTACTCCTGCCCGTCTTCTTGGAACCCTTCTTCGATCCCGACCCTGGGGCGCCCTGAGCGCCCCAGGTAGAGCCCGAAGCGCTCCCTGCCTTCGTCGACTTCCGGTCGGACGCCTCCTTCGCGGGCGACTCGATCTCGATGGTGGGGATGGGTATAACGTTCGAGTCCTTGAGCGGCGAGGCCCGTTTCTCGGGCGAGAGGCTGTATCGGTTGGCCAGTCTTTCGTAGTGCTTCTGGTCGAAGTCCTTGGTGAAGTCCGGCGGCAGAGGGATGTTGGGTGGTGTGTGCGGTGCTCCGCCCGCAGCGGTCATCCAGGGGTAACTGGGGTCACCCGGCTTATAAGGGGGCACGTGTGGCGGAACAGGCTGGCCGGCGACGGTCTGGAAGCCGTTGTACCAAGGATTGTGTTGCGGATGCGGGGAGCCAACAGGCAGGTCCTGGTGACTGTACACTCGTTTGGGATACAGTGCTCCGTAGGGGTTGCCGTATGCTGGTCCGTGGTACACCCGCATGACGCCGTTCTCGTTGTCGTAGAAGGCGTTCGGCCGGGGGTCCTCGTGGGATTCGACGGCGTGCTCCACGTGTAGGACATTGGACCGGGGAGGGAGGAGGAAGCTAGTTTTGCGTATCTCGGGCGGCGGGTGATGAGGTGGGAAACTGAGTTGCTTCTCGGCCTTCTCACTTTTCTTGGACGGAGATTCTGCTTTGGGAGCTGGCTTGTCTTTCTTCTTGTCGGAGTTCTGTTTCTTGCTCTTCTTGTTCTGCTTTTCCTTTTCCTTCTTCTTCTTCTTGTCTTTCTTCTCCTCTTCTTCTGTCGTTTCGGCCTCGGTCGTTTCAACTTCCGTATCTGAAGCTTCCGTCTCTTCCTCGGTATCAGACTTTTGCTTCTTGTTTTTCTTGCCTGCCTTTTTGTCACTGTTCTGTTGACCCTTCTCCTTCTTGCCGGCCTTCTTGTCACTGTTCTGTTGGCCCTTGTCCTTCTTGCCTTTGTCGTTGCCCTTCTGCTTGCCCTTCTTCTTGGGTGGCTCCTCCTCGGACTGTTCCTCAGATTCGACTGCAGTCTCCGATTCAGTCTCGGGCTCAGTCTCGGGTTCAGTCTCAGTGGCCTCGGTTGTATCGGACTCTGTCTCAGGGGCGGCCTGTTTCTTCTGCTTCTTGCCTTTCCCCTTCTCATCCTGCTTCCCCTTCTGCTTGCCGTTGGGCTTGGCATTCTCTTTGCCATTGGCCCCTTTAGACTTGGCCGCTTCCTCTTTCTTCGCTTTCTTGGCCTTGTGCTTGGCATGAACAGTGTCGATCTCCTCCTCGGTCTCTTCATCAGTCGACTCAGTAGCGACAATCTTCTTTTTCTTCTTTTCAGTCTCCTGTTCCACTTGCTTCAGCCACTTCCTTTTCCAGACGCACTTCGTGCATGGGCAGTCAGGGTCTGGTTCTTCTTCGGTAGTCCCTTCATCCCCACTGCTTTGATTGTCGAACTCGGTACTGACCTCTGATTCCTCTGACTTGGCGGGTTTCTTCATGGCCGACTTGGTCGCTTCTCCTTCGAACCGGACGTTCTTGGAAGTGGCCCGCTTGCCCCTGGGTATGGCGATCCTGAAGTGGTCGGAGCCATCTTCATCGTCGGTCAGGGCTTCGAATGTGACGAGACTTCGGAGGCCTTTGGGCTTCTGTTGCTTGATGTAATTGCGTCCCAGCATCCACTCGCATACCGAGTTGGGTGGCATTGTTGCGTAGAGGGGCTTACTTATGCCAGTTCGAGTTGTGGTGTCAGAGTCGTTGTTAGGTGTTGTTGGTAATCGCCGTGATCAATCTGCTCGCCCGCGAGGTCCAAGGGGTTGCGCCGAGAAAGGGTAAAGGGAGTGTAAACGAACGTGCAGATACTTGGTAATAAGTGAAGTTGCAGAATGCGACGAGGAATCCGCAGGCAGTTGAAAAGATGGTATGGATTCGGCGTGGAGGTCAATCTCGCAGGTCGGCGAGGGAGTTGCAAGGAGATGCTGAGGCGCGCCGGTACACCTGTTGATTGAAGGTTGGCAGTGTGGGAAACGATTGATCTCAGCTTAGTGCACCAGCATGTCGAAACCCCCAATGAACTGTACTAGGTAGGTAAGGATTGGGTAGGGTAACTAGAAGCACTCGAGATTGATGATGCAGCTGTGTGTCCAGTCTCTGCTTTGTGTATTGTTGCTTGCCCCAGCAACGCCCAACACCGCCTCTCATCTGCCTAAAAGTTGAATATTTGGGTATCGCACCTCCTGCATCTCAGCTCTTGCACCTGCCATCTACCAGAGACCAGGCGCCCTATAGCTTGGCCTTCTCTTTCAATTCGGCATCTGCCCATCGCTTGTTGATGTTGACATTCTGCCAGTACGACCTTGCTCCTGCCGCAACACCCAGGGGAGGGAAGAGAAGGCAAATCCAATTCCACCAGGGCGGACTGCTACTTCTGATCTCCTGCAGACAAGCGTCAATGCTGGCCTTCAGTTCCTCCCGCGAGCCATCATTCCAGACCACCACGCCCTTTCCCTTCCCTCTCGCCTCACATCTCTTCGCCTTCAACCTTACATCAGTCTGGCTGTGCACCCGGTTCTGTGCATCTTCGCGGCTGAGATGAGGGTCGCGATCCATGAGTCTCTTCATCTGCACTTCGGGATCTCTGACAGCCACAACCATCACAACTCCTGACAGCTTATCCCAACCGCTTTCGAACAGTAGGGGGACGTCCAGCACGACTGCCCAGCATCCCTTCAGATAATTCCACAGAATGGCCTTGTAGACCTCCTTTCTCACTTCAGGGTGCACAATGCCGTTCAGTACGCCCCTGTCTTTCTTCCTCTCCTCGCTGTCGCCAAAGACACGCTTGCCGAGAGCAGGTCTGTTCAATGGTCTGCCTTTGCGGTCCACGCCACTCTCTGGCATGGACTCGGACGAGGGGACTAGCAGATCTGGCGTTGTAGGCCCGAAGTGCTTCACAATGGCATTGTAACCGTTTGTTCCCGGCTCGACGACTTTGCGCGCCAGGATATCGGCATCGATGATGGGCAACGAGTAGGGAGGTGATGACAGGATAGATGAGACTGTGGATTTGCCCGTGGCGATGGAGCCCGTCAAGCCTATGAACATCATATTGCCGCCACTTTGATCAAGATGTTGTGACTTTAAGCCAGGATGTTCGGGGTGTCTAAGGAGTTATGAGAACAGAGGCTTTGGTGAAAGTTGAGGTTGTTTTGTTTCCGACCAGACATGGAGGCTCAAGCACCTGCAGTCTGGTCAGATGTCATGCAGCTTATCGCCTTATCGAGCTGCATCTCAGTGGAGCCATAACGACCCCTAGCATGTGCTTCATTGCGGGGGAGGGGTAAATGTCCTGCTATCTTTAGATGAGGGACAGTTTTGGTGTTCGCGAGAAAATTTCGATGGATCAAGTGGTTGTGAAAAATAATTCGCATAATCACCTGGACATAGCAATCGTCCATGGGACAATTGAGTGGCATAATCACCCGAAAGACTGCTTATACCACTACCAATTGTTCCATTGACGGTCTGCCTCCTACCTACATCTCAACTGCTATCAATCACAGCTGCTCCCTAAGCCCGCCAGACCCCGCGTGGCTTGACAGTCATCATGAGTGTCGAGTACCCGCTTCGTATTCTACTGATTGGCAACGGAGGCCGGGAGCATGCCATTGCTTGGAAGTTGAGCCAGTCATCTCTGGTCGAGTCGATTATAGCAGTACCAGGCAACGGAGGTACAGCAACTTGCCCCAAGACCACAAACGACACCACCGTATCGGGCGAAGACTTCCCTGCGCTGCTCGACCTCGCAAGAAAAAACAGTATCAACTATGTCGTCCCTGGACCTGAAGCGCCCCTCGTCGCCGGTGTTGTGGATTTCTTCAAGAGGGCAGGCATCCAGAGCTTTGGTCCATCGAAGAAGGCAGCGCAGATGGAGGGGAGCAAGACCTTCTCCAAGGACTTCATGAAGAAACACAACATTCCCACCGCCGCCTACGAGAACTTCTCCGACTATGAAAAAGCCCGCGGATACATCGACCGGGTCCAGCATGACGTCGTGATCAAGGCCGATGGCCTTGCGGCTGGCAAGGGTGTTATCATGCCAACGTCGAAAGAGGAAGCACACCAGGCTCTGAAGGATATCATGCAGAAAAAGGAATTCGGCTCTGCGGGAGATGAGGTGGTTATCGAGGAGTTCCTGACGGGCGATGAGCTGAGCATCTTGACTTTCAGCGACGGCTACACGATCAAGTCACTACCCCCTGCCCAGGATCACAAGAGAATTGGCGAAGGCGATACAGGACTCAACACAGGAGGCATGGGATGCTATGCGCCGACAAACATCGCAACACCAGAGCTCGTGGCGCAAATAGATCGAGACATCATCCAACCCACCATCGACGGCATGTGCAACGACAAAATGCCGTTCGTCGGTATACTCTTCACTGGACTCATGATCACTTCAACCGGACCGAAAGTCCTCGAGTACAACGTGCGATTCGGAGACCCAGAGACCCAGACCGTACTGCCATTACTGTCCGAGGACACAGATCTGGCTGAGATCATGGTAGCGTGCTCAGAACACTACCTCCGCAGCGTTGAGATCAAGGTCGAGCCCAGATTCAGCGCCACTGTCGTCGTCGCCGCTGGGGGCTACCCAGAGTCGTACGCGAAGGGAGAGGAGATGACCGTACAAGCGCCGCCCGCTGGCATCAACATATTCCACGCCGGCACCAAATTGGCAGATGGCAAACTGCAGACAGCAGGAGGCCGAGTAATAGCAGCAAGCGCCACCGCTACAGAGAGCCTGCGCGCGGCCGTCGACAAGGCTTACGAGGGCGTGAGGCTAATCCAGTTCAAGGACATGTACTACCGCAAGGATATCGCCCACCGCGCCTTCCAGCCGACGAGCGAAACCAAGGAGGCCCTGACGTACGCGCAAGCAGGCGTGAGCATCGAAACAGGCAACCAGTTCGTGGAGCGGATCCGCAACGCCGTCCGGTCCACGAAACGTGCCGGCGCCGACGCGGAGATCGGCGGGTTCGGCGGCGAGGTAGACCTGTCCAAGGCAGGCTTCTCGAGCGACGCTCCCATCGTGGTGGGCGCCATCGACGGCGTCGGCACGAAGCTGATGATCGCGCAGGCGACGTCCGACCACACGACCGTGGGCATCGACCTCGTCGCCATGAACGTCAACGACCTGGTCGTGCAGGGCGCCGAGCCCGTCATGTTCCTCGACTACTTCGGCTGCAGCCGGCTGGACCCGTCCGTCGGGGCCGCCTTCGTCGAGAGCGTCGCCGCGGGGTGCCGCGCCGCGGGCTGCGCCCTCGTCGGCGGCGAGACCGCCGAGATGCCCGGCATGTACAAGGACGACGACTACGACGCCGCCGGCACCGCCATCGGCGTCATGCGCGCCGCGGACCGCCTCCCGCGCCTCGACGCCATGGCCGAAGGCGACGTCCTGATGGGCCTCGCGTCCTCGGGCGTCCACTCCAACGGGTTCTCCCTCGTCCGCCGTATCCTCGCACGCGAAGAACTGGCCTACACCAGTCCCGCGCCCTGGACGACGTCTACCTCCTCCTCATCCTCAACCTCCCAGCAACAACAACAACAACAACAACAACAACAACCCACAGTAGGCGCCTCCCTCCTGACGCCCACGCGCATCTACGTCAAACCCCTACTCTCCGTGCTCCCGCACCTCAAGGGCCTCTCGCACATCACCGGCGGCGGCCTGACCGAGAACGTGCCCCGCGCGCTGCCGCCGCACCTGGCCGCCGAGATCGACGTTGCCACCTGGGATCTGCCGCCCGTGTTCCGCTGGCTCAAGACGGCGGGCAACGTCGCGCCGGCCGAGATGGCGCGCACATTCAACAATGGCGTCGGCATGGTGGCCATCGTGGCCGCGGCGGACGTGGAGACGGTGAAGACTAAGCTGACGGAGATGGGCGAGACGGTGTATACGATCGGCCGGCTGACGGCGCGGGCGGAGGGGGGCGAGGAATGCGTGCTTAAGGGGCTGGAATCGTGGAATTAGGGGATCGCGCACCAGCGCCCCGAGGGTCCTGCTCGCCTCATCGAGCAGCTTTTCAATGACTTCCGACAGGCAATCACCGCGCTCGAGGAAGAGCTCTCCGTTCTTGCAGTCCAGGACCGCGGGTAGGGCTTGTCGTCGATTGTAGACAAAACGGGGAAGCCAAAAGGCCTGGTTAAAAAAATAAGCAGCATAAGCAATGGTCTTAGGGGCAATTGACTGGAATGAGCACTGAATGGCTGCTTGTGTCATTGTGAACTATTCTGCAATGGTACGGATGATGATATCTGATTCGTGTAAAGGCTTACCCCTATTTACCCGAACGCCACCCAAAATCCAACGCCGGCAAAGCCCAAGGTTTATTGATGATAAACCCAGTTAGCTATGGGCTATGAGTATGCATGTTTGATAAGTTGAACGCCTATATCTCATCGTTCTCCCCGATCGAATTCTCGCCACCGTCCTGTTTCCACTCCTTGCATTGGCCAACCCAGTTTCGATGCGCACAATGAGTTTTGGCAGGTTCCGTCGGCTCCGGGCGAGGTTCTGTTATAGAAGTGGTCGTTGGCATAGATGGGGGTGAGGTGATTAGATGAGTCTGCGTCGCAGAACTTGTGGCAGTGGTAGTGGTTATGTCCTTGCAACCCCACCAACCTGGAGACTCGCAAGTAGTGGTGCTGGTGGGAGAAGAGGTAGTTGTAACGGCCGAGGTGTTTGAGGTTGTAGTGACGCTGCTGGTTGTAGTGGTCTCATCTTTGCAGCCAAACCAACCAGGCGTCTTGCAGGTCAAGGTTGAACTGCTACTGGTCGATGTTGTCGTCACGTCTGTGGTCGTTGATTCATCCAGACATCCCCACCTGCGCATGTTAGTAAAGTCTCTTAATGTTGATTGACCTTGACTCACCATCCAGGGGTTTCGCAGGTCGCCGTCCGGGTCCGTGTTTTCGATGAAGTCGAGCTGCTGGATGAAGTAGTCGAACCTGTGCTGTTGCTCTCGTACATCTTCCAGTTTGCGCAATCTCGACATTCTGGAGTGAATTTGCACTCTGGGACATCATCGTACTTCTTGATGACATCGTTGATCACGGATCGGATCTTGTGGGTACCAATGCCTACTCTCCAACCATGATCTGCTACAGTGTCGTAAACACATTCGTAGCCAGTGTGGCAAGCCGATTCCAGAGCATATCCTGCGAAAGAACACGAGGCGGTTGCTCCATTGCAGGTTCCAATGTAAATAGGATCTGCCGTGTGCCCAAAATGGGACGCCCCCGAGTATTCGCGGGTTTGGGGGAAGTTAGGATCAGCATGCGGTGGAACTGGAAGTCCTAATCGTCCAGCAGGCAATGCTTCTGGGACGGCTTCGAAAGTGACCACGGGAATGCCATAGGTGAGGCCAAGAAACGAGCTGACTGCTCCGCCTAGAGAATGCCCAGACACCCAAATGTTCGAATCTGGGTAGAGTTCTGTAACGTTGGCATAAAGTTCTCTGGCAGCCTGATAGTAACGATTCTCTTCACGTAGGGCCTTGGTCACACACGTGTTGTTGCAGCTGTACGTGCCTGTGGCGCAATCGCAGACCTGATGCCACGACCATTGGCCCTGCTGAGCACAGCAGCAGCTGAAGAAGAGGTTATCGTTGACCTTGTCGTTGGTAGTCGTGCCTTCTCCATCAAAGACGGCAGGTGAGGTTCCCTTGAGACCGATGACGATAGTCGAGTTTGACTCGTCACCCCAGATATGGCCCCGTAATCCATCACTTTCCCAACCAAAGTCAGCACTTCTATTGAAGGGCTCGCCGACTTCATTCCAGTCGGGTAGCTCGGAGTTTTCGACGTAGGCATTCGCTGCAATCAGGGCCATAGACAAAACGGTCTCCTTGTCGGTCACATCGGGTCCCGGAACTTCATCGATAGTCCAGGCGGATGGCGAACTGGCAAGGACATAGCCTCGCTGCCGGGCTTCGGCAACCAACGGATCCACAGTGCTTGGTCGTCTGTCGACCATCCGCTCTATCTTCCGAGCTCGGCTCTTCGCCTTCAGGGGCGTGATCCGCTCCGAGACATGTTCGTCCTCGCTCGAAAGCCAAACCTCGGTATCTGGTAGTGTTATATCCCTTCTCCGGTGAAGGCCGGGGTGCCGATAGGTTCCGTGGTGGAGGATGTGGCGGAGCGTCTGTTCAAGGCGTTAGCGACGGAGTGAGCGAATCGATGTCACCATGAATCGCGACAACGTACGAAGGTATGCTCTGCCGGCTGTTGAGGCTCTGGTAGCAAGGGTGATAAACCAGGGACCTCTGGGAAGATGGGATCTGCGTTTGCGAAGGTAGCAGCCGCTGGAGAGGCGGATACGGCAAGGAACGACAACAGGAGCTGTGCTGTGACTCTGCCGGCAGAGTTGCAGATGGAAGCCGGTCGTTTCCGTCTCAGTATCATGGTTGCAAATGTGAACGAAACGAAGAGAGTAACAACAAAGCACAGTAGGTCAAGGGCATGGAAGTCAGGACTGTCTCTAGGAGGTGAATAGAAGAGAGACTGGATGGATGGGGCTGCGAGTGTTGGTATGGCCGAACGGGTCGTCGATAAGAGGCAACAGCGCCTCCACGCCCGTGTTATCGCGTGGACGGCGGCCTGGTGACCTATGACAACATGCACGAGGTTCAGCCAATCACTGAATTGGGGCGTGATGCTACGATCCCCGATTCAGGCTGGCTCTCGTGACAACTCCAGGCATGTCAGGGTTCTGATTGTACCCTGCTTCCACACCGTGCCCCTGCACTGTAATGACCGCCACTGGCACCCGCCAACCAACTGTCAGCCCCCGCCGGACAAACATCGGCGTGACCGAAGCCGCTCAGCCCGCGTTGAGTCAAAACCGCCGCTCGAATTCTACTAGAGTACCCCGCGGTCCTTGTTCAACACAACACCACCTGAAAGCAACCATCAACTTCGACTCGCCCTTCATCAACCAAACCTCCCACAACACACAAATACAGCCTTCTCCCATCCATCATCAGTCAATCAAGTCGCTTACGAGCATACCGTCTTAGATGTCCATTGAAAACCTCAAGACATTCGGTACGTTCTTGTCGCGACTTTTTCTCAACGCCATACCGCCCTGCTAACGCGACACTCACTACCAGACCCCTTCGCTGATGCTGCGGCCGATGACGATCCGGGAAGTTCGAGCAAGCAGGAGGATTACATCCACATCCGCATCCAGCGTCAGTATACCTGCCGGTCGGATATCGAACACTACATGCTGACTCCCACACAGAGCGAAATGGTCGCAAGACATTGACGACCATCCAAGGCCTTCCCTCCAAGTTCGACCGAAAGAAGATCCTGACCGTCGTCCGCAAGAAGTTCGCCTGCAATGGAACTGTCGTGATCGACGCCAACATGGGCGAGGTCATCCAGCTCCAGGGTGACCAGCGCAAGTACATGCAGGAATTCCTCTGCGACAAGAAAGGGCTCGAGCTCGACCCCAAGACCATCAAAGTCCACGGATTTTGAGTACAAGGCGACATCCCTACCTCGAAGGCCAGCGGCGGAGGTAGATGGGGCTTGCTTGCGTACTTGGTCATCATTCAGTCATCTGGCTGTCCTTACACCCTCTGTGGTTGGAGGTCTCCTGATGTGACGGATCGCGGGGGCGATTAGGTAGTTGTAGCAGTGTCGTATGCTATTCTGAACTCACCGATACTCATATCTTGCCCACGACTTTGACTACGTGATCTGGCTTCCCACCGTGAACTCCCAGGAGCCATCGTTTTGATGGACCTACATGTAATACCTGTGCCTCAGTAGTGATGGCGATTATCGAAAGCCACACTGTCATACTGCGCCATATTCCTGCTCCTGCTGAGCCATTTCCGCAGCGTCTCACATGGCAGCGTCCCTTGACGACCGGCCAAGGAATGTGCAAGGTGCGATACCAGTCAGCAGCTGCTATCATGGGGTGTGTCTTCCTGTGAATACATGTAGTTCCTCCACTAGTCCAGTCACCACCTACCTGCTATGCTACCTAGCCTTCATCCGCCTTATAGATCCAGTTGGCCTTCTTCGTGAGGCACCGACTCCATGGATGTCTTATCATGTCGGTGTGCTAAAACACTTGTTGGCATGAATGAGGCAGCTGTGAGGGTCAACAGCTCTCTATCATGCCGCTCAGGCCACCCCCTCAACCCCTCAGCCAGCCCCTCTGCCCCTGCGTTGCGCCGACGCAGGCAGGCAGGGCTAACATGACTTATCAGGGTCCCTGTCACATGTGGAACTAGGCCTGCAAATAGCAGCCTATTGGATGGATTACAGGGGCCGTTTGCTGCTAATCCACCTGCCCCGGGGCCAACATTGGAGTCCACGTTGGACCTGCGTCAGGGAAAGCTCCCAACTTCAAAGACAGCTTTCAACATTTCAACTCTGAGCCACCTGCAGTCTTTCAGTCTTTCTGGCCACCTGACCGTCGCCTTTCCACCAGGCATCAATGTGCAATAAACCTATCTTCTATCCTGTCCTGCCTTGCCTTTGGTGTCTCTGGTCCTCCCTGCCTCTGCAGATGGTATAATTGGCATCGTAGTAGTACCTCTAGCCGCGTCGTGTCCCTGATACCTACCCTGAGCAATCTCGTTTCCCGTGCTTGAGTAACTCGAGGTATGACCGTCCCTGCAACAGTTTTTTTTTTCACCTTGTTTGGCAGCTCTATACCTCTCTGTATCTTATTGGGCTATAAATCCAGAGCTCTTGGAAGCTTCCTATCAGTATAAGCAAACTGACCATCATGGCGTCCAGTATCATCTCACGTGCATCTATGGCGCCTACTGACCGTTCCGGAGGCTCGGAGCCTAGGCATGGCTCGCTGAGGACCTCGAGGTCGTTTCCTCGTGAACAAGCGTCAGACACCCTCGATCCTTCGAACAGAATCCAGAGAGCGAACACGTATCAGAATGGCGCACCTCCACGAGTCACTGTGGAACAGCATACATCACCGCAGAAGCAACAGCGCCAGACGCCCGACACCTTCGAGTCAGAGCCGCCCGAAGATGATATCGAGGCCCCGCGAGCTTCAGTCGACATGGACGCCATTCCTATCGAGTTGGTGAGCAAGACAGACAAGTAAGTGAAGCTTAGGTGTCGATTAGCCGTGTGCCAGTTGGCTTACACCCTTTACTATCTAGCTTCATCGACTCGCTCTCCGCCAGAGTCCACCCTACACCTCCCAACATCGAGACGCTCTCCAAGCTGTTTCAGGACTTCTACCATGTCGCCGCACAACATATTCAGACCCATATCTCCAGTCTCGCGTCTCGCCAAACCCGTGAGAACTCGCCGACTCCGTCCAGTTCCTCGAGAGCCTCTGCCGCAAGCCTGCTGAGAGCCTCTGCCGCCTCTTTTGGAAACAAGGACAAGGCAAAGCCAACGCCAACGAGGAGCCCGGAACAACAGATGCTCACGGCTGATGAGTATGCTGACAGAAAAAAGGCAAGAAAGGCCCTCGAACAAACGAGAATATTGTTAGAGGAAGGAGTTGAGAGACGACTATGTGAGGGCATCTATGACCGGATATACCGTCACCGGAGCACGCAAGACGAGGCACAAGACGACAGACTAAGATCCAAATGCGCTGCACTAGCCCTCGTAGGCATTGGGCCAGCAGATCTGGGAGTCGATCTTGGCGAACCTGCTGAAGAAGGCCCCGAGGGTTTGGCAAAGAAGCAGGACGGGATCCGACAATATTTGGAACAGGCCAGGAAGGATCTTGCCTTTATGCACGAGAAGAGGTATCCCTTGGGCAAGCTCAACTATCTCAAGGCTGCCCACAAGAGCATTGTGGACACGCTGTCACACTTTCACCCGTCCTCTTCAGCCGATGAGATCATGCCCATGCTGATCTACACCTTGATAACCATGCCTCCCGAGAATCTCAACGTGATTAGCGACTCGAATTTTATCCAAAGATTCCGCTGGGAGGAGAAGCTTGAAGGGGAGGCTGCATATTGCCTGACAAACCTCGAAGCCGCTATCACCTTTCTGCAGACGGTAGACCTAGCAAGTTTGAGAGCCGATGAAGCAACCTCAGGACCGTCCAAGTCTGAAGTTCGGCCAGGAGAACTGAGGACGCAAACCTTCCCTCCGGCTTATACCGCAGGCTTGTCTGCGAACTCACTGAGCCCAGCAATGGCGACTCCTGAAAATGTGCCAGGCACCAGACCACAGCCATCAGGCGCTAGTCTACGAGCAGCCGCTCAGCGTCGTAGACTTAGCGATCTTATCCAGACCCCAGCCCAAGCCATTGGAACTGCGAGCGACTCGTTCTTCAACTCGGCTGATCAGGGGTTCAAGACTATCGGTACCAGTCTGGGTGACAGCTACAAATTCCTGCTTGGTAAACTACGGGACAGCACAGCCGATGGGCGCGAGCTCATAGTACCGCGTACGCTGGATGATGCGCGGAAATTGATTGGGACACCGCCGCCGGATGATGACCTTCCCGCTGACGGTTCTGTTTATGCGCGGAATGGAGAGGACCGGGACCGCTCTACGACTGGGAGAGACGATAAAATTCTCTCCGTCGTGGGGGGCAAGAAGATTCCCCGAGACCGCAGTGCCGACAGTACGCGGAGTGCAAGTAGCTCCAAGAAGGTGGCTTTTGCCGAAGAGACTAGAGAGACATCTACCACGACACCACCACCTTCAAACCCGCCTCTTGTGGAGTCCATGCGCAACCTAGGCACCACTCTCAACCCCATGAATCGGTTCACCGGCATGAGCATGATGCGCGGCTTCGGGCGAGCACCCACGATCCCAACGTCAACGGGCACCAAAGACGCCACTGGCAATCCGGCAGCAGGCGGTGATCTCGCAACGGTAAGGCAATTAGCTCTCCAACTTTGTATCTTGGTTTCATGACTGACAAGTTGTCTAAGGCATTCCCGTACATTGCTGTGGCACTGCCGCCAAAGGATGTGCCGAAGATCGACCCCCCTAAAAAGAGGTTCATCGAGCTGCAAAACCCTTCCGATTTGAGACTTAGTGAAGTGCTCGAATTACTGCGGGACTACCGACGGCTGGCTGGCGCGCTGAAGGATATGGACGCGTTCAAAGAGTAGTAGCAATATCTGCTTTGCCATTGTCATACAGTAGATTTATCTACGGTGTTCGTCTGTGGGAAAAAAGGTGTCTGGGGTAGGTAGTAAGGGCGCATTGGGCATTTGCATTGCAGGGAGTTAAAACGGGAAATGTGATTCGGGCTGCATCTGAACTTTGTAACCGGATGGGCAGAGCCATTGAGACCATGTCTTCATAGATGATAGGTAGAGAAGCTCATTAGGGGAGCACAAGCTTGACCGAACGAACTGTGAGAAGAGCTGAACAGAACTCGATTGATACGTAACCAACGGCATTATAATTTTCCCCATACAAATCGCTGATCATGAAGCACAACGTTGAATACAGGACAATGATTATGTGAACGTTCTTCATATTTCAATTCAGGGGAGTGGTATATTCTTGGGTGGACCTATGGCCTTTTTGCAACGCCAAAAGGGAGGCCATAATGCAATACCAACAAAAACACCATCACAAACCACCCAACCAATGCTATACCCTATAATCTCTGTAATGCGGAAGAAAACAAAGGCGACTCCTCCGTACCCGTCCGCGTAGCTGATGTTGGCTTATACCATGTCGACCAGCGTAACCTAACCCGACCTGGTCAGTCGCCTGAACAGCAAGACGAGAAAGCCGACCCTTCACTCATTAGGTATGTAATATGGCAGGTCCCTCGAGCCTCTGCTGTAGATGCATATTTCTCGTTCTGTCTCTAGGACACAAGAAAAGGGGGTGGTGATTTGGCGCGACTCTGTTTGGTGCTCTGGTCAAAGATGTCTAGGTGATGATAGGAGGTGGACGGTTCAGTGATTGCCGTTGGACTTCGTCGGGCTAATCTGTCCGTTCGTGATGTCCTGCAGCGCGCTGCCGGTGCCACCTGGTGGTACAGCAATCAACTTGTCCATGAAACTGATGTAGTCGTATTGCGGAACGCCGCGGTCCTCCGACATATCGGGCCCATGGTGTTGCGGGACGATCTCGCATAGCTTCTCGATGACCTCGTCGGGCACCAGAGAGTGCCGTAGGTCCATCTCAGTCACGTAAGGCTTGCCGTCAGCCACCTCTCGGAAGGATTGGAAGACTTGCTCGGCTGTGTTCTGGTCCTCGGTCACATCGACCATGAACCGGATGAATTGCTCGAACGTCACCCGCTCGCAGTTATTAGACGTCTCCATGAAGTAGTCATGCATCTCGTCTTCACTAAACACCAGCCCTAGAGATGCTAGGGCAGCCGAAAACTCCAGCTCCGAGAGGGAGTTGGTGTCGTCTCGATCGAAATGGCGGAAAACGGACTCGAACTCCTCAAGTTGAATAGGCGTGAGATTCGTCATGTTCCGTGCTACTAGCTGGTTCTCCAGGAAGGAGAGCTTCTTCTGCACAGAGGATTTGACGAGCCCGAGCTCATAGGACAGCTCGTCGTAGGTGTAGGTCGTAAAATCGTTTTCTTCGATGTTGGCTTCCTGACACTTGGCATCGACGACTTCAATCTTCTCCAAATAGGCGTCCAAGGGCGGTAGATTGTCACTGATTCTCCGTACATGAAGAAGTTGGTCTTCTACTTCTCCTTCCAAACCGGAGATGGCAACTTGCATCGTGTTCAGAGCTAGAGCGAAATCGTTGGCTTTATCCGCGAAAGATTTGCGAAGACCGTTCTTGATGCTTTTGCAGTTGTTAGCCATGATGTCGTGGAAGACGTCCGGTTGAGACTTACTCTCGGATCGTCTCGTTGATGAGCTGGCCACGCATCACCTCGGCCTTGGTCAAGGTAGCCCACTCCTTGTCCATGTTGTCTAACGACAACTCCGGCGGAGGTTCATAGGCTCTGAGTCGATATGTACCCAACTTGGTCTTGATGTTGCCTAATAGTGTTGCCAGCTCACTCTTCTCCGCAACCCAGTCTCTCTTCTTGCCCCTCTTGTGAGACGCGAACTCGGCGGCTTGCTGCTTGGCGTCGACGTATGTTCCTTCGAACTGTGCTTGCTGCCACTGCTCGATCTGCTCCCTCATCTGTTGCAACAGTGCAGCCATTCTCCTTTCGTAGTTGTGCTGCATTTCCCACGCCCCTTGCATGTTGTTAACAAACTTCTCCACACGCCGTCCAGCATTCTCGACCTTCTCCATCTGCGAGAACGCATGAAACCAGTAGGCAATATATGTCATCAGACTCCTCTCGTCGGGCTTTGCCACGTCGCAGACATCTTCCACGTCCAGCAGGGCGGGGATACCGATCTCCTTATGAGCGATATCGAATGCCATTTGCATGTTGCCCCGGTGGTCCCTTTTATCTAGCGCATCGTAGTCGATCAGATCCGGGCGGTGGATGTCTAGTAACGCACAGAAGGCGAGGCCGTCGTTCCAGCTTGCGCTGAAGTCGCGGACGTCCACTTCATCGTAACAGGCCGTCTTCCGTTGACACCATAACAGCAGGCCCTCCTTTGCTGTCATGCCCTCCTCGTTGATATCACTGATGGTAAACCTCAGAATGAGGGTCCATATTAACCCAAGAATGATCTTCCTGTTGCCATCGACCACATCCTCTGCGCCGATGTTGGTCATCTGGATTCCTCTCGACTTGACGAAGTCGAGAGCCGTGTTGGCATTTTCGAATTTCTGGACCCGTAGCTTCGGTTTCGCAGCATATCGTCCTAACGATTCGTTCGACAGGCATTCGAGTAAATGTATAAGAATAACCTTCAGATGAAAGAGATTAGCACAGCTAACACAAAGCAAGGATGTTTGGCTCGGAGCTCAGGACTTACACCGTCACTTAGATCGGTAACCAAGTCTTTCACAACCAATGCTCTCGACTCAATCTTGGTGTTAAGCCTAGCATTCCAGCCAAGTCAGTCCGCGTGGTCGATAGCGAGAAACACTGTCTCAACAGCAGCAATGTACACTAGTCTAGGGTAGTCACTGTGTCTGAACAGGTATCGCTATATTCAGCAAGTCAAAGGCTTGCGACCTGGACCGATACCTACCCCTGACACTAATCCCCTATGATGCTGCAGATGCTCGGGATCTTGAACAGGAGAGGACTGACCATTTGGTGAACGTCTTCTGCTGGACGTTAATCCATTTGTGATCCATCCTGGTCAAGTTGACCGCAGATTCGGAGGACGCGTTGGACGAGAGGGATCGCCTCTGGAACTTCTTGGACTTGGGCTCCCTCAGCGAGTCCTTTTTTGTCAGGGGCAAGCCAGAAAGTGTGGCCGACCGCTGGACGCGGGCCGCATGCACGTCGGGCTGGGATCGATTAGCTAGGCTGCTCGTCGTCCGACGTGACCGCGGCGGTGTGGGTGGAAAGCTATGGCGAGATCGGGAGCTGGAGGTGCTGTGGGAGGGCGAGGGCGTCTGGTGCGGAGGCGGAGACGGGCCCAGGACGACGGCCTGGAGATGGGAGACGATGCTAGGTCGGCTGATGCAGATACGGATGCACTCGCAGATTCGTGGAATGGCCGGTCGCTGGCCGCAGGAGCAGGAGCAGGAGTTGTTGGTGTGCTTGGAATTGTACTTGTTGGTAATGTTGCATCGGACCACGGCGGGAACTCTTCGGTCAATATGCTCTGCACATCGACTGCCACTGCTGGCCGGGCAGTTAGCCGTCGTTGCTGTGGAGACTGATGACCAAGTCCCCTATTTCCTTCATTTCCTCCCCCGCCATTCGCTAATCGTGCTGCTACTAGTAGCGCCATCGTGGTCTATCGATAATGAGACTCCAATGTTGAGCCAACCAGAGCGGCCGCTCAACGCTCAGGGGGAGGGGTCGGTGGCGGGGTCGAAGTAGACCGGCAGATATTCAGGGGCAGGGCACGACTGTACGATGACCATCAAATGCTTCAAGAATGACAAGTCAAGAGAACTTAAACCTGTAAAGGCCACTCCCACGCGGTGCGACGCCGTGCCTACAAATAGCCCCCTTCAGTATGACCTCTGAGCGTATCTTCCATCAGTCTATTCGTCTCTCCTATTGTGTGTCTAGACCCAGCGGTCAGGGTCCTGTTTTACATGCGCGGTTGGTATATCTGGTGCTTTTCAACACCGGCCGTGAAACGCGACGACCTCCCGCATTCGCTATCACGACACGGCGGATGCCATCCCACGGGCGGGGTTTTTCTTTGGTGTTTGTCTATCTGCCCCGGTCTGGGGCTGTGCGCATTACTCACCTCCATGCAGATGTTGACGATCACAGGGATCAGCTTTAGATCCCCCTTCCACGCCCTGAGATGGGTTCAAACTGTTCTCATCAGGGTCGTTTCTATCTCTGAAGGCAGAGCCTCCACGACCACGACCACGACCACGACCATACAAGTAATAACCGTTTCTCTCGGAGGACCCTGAGTGCGACGTTGCTATTCGCCCGCAGCCAGAAACTTGAGACTGAAGTGGCAGAGTGGCAGGCCGTCCTCCAGAAGTAATGGGCTGTTCGCCTTGCTGCAAGGGAGATGCATGATCCTGGGTCGATCACGTTAATAGGCTGCATGAAGTATCATGGTCATTTAGTTCTGACGAGGAAAGCCTCCGTTTGGATCGAAAGGACGCCTCTTGTTCCAACACGCCAACACGGTTGGCACCTTTCTAGCATATATTACTGGTGCGTGGCTGTATATGGGGTGCAATGCAAGAGGGACCATCAGAGGAACCCATGTGCTGACCAGTTGGCAGACGTTTGTCAGTTCTGGTGATCTGATAGCTACCTGTAAAGTACAATTAAGGTCTTGTTTGAGTCCATCGCGAACCAGACTTACTCACTGAATCCAGCTTTTGTCCGGTGTACAGCTCTTCGAGAGAAAGACTGTGGGAGCATGGATATTGATACAGATACAGGATGTTGTATGATGACTGTACATTAAACCAAGGTGCATAGCAGCAAGACGACTGATGTTATTCCAAGCCGTCATCTGTGGCCAGCCAGCCTCATGAGGGTGCTCAATGGGAGAATCTGGGCACCCCAAAAGAGGACAGTGCCAATAAGTGTTCCCGGCCTTTGGCAACTGGCGGGAACGTCTTCCGGGCAGGTAATTAGTACGCCATTAGTCTGGCGGATAGTTCCGCCGTCGGAATTTGATGCCCGCCCAAATGTCGCCTCGAGCCAGGAAGGGCCAAGAGAATAGAAAAAAGTCCCCCGAGCCCTTCGTCGCTGGAACCTTGAGCATTCTCTTCGGCAAACACTCATTATGGCGTGCAGATCGAGACTTACGCCACTTATCAGGCGGGCAGCGGCGCCTGGTCTGTTGAGATCTGCCACAGCTGCCAACTCCGTCCCTTGCGCCGCCCGCTGCATATCCAGCACCGCCGCACGCCACTTTCGCGGTTCGGCGCTGAGAAGAGCCAAGTTCACGACCGATACCTACCCCGAGATCAAGCGCGACGAACGGTTCTCCCATATCACCGCGGAGCATGTCGCTTTCTTCAAGGGAATCCTCGGAAAGGAGTCGGCCATTCTCGATGGCGTCACGGCAGAGGTCTCCGGGGACGACATGGAGCCTTACAATATGGACTGGATGAGAAAGTACCAAGGGCACTGCAAGCTGGTGTTGAAGCCCGGGTCCACCGAGGAAGTCAGCAAGATCTTGAAATACTGCAACGACAACATGCTGGCGGTCGTCCCCCAGGGTGGCAACACTGGTCTTGTCGGTGGCTCCGTACCTGTCTTCGACGAGATCGTCATCAACACAAGCCGGATGAACCAGATACGGTTCTTCGACGATGTGAGCGGTGTTCTTGTGGTTGATGCCGGTGTTGTGCTGGAAGTAGCAGACCAGTTCCTGGCCGAGAAGGGCTACATCTTCCCTCTGGACCTGGGTGCGAAAGGCTCGTGCCACATAGGCGGAAACGTCGCTGCCAATGCCGGTGGTCTTCGGCTTTTACGATACGGAAGTCTACACGGGAACGTCTTGGGCATTGAGGCAGTTCTGCCAGATGGTACCATCGTCGATGACCTGAGCCGGCTGCGGAAGAACAACACCGGATACGACCTCAAGCAACTCTTCATCGGCGGCGAAGGCACCATCGGCATGGTCACTGCCGTCTCGATACACTGCCCTCAGCGATCCAAAGCTATGAACGTCGCATTCCTCGGGGCCGACTCCTTTGAGAAGATCCAGCAAGCATTCAGAGAAGCCAAGATCCAGCTCGGAGAGATCCTCTCTGCGTTCGAGCTGATGGATTCGTACAGTCAGAACCTTGTGCACACAGTCCGACAGAACAAGCGACCTCTGGAGGGCGAATACCCCTTTTACTGTTTGATCGAGACCAGCGGGTCAAACTCCGAGCACGACGCCGAGAAGCTGGGAAACTTCCTCGAGGATGTCATGTCGAAGGAAATCATCGCCGACGGTGTTTTGGCGGAGAACGAGACACAAATCAAATCATTATGGGCCCAGAGAGAAGGCATCCCGGAATGCCTAGGTCACTGGGGCGGAGTGTACAAATACGACTTGTCGATACCCCTGGGCGATCTGTACAAACTGGTTGATGAGACGAGGAAGCGCATCGAGGACGCTGGTCTGAAAGGTGACACCGATGACTTCCCGGTCGTGGACGTGGTCGGCTACGGCCACATGGGCGACCAGAACCTGCACCTCAACATCGCTGTACGGAGATACGACAAGCGAGTTGAGGAGGTACTGGAGCCGTTCGTCTACGAATGGACCGGCAAGGTAAACGGCAGCATCAGCGCTGAACACGGCTTGGGTATTGCGAAGAAGAACTACATCGGTTACAGCCGAAGTGAGACCATGGTCGGCTTGATGAAGCAGATCAAGAATCTCTATGATCCTGTAAGTCACACCTCCCTCCCCCTTTGCCATGAACCTTGAACACGAGACTGACATCAACGCAGAATGGAATCATGAACCCGTATAAATATATATAGCACATGTAGATCAGAACAAAAGTACCATTTCGAGGATTTCACTCGCGACACTGGCATCTGAATGTTTGAGATGACCAATGCAGCAACTTGCCCAACATAGCTCTGACAGGGTGTGCGTCTGATGAAGACAGCAACGTGGGAAGCAGTCAACAGCGTGGTATACAACGAAAGGCACATAGATCTGCATTAATCCGCCGAGATATATGATAGCTCAGTGTCAGCAACTTGAATATCATGACCAAATAAATGTATCATGCTGCATCGTTCGTTGAAGTGCTTCAAATCGGACAAGTCAGACACGCGCGGTGGAGCGGCGATAAGATAAGGAGCTCTCACCATCGAACCTGGAAATTTGCTTCATAATAGGTACTAAGTCTAAATCAACATCGACATCATCACGATCACCATCGACCCGAGCGCCCGACCGTTAACCGATCGACACATCGTCGAACTCCTGTACAAAATATCCCATTCGTCACCTACCACCAACGCCAGACACCCGCCCGCCAAGATGGACTCGTCCCTAGCCGACCACGACCTCGAGAAGCTCAACGAGAAGGACAAGCTGGAGCTGCGGTCGTTCCTTGCCAACGAGAACCAGAAGGCGCGCGTGCAGGCGAGTATGTGCTCCCCTTTTTACATACCATACATCCCTTTTTCTTGAACCAGATCCCGACGACCCCTGAACCAAGATGTACTCTCCTACCTGCATTATACAATGCAGGTTGTTGCCCTTAACCCAAGACTGCCTGTTTCGATGTTCCTTGACGCTAATATGTACTGTTTCTTCCCGCAGCCGTCCACTCCCTGACCGACATGTGCTTCAAGAAGTGCGTCACGGGCACGATCCGCGGCGGCAAGCTGGACGGGAGCGAGGAGGGCTGCATAGCGAACTGCACGGATCGGTTCCTTGATGTCAGCCGGTTGACGGTGAACCACTTGCAGAATATGCGCCAGGGTTGAACTTGAAGCTGAGCGGGTTGGAGCTGAGCGTCGTTCACTCTTTTTATCATCTCTACCCCTCGATAAAACTCGGTTGCCGAAGCTGGTCGCATGCCGCCAGGGTACATTTTGGGGAGGGGGCGGGGGGCATTTTCAGTGCCTATGTGTTGAGGCCTTGTACATTACTGTAGACGCCGACGGACGATGACACGAGTTGGACCAGAGGTCGCCAAGGGCATAGACGTATCTTATTGATACATGTATAATACCGGGGCGCAATCACGAAGAACATTAACATCTGGCTCACACATATTCGACGTTCGCTTGCATAGGAAAAGTCACCGTTTTGTCCATTGATCTCATAAGCCTGGCCTGGTCCTTGGCAACGCCGTTCTCAATGCAATGTCCATTCGGCTCGGAGCGTGTCTATGACACTCGACACGAGCCGCCGAATCCAGCGCAAGTAGGTATCTATTCCCAATCGATTTTTCAATCCCTTAGACGAGAGCCAGCTTGGTGGCAGCGATGTCCAGAGCATCAACGTCGGCGGTCAGACGGCAGTAGGCCTTCTTGGTTCCATCGGGTCGGACGAGGGTGTTGATCTTCTGGGTGTCGATGTCGTAAAGGGTCTTCAGGGCCTGCTTGATCTGGGCCTTGTTGGACTTGACGTCGACGATGAAGACACTGAGATGATGTTAGCCGGGAACCTGGCCATCTATCTACGGGCTACGTACAGGGTGTTGTTCTCCTCAATCTTCTTCATCGCGCTCTCAGTGTTCAGGGGGAACTGAACGATCTTGTGTGCGTCGAGGCGGGGCGCGTGAGGAACCGACTTCCGCAGGACCTTGGGGGCGCGCGAGAGCTGGAGGGTCTTGGGGCGGTGGAACGAGGTCGAAGTGCGGACCTTGCGCTTCTTGTTTCCGTTGTCCTTCAGCGAAGATCAGCACACAAGTCTCCGGAGTCGAGGATCGTTGGCAAGAGGATTTTGAGAGTGAACTTACACCGCGCAGGGCAGCCTTGGCAGCGGCATTGGCCCGCTTGAGGCCCTTGGGCGCCTTGGAGGCACCGCCTGTGTCAAAAAAGCATCAGCAATCGCCCTTTGGTAAAGAACTCGCAAAATCTGCTACTGCTCGATGCGTCGGCCCGGGAGGCGCTTGCGGAGGCAGCACCCTTCTCTTCGTCGGGGAGTCATTCTGAGAGAATGCAAGTGGTGAGGCTTATGATATACCTTTCTTCGCATCCTTGGGACCCATTGTGATGTGATTGACCGAGGGGTTTGCCGTTGAAGTTATCGTGGTTGCTGCTGGTTAGTTGCCTCGAGGAATTTCGTCAAAGAAAATTGCGGCAGCTGGGTAAAAAGTGCGGTAGAGCTCGTTTAGGGCAGATCAGAGTAGGCGGTCTGTGCGCTGCTAGATGCCCGCAGTTGGCTCTCAATATGAGCACGGGCCATCCAGAACGCCAAGAACACGGGCACAGTCTCACCGTACAGTGTTATCGTGCATGAGCCAATAGGCGATATCGCTTCTGTCAAGAAGAATTTCAACAAGTCTGAACATTCGCACTCGCAGGCACTTCTCTTGCCATCCTCGGCATCGCATGTTCTGAGTCCAACTGGTCAAGATGCCTGCCCAAAAGAACCGACCAAACAAGAGCTTGGCCCAAGGGCGCCCTCCAGGTGTTCAGAAGCCGAAATCGATATCTCGGAAAAATACCAAAGCACTCATCAACTCACTCCATCTGCTGGAGAAGAAGAAGGCACAGGCCAAGGCCAAAGGCGACAAAGCTGCCGAGGCTGCCGCAGATGGTGAGATCGCCGCATTGGGCGGCATCGAAAAGTACCAGCAGGCGAGTCTTCAGGGTCAACGCAACGATCGTGGGGGTGACAGCTCACGGGTCCTGATGGAATGGCTGAAGCCAATCCTCTCTACTTCGGGTCTTCCGGCCGCGGGGTCATTACGAATGCTCGAGGTTGGTGCCCTCAGTACTACGAACATATGCTCACAGAGCGGCTTCTTCGACATGGAAAGGATCGACTTGAACAGCCAAAGCCAAGGCATACTGCAGCAAGACTTCATGCAGAGGCAACTGCCAACGAATGACGCGGAACGATTCGACATCATCAGCTTGTCACTGGTACTGAACTTTGTCCCCGACGCGCAAGTACGAGGCAATATGCTTCTGAGGACCCTGGAATTCTTGAAAGAGCCAGTGAAGGATTCGGCGACAGCACTGCGGGACTTCTTCCCAAGTCTATTCTTCGTTTTACCTAAACCTTGTGTCTCCAACTCGAGGTACATGACTGAGGAGCATTTGGAGTCTATCATGAATTCCTTGGGATACACAAAAGCTCAAAGCAAGATGACACAACGAGTGGTATACTACCTCTGGACCAAGTCTCGCCCATTGACACAGACTACCTTCAAGAAGGCAGAGCTTCTCGCCGGACCCTCACGCAATAACTTCTCAATCGTACTCCGTGGTCCGTCTGATGAAGGACATACGGATACATGAAATTATCATATACAATACGCTCTCAGGCGCAGCCAACAAAGACGATTTCGTGGGCCGAGCACACCAGATACTAACATGGTGGACAGCAAGGTTGCGTCAATATCTTATCGGTCTTGCTGCTGATCGACACGCAGCATCACAACCTGCTCTCACCACCAATTGTTGTCAGCTCGGCACTCAAAGCCCATAATTTCGCAGCTGTCGATTCGTCCGTTGCCCATCGTGCCGCGCGTGCTTTCTGGCAGTCAGATAAGTACAATACTTCTTCATCTATTCAAGATCGTCAGTGGGTTCGTCTCTTCTCGGGTTTACCCCGCAGCCACCCATCATCACCCACCGGTATCTGAGAGACTTGGATCGAAAGCTGCCACCAACGACGTAGCACTCCCCTGGTCAGGTGTCTTCCATGTCTCAGGTGGCATTGCTCCAGTCACCTTGCGGAACTCGGCACCAACCTCGCGGAGGAGACCAGACAGGATGTCTGGGCGATCAATTTCCTAATCTGACGGGAGACGGGAGGGTAACCAATCGACTTACCACCAGGGTTGACGGCATAACTTCTGATGCCACTTGGCAGTAGCCGTTCGTTCAGTGCGACGCTGAACAGTATATTGGCGGTCTTGCTAGCACCATACGCAACCATGCCTGGGAAACCATCATGTTGCTCATATAGATGATCCGGCAGGTTCTTGCGAGGTTGTTCGCGTTGCGGCAGTGGTTTCCCCTCGAAGTTGTAGTCGCTGAAGCGGAAGGGTGATATCACATGAGCGGAACTGGAGACGTTGACGATACGCGTATCTCCCGGCTTGTTTGTCCTGGCCGCTTCGAGCAAGATAGGCAGCAGCAGATTAGTCAAGAGAAAGGGCCCGACGTGGTTCGTCGCAAACGTGAGCTCGATGCCATTGCCATCCGGTGACCACTGCTTCCGCGACAGGCTGACCCCGGCGTTGTTGACGAGGACGTCCAGCCTCGTCGTCAGCCCCCTGATTTGTGTTGCGGCCTCCCTGACCGAATTCTGGTCGGCTAGGTCCACGACCACCGTCCGGACCGTCACGTGCGGGTGCTGCTCGCCGATCTGCCCTGCGACGGCGGACAGCTTCGCCGCGCTGCGCGAGGCTAGGATCAGGAGGCCCGGGCTGCGGCCGGCGACGGCGCGGGCGGTCGCCTCGCCTATGGAATTCGGGCTTGCGCCTGTGATTAGGACTGTTGGACCCACCCGGCTTTGGTCAGATGATGGTTGATAACGGAAAGGTGGGTGGTTGGGGGACGATCTCTTGGGTGGTGGGTATGGTGTATAGTGGTATAATAGGAGCAATCCTGATGATAGGATATGATATGAGAGGCTACGTGGCATTTCGATGACATTATCACTCGGGGTAGGTATCGTAGGTATGCCATGTTCACTCACTATGCTTCCCCCTAATCCGGTCCCCGAACGCGGCGGCGACCTTCGTCCCCGTCGTCGTCCTGTCGAAGGGCTTGGGTTTCATAGCGCTGACTGTGCTGTTGTGTTACGGTCGAGTCATGCCATCAAGTACCATACACGTAACATGTAACTAGTATCTGCCGATCGACTAGTAAGTCGATGGTTGCGGGGTTTGGCGTGTTAGATGTTAGATGTAATGCGGAGGCGCTGGCGGGATGTGGTCGGTCGTTCGACTGGAGGTTGGAGGTTGGAGATCGGGCTGGCAGGCCAATTGCATGTTGGATTACGTACGTGCGGCACGGATGACCTCACGGGGTGGTGGTCAGGGGTAGGCTACAATTCGTGATTTGGTGGCTGTCACTGGGCGTTCTCGTTATTGTCGCGGTACTTGGGGAACTTCTGATTACATGTAGGTAGAGACATTGTCCAAAGCTAGAATTGCTACCATAAGGAGGGTACCTGAGAGTTAGACTAAGGTACACTGACCCCCCATAAGTCTCCGAACATCCCCGCATTTACACCAAAATGCCCTACCTTTACGCTTTTATAACTAAAGACTTAAAGCTTTTTAAAATGAGATATTATAAGAAACTAATATTTGAAAATGCTGAAGTTTTCGTAACTAATTTCTAAATATTTATTTTCTTAGCGACTAAAATATCAAGAAATAGATATATAAAAGTAAAGTTTAAAATCTTAAATCTTAAATCTTAATAAAGCTATAAGAAATGTTTAAAAAATCGTATAAGTCGTAATAAAGTTATATAATATTAAATGACATGTAATACAAGTAGAAGACGAAAAACCTTATGTGATAGATTTAAAAAAAAATAGATATGTTAGAAAGTTATTTTTATCGAAAATTTAACCTTTAATAAAGTAACATTTACGACCTTTATCTTTAAGATGTCAAAGTTTTTAAATAAACCATTTTAATATTCCAGTAAATTTAACTATATGTACTATAAGTACTTAAGTTGTATCTATTTTACTCGATTTATCACGATCGCGTAAAGTTGGGGTGTTTTGGTGTAGAACAGGGATGCTCGGAGACTTATGGCCGGGGAGTGTAACATTCGTTATCGTAAGTTGGGACAATGACCAGAGGCCATGCTCATAAGACAAATGGCGGAGGTTTCAGAAATGGAAACATAGGTATTCACAGATGTACGTGGCACCATTCACATTCATCGTGTTGTGAACCAGTATGGCCATTAACGATATGTACCCCCTCGGTATTCCTCGTGCCTCAGCTGTTTCAAATCTGGACTGATGTAGTGTGCCGTGCCTGGCGACCGGGCTGCTGCTATCTTGAAGCCATCAGCAGATGTCCCTTACTCGCGTGGTGAGGATTCAGAGTTGGCCGGTCACCAGCCGCGCCAGGACGGGAGGCACGCCGGCGTCTGGTCTCGCATCACCATTGCGTACCCGGAACAGCGGCACTAACCGCTGACCTTCCACTCGGCCGGACTACTGTGTATGTGTTGTAATGGCGGCTGCTCGCGTCTGGGGTAGGGTGAAGCGCCGATTACTAGTGAATCTCATCAAGGTCCACGGGTCTTGCTGCTAATGCCCATTGCCGTTCTAGACCATGACATGCGTCAATGTTTGTTTACATACCTGATCTGGTCTGGTCATCAGTGGTGCGTGGCTGTCTCGGTCTCACTGGCGCAACCTGCTCTGTTGTGGACTGGTTGACGTATGCTGTACGTTGTTGTGAGCAAGATAATACCAGAGTCACTTCGAGAGTGGCTATCACTTGCTACGACGCGCGAGGGTACATATGTAGTTTCAAGACGTTGTGTTGATGGAACTTGCTTCGACCAAGATATTGTAGGCTCTGTGGACTTCATCGTGTCATTTCCTATCTGCACCTTGACGCGGTGTAAACAGGTACGAATACTCTACATAGTAGTCAACATGCCTCTTGGTGTCGTATTTGGTACAAGGTGAGTTGTCGAGCCTTCTAGGTGTGTGTGATAGCTTCATCAAGCATCCGGCCGAGAGGCACCCTTTTCCCACTGCATCATCGTGAGAGTCTGACGATGCCTCATGGTGGGTTTTCTCCAAAGCCTGTTCCCTGTTTGCATCCCTTATCTGCTGTTGACTCTGGCCCACAAGAGGTTAGAGGTTCAGTTGCCTGCCGGCTATCTCGAGCTCAGGCACGTGGAGCGCCATCTTCGACGGTAACGGGAGGCGGGTCTGTCGATCTATCACGCCTTCGGACCCGCTGACTGCTCCCTGATGCCGAGATCGTCGTCGAGAGCATCGAACGTCTCTATGATAGGTAGCCGTGAGCGAACCTCGCTCGGAAGTTCCGCATTCCCCGGTCGTTGGACGACAATGCTCTGCATTCCTGCCGATATGGCAGCGTCAACTTCCTTCACGTTGTCGCTGAGGAAAAGCCATTCCCCGACGGGAATCTCTGGGTGATTCCCGGCGATCTTCTCGTAGCTGCCTGTCTCTGTTTTGAGACCAGCAGTCACGGTGTCGAACCAGTCAGATATCAGGGGCGTGAAGTCCGACGGCTCGGCATCCGTGTGCTTGAATAGCAGCTTCTGTGCGGGGACGGACCCAGACGAGTAGATCATTATCTTGAGGCCCTTTGCATGCCATTCTGATAGTTTCGCGGGCACGTCCGGGAATAGGGGTGCCTTCAGATCACCTGAGGCGTATCCTTCCTCCCAAAGATATCCTTGCAGGCTCTTCAAGTAGGCAATCTTGACATCTTTTGCCATGAGATCTCTGACATGAGATGCTAGCGCCTCCTTTGAGGACGCATGTTCGGGAGGAAACGCATCCCTATATTTGGCGAATTTCGGGTCATCCCATTGGGTCTCCAGGGTCTCTGGCAGGACATTCAGCGCATAAGGAAACTACAATCAGGTACTATTAGCCTATCGGTCATTCGAAACATGAAGTACCCCAATTAGAACCATCCGCAGCGGGAGTAACGGTCTGTGACAACGAGCGCGGGAGCGGGACTGCAAGTAGCAAATCAAGCAGCATGCTTATTAGAGTGATCGCCCGTATAGACAGCAAGAGCCGTAATTCCGAATGGAAACATCGCAGGTGGACGGCGAATGTAACTGGCACAGCGCACTTGCTCAAGCGCGGTTGACCGCCGTGCTGTCTCGCAGGTGCGCAATGCCCAGACGCACGACAGTCGACGAAACACAGGAGAGGATAGCAAATCCTAATCCTCTCGTGGTCGGGATTGGCTTACCAGAACATCTTTGACAAAGGAGATTGGGCAGATTGTGCCCTCTGGTGTTGATTCGTGTCAGCTAGCTGGTCTAGGCTAATGCAGCTCGAGCTCCACGACAGCCAGCAAAACTTGTCCAGCAACGAGGACGAAGAGCTCGGGGGCGTGAAAAGCGTGGAGCGCGTCCTTACCGATGTCGAGCAAGACGACCTTGACAGCGGCAGATGCGGCCATAGTCGCAACAAATGCAGTTGGTCCCGTCCGTCCGTGGGTCTTCCGCGTCTTGGTGCCCGTCCGATCTCTCTGGATCTCAAATCTCAACAAGCTTGGTGGCAAGCCGGGGTGAGGATTCCGGGAACCAAGATTAGCATACCCGTTCCTTGGTTGCAGCCGAGCAGAGCGGTGAAGACACCCAGGAGCAAGCAATAGCTCGTCGCAATAAGATGGTGAAAATATTCCTGTTGAAAATTTTCTCCCTCCTGCTGCTCCTTGCAGCTGTTCACCTCGTTGTAACAAGGCAGCAAGGCCGAGGAGAAAGTAATCGTTTCCTCTAGGGTGCGCAGGGTGGGTTAGGTGTGGCAGGGCGCGTCGAATTATGTGTCGTCGCAGAGGCGGTCAAGATGTTCGAGTCTGCAAACGGCTAGGACGGAGAAGCGCACCCCCAGGCCTGCGAGGTTCTCGAACCAGGGACCGGACCCGACTTGGGAAGGGGGACGTCCGACGGCCCACCGACTGCACAGGAGCCGGCTGCAGCGGGAGATTTCGGCGGAACGTTCATGCAGCGAACCCCGAATCCTTGAGAGGCTTGGGGTGCGTTGGCACGAATCCGGGTTGGGAAGGAAGCGGTGTCGCGAAAATTCCAAGGTCGGAGACTCGAGAGTCGTTCCAGTCGTCCAAAGTGGGAAGATGGGCGGGTCGGCAAAAAACATGGGGGCCGAATAGGGAGGACCGAAAAGGGTGCTAGCCTGTCACCTGCATCTGTCATCGCCAACCATGTCGCTGCACGCCCTCCAAGTGCCTCCAGTAGCATCCGCCAGGCTACATGAAGGAGTAGGGCCTGCAGCTGCATGGACTTTGCAGCTCGGCTACTGCGTCTCGTACAGTGATCCGGCAACTTACAGTCAAGTGGCTGGTCTGGCTCCGGCTGGGCTGGCTGCATGTCTTGTCTCTCTACCCTCTGATGATTTGCCATGCACATGATGCACCGGAGTGGAATCGTGAAGCTCTCTGGGCTGGACAAGTGTCTGCCTACTACAATGGGTGCCCCTGATCCCGCATGTCTCATATTGCGCATATATCAGGGTTACCGCACATTTTTCTCGCTCCTGATTTTCTTAGTAAGGGCAATCCCCAGATGGCATATAAGAGTATAACGCATAATTTTTTCAAAGAATAGTAGGGTGGCACAAACTGCTTTAACCTTTTATTACGTATATTTTGCTATATATCTTTTTGGGATAGCTAGGCTTTAAATAAGCCTTAAACTAAGCCTTAGCAAGGCTTTTAATAAGTTTAATAAATCTAAGCTATAAAATCAACCACTTAATAACTTATTATATTTGTTATCCTTTAAAAAGGTTATTTAAAATAGTTGCTTTAAGTAATAAGTACTACCATATTATAATTTGAACATTTAAATATATTTAAATAACATGTTTTATTACTCGAATTTAATTAAGCACCTTATTAAAGTATAAACTAGTTATAATTAGACTTACAATTAATTAACGTTTAAATACCGTTATTATAAAGGTATAAATAGTTATTTTTTTAAGTAGATTATTAATCCGATAATACTTATTAGTTTTACCTTATTTGTAATTATACTTAAAAAAAACGCACTTTTACTTTAAACGCGTTAATATACGGTTTAATTCTACGTTATTTTATTTTATTTCATTTTATTTTATTATAATACACTTTTTAAAAAGTGTTATGATATATCGTTCATGTTTTGATATTATTGTAATATATCCTTCTAAAATATTATAATATATTTAAAAAAAATTGGGATGTTTAAAAAAGACCTGATATTGAAGTTATTAACAAACATTAATATAAAATAAGCCGAGAAAAATCGTTTATATATTAAAAAAACAAACGTGATTATCGATAATTATTTGAAACAAGTCAATATTATTATTATGATTAAAACTATTATTATAAAAAGACTTAACTTGATTAAAGAAAAACTCGATATATATATATTAAAAAATAAAAAGTATTCAACAAGAGTTTAAAAAAATCCTTCGCTACTTTTCAAACTAATATATGTATAAAATATACGACAAATGTCATAGTTGCTACGTCGCTACCATTGGTAATAGTCATGGGATCACATGACAGCACGTGACCTCCTAGACGACTGGTTGTCTCAAACCTATTAGGGCTTTAAATTGTGGGGCAGACACCCTTATCTTGTTGCCAACCAGATTTGGCTGTGCTGCTCAATCTTCTTTTCCCTCTTCAGCCAGAGATAGTTATACGTACATAGTAAATAAGGGCTTTTATATCCTATTCATATATACGGAACGTCACAATTAGCTTTATAAATAAAACCTTAAAAAATAATAACTGTATGTCAAATTCAAAAGATCTTCAGGGGTGTATGCCATGTGGAGTGCTGGCTAGTGAGGTGGCTAGTCAAGAAGGCTGCCATGACTAGCACCATAAATCGTACGTTGACTCGGGAAAAGGTGGGCTGGAGGATCGTCTCCGGCATCTCTGGAGCTGTACAAATAGGTGTAGATACCACCCAATTGGGATAGCTGAGAAATAATAACAACGATTGCAGCTACCGCTCAAGACCACAGGCTTGTCAACCCTTTGAAATCTGACACTGTATTTTAAAATAATGTTAATTTCTTAACAAGTTTTTATTACATGCTTTTATTATTAATTAATAAGCGGTAAAATTCTTTTTTAACTTTTAATTTATTTAACTTTTTTTATCGTTTTTATAATAAGCTATGGGTTATACCTTTTGCGGTAAATAAAAAAAATGTATCTTATTAAGTACGTTACAAAATAAATCGAAATTACCCTTGTTACTTTTATAAGATTGAAACGCGTAAGAAGCTTGATATAAAAAATCTATAATATGTTTAACATTCTTTTTTAAATGAATTAATAATATCGTATTTACGTTGATTGACAAAATTACATAAAAATTATAAAACTAATTGTATTAATTCAATTATAGAAAAACTGTAAGATTCAATAAACAAACGATTATGTTAAAAGTTAAATGTATCGTAAATCTTTCGTTAATTTTACTGAGAACCTATTTATTTTATCACAACGTACTTTTAATCCTCAAAATTAGCTATGCACCTTTTTAAGATATAGCATAAACTTTTCAATATTCAATATATCACTTTAATTATTTAATAATATATAAAGATATTTAAAAAACAATAAGTATAACGTTTTCCAGTTAAAATTCATAAAGCGCCGTTTATCAAGAATAACACCAATAATTGAAAAACTTTTCCAGCTTAAATATAAACATATTTATATAAAATTTAAAAACTTTACTTCAAAAATCTAAGTTTTCTGTACTTATTAATATACTATTAAACATAAACTCTTCATGATAAACTTCAAGTTATTATAAGTTATTATATTAATAATATATATGATAACGTGGATGACAAGCGAGCGGCAATTACAAGCGAACTGCAACTTTTCACCAGCCACCCAACCTTTTAATCAAGGCTCCTAATTGATCAACCAATAATAATGGCATTGCATTATAGCGAATCAGACTTACAGCTTCCTGTCCAAGCTAAGCGACGCGACCCTCATATTACCATTGGCAAGCTTTCTAAGACTTTCCATGTCCCATATAATACCTTGAAGGCTAGAATTGCCGGCCAACTATCACGACGCGATAGTATACCTAATACTTTGAAACTTCTGGTTTCCGAAAAGAATGCCATTCTTTCCTTCATTTTTGACCTGAATGCGCGAGCATTTCCACCCCGGCACAGTTATGTTGAAGATATAGCAAATCAATTGTTGGCAGCGCGTAGGGATAGACGCATTAGAAAAAACTGGACACAGAACTTCATTAAACGCACACCAGGCCTCCGGACGCGTTTTCATCGGAGGATGGACTACCAAAGAGTCTTAAACAAAGATCCAGACATGTATTGCGCATGGTTTCGCCAAGTTGCGGCGGCAATCGCAAAACATGGTATTCAAGACACGGATATTTATAACTTCGACGAGACTAGGTTTATGATGGGCATTATTGGGTCCGGCATGGTCGTTACAAGTGCCGAAAGACGTGGTAGGCCTAGACAAGCTCAGCAAGGCAACAGGGAATGGTCTACAGCAATTTCTGCTGTCAATGCTGATGGTTGGGTGGTCTCGCCCTCATCATTCTACAGGGCAAAACCCACCTCGCGTTATGGTATTGCAACACAACATTACCACGCGATTGAAAGGTGGCTGTGTCCCATAACGGTTGGACTACAAACGAGATTGGGTTGAAATAGATTTGGCATTTCGACAAGTATACCAGACCGCGTATGACTGCCAGTAAACGCCTCCTCATCCCAGATGGTCACAAAAGCCACCATTCCCAGATCTTTGAGGATTATTGCCAGAACAACAGTATTATTACCCTTTGTATGCCTGCCTACTCGTCACACAGGCTCCAGCCTTTAGATGTCAGTTGTTTTAACCCGCTCAAACAAGCATACGGTCGCATGATTGAGAATCTCATCCGGTGTCATATAACCTACGTTTCGAAGGAGGACTTCCTTATAGCATTTTGTGAAGCACACAACGCTGTTATGGCGCCAGGAAACATTTGAGCAGGTTTTAGTGCCACTGGGCTTGTTCTTTTCGACCCAGAAAGTGTCATTTTGAAGCTGGATGCTGTCACTGTTGTACGAACACCGTCGCCAGACCCCAATCTGCCACCCACTACTTGGACTTCAAAGACGCCTACCACCATCAATGAAGCGGTAAACCAGTCAGTTTATATCCGAAATCGAGTCAGAAACCACCAAGGAAGCTCACCTACATCAATAGTTAATGCGTTGAGCTCATTTTCAAAGGCTACATATGGTCTTATGCACAAGGTTGCTTTGGTTAATTCCTGGGTCCGCGAGCTAGAGGAGGCCAATCACTTACTAAGTAAACACTGGAAGACAACAAACAAACGTCTAGTGAAAGGAAGAGTACTTTCCATTGAAAATGCAATAGGTCTCCAGGCTGTAAAG